TCGTGCTCATCGTGCTCATCGTGCTCATCGTGCTCATCGTGCTCATCGTACTCATCGCTAGCATCGTTATCACCAGCGGTGAAGTCACTAGTCTTCTGCCTTTTTCTGTTACGTCCGAGATGATACATCCTCTTGCGTTTTTCCGGCGGTGTTGGTAATTGGAGCCTGTCCATTGGGGTCGAATTTGATTCGTCATGGTTGGCGACGGACTCGCTTTGCATCGACTGTCTAGTTGAACGGCGTGAAGTTAAGTCAGAATCGGCTGAAACAACCTCGGACTCATCATGTCTGCGTCGAGCTCTCTCATTGGCACATGCAATGAATTCTGCTCTTCTCTCTTTGGCCAAATCCTGCATGTTGCGGAATGCGGTGATCCCCTCTATGTATGACTCCACGCTGTTGGTCATATAAACCCCTTTGATCACGGTCATTTGGAACTCGGGTTTCTTGCTCTCTTCATTTAGCTTAGTTGGATGCATTGCGAAGATCTGAAGGAGGTTGTTCATATAAATTGCTCCAAACGTATGGGCGTTGCCATCAAATACAAGCTCGTCCAGCTTGTAGGATTGTATCATTTGCATTCCTCGCGCGCCCACCGCAAGGTCCTGCATGAGCTGACGCTTAGCTTCTGAATTATTCCCGTCTGGACCTTTAAGTTCGGCGAAAAGGTTTGGCAAAGCGGGCCAGTGTTGATGGGTGGAAGGCACAATGTATTCCTTGAGATCATCACGAACTTGCCGAGAGATCTCGACTGGGCTAGAGCCATTGAAGTAGTCTGGCTTTGGATGTGCTATGTTTTCGACAAGCGGCGTGAGGTTGTTGAACACCTGATTGTAACCAGATGGGATGTTGGTTTTATCTACAATCATTGAGAATATTCGGCTCGAGACTTCTGCTTCGGACCCGGCTTTTTGGTTGTAACCCTTGAATTTCAAGAATTCCCCTCGGAAACCATCGACAGGAGATAGAGACGCACGGCGCTGCGTCAGTCTTGTTGCTATGTCCTCAAAGTTGGCTGGCGGAAATTCTATTTCTCCCGGGGGAAAAACACCACCATCGGCAAGTGCTTGCTGAAAAACAGGATCTTTGGTCGTGATTCTTTTGCTCTGGGCAGCATCAGACTGCTTGGATTGGGCACGTCCAGGGCTCATCCTGAATTGTGGATTTGGCTCTGAATACTGTGAAAGTTAGTACAATTCTCTACAGCATTGATGAGACCAACCCCTTGAATGCTGCGAAGATCTGGGCCACCACGGCGAGCAAAGCGCTTGAGTTGCACGACTAGCCTGTCCTCGATTTCATGCAGCCTACCCTCAATGTCACGCTCCGAACGTGATCTAGGGGCAGTCAGTTGAACGGCCCGTCTGTTGAATTCGATGAGCGCACGACGACAAAGCGGCACACGGGATAGCTTGTCCCAGAACTCTGGAGGAGGCCAGCTCTGCGATGGATATGGTTGCGTTCGATTTTGAGGTCGAAGGTCTTCTGTTACAGACATCACTGGTGCTGAATAGTTGAAGGATATCTTTCAAAACGCGGAATTGTGTAGGTAGAGTTTGTTTGCTTGCATGGCGGTGACCGCAGTTATGCTTTGTCCCTGCAGCACCCCGCTAATAATGGGGACTGCCTCTGGATAGCGAAAGCAAACGCATTCATTTCCCATTCATTTTCTTTGTCCTACACACCACGATCGAAAACTTTAGGACATATAGTGAGAAGTACGCAATTTCGATTGTGGAGATGTGAACTTCATTTCCGTTGCCATGAAGCCTCTTATTGTGCAAGGTAAATACCAGCTACGCCGTCGATTGGGCGTTGGCGCGTTTGGAGAAGTGTATGAAGGTAAGAGCATGCCATACCCAGAATGACAACGACTCATCGAGACAGGTCATGACCTCGAAACGAATGATCTAGTGGCTCTCAAACTCGAGGACGACAGAGCCTTTCGCTCACACCTCAGAAATGAAATCGAAATCTACAAAGCCCTCGCTGGTGGCAGTGGCATCCCTCGAGTATACTGGTTTGGGTCTGGAGGCCAGTTCAAAGTAATGGCATTCGAGCTCTTGGGCCCAAGCCTGGAGGACCTTTTGCGTTTTTGCGGTCGGAGATTCTCACTGAAGACCGTGCTGTTGCTTGCAGACCAGCTCATTTCTCGCTTCCAATATATTCATTCAAAGGGTTACATCCACAGAGATATCAAGCCGGATAATCTACTCATGGGAACCGGGACGCAAGGCAATATTGTCTATGTGATAGATATTGGTATTGCCAAAGAGATAGAATATAACGATTGGCATAAATACAAAATGGTCGGCACGGCACCATATGCCAGCATATGCGCACATCAGGGAAAAGGTTGGTGCAGCACATCATGTATAGGGATTTTCTAACCTGTTCTTGCAGAGCAATTACCACACGATGACATGGAAGCTCTTGGTTACGTTTTACTGTACTTGCTCAAAGGTTCACTTCCCTGGCAGGACTTAAAGGGCGATTCTGAGGAAACAGAGAATATGATCCTGGAAAGGAAGCTGGCAGCAGAGAAGGAGCGGACAGCAAAGGAGCAGTCCAACAAACACAGCCTTTTTTACGATGTTCCCGTCGAGTTCAAACAGTACTTTGAGCTCATTCGCCGAGACAAGAAACTGGACTATGGACGTCTAAAACGGTTGTTTCGCGGGTTGTTTCACCGCCAGAACTTTGAGTATGACCATGTCTTTGACTGGACTGTAATATTATTCCTAGAGAAACTGGACGCAGAGAAGCGGGAGTCAGAGGTAGCACAGAACTTGCAAGAGTCAGAGACAGAACAGGACGCGCAGGAGTCAGAGTAAACGACACATTGATCCTCTAAACCAAATTGTATCGTATGAATAGAAAAGCGACCCCAAATAAACACAATGACCAATGCTTGTGATACCTATATCCAGCATACTTGACTCATGAATGCGCTATATTTGATACTAAATATTACCCACCACTTTTCGAAATGTTGAAAGCAATGCGAAAGAGTTGCGACGAATTCAGTGTCTATCACAGCGTGTTGGCATGAATTCAAGCCACTTGGTCAAACCTGACTATGAATGGCAATCCACTATTCCTTCAGCGCTTGGACATGCTGGCATTGACAATCCATGTGCGTTGACGCCCATACGTTGAAAGAATATTGAGTGATAACTGTGGCTCCGGGTCGACGCCAAGGTCTCAACGGACCAATACAAGCCTTGTTCCAACACGTATAAAGAGATGGCTTTGTTCCCCGATCTAAAAGAGCTTTTTCTCAGGGCGCCCTTTTTCTGTCGCAACAAGTCGTAACAAGGAATGGACCGATGATGACAGCTTTCCCAATGGCAAGCAAGACTATTTCGAGAACTGAGGTCGACGACGCGAACGAGAAAGGGTAGCCTGTCAGTGTTGCGCAGTATGAGCAAGAACGATGACCAGAGCGACTTTTATGGTCAAAGCAAGGTTCCCATCATTGGTCGAAGCCTCAGATCGTCTCAAGGAGATACATCATTCCAACTTTCTCAGTGTTGAGTGAGATGGGAACTCAATAATGGGAATATGCAAACGGCGCAGCAATAACCAAGTTCGTTGAGGGAGCTCGGCTTAGATCGGTTGCCCAGAATATTGTGAAAAAAGAGCTGGCAATGGAGCAGTTGGACAACTATGTGGAGAGATGATGGCGGAGTTCAAACAAAGATGTTTTCTTTGATTAGAAGTAGCTGCTAACAACAACTTCGTCATTCTGTTCAACGGTCCTTTTCATCTTTGACTACGTAAGAAAATACTGCATACCAGGCGGTAGTAGTGGCCGTGACCTTGAGAATATGAATAATTCATCCTCTGCTTGTGGAGGCGGCATGTGGTAGCGACGAAAGAGTAGTCAATTGTCAGAAGAAGCGCCTCTCAAATTTGAATGGCCAGGGTCTTGATGATCGCCGTTTAAGGCTTGCATTGGTTTTACATTGCCAGCTACTCCCAGGAATTCGTATCTTTTATGTAGAATTCACAGACACTTGAATATAGAAAATCGTATCTCTCGTCAAGTACTGTTAGTTGGGAACCGCGATACCCCGTGGGTATAGTAAAAGCCTTGAGGCTGAGCAGAGTGCTTTTGGTATCATCAGTTCTTACTGTCTGGAAGTATGAAACAATGTCGCGAGTTCAACGCCCCTTTCATCTCGCGAGCTATTCAATGCTCATGCGATTTAGGCGTAATGGATATCATCGCTAAATCGACCAATAAATCCCACCAAACGCCCACATGTTGTCCCGTAATGTATTCATATATAGCCTCGTAATTTCAACCCTTCGAGTCGGTACTCTTTTTACAATGCTTAATGATCCAAGGGTGCCGTTCGATTTCCTCCAATGGTATACGTTTCTCGGGGTCGAGTACGAGCAACTGTGAGCAATCAGTATCAGTTAACTGGGATGGATTGTTGAACCTACCCTCTTGATCAGGTCTTTGGCCTCTGAACTGACAAAACTCGGTATTGAGTATTCTCCCCGAACAATCTTTCTCTTCGTCATCACTAATGAATCCTCAAATGGAGCCTCTCCAACCAGAAACTCGTACATCAAGACGCCCAAGCTCCAGAGATCTACCTGTTTGCTGTAGGAAACGCCCATACTGCTCAACATCTCTGGGGGCAGATAGTCAAGAGTACCACACAAAGTAGTGCGACGTGCATAAGGCGTATGAACAGACCACCCAAAATCGCTCATCTTGATCTCACCATAGATACCTACAAGGAGATTCTCGGGTTTAATATCCCGATGTATGATGTGCTTTCTGTGCAAGTACTTGAGAGCCGAGGCTGTTTGGGCAATATACTGCGCGGCCTTCCTTTCAGGAAAGCGTTGTTCCTTCCGAAGGTGCTTGTACAGCTCTCCTTGCCCAGCAAATTCTACAATTAAAAAGATGCGCCGAGAGTCATGGAAGTGGCCATACAAGCTTAAAAGGTTGGGATGCGCTAGGTGCGATTGAATCTCAATCTCTCGCCTCACTTGCTTCTCGAACCCTTCTTGCTGGATTTCTGCTTTGTGCAGAACTTTGAGGGCGCAGACGAACCCCGATGTTTTCTCTCTGGCGAGGTATACACGGCCGAATTTGCCTTTTCCTAGAGGTTTGCCAATGTCGAACATTCCGAGGTGCCATGCCCTCGGCACCGACGGGATCAATGCTGATTCCGTCGCTATATGGTAATGTGTTGCGCTGATCCTCGAGGATTGACCTAGGGTTGTTGTAACAGTGACTCTAGAGAGATTGGTAGAGAGCTTCGTTGCGTTTGCGATTGCGAGCTTCTGTAAAGCTAATGGTTGAAGAGCAGGCCTCGTTCGATTTGCTTTGGAAGTGGAGGACGATAGTTTGGTCTTGGACGATAGCTTTGTTGCTGTTTTCGAGTTTGAGGCCTTGCGAAGGTTGGAATTAATCTTAAGAGCATGGAGGCCATTTGGTACATACCTTTTGTGATGTGCGGCCATCGGTAGCAGCTGAGAGTGGATCTTCATTTTCATCTGTAACATGAATGCGCTCAAGCGCAGCACTAAGTTTTGCGATCTCCATTATGAGGTTGTTTAGTGCTATGGGGTAGAACGAGGAAAATGGGGTCTTTCGCGCTTACGAGTACCTATGGGTTGGGGTACAGCCCGTTGCTATGGGGACGCTGCTCACAAATGGCGGCTCGTCCCGTTCACGATCCGAACGGGCCGTGCACCACCTATCAGACTAGAATCATTTCTAGATCTACCCTTAATACAATAGTACGGAGTACAGTTACTAAAATGGCAATGGACTTCGCATTCATAGGGACCATTAATTTGAGCCCTGTTGCTGGATTCAACACGTGAATCTAGTAGCCGGGCTCGACGTCGAAAACTCGAGCACCAAAGCAGTGTTAAGCTAATATTACATATTCACCCGACAATACGAGCCGAATTATAGGTGATGAGTCAAGTACCGCTGGAAATTTGTTGATGTTTGCGAGTCGATCTATCTAAGTTGAGATTAAGAGGCGAGGAGAAAAATCCCTTGATCTCTCATCCCCCTTATCATTTTAATGTATCTCCATCTTTATCCTCGTAGCATACATCGCTCTATGCGTAACATACCGTCAGAAATGAGTGACTGTATATGGGATATCGCATCATCTCTATTGGAGTGAACTCCGTGAAGGTGACATATCCCGAGCAAGATAAATCTCGCCATATATGTCTGTGACATGAAACAACAGCATCAACTCCCTCATAACATCCTGCTTCACGTTCTTTCGAAGCTCTGCTAGGGATAAGTCGAGGAATTTTCGTTCATACTTCGCTATGACTAAAACCTCTTTCTTCGCCTGCTCAACCGCGGAGTCGCTTCGATGTGCATCCTTATCACTCTCCTGGGTGCCATCAAACTCTGGGAAGTCGACGCTATTCAGGTTCGCCTCTTCCTTGTCCCTTTCCACAGAACCGAAATCGTTGTGCTGTCTGCATATGGTGGCGAGATGCCTACAGGCATCTTCAAGCATGTATTTCGTTTTGGCTCCGGGAAACAGGTCGACAGGGGTCTTCCCTATTCCCGTTCGTGTACCATGTAAGAGACAAAGATAGAATACGAATGAATAGGGGCAGCTAGTATGGTTGGAAGATGTTGTGTGAACCCAGTTGTAGTAAGTTTCTTTCGGGAGTTCTCCATCAGAAAGGAGCTTGCAGTCTTCGATTTGCGTAATATGCGCATCGAGAAAGGCGTGTAAGGACTGAGCCAACCATCTTTGCAGGTAAGACGGGCTGCGAATCACCGAAGGATGTGTGAGGACGTAGGTCGTGAATGCGTTGATGGTCACTTCAACCTCGGCCAGAACGCCTTTGGAGGGCATTGTGCCATTTGATGTGCCGTTGTCAGAAGTGCACTCTTTTATTCCGTTCGTGTGGCTAGAGCCACTTTCAAACTGGCATGCATCCGTTACTGGACCACCGTTTATATGTGTACCGTTTGATCCATTCATCTTGGCCCGCTTATGCCCATATGGATTTGTTTCGTTGGTCTCGTCAGAGACAGATCCGTTCTGCTGACCATCTTTTTGTTCTCCTTTTCTCTTTCCAGAAACCCTGGTCGGTGATTTAATGGCTCTGTCGATGATGCGTCGAACTTCGGCTAGGCTACCATCTAACTTGTCCCCGACAACCATTTCCATATAAACATCTGCTTGATAGTTCAACATGGAGATCATCATCATTTCCCACAACATTTTACTGGAGACACCATGGTCTCGCACGTGATTACATCCGATCCAAGTCAGTGGGATCATGTCCATGTACTTGTGGCTCTTCATCTTTCCCATTTCAGGGAAAATGCGGGTCTGTCTGCTTTTGAGATTGGCGACGAAAGGCTGGCTTTGCATCATAGAGGCCTCCAACTTCCATTCTGGACAATTCTGAAAGGGTTTCAGTGCCTTAAAGAGTCCAGTGTACTTCGCAATATGGGCCGAGGACTTTGCGAAAGCCATCTCGTCGTCATTTACCAACCTCTCCCTAGGCCCACTTGCTTCAACGGCCGCGAGACAGTAGGCATTTGACAGATTGCTCGAGCTGTATGCAACCTTTTCGATCCACAAATACTCCGCTTCTGCCCACAAATTCTGGTGCTTGAGGAGATAACTCTTGCCTTTTGCAATGGAGGCCGCAGCCGTCGCTCGTATTGAATCTTTCCATGGCAATTCTACCAGCGATGACAGCGTGAGAATTGCATAAGCAGTCACTTCTCGCATCGAAGACCAGGATCCGTCCTCGTGCTGATGCTGGACCGTTTGAACATATACGTCTAGCAAAGTTGCCCTCACCGATTGCATTAAAGCCTCTAGGTCGGTGTCCGAATCGAGTTGCTTGAGTTTCCACGCCCTCAGTAGCTGTACAAAAGCTTGAGTAAGAAGCATCATGGAGTAATTCTTGGAGATGTTCTAGATTTGTAAGCAGCCGTAATCTACCGAAAAGGAGTGTTCACATACCCATTTATCTTGAACATTGCCACTTCTCCATGCATTATTGAGGAATTCAGCACACTTCAAGATCTGAGAAGTATATTTGGCGACGTTTCCTGATTGCAAGAGCGCTGCCAAAACATTACAATTTGCGCTGATGCTGGCGTTCCTTTCACCATAGTACGTGATGAAGTATGTTGATCTCTCGAACTCTGCCAGCATGGGCTCGAAGTCAATATCGCGACCCATTAGTCGTAGAGCTAGCAATGACTTAGATGTATCATCAGCGTCAGCTAGGCAATGTGGTGCTATGAAAAGTCAGTCGGTTTCAAACTCCATAGGCCCATACATTCTTACCAAATCCAACTCGCCAACCCTGCTTTTGCATCGTGGTATCGAGGTAGTCGGCAATTCTAGCTACATCCGCTCCTTCGCATTTTTGAATGGCTGCGGGAGTTCGGAGCAGTGTGGTAACAGCCTACGAGCAAAGGTCATTAGTTGACGATGATAATGAGCGTTTAGCAAGCTTACCCATGAGAGTTCGAACACGGGTGTGGGAAATGCAGAAGGGACTCCTCCCCTCCAGCCATTACGTTTTGAGTGCTCCACAACACTGCGCAGGTAGGAGGCTGCCTCGTCGTCCCAAATTGAACAGTTTATTAGATAAGCAGCAGTCGAAGATGGCGAATTCATCATCAAGCCGTTTGGAAGTTTATGATGTTTTATTGTATCAAAGTTCAAATTCCCAACGAGGGCGTCCAGTGAGTGAAGCAATGTTGACTGATGTTTCTCAACTGGAATTGGCCAGGTTTTCTTTATCCGTTTGCACCCATTGATGATGGTGTTTCTCGCCAGGCTCCTGGCGCTTCCTGTACGAGCGGAACGGGTCGAATACTTCCGGGTTGGGAGTGACTGCGGGATCCATGAGAATGGCTCCAGATGCACATGCAACTCTGGTCCCGGCGGGAATAAATGTTCCATCATGTAGTGTAATGTTCTTCATGGCAACGCGCTGAGGAGACACTGTGAGATTGTCAGCAAGTCCTTCCAAGAGCAGATATCGCTTCCGAGCACACTTACTGAGAACAGGTGGGTGAAAGCGTTGAGACTCCACTAAGAAGGAATCAAGCTTCTCTAGGCATGGCAGCCCGCGAGTGACAAAGTCGTCCCCTTCAAATCGGCTTGTAACTTCCTTGATCTCTTCTCGCAGAGGTTCTACAACCTCTGGATGTGCGCATAGATCGTAGAGAGCGTGACTAAGTGCTAAGGCTGTCGTGTGAATAGAAGCCAGCGTTAGGATCAGCTGCCTGCTTGTCATTTCTGCGGGTGTCGCTTCTGCACCGGTGGCATTGTCGACCATCCAATCAAGAATCGTTTCCTCCGATTTTTCTCCAGCTTCAGCTCTTGCTCGATGCTCGTTCATAAGTGCCGTCACAATCTTTGTAGCCTTTCGGCGATGGCGCTGGAGGCGATAACGCGACGGCATCAACCTCGCTAGGACGGGATGAGTGAATTGTGGAAACATTCTCAGCGAAAAGGCTGTCTGAAAAGTATCGAGAGGGTATTGGATGCTGAGATTCAACCATTCCTCATTGCGGGAGGTTCGTGATCCCAAAAAGACGGCGCCCGTCATTCGAGCAACGAAGCGACGCATAACGGCTTGAACATCCACCTCTACCCAACCTAGGCCAATATTAGGCCCATCTTATGTGAAAGTATCAAGTAGAACTCACCCTTTTCTTGGGGTAAAGAATCGTAGAACGTCTGGTCCAATTCCGCTTTGGAACGTAGAGTGTAGAAGCTGGTGCGTGGAGTGAGATGCGATTGCAGAGCTCTTGTGTGAAGATTGCTATTAATCACCACCGATGCATAGGTGTAGTGGCCAAGTATATTCTAGCAGGCTTGGTCAATATCATTGCGAATCCTCGAGGAGCATACATACTTGGTACTGCGCATGAACGTTGCTTAAGATTGTGTTTGGAAGCAGTCGAAGCTCCTCTAAGTATTTGTTGGATATCACCAACGTGTCACCGTCGATTCTTCGGATATAGAACATGCCATTCTTATACTTCTTCATGTAAGATACATCACGACTTCAGGAGTGCGCCCACGAACCTGTTCATAACCTCTAGTTAGAATACCCTTTGCGTTTGTGAGAAATCGCAATCTGACCAAGAAGGTCGGCTCGAACCACGATCGATATCCTGCAAAAGGCGCTTTGACGGAAGGGCGACCTTGAAAACAGAAAATGAAGAATAAGGATGCGAATGTAGGAAGTAGAATTTCAGTAGTAGTGATACTATGGAAAATTTCCTTGAGTAAGGAATTGGAGGCCAAATGAAACTCCATGATGTTTGTTTAGCTCTGATGATACCTCAAACCATGGGCTGTTGGTGCTGAGAGTTTTGTAGCTTGCAAAATACAAGAATTTACAATTGCCATATTGTTCTACATATCATGTGAAGATTAGAAATTCCGCAATTGTACGATCGGAGCCGGCGATCATTGCTGACGTCGACGGCCAAAATCTGACAGGGTAGGCATGTATGCGATAGCGTTGCCCTGCATGCATGTGCCGAGAAAGGGACCACTGGGATCTCTCGACCAAACAGATTGGATCATTACGAAGATTACGGGAATTAATCTATCCATTGTGAAGGTGATCGGGGGCGACACAGGCTTGTAATCTGGGAATGATGTCCCGCCTTGCGTTTTTGCTTCACTCAGGGTTCTACGTACTCGCGTCAAATAGTATTAGTGTTGTCAGCTCGACCCATCTGCATATGGTATTAACTCTTCGGGAAAGAAAGTTGCACAGATATCAAAGTCGGAACCAATCGCATCTATTCAGGGTTCATCAAGTCTCGCAGAACGCCGCGATTGATCAGCCACCTCCGAGGGTGGGACAATATCTTGACCTATCATGTTCATTATGCCCAACTACTCTACCGCAGACAGACCTGCTCGTCGCCGTAACCTCACTTCGAACGGCTGTCTCTCCACAACCGTAAATGTCCTTTGCTGATCCCACTGCAGCCTACCAGCCTCCGTATCGGCAGGCAGCAGGTCAAACCTCCAGACTAATCGAGCCAAGATCAGGCGCATTTCGACCCATGCCAGCGGTTTCCCTATGCACGACCGCGGTCCGACCCCAAACGGCTGAATGGCACTCAGCTGATCGTTCTCAAAACAAGCATCTTTTTCGTCAAGCCATCTTTCCGGGTGAAACCCTCCAGGGTCGTGGAATGAATCTGGCGACCGAGACACTGTTAACGCATGCGCATTGACGAACACGTCTTCAGGCAGCCGCTCGCCCGCGACTATGCCTCCTCCTGGGGGTGTTATTCGTGGTGCCCCGACTGGTCTGACTTTTATTAGCTATCTGTAGATCTGTGTACAGGTGGTCAAAACTTACGTAGGATTGCAAAGTCGCAATCCCTCGTTTAGGACCGCATTCAGGTACGGCAGGTCTCTAAGAACTGCTGACGTAAAATCGCTCTCATTCTTGAATGTTGCTCGAATCTCATTTTGCAGAAGTGCAAGCTTGTCGGGATTTTTCACCAAGAAATTCGTTGTACCACTGAGCACAGTAATGCTGGTTTCGCTACCTGCAACAATGAGTACAGCTGCGGTAGATTTCATTTCAGGATAGGAAAGGCCATTGACCCCCTCGTCGTCTCTTTTGATCATCGATATCAGGTCTGGCCTTTCTTTCTCCAGATTCAGGCGGCGGTTGATCTTGTCCTCAGCAAGTTTCCAGTGTTCCATCTGTTTCTTCATTATGTTCTTCGGAATGAAAAGGCTCATTATCCAGTTCAGAGCAGGATAGTATCTTAGCGAAACTCTGTATGTGGCTGCTCTCAGAGACGAAAAGATCATGGAACACCAAGGATGGTATTCAGATCTCTCTAGACATCCAAATGGCTCTCCAAATCCAAGATCTCCTATGGCATCAAAGACGAGGTAGCTGAGCCAACGAACAATGTCCACAACTGCTCCTTCGCTACTTTCTGATACAAGTTTGTCAAGCTGGGAGATGAATATTTGTAAATGGAAAAGAACGACTGGCTCCTGCATACGGACCGCTTTGTCGACAAAAGCTGGGTCCATAGCTTTGCGAAACCTCGAATGAACCTTGATATCCAGCGCATTGAGGACTGAGCTAGCCCTTCCTCCAGGTGCTCCATGCCAGAGCTGACTCTTTGGAAAGGCTGGGCGGCCAGGTACATTCGCATATATATCCTGCCAAGCTTCGGGTCTTGCGAACGAGATCTCATTAGGCGCGATGCGTACGATGTCGCCATAGCGGCGATGGATGTCGTGAACATCGCTATGTAGCCATCCTGAATACAGTGAAAAGACGTAGCTAGCTCGCGTGGCAGCCCATCTTTTCGGTCCGGGATATTTTGAGAGCGGGTGGAAGTATATGTTGTAGATAGCGTAGCTGAGGAGATACTAGCACACATGTTAGCATTGAGGCACACGCAAACTAAAATGACGGGTGCGTTTTGACAAAAGACATACTAGAATAAAGGCTGAAAAGGTTCCAAGTAATTTGAGTTCCCAGTGATGGAACATGCTACTAAGAACTGCCATGGCGAATGTCTTCGTTGCTTGATACCAAACAAATTAGGATGCGGCGTTGGTGAAGGATTTCGGAGGCAGTGAACATGTGTGCCTGCTGACTCATCAAGTTACACAAGGAGGCCAGGGCTACTTCCAGTTGGTTCTTATCATCTTCCAGGCCGTCCCGCATGTGAAGGTATATATTGCTTGATGTCCGATGACGACCTATTGTCTGGGATGCTGGGTTACGAGTAGCAAATGGGACCCGACGATCATGACCTGTTTGGCGCAACCCCCCGCAGTCATGATTGGGCTAGTCTCATGCATATCTACATCCAATTAGCAGTATGCCTTGCAGGAGCGACGTTAATCGAAATAATGAAAGCGCAAAGGTACATATGACATGACGTTGAATTGCGGCGCGGTTCGTCCCGCCCCCAAATCTACACCGGCCGGCTAAGTTGGCAGACTCAGCACGCTTATGTACGCGCTTGCGTTAGGCGGAAACGATAGCACCTACGCTAATTATTAGAGGTAGCTGTATTTGGTGTATGTACACACACAGTCGACTAGGTACCTCATTGTAGCTCAGGGCTGTATTCTCAGACACCCGGTATCTTGCGAGTAAAACATTCCAGGGTTAATATAAATCACCTACCTAGTAACATTGCCCGCGCTAGAAAGCGTAGGCGTACTTGGGGCTGTGTGAAATAGAATATCGAGGTCGTATACATCGCATGGGTGCTGAGAGCCTGAGATATAGAACATGTATTACCGTACCCATGGATATCTTCACCCACTTACCTGGAGACTTTTCTTCTGCCGAATATCACCAAATTATTTGTAGATACAAGCGCGAGAATGCAGCTGTCTTGTTTGCTTTTTCTACCTGTTTTGCTATCTAGCATTACTGCATTACCGACAAATCCACATGTTGATCAGTCATCACCCCTGTCAAGCCAACTCAACGCAACTGCCATCGCGCTGAACGCCTTAAATGAAGCTTCTCACGCAGAATTAGCTCTCTTTCAGTCTCGGCTTTCAAACATCTCGGAGGAAGTAGATGCACTCGCCGATTTCCCTTCAAACAGTACTAGTCCTGCAGAGAGAGCTCAAGTTGCATGCCAGGTGGCCGAATTATTGTTCCAAAATGTAACCACGAAAGAGGATCCAACGTATGATAGCGAGCGGGAAATCAACTGGTAGAGCACTCCGTTTGCACTTCTACGTTATCACAGGCTAATTATACCCACTTATGTAGGTCTCAGACGTGTTGGCTTCCGGCTGCGTGCTTCGTCAAACCTCAAAATGGTCTTGAAGTTGCCATTGCCCTTAAGTTGACTGCTCATATCAAATCAAAATTTGCCGTTAGGAGTGGTGGTCATAATCCTAATGCTGGCTTTGGTAGTGTGGATGAGACTGGACTACTTATAGATCTCCAACGCCTACAAACGATGGATTTGACCCCGGAAGGAAAGTTGAATGTCGGAGCTGGTGCTCGATGGACCTCGATATACGATTTTCTCGACAGTCATGGCTTAGGTGCAGTTGGGGCAAGAAAAAACGATATCGGAGTATCGGGGTTCCTTCTCGGAGGTAAGATCTTTAGTTTTCGAGCGGCTCTGCATCCTTTGTCAAACTTAGATCTAGAATCTAACCAGATTGCTCTAGGGGGCATGTCATTCTTTCCTAATTTATATGGCCTAGGTGCAGATAACGTGGAAAATTTCCGAGTAAGTTAACCCAGGTAGAGGTGTTGGTCCAACATTAGCATGTGCAAGGAAGGAAACCTAACACCCTTTAGGTTGTTTTAGCCAACTCTACAATTGTGAATGCAAATGCGACTAGTAATCAGGATCTCTTCAGGGCACTCAAGGGTGGCGCATCAAACTTCGGTAAGAAACCAGCCCTATGCTGTGGTCCTTTGCCTAATGAAATCGTAGGTGTTGTGATCGAGTTTCAGATTGCTACTCACAATATCCAAAACATATGGTTCTCGATGGATATATATTCTCCAGAGGACTATGAGCACATCATAGACACAACGATTCAAGTCCAAGCAGCGATGGAAGACGACCCAAAATTAGGCTTTTTTGTCAATGTCAACCCAGAAGGCATACTAGTGGGCAAATTCTACGCAGAGTGGAGCCCTTTGCCTGCAGCCTTCCGTGGCTTCAACACCATTGTTCCGATTCAGACCTTTGCTCCAGAAACAAATGGAACTCTGAAAGATCTGGTGTCAGCGCTCGACGCCATCTCTATGGTCGCCAAGTATGTGGTGTCCGCCACAATCGTCTAAAAATGCTTACACTGACACTTTGTTTAGACGAGAGCCCCATGTAGTAGGTTATGGCGTAGACCTTGACCTTTACACCGACATTCATGAACAATACCTTGGATTGCTTAACTCATCCAATGCGTCTTCAGCAGCTCTTTCGTATACAATTCAACCAATAGGCAGCGCTTGTGTCGAGGCAGGCAGGGAACGCGGTGGAAATTCTCTTGGGTTGGAGCTTGCTCCACAAACTTGTGAGTTTGCGCAACACAAATGAAGAAAAAGACTGACTTATTTGATAGGGCTCGGTATACTCGTGGAGTGGACATCGGACGCAGACGATATCAGTGCCCACAACATGGTTAATTCGATGGGCGCGAATGTCAAGGCTATCGCAGAATCCAGAAATACTTTACTTGAATACCAATTCATGAACGACGCTTCGTATGTCCAGCAACCGATACGAAGTTACGGATCGGAGTCCTTCAAGGCAATGCAAGCCGCCAGTGCGGCTTATGACCCTGAAGAAGTATTTCAGAAGCTGCAGAACTCAGGATTTCTATTGTCTCGCTCTTAAGTGTAAAATTATTGTTTAAAATAATATGTAATCAAGAGGCTGTAGTATATACTGTATTAGGATGGTGTCATTGATGGGAGATGAGCTATTGTAGTTACATGGCTGAGAATCCAGGTTGCGCGGGTGTGACCACCAAGTCGTCAGCTTGTACGACCGACAGGCCGGAACAGCTACTTAGCAAGGAAGGCAACCAACCAATCCCTTCTTGTTTCTGGTATCATGTTCTGTTATCTAATGTTCGCATGTAGCATAGGGAATTTGATTGGGAGATTGGCTGTGCAGATAGGCTGGTGCATTGAAATGACATCGAAGGCGTTCCCTATATACCTAACCCCACATAGGCAGACATAGGTTCTCCTAGCCTCATACATCGTTGAAGTAGGCACAATTATTGTTCAACCTATCTTATTCTTTTACAGGCGGTAGCTCTTGATCTCGGGGTCCGATCAAGCAAAGTTCTTGGAGCTGAAAGACTTCGTGCATTGGATCGATACGTAAAATGCGACGCAAATCCTTGCGACTTTCGAACAAGTGGACCGAATCTGGGAGCAGCTCCTAGGAGTGGCTAGATCGATTTCTCTTATATTATGTGTATTGTTGGCCTGCTTATTTCCTGGGGAAAACGGCAATAAACCATGTGTCGGGAGAGCTGCGTACAGTGGATGGGCGTTTAGCCAATAATCGATTGGCCCGAATCTCACACATTCATATGGAGCCATGCCGCCAAGGATTACGCGCAGCAATGTATCCTATGCAATCATTTCTACACTGGTCAGTTCCGAAGACGATCACTCAGAAATGGAGTTCCCGAAAGCAAGGGATCCAGTAGGTAACTCGCCACTGTAACTGAACTTGACCATATGGGCGGCCATTTCCATCAGCCTTCTGTCGCATTTCCTATGACCTCCTCCTCTTCCTCGTAGCGTTGTTTTTGTTCCTCAAGTCGGACGTGGACGCGCAATATTGGGTTCACATTCTTCAGTATCATTCTTCATCATGGGTTCAGCGTCGTCAGTCCCAGCGGACTATGAGGAGCCGGCGCGCGGTATCACTGCCTTTTTGATAGTGCTTACCACTGTGGGAATTTTCGCAAGACTGATTGCCAGGCGCATTCAACGGGCAGAGCGAAGTGTAGATGACTATCTGGCTGCTCTCGCCTATGTAAGGAGAAGCAAAATGTTGACATCTCATCTGAACAATGCTAATGTCTCCTAGCTGGCTAATTTGGGTCTTTTAATTACGCTTCTACTGGGTAAGTCTATCACAAACTAGACCATTTACCCATGATGAAGTGATGCTAATATCCAGTCAGTTGCGGATGTTGGGGGCGTTTCGTTGACCAGGATGGCGAAGATGTCGAAAGAGGACCAACGCTACTTGAAAGATGTAAACTCAACCAAACATCATGCGCATCGAAATTACTAACTCGGGCACAGTCGGTAACCGCTTTGGCATTTTTGTACACATTCGCTATAATACTTGTCAAGCTTTCCGTCCTGTTCATGTATCGCCGCATATTCACCATGAACGAGAAATGGTTCCGAATAGACTGGATGGGCGAACTTCATACTTCTATTTCCATGCTACACCGTTACGGCATTCACCCTTACCGCATGGCAAGTCGCAAACAGCCAAAAGTTTGGAGCCAACAACGTCAGCAAGTATGCGTCCTACGTCATGGGTTCAGTGAATGCACTCTCCGACGCACTCATTCTACTTCTTCCAGTCGCTATGGTGTGGAAGCTGATGCTTCCGATAAGAGAGAAGTTTGCAATCACAGGACTGTTTGGGCTTGGTATGATGTAAGTACATATTGGATTTTGGCCGAAGTCACCACGCGTCTGGTCTTTGACTAACCGTTGCTGGCAGAGCGACTGCGATATCAATCATGCGAGTGGTCCGATTCGACACCAAGAGAGAGGAGCACTGGAACCCCGCATACAGCTTCTACAACGACATGTTAACTTCAGCATCTGAAACGTCAGCCGGTCTGCCGTGCAGTTGTCTCACCATCATCAAGCCACTACTGCGAAGGACGAGAGACATCGCAGTCTCCAGTGTCACAGGACTCACGAATCTGCTCTCCTCAGGTTCAGGCTCACACGGCCGATCGACAGCCAGTGGGTCGAACTCGGTTCGAAGCGACAACGTCAGTTTGCATTCAAGAAAGCAGCATGAGGGGGGTATCACGAAGATCCATCAATACAACATCGATTCCGACTCTTTGCCGCCTGGAAGTAGCCAAAGGGATCTTGGGATGAATCACATTCATCCATGGGAAACGAGAGAATCAAAATAAAGATTTATTTGGTGTTTAAAGTTAGCTGCTATGTATAAGGCGCATTTGGGGAGACCCTTGGAATGGGTTTAGGGTCAAGTTTCTAAAAGATATAGGAATATCTCACAAATAGTGCATATGAAGATTTTCCTGCATCGCATATCCAAAAAAAATTGCTTGGTGCTTACGGGTGGATAGGTAAAACAGCTTTGGTCCACGTAAAATCAAATATGAAGATTATAGAACCACATCGCATCTTCCTGTTCCAATATGGCAAGTTGGAATTGACGATGAAAGCTCCTACGTATAGTGTGTGATTTTGCTCCCCAAGCTCAAAACTATTAGGTTAGAGTCTTTTCTGTACAGAAACAAATGATATTCAAGCTCGTGGAGTATTGGGAGACTTTGATGTTGATACACGTGAAAGTCGCTTGGTGGCCTTATGACTCCACTATTGGCGACACTCGAATGTATTTCGGCAGCCGAAGGGACGATCCCAGGCGATTAATTCGCCATGTTTGTGTCTTAGCAGGGGCAGAGATTCAACATTACGCAAGGATATATATTCAAGGTCCCGATTGTGTGGAATCACCGCAATGACACTGCAGTAGTGGGGCGAGGTTGAAGCTATGACGCCGATCTCTTTGTCACTCAACGTCGTACCTACTGAAGCCTGAAGGGCCGCAGTTGCCTTTTAGGATTTTACCTATTTGTTAAACTGGCCTTTACTTCATAAACCACGTTTCTCCTCACAACAACATACACACACATACGAGATCTCTACAACATGGCTCCTCCGCAATTTACCTATGGTGCTGGAAACTTGTCTTACGATTGGACGCCAGATACCATCAATGATCTGGCTAAAGCATTGAAGGAAGCGGGAATTAACCGCGTCGACAGCGCGGCTATCTATCCGTTCACCGATCCTGGCGGCTCTGATCGCTTATTGGGAATCGGCAAGTTTCCTGAGAAAGGCTTCACTGTCGATACGAAAGCCATGGTCTTTGGTGATGGGAGTGGCACGATGACGGAGGCTGCCATTGAAAAGTCTCTTTCTGGCAGTCTTGAAGGATTGAAGATTCCAAAGGTAAGACCCGTATCTCAGATTCTCGTAGTTGCAGCAAGTTGACAAATATAGGTCAATGTGTTCTATTGCCATTCACCTGACAAGCAAACACCCATCGCCGAACAAGCCGCTGCTATGGATGCAGAGTACCGCAAAGGCCGCTTTTCCCACCTAGGAATATGCAACATACCAACTGAAATGCTTGAAGAGTGGATTCAGGTTGCAGAGCAAAAGGGATACGTCAAGCCCTCTATCTACCAGGGCCAATACAATTTGCTGTCTCGGACCTACGAAACTACGCTTTTCCCACTCTTAGAAAAGCACGGCATCAACTTTGCCGCCTTCAGTCCGCTTGCATCAGGTTTCCTAACGGGCAAACTCACATTCGCCAAAGGATCAGAGGACTAGCAAGGTACGAAATTCGAGGTGTCGGACACCAATTTTACTGGAATGCGATACAGAAGTTTCTACGACAAGCCGGCAATGCATGAAGCGATACGTCGAGTAGCACCTACATGTGAAGCGCACGGGATAAGTCTCGGAGACGCATCGATTCGATGGCTGTTGTACCACTAATATCTCAAGGACGAACGAGGGGACAACGTTATCATCGGGGCGAAGAACTTGCAGCAAATAGGTCAATATGTTGCTGCTAAGAACGCTGGTCCTCTACCCGATGAAGTCGTGGAAGCCTTAGACGGTATCTGGGAAGACGTGAAAGAGGAGGCAAAAGCGATTGTCCAGTATTGAAGATCGATACAGTTGATTTGACGGAACCGAGCAAGAGAAGCAATCATTGCGCCGGAATTCAGGGTATTCGTGAAGTTCAAAACCTGCAACAACTTCATCAGAGAGCTGGAATCGCAGATCCGCCTGCATCTATCTCTTCAGTAACACGGAAAAAGCCATAACACTGTTTTGATGAGGGGCGGACTGACCGCAACGGGGAAAATCGAGAAATGCTGAATTGGCGAGTAATTAAGCTACCATATAGGTAGTTAGAAGCTGCTTCAATGTATTATGAACCTGCTCAATCTACGATGCCTAGGGATGTGATGTAGTGGAGATTGGAGGGCTTTGGAAAGCAAAGCATGCAATTACACACCATTGCTATGAAGCTAGTATGCACGATCCTTTCTCTCGACGGCCGAAGTATCGTCACTATGTTTCGGTTCGAGGGGGAAAAGTCTGTGGAGGTATGTGGTTGTCCTGCGCTGGAAGGTGAGTTTGATCGTACCCGCAAGAGCTTTGAAGCATTAGTAATTCTTTATTGAGGTGAGGTGTAATGCCAATCTTCTATCGATCTATATCACCAGCAATTACCAATCCTCTATGAGAAGAAGGAAGGATTGCGCTCTACACTACCGAGCTGTACTACTGCATGAGTCTAAGACGATATCCAGAATCAAAGTTGGTTACCAGTTACCAGGCTCAAATCATCACCGATCACTCATTCCGTGCCTTCGTCATCGTTACAGAGTACATTGTACACATATCGATCAATCGAGACGGAAATGAGATGATTCAATTATTGGATGGGACGGCCGAGACTGGATTGCGTAGGTTGATTGCGTCAGTGCCTGAGGATTGTTGGTCGTGGATGCGTCTCAAACTTCCAGGCAGCAGCTTTTGAAGGGAATGCAAATGAATTTATTATGGTTCGAGGTTCGTGGGGATGCCGTCACTCTATTATTGGTTTGTTTGGTCTGAGAGTGCTCTGCTCGTATCTAGTACTCAGCCACACACACACTGTACTTTGATTGCAACTAACCCGTGTACAGACTAGTCACACGTGTTACATCAGCCCTACCGTAATAGGCTTTGCTTGCGAAAATCGACTACCTACGACGACTCAACGAATCCGACTGGCTGCTAATTGTTCTCCTCTCCCTTCTCATTCTCCCTCGTCTCGCCTGAGCTGAGAGAAACCAACGAGGAAAAAACCCCTCTCGTCACTCGCGTGGCCGTTGCGTCTTTTGCCTATCTTAACCACCCGCCCAGAGACGGCCGGACGTTCCGCTTCCTGTGGCTCACGACCATGTATCTGTTTTCGCTCTCTTTGTACCGCCATTCTTCCTCTCATTCGTCTACAGGGCTGTGTATCGTTGCTGACTACACCTCGTACTCCTGAGCGACCTTCGCACGCTCCTCCGGTCCACTCAAAACCTTGAGAGTCATCCTACCCTTTTCGCCGTGGCGCACTCGAGCGACCCTCCCAGCTTGTTGGCAAGGACGCGTCCATCCAGTTCACCACCCCTCCAGGGTCCTTGGAGTTTCAATCGTTCTGCTCCTTCTCGTTTCTAGGGTGATCTCGCTTCTAGAAAGTAAGAGAAGAACGGGTCGTGTCCCCTTCAATTTGTGTCCAGTGGTCAAGTAGGCCTAATGATATTCGTGTGCTCGAGAGGCGGAGCGCCTGTCCTTTGATATTGATCTCACTACTACCACACATCCGTCTCTACTTCTGGTCGAACACTTCATTCGGCAATTCACCCTATATAGCAAACTTCGCTCACGCCCCCTTCCTGGATACCTCGTCAGGCTACTAAGAAACGAGCGACCACCTTGTATCAATTCCAATTTCTCTTTGTGGCGCGCCTGACTAATCCAGCTCTCTGGTGTGGATTCAATCCCTGGGAACCATTGTGCTTCAATACTCTTCAAAATGGTTTACACCGGGAAGCCCAGCCGGGGCTGCCAGATGTGCAAGAGCCGCAGGATAAAGGTGAGTTTAATCTTCCACCCTGTCCCTCTAGTTCATGTGTTGTATGCAAGCTACTTGCGTAATTTCTTGGACATTTCCGTCTTGAGTTGGCGTTTGGTGGCGACTGGAACCACTCCTTCGCCTCATGTACCATATCACCGTCGCATGACCTCTCGGGGACGAGGCTTGTTTGCATTGATAACTAATCAGAAAATCCTAGTGTGACGAGAAACGTCCAACCTGTGGGCAATGCCAAAAGTCTGGCCGTACCTGCCCCGGGTATCCCGACGAATTTGATCTTGTCTTTCGAGATGAGAACAAAGCCATGGAAAGGAAGGCGAGGAAGGCTTCAGGGAGCTCGACCGCGAAGACTAACACTGATTCACAACAAACCTCTCCCATAAAGTGAGTCTGGTTTTCCTAAATTGTACTTGTCTGCGTTGATCTTCAGTCGCTGGGTTTCTATGATATTATGCACCTATTAGGGAAGAATGATGGCGGAACCAACATACGTCGTGTGCCTAATAACAGGTATTACCATACAGAGGATATGGATTACCCGTTGTGTCTTTCCCTGTTGTACCGAGAGTGCGCATGCGAGGCTCCGGAATTGGAATCCGATGTATATCGCAAGATATACCATATAGATCAACGGCTATAAGCGAGTGTACGGCCCGTCTCCGCTGCAGCGGATACCTTGGATCCGGACATGACTTTCGTTATTTACCGGTAGTTCGATTGTCGTTCGACTGCTGCCATTGGCTTGTTTTGTCTATTGTGCGATTTTTTTGCATGTGACAGCGTTTTTTGGGATTCACCACATACTGACTTGGACTAGTCTCTCTCCGAGCTCCACCTTCGAGATATCACCTGGCACCAGCCCGTTTAGGTTCATAGAAGCGTCGCCTTCAGAGTCGACAGACTTCCAACTCATAACCATGCCATCGCACATTATGCCTCCAGATGCAGCATCGTTTGATGCATTCATGTGGAGTTTAGAACACGATGTACCTCCCGTTATATCACTACCCCCGGATTTTGAAGCTGTACCATTCTTCTTTAAGAACTTCGTGTCCTTGCCGCAGCAAGCAGATACAATGAGGGGGTACCTCGAACTTCTTGTACCTCTATATAACAAAGCTCGACCTTCGTCGGCTCTACATCTAGCGACCAATGCTGTTGCACTCGCCGCATGCTGCAACTACCCCGGCAAGGAAGAATTGAGGAAAGAAGCTATAAGCACATACGGAAAAGCATTGAGGAAACTTAATTCTGATCTGAAAGATCCCGTTGCTTCAAAATCTGACGAATCCATCCTTGCTACGCTCTTGTTCAGCTTATACGAAGTAAGTACAATACTATCTTGAGCACGACATCTATCTCGTCATAGGCAGAGATGTCTTCCATATGCTCGCGCGCGTGCTTACGACAGACAGACTATCATGTCGACAGACGATACCATTACTGCCTGGGGAAATCACGTGGATGGTGCTGTGGCGCTGACGAAGATGAGAGGACCTGAGCAGCTTAAAGACCCGATGTCACACGACGTCTTTCGAGCTGTCCGAACGATGATGGTCTGTAACATTTCTCTATATTCAGTTACATTAGCTGACTCCAATGGTAGATCACAAGCTGTGTGCAACGCTCTAAACCAATAGAAACCTTCCCCGGCGAGACAGGCTGGGTAACCAACGACATCAATGACGAAAATGCCGCCAACCGGTTAACACTAATATGCATGGATCTACCTAACATCCGCGCGCGAGCAAATGCTCTCACCGGTACGTTATACGACGCAGCACAAGAACTTGAGGCTCGCGACATCCTCGAATACGCCCAAATGGTCGATACCAACCTACAACAATGGTACGACACGATCCCCACCGAGTGGCAATACCGCACTGCGGGCATGGAATACAACAATCCAGATGACGTCTCCGAGATGGAAGCATGGCCAGGCCCCATTCACGTCTACCACGACGTTTCCTTGGCGAGCATTGTCAACGACTACCGCGTCTGCAGGATCTTCTGCCAGCGTGTCGTTATGGCCTGCGTCACATGGCTCAGTTTCGGAGGTAACTACCTCTCCGCCACGCAGGCGTACAACAGCGCAACCTTCATTATCCAGAAGATGGTGGATGAAATCTCGGCGTGCGTCAAGTTCCACATGTCCTACGACATGCAACCCGTAGCACAGGAGTTGCAACTGGAACCAAACGGTATGTTCTCTTTCCTCTCTGCATGTTGCCCTTCCTCCTGGCTATCACATACTAACAGGTTGTCCCAACAGCGGCCGAAGCATTCGGAGGCTACTCCCTCGTCTGGCCCCTCTACGTCGCCGCAAACGCCGAGACCGTACCCCAACGCCAGCGCGACTGGCTCTCCGGCCGCCTCTACACCATAGGAACGAAGTTCGGCCTCAATGCCGCACAGGTTCTTGTCCTCGCCAGGAGACACGTTCTCACATGCGGTCCGATGTTTCCCTAACCGAGCGAGCGAACGAGACAAACACACAGAACTACCTTACCTCACTCACGTCTTGCGATCACTCGTATTGACCTAACAATCCATTATTCAGTTCGAATGCCGGATCTAATACAAAGGACCATGGTGACGGTTTCGCGATCACGTCCATGTCGCATGCGTTTTGCCCATCCCGCAGAGGAAGGCGGGGAATTAATAACCAGGAGGACAACGACGACGACACGGAAAGACGCATTCCTAACAATCTCTTGAGATATCCCATTAATAATCTACTTCTTGTACATGATTACACAGTTAAGTACCAGGTGGGGGGGGCCATCCCTGTAAGACTACAATATATGGCGGAAGCCGTCTTCTTCTGCTTCTCTTTTCACCAATTGGCGAATATCTTTTTCGTGAGTAATAGGGATGGAAATGCGAACGATATGGGATCTTTCTTCAGAACAAGAGTGGCGGGTAGAAGACATTACGATAGCGTGATCGCCAATGCTATTCGTTTAGTGACGAATATTCGTTCATTGTTTTCGCTTCGTCTATATGCACCAACGGGACCCGGCAATGTGCAACGAAACAAAACTAACGCAGGCTAATATTGAGACGAAGTACAAGCATACTGCCGTTATATGACTACGGAGGACGAATGCCGATGTCCACGAGCTAGCAAACAGGAAAAGCCGCGGTGCCCAGAGAAACCCAGACGCAATCACCGAAACCCCACGAGCACGAATCCCCAGACGACGCGATTCCAAGCATTCACCAGCCATACAGCCCACCTCACCCACCTACAAAAGAACACTACTCATCTTTACTCTCGACCGCCTCCGCCTTCGTAACCGGCGACAGCCTAACCATCAGATCCGGCTTCTCCCACAGCGTGAACACTTTCTGTCCGTCCAGCCAGCCCTTGCCGTCCTTATCTCCGCCGTTGTCGACGAGCTCGAGGTCGAAGTTGAACAGCATCTGCGCAAGTATGAGGCGCATTTCCGCGTATGCTAGACTGTTTCCGCCATCTGAATCAGTGCTTCTGTCTTCTGAAAGAACTAGGGGAATATACACAAAAGAAATGAGGCAGGAAATGGAAAAGGAGATGGGGAGAATGTAAAACGTACTTCTTGCCTAGACAACTCCGCGGGCCGAAAGAGAAGGGACTGTATGCCGCGCGATTGTCGTTCGCGTACTCAGAGGATGGATCCTTGGATGCGAGCCAGCGTTCGGGGGCGTAGACTTCTGGGTTTTTGAAGTTGCGCGGGGAGAGGTTGGACGCGTGCTGGGAGACATAGACGGAGGTCTGTTGATTTCGCTGGTCAGTTTGTGATCCTAACATCCAGGACAAGTGAGGGCAAAGGGGCAAGGATGAACTAAGTAAGATGGGAAAGAGAAAAACATACACCACCAGGAACATAAACCCCCGAAATCGTATCCCCACCCGCGGGCACGACACGCGGAAACCCCGTCGGCACAGGCGGATAAATCCTAAGTCCCTCATGCAAACACGCATTCAAGAACTCCAACCTCGCAACCCTATCCATCGTAATCTCCTCCGCTGCCCCAAACGCGCCCCTCACCTCCTTCACAACCCTCGCATGCACGCTCGCGTCCCGCAGAACCAAATACGTCGTCCCGCTCAGCGCGGTGGCGCTCGTCTCGCTGCCGGCTACGAGCATGATGATGGCATTGGAGTCGATTTCGTCGCGGGTGAGCGCCTTTTCCGGCGCGGACTGGTTGTGCAGGATCGCGGTCATAAAGTCTGGGCGTGTCGGGCCCAGTGCGATGCGGTCGGTTACCTTTTGGCGGCTGAGGTCGAAGAAGTCCTTGCGCATGCGGAGGACCTTGTTGGCGTGGTTGGGGTTGGTGAGGGAGAGGAGTTGGTCGTAGTAGTAGAAGATGGGGAAGTGGGTTCGCGCGGCGATGAAGGCGACGGCTTTGACGGTCGCGAAGACGAGGTTGACCCACGGGTGGTAGCTGTATGTCATGGTCAGTTTCCAATCATCTCTTTCTCTATCGGCCACGGCATAGAGTCGTGGAGGAATGGCCAGGAAAATCCGACCCAACTTACCCCCTATCCCGCAAACAGTACAATGGCTCCCCGAACATCAGATCCGCGATAACATCGAACGTCGTATAATTATACCACCGCATGACATTCACCTCGCTCCTCCCCTCCTCCACACACTCCTTCAGCCTCTCCACCAACAACCCCACATACCCCTGGATAATCCCCTCCTGCTCCTTCAACGCCTTCTCGCTAAACGCATGCGACAAGTTCCTCCGCATCCGCCCGTGCGTCTCCTCGTCCGACGCAATGATCGACCACGTCTTGTTGAGCGGCAGCGGGAACCACCTCCGGTCCTTGAGGTACGCGGCGGACGTGAGGTTCTTCTTGCCGTTCTTGCTGCCGCCGCCGTGGTGGAACCCGTAGATGTCTTGCCAGGCCGTCTCGCCGGATATGAAGGAGACTTCGTTGGGGTTCACGCGCACGGCGTCGCCGTAGCGGGCGTGGGCGGCGAGGAGCCAGGGGGCGACGGTGCCGCGCCGCATGCGGAGGTTGTAGGGGATTCCGGAGGCGCGCGACCAGAAGGGGCCTGGGATGTGGTGGAGGGGGTGGAAGTAGAGGTTGTAGATGCCGTGGGAGATGGTGTAGATTATGCTCTGGTGCGGTGGGTTAGTGGAGGGGGGATTGAGGGGGTGGGGAGGCACGCACGACAGTGAGGAAGATACTGGCGGAGAGTGCTATACCGGCGAGACTGAAGATGTGGAAGTCATCTGGTAGGAGGTTTGTTGATGTAGCCATGGTGTTGAAGTGAAGATATCTCGTAGAAGTCGAACAGGTGTAGTAGCGTTGGGGTGAATGATATGATTCAAGTGGCGAAGCTCCACCTTTTCAATGTATTCACGAACAAGGTTCGCAGGATAATACCATGTCTTCCCCTCACAAACCGGCCCTTCTCTTGTACTTATATCCCAACCCGTGCCACAATCTTGGTGCCGCAATCTCACACGTACCATCATGTCAGCGCCAGCACTTCGTCCCAAAATGTCTCTAGAGGCTGTGTTGTTATTTCCTGTCTCATACCCGTTGCATTTGAGCATTTTAGGAATTTGTTTATGAATCGAGATCTGGTTTGACCAATGTGCAGGGAGTAATTGGTTCACCATAAAACGACGCTAAGATACGATGTTGTGGTGAGATGAAGTCAAGTTGTCGTTGGTGCTGACGATAGCTATCTTAGGTCGCGCGTTGTTGCTCGCTTGTGATGATTGAGATTAGGAGATGCTTGAGGTGAACAACGTTATCACAAGCTGGAGATATTTTCCGAAAGGTTCCTGTGTCTGTTGTTTAGACATGTCTCCGATGCGCATACGTTTGGATAATCTAGATCCGAAGCCTCCGTCTCCTTTTCCGGGCTCAATTGCATCATGTTTGTTTAGACGATGGTTCAAGTAGTTAGAGGAAGGAACAGATCTCGTACCTACATCAGGCACAGGCATTTGCTTTCGAGTAGTACTAGAAAAGAAGTAGTAGCAAGACAGTAATACTACTCCTTCGCCATTCAAGCCCCCTCCTCCAACATACAAGCAATGATTCCAGTATATGCGTTGCTCGTACCGTTACCCTATTTAGGCAATGTCTCACCAAGTACCACGGCGCAGTCGACACGTCAACAAGGTCGATTGGGCGCATGTACTCTACTTAAATGCCTGTATTATATCTATACGTCTAAGATATTCCGTAGTTGTGTCATTTTATCCCTATGTACTTACTCGTGACTCGTGATGAAGAATATATGCTCAACACCCACGGTCACGTGCGCAGTGAAGAGCAGTGAAGAGCAGTGAAGAATGCCAGAATTAAGTGAAGAATCTTGGCTTCAATCGACACATTTTTGCAACACTTACCCGATTAGGCAGGTTGGACAAAGGTTCACAGTGAAGCCGATGTCCGCCGATTGAGGCATTGTTATTCCCGTCCAGGAAAACAGCATCGCGCGAGAGTTAACAATAGAAAAATTCATCCAGAGATGAAATGGGATAGGGTAACAAGTGCTGATGCGGAAATATCAATGGGGGGAATGATGTAAAGAGCTGACAGCGGATGAGGGTCAGCGCTTGAAATCATGGTTCCGCGCGATGTCGGACTAGTGGCAAGCTGAGCTGAAATTGTTTCCTGGAGCTACGAGTATGAGGATTCACGTCGGAGAGTTGTGAGATGTAAAAGGTAGAGTGCTACTCGTAGATCGCTGCGAGCTCATCCGAAAAGTCGCTCTTTATTCACAGTTTAAAGCTCATATAGCCTATTTGTCGTCGTCATTGGGCTAGGTTCTGACGCAGATGAACCAATGTTAGCGACTGCAATTACGACAACACAGATATGAGCATTGTAGAAGCGAAGTGATGGGAATTGAGTGGTTATTTCCTGTTTACTCCGGAGATAAATCAAAATTGAAACGCTATCCGCAAGCTCATTAATCGTGGTTTTCAGATACGGCCGCTTTCCCCCATGTCAGCACTATGGTCGAGCACACCGCGAGTAGTGGTAGGTACTCGACAATCATACTCGATCCAGTCCCTCGCCCCGGAGCCTTTCATGACCGTATCTTGAACTTTTTTGGGGGACAACTGCTGGCTGGAGTATGAGGGTTTTCATGGCCTTATCCAATCCTTTCGCTTTTGTGGGTTTCATCGAGTCAAAGGCTCACAATGCTCCCCGAGCCGAGCAGATCGAATGGAAGATAATTGTTATATACGCTGGGCCGATCGACTTGTGCCTGACACATACAAAGCCCCCGCGACCCATACATCACAAATTGTATATATCCAGCCATCCCAACACGTCGAATTTACTTGGTAGAAGCGGATCGCGAAGCAGACGGCCTCGGGCTCGTCCACGAAGAAGAGCGGGAGCCGGTAGCGAATGAAGAAGTGCGCGAGTTGGCAGGACTCCTAAAAAGGGCAACGAATTAGTCGATTGTTCCTATAGTGTGTACTCCCGCGCACAACCCATGAATCCGAAGAAAGAATATCAAGCGAATGCGACAGCGAAAGGCGGAGGAAGATAACTCACGATTTATTCGAGCCAGTGCCGTCTTGGGCGGCATTCCACGTCTTGACGAACGCCCGCTGAGTCTTGTCGGCGTACTTCTCGGCGCTCATCTCTTTGACGCCCACGCGGGCTCCGTCCTTTGTGAAGACGACGTTCTTTCGCTCGAGCTTGTTCTTGCCGCGATCGGCGAGTTCGTTGGTGTATAGGTAGATCTGCGCGATGCCGCATTAGTATGCGCATGTCATTGTGTGAAGGAAGTTGGAGGTTCTTTGGTCATGCGAGTTACGGCATGTGATAGGGAGGCGTACCTGGTATCCGATCCAGCCAGCTCCTCCGACGAAGAGGAAGAGGATACACAGAGGGATCAAGTTGCCAATTGCGCCCATGTTGACGATTCTTTTCGGGTGGTGTTTGAAAGCTGAAGGTTGCGGTGGTGAGGAGTGACGTAGGAAGGGTTCGGTCGGGGAGGTGGTAGAAGTAGTAGATGGTAGTTGAAAGTGGTGGGGCAGATGGCGTTTGTCAGGGTAGAGCAGGGAAACCAGGTGATGTGACGTTGAAGATGTCAAGTGACGGCGGATGAAGGGTACGAGTATATATTGAACGGCGACACGTAAGGCTAATAAAAGAAAGAAGAAGACAAGAACAGTAGTAGTACAAGAAAAAAAAGCGATGCAGCCTATGTATGTACCTAGTAGATCGGAAGAGGCGGTGTTTGACGATCAAAAAGTCCAGAATAACTAATTACTGTTGGGACTAAACAGGAGGGAGATGCCGCACGGGGACATACGCGATGGCGTTCAAAGGTGAAACAAACTCCTTCCCATCCACCAGCTGACGGGGCGAAGGCGGCGCGGATTCGTGAGTCGTGCATCGTGATTAGCAGCCATTCAAACATTCGCATTCACATGAAACATGACACCTTAATCAATCGCTGTGCCTCGCCTCGCTCTGCAATAAGAGCACCAGCCAGCCTTGTGAATTGCTCGCGTGCTTGGCTGGCTTCACCATCACGGGCGGGCCGTTACCTTAATATGCCTTTAACTTGGCTTGTGATTATTATTGCATTCTCTCTTGCTCCCATCCCAATCCAGAATCATCAAGCATTTTGTTTCACAATTCCAGTAATTGACTAAAAACCTTTGACACTTCCGGTCGTGCTTCGTATCCCGTATGGGCAATTAAGTAATAAGATACCCACAATTCCAAACCGAAACCAAAAGAAAAAACCCCACCTCTCCGGAAGAACCATTCCATACGAACCATTCACATCTATCGAACACGCGTACTCCGTGCACTACCTTCAATCGATAATTCAGTATCTCCGTAGCCAGTAGACAACCTCAACTCCCCTAGTTCATTTAAGGGGTAGCTATCGAACATAGCATAGCAATCCATCCCTGGACAAGGCTCGGGCCCCAATCTCCAGCTGCCCCCAAACTCCCACAACATCGCATCTGCATAGTAGGTACGACCGTACGAGTAGGATATCGTTCAAGCTATCAAGAACCCCCAATGATGATCGCCCCCTAGAACAAATCCTACAAGGCAGCTTTGACGCTTGATAGCCTACCATAACCTTCCTTTGTATATGTTCATTCATGCGTGCGAACATGAGACAATCACACACATCCTTGGTCTGTAAAAGGATTGGATACCCTACAGGACAAGATCCGCGAACTGTAGTATAGTTACCGTGCCCCACAAACGCCGATCCTCGTCCTCCTTTGTACCATCACTTTTTCATACCTACATCTTTATGTTGATAATAGGAATTTACTATTTACTATTGAGTATCATCTCCTCATAGAGTATAGGTCCATCTAACTGCTGTAGAAACTAAGCCATCTTTCCCATCGAATGATATGTCTTCCAGAAACACAAGCAACGGTAGCTCCGCGCTGACCAACCTTTGGTGCTGTCTACTACTTGAACAAAGATGTCGAATCTAAGCCATCATCTACGATCCAAGTAAACCATACAACTTATCCCTATCTCTCGACCCAACAACCAACTCCACAAGCCCTTCATGAACCGGACATCTCAACCCCAACTCCTTCCCTTTCCTCACCACATACCCATTCAAATACCCAATCTCCGTCTCCCTCCCCGCCCGCACATCCTCCACCATCGAACTATACGACCGCGCCACCAGTTCCGCAGTCCCCAGCACTTTCCGCTCCAACGCTGTCGGCGAGAATCTCGCGATATCAATTCGCATATCTGGGTTAGACTCGTATGTTTCGAGCATGGTGAGAATGACGCGAGATATCTCTTGTATGGTCTGCTGGGCGATGCGCCAGTTCTTTTGGTTCCGCGATGTGTGGGTGGGGGAGTGGAAGAGGTCGCCGTATTTGCAGTCGAGGATTGCGCTGAGTGCGCTCATCGAACTGTTTATGGCGAGTTTCTCGAGCTGGGAGCTGAGGAACTCGTGTGGTGGGACGACTTTTGTGCCGAGGATTGGGGCGGCGGATAGTGTGTCTAATAGGTGAGTCGAGTCGTTGATGGTTCTTGTTTCGGAGTGGACTTCTGGGATGCTCGAGATGGTCATTGTTCCTGGCCCTGCGTGGATGGACGCGAAGGTGTGTTTTGTGTAGATGCCGTGCATCACTACTGCTCCGGTATATCGAGGCCTAGAAGTGATGTCGGGGAAAACGGAGGCGTTCAGCTCGTCGATGACGCCCATTCCGTTCTGTGCTAACATGATCGTCGAGTCTCGAGTAAGGCGATGCCGGATGCTTTGTATTGCAATTACTGTTTTTGTCGTTTTGGTTGCTACGATGAGATTTGTGATAATATCCTGATCCTGTGGCCGAGTAAGAGTTACTGAGTCGGCAGGAGCAATTGTTTCCGTCCGGTAGCCTGTACTGAAATCGGATACGCCTTGAGTTACCAGCTCAAGTGAGCTGCCATGAGCCTCCCATTCTTTCAAAAGGTTACTTCGGTGAAACAGGAGAGTTATGGTTGGGGGAATTGCACTTTTGGCGAGGCCATGTGCGATCAGCTTTCCAACGTTTCCGATTCCTAGAATATGGATATGCATGACGTTAACATGAGAACAGAATGGAAACAAGTGAACATTTCAAATCCGTAAATGTTCTTTTATACATCATTGCAGAGTAAATCATTTGAAAGCCAGGGAAAAGGGTGTTTTTGGATTTCCATCTTTATGACTGGTTTATCGGAGTAAATGCATTCTCTGTTCCAGTTTCGGCGTAATCGGCCACAGCTCGGTGAGGCAGAATGGCTCGGGAAACACAGGCCCACGAAGATACTTCGGCTCCACTAGGCTTTAAAATCGAAAGGGCGTACTGTTTGTCAAACTCAATTTAAATTTTTTTTTGGATTTTAAGGGCTTCCTGTTCGACTAGACAGAATTATGTCATAATCATTTCCAGCTACGGATCGGAGAGAGACGAAAGGCCGTCACCATCAGAATTCTTGGCAGTAGCTTCGTTATATTTATTCTTTTGTGGACCTATCCTGCTTAAAATCGAAATTTTTACTTCAATCCTGGCCAGATATCTCTTATGTTTTATTTTTGATGTTATTCGATAGCTAGCAGCATTCACAGAAAACCTGGAGAATTACGCCTTTAGACCATGACGACAATTACACAACTACAACAAGTCGAGTTGAAAGACTCCCCCATGTCTTCAACAAACGACATAGGGTCTCACATCGCCTTTTCAGAACGTTCTTCGTCGAGTAGGACTCCAAATCTGAATTCTTCCACCAGGGACCTGGAACCACACTTCAGCACAACAGCCATACCAGACGGCGGCTACGGATGGATCATCGTGTTCTGTGCAGCCATCACCACATTCTGGATCAACGCGATGATAAACTGCTGGGGCGTGTTACAATCCGCCCTACTTTCCTCCACCATGTCCCACAGCCCAGCCTCCACCGTCTCTTTCATCGGCTCGTTGAATCTTGCATGCGGCGTAGGATTCGGGCTATTCGCCACGCGAGCAGCACGCTCTTTTGGCTCGAAGACGACCGCCATGTCAGGGATATTGCTGATGGGAGTCGGTCAAATAGCCGCGTCGTTCAGCACCAGAAACATCGCTGGGATGTTTGTTACCATTGGACTTGTCGTTGGGGTAGGAATGAGCGCGGTCTATACCATTTCAAACGCACTTCCAGTCCAGTATTTCAGTGGCCGTCTCGGACTGGCCAACGGACTTGTGAAGTTAGGTGGAGGAATTGGTGGGACAGTAATGGCAGTTGCACTGCAAGCCCTCGTTGACCGGGTGGGGATTGAATGGACGTTTCGAATTCAAGGCTGTATGACGATCGCAACTGGCCTTCCAGCTGCATGGTTCATGAGGGACTTGACATCTACCAGGAACACCCCTTTTGTAGACTTCTCCATGTTCCGAAGTCGAGCGTTTGTGGCAGTGTTCGTGGCTGGAGCTATCGGTACATTCGCACTATTTGTGCCACCATACTACCTCCCTCTGTTCGCTCAGTCGCTTGGACTATCATCTTCTACGGGTGCAACTCTTGTCGCTGCTTTCAATCTATGCAACGCTATCGGCAGATTCGTGAGCGGGCCTCTGTGCGACAAGATCGGACCCACCAACACCTTCCTCATTACCATGATATTGAACGCCGTCAGCATGCTTGCAATCTGGCCGGTATCAAACACACTAGCGCCATTGGTGGTTTTCGCTGCTATCAACGGAATAGCAAATGGATCCTACTTCACCGTCGTACCAACAGTGGCTGCCAGCATTTTCGGTCCTGGACGAGCAGCTGTGGCGATGAGCATGTCAGTAACTGGTTGGACGGTTGGATATCTGCTAGGTGCGCCAATTGCGGGATACCTGCTGCAAGCAGCTGGAGGGAAGGGGAAGGCGGAATCAATGAACATTGAGGCTTTCAGACCAGCTATCTTCTATGCTGGAGGGGTTGCCTTGGTGTCAAGTCTGTTCGTTTTCATTGCTAGGGTTAGCATGGCGAAGCAAGTTGGCAGGAAGGTGTGATCCTTCTTTCAAAGGAGAATCCGCTTTTAGATGTAAATGACATTATGAGAATAGAACATAGACGTTTTAACCAGCTCACACTGTATTTGGACATGACGTTTCGATGGATTAATCAGTCCTATCATCTACTTGTTCGTGGATTGACTTTTTGTGCGGTCCTACGTAGGAGTAACTATGCCCTATTTGGCTCGTTGGCGGACACAAATGCATCGTTGGACTGACCGTTCTATTTTACGTTGCCCCACATCACTCCGATGGTACAAGACGTTCGATGACTTGTCCCTTTTCCAGATACCATCGGTTTTCCGTGGCGCCCAGCATAAGTTGTGCATATCGGGCTCCTACTTATATCTACATCTATTGCACACTTCTAGTAATTCTACGGGCAAATTGTGAATTGCCCGATCCTGGTAGATTTCCTAAGATGCAGTTTACGAAGTATCCTATCCTCGGTAATGTAACTTTGACCATGAATGTTTACCTTCGGCAGCCTGTCACTACTTGCCTGCCCACAATCTACGTATCTAATACATATATTTCGTACCTTATGAGAACTTTACTTTCCATTTATCTTTCGATCAAATAGATCCTCTACTACGGTTTCCATATATAGTCGAGTGCATAAACGTTTGTCCTCCCAATTACCAAGGAGTAGTCGAACATGCATTCCTTAAATGCAATAGCAAAGCCAAATAGCCACGGTCGTTTCTCCGCACTTCTGATGCTCAGATTGTCAAGATTGCCATTGTCCCCGAGCTAGCTTTTCATCATGCATACAGAGCTGGTTCGGTGCGACGTGCTGATACGAAGACTGGGAAGTACTTGACGTACTGCTTCAATGTCTAACAACAGCCGCAAAACCAATCACGAAACAGGCCTTGCAGAAAACCCCGAAATTGCTCCGATTGCATCGAAAGAAGGAAAAAAAAGAATTGGAGCAAATAAGATTCCGGCCCAGGGTCCAGCATGCGGTGGAGCTAGTCGGCGTGTTCGGAGCTCCCTCCCGGAGTGTGTATGACTTTCGCCGACTCTCTCTCCGACGTCACCCTGAACATGGTCCCCAGACGCCTCTATAGCGAAACCCACAAACTATGAGCGTGAGGCTCGCCGCGTGCGAGCGCTGCCGGCGGTCAAAACTTGCTTGCGACCACGAGCGGCCCACATGTGCACGATGTCGCGATCGAGGACAGAGTGCTCTATGCGTTTACAGAGATCGACCTTTCCGCAGAAAACCACCAAGACGCCGTAGTGAGGAGATTCAGTAAGTTCGGACAAAGTTGTACCCACAGTCGATATTCTGATAGCTCATTTTTTATGATTATGTAGAGAGAATATGCCAACTGCGCCCTTGGCCTCTTCCAATTCGTTTCAACCTACTGCAACACCTGAAGCAGGAGTGTCTACGCCATCAACACAACAGCACCGTTACCCAAACCCAGGTTACCTTGGCATATCCAGCCACTCGACTCTATTTAATGAAGTATTCACAGGTGCAGATGCTGATATCACAGCTCATAATGAGTCTGCTCAACGGGATATGTCGGCCCCTCCGACGGACTTCCTGAATGACCAGGTCGTCATGGACAGAGCGATGAATGCCTTGATGCGCCTTGATCGAATGGACATATCTAACATCACACCTCTGGTTCTATCATGGCTTAGCAAGGGCGTCAATCTTCCCCTTGCCGGACCGTTTGTACCTCATTGCTTAGCTTCAGTCGCGCAGTGGAGGGAACTCCTATCTCCCGACTGTGTCGATGAATCAGAAAATGCCGGCTCCGGAGGTACGAGTCCTGCTTGCGTCAAGACTCTACTTCTGAACACCCAGAAGTCCATCGGTATGCGCCGGGATATGAGTACTCAGGACTATCTCAACCAGATGCTCGGGAAAAACTTGAGATGGGAAAGCTTGGGTATCTTCTTTGTAGCTGCATCGAGGGCAGCTTATGACACCCCCTTTTTCACACCCCTCTATACGACCAAGGAGCAACGACGTAAACTCATCAAAGCATTGACATACATAGGAGACTGCTGCTTAGAGACCTCTCTCGCCCTCGATTGTCTGAACGACCTGCAGCTCATCCTGCAGTATGAAAGCTTCATCGTACACTCCCAGGTCGACGGTGATCAGAGTAAGTCTCCTTTCCACATGAAACTCGACCAATTGCTGAGCATGAAATCAAGGCTACCATTCCTGGAGAAGAATCGGCGACGTAGCCAGCTCCCTATTCGCCATGGGCTACCACGAGCGAATCGACAGCACCAACTCAGACATCCCGCCCTTCATCATCGAGCTGCGGAAAGCCAGCTTCGCTCGCATATACGCCGCCGACAAGAGTTTGGCTGTGTTCCTCGGTCGTCCGCCGCGGGTCGTGAAGGACTATTGCCAGTTTAACATCCCGAGCAATCGAGAAGACTTTTGGAAAGCCAGACCTGCGGACGACAACAACAACCGCATGCCATTCCCAGATTCGTTGAACGACCAGACAGCCAGTGACCTCGAACCCATAAACTACACCGCCGACACGCGGTGCTCAGCGCTATTCGCCTGGCTCAAAGAAGACGTCCTCCAACTCCTCCGAAAACGTCATGTCCTCGACAGTCCATCCCAAATAAAGTATCTCCCCTCCTCCCCTTCCCCTCCCTCCACCCATCATCACCCTTACTAACCAACCCTCCCCCCGAAAAGCGACCTCCGCATTCGCGTCGACCAACAATGGGCCTCCCTCCCCCCACACTTCCGCCTCACGACCCCCCTCTCCTCCTGCGACCAGCAAGGCTCCTTCGAGCGGGACTTCCTCGCCGGCACGCGCCTCGACTACCTCCACATCCACTTCCTCCTCGGCCTCGTCACACACCAGCGCCGCATCTCCTCGCCGAACGACGAACTACTAGCCGTGGCCACCGAGATGCTGTCCACCGCCGTCGAGGTCATCATCCTGCGCGACCAGCTCGTCAACTCGGGCTCGTGCCTGATATGGAAGGTCGCGCAGTACGCGCTCCCCGCCGCGGGAATCGTCTCCCTCGCCCTCCTCGCCCAACACCCATCCTCCCCCTCCTCCCCGCCGCTCCTCCACACGCACCGCCCGAAAATGATACAGGATCTCAGCGTGCTGGTCGCAGAGGTCACGACGGGTGCGTGGATACAGGCTGGGGAGCCGAACTTTGCGCTTTTCGAGCGCGCGACGCGCACGATTCAGAGTCTGCTGCATAGTTTGCTGGCGGTGAGGCCAAGGGGGGTGGAGAGGGGAGAGGAGGGAGAGAGGGAAGGGGAGGGTGGCGTGGAGGGGTGGGATCCGTGTGCGGCGAATTCGAATTCGCAGCTTTGGGAGTTTGAGATGGATTTTTGGGAGAATTTGGCGGGGCATCCGACGTTGTTGGGTTAGGGATGGGGGTGGGAGGGTGTGTGGTGTCCTTCTCCCCGGATCGGAACGTCTGGAAGTAGATCAAGAAGGTATGTGGAAGAACGAATGTAATGACTTCATCAAACCGTAATGACCCTTGTAAAACCCAAAATAAAAACACTACTTGTTACAACCAATATAGAAAGAGAAAGCAATCTAAGTATGATATATACGAACGAAATCACTAAAGGAGTCAAGTGTACATTCGAATCTATGGACGGGATTGTAAACAACAAAGGAAGAGACTGAACAGTAGTACCGAGTCTACCACTCGTAAAAGTGTATACATAATCATACGGCTATTCACTTCTCATCGATTCATCAGCCACCCCCTTTACCCTTACGCAAGCACTGAAACATAATGCACACTATCAACCTTCACATCGTGGACGAAAGAAGCTAAGATCAAAAGTAGTCAATTGATTCATTCTCGAGTGAGTCGGTCGTAAATTTCATATCTCATATAATCCGGTAGTCGTGGCTTCTCGTGCAGTCTAGTGGTGGTGGTATTACAACATCCCAAACTCCTTTAACCCCTTGAACCGTACCGCACGTTCGAATAGAATGAGAAGGGGAAATGTACGCAAACAAGGACAGGACACCAAAAGGAAAGCATGGTATAACCAGCCGACTCCAGACAAACAAAAGAAAGGGAAAGAAACCCAAAGGAAGAAAAACATTAGTGAAGTCCAACTTAAAAGCAAAGCCCCATAACTTAAAACAACAACCCACCAAGCACCGCGCCGCCCAAGAAGCCCGCTGCGACAGGCAGGCCAATCCCGCCGCCATACCCATAGCCATACTGTCTATCACTGCACACGCCAAACATCAGCACTCAAGTCCCCCATATCAAAATCACCAAAAAGAACAGGAACGGGAAGAACTTACTACGCCCCAACCGGCCTCACGAACCTGGCATTCGGATCCGTATACGGCCCCTGATTGTACGGATTATACCCGTACGCGCCTCTCCCACCACCACCATAATACCCCCCGTACCCATCGCGATACCCCATCGGCGGCTCGATGTACACGTCCTTGCCCTGGTCGTCCTTGCCCAGGAACTGCGGCTGCCCCGTCTCGACGGCGCGGGCCATGGCTTGCCGGGTGCGAAGGTGCATTTGGTAGGCTTGACGCTCTTCCTCGGCGCGGCGCGCGCGCGTGGTTTCGCGCTCCGCGTGCGTGGTGGAGGTGAGGCGGTCTTTCATCTTGCGGCCGAATTTGTGGAGGCCTTTGACGTCGGAGGAGGAGGAGGAGGGGCGGGCGGGGAGTTCGGCGGGTGCGAGGGAGGAGGGGCCTGCTGCGGCGGCGGGGTGGGAGACGTGTTTGCGGACGTCGAGGGGGTGGGTGGTGGTGGGTTTGTGGATGTCGTCGTCGTCTTCTGGGTCGGTGTCTTCGGCGGCGAGGTCGTCGAGCGTCATGCTTCGGTGTAGTCGGCTGTGTCGCTTGCGCTCTTCTGGTGAGAGTGTTGAGAGGTATTCTGGATCGTCGTAGGGGTGAACCCATATTGAGCGTGGTGGTTCCGAGCGTGTGTCGACGAAGAACTGGTGTTGCTCCTGGGCGTCGAACTGTCGGATCCATCCTGGAGGCAGTGGCCGGTTCTCATCCTCCATAGACCGTCGATGCTCGGGGGGAATGCCATTTCTTGCGGTTAGAGCTGCTGGTCCGTCGGTGGATACTCGTTGGATCCCCGGAGAGGGATCTGTAGCTGCTTCATAGCTTGGTGGCGGTTCGTGTGGTGGTTGCGCTTGTGTTGACATGGCTGAAAGTGGATGTATAGGAGTTCCGGTAGCTTGCCTTTGGTTTCAGTAGGAATAACAGGTGTGACTTGAAGAGATTATAGAAGAATAAAAGGCTATGGAATGAAGAATTAGGAAGCAAGAATGGGGTAAGCTGGCAGTGGGAATATTGCAATAATATAGTCACAAACGTTACCCCAACTTCAGTGACCAAGCCAGTGGCTCATCCGGCCCTGCCACAGGGCCCTTTCCCTCGAACCGGCCGAAAAACGTCTCAACAACGGATAAGGCGTTGCGTTTGTCATGAGGATGGTCGCGGGATGACGTTGTGACGTTTCTGGCCAATCGTGGCGTCATATGGGAATTGGAATTATTGTGGCGGTGCGCACCGGAACCGGTCTCAACTCTGGAGGCCTCTCCGCCTTAACGGTACTCGTAGCCTACAATGTCCTCGTACGAAATTAGCAACGAATCCGTTTCTAGAACTTTTCGAGAACATTTCCGACCTTCGTTCACGAAGAGTTGCTGTAGAGTCATACTGTGTCCTATCCGATCAGTAATCAAGACAATCTAGTACATCAATAGCAATACCGATAACTCGGTCCGCGACCTTTTTCGTAAGAGTTTAACGTCACCATGGATCAATGAATTGGTAGGTTGAATATGTTCATTTGTCCTACTAAGACCGTGGCTATCCTGCCCGGTACCTGCGTTGCGTGCGTCTTCATCTCTAACGATGTAAAAAATCGCATCAGATGCCACCGACGCCCACGCGTTTATATCCCGCACCCGGGAATGTTGATATTCCGCTCCACTCATCGCTGAGCAGGGTATTCGCAACGGGGGATCACTAACGATCCCCCAACAAAGGAGACTCTCTATAACGTGATGTTGAATGACTCGGGAAAAGCCTTTTCCATAAGATGATTAAAAGGCCCGAATGACTTTTAAATGAAAAAAAGTGTATCAAGGGTATATCCCTTCCCGACGCCGAACTTGTTGAAAGACGAAATGGACCCGCCAAAGATATGCATATCATATCAATCATTAATCTTGACCTCGTGGATGAAGTTGATTCATGCCACTCATGCAGTACACATTATGGTACAATTAGAATTGCAGAGTCTTGGGCTGCTCCCAGGTGAAGCTCTGGTTGGTGAAGTGACCGTTCTTGGCGGTGGTGTTGTAGATGGGGTTGGTGAGGTTGAGGTCCTTGACGATCTGGCCGGGGCGGAGCTTGAAGTTGGCACGGATGATGTCGACGAGCTCGTCTGAGGACTTGTCGGAGGTGCCGTAGGTCTCGACGAAGATGGAGAGAGGCTCGGCAACACCGATGGCGTAGGAGAGCTGGACGAGCGCACGGCGGGCCAACTTGGCGTTGACGAGCGACTTGGCGATCCAGCGGGCGAGGTAGGCGGCGGAACGGTCGACCTTGGAGTAGTCTTTTCCGGAGAAAGCACCACCACCGTGGGCTCCCCAACCACCGTAGGTGTCGACGATGATCTTACGGCCAGTGAGACCGGCATCACCCTGGGGTCCTCCGATGATGAAGAGACCGGAGGGCTGGATGACGTAGCGGGTCTTGTCGTCGAGGTACTTGGCGGGGATGACCTTCTTGACGATCTTCTCGGTGATCTCCTCACGGAGCTTCTCGGTGGTGATGTCCTCGCTGTGCTGGGCAGAGACGACGACGGTGTCAACACGGAGGGGGATGACGGCACCACCATCGTGCTTGTACTCGACGGTGACCTGGGTCTTGGTGTCGGGGCGCAACCAGGGAAGGCTTCCGTCGTTACGGGCCTCCTTCATGGCGGAGTTGAGCTTGTGGGAGAGGAGGAGGGTCAAGGGGAGGAGCTCAGGGGTCTCGTCGGTGGCATAACCGAACATGATACCCTGGTCACCAGCACCGAGGTTCTCGAGAGCCTCCTCGTAGTGGAGACCCTGAGCGATGTCGGGGGACTGCTGCTCAATGGCAACAAGGACGTTGCAGGTCTTGTAGTCGAAACCCTTGGAGGAGTCGTCATAACCGATGTCCTTGATGGCATTGCGGATGACCTTCTGGTAGTCGAGAGCAGCCTTGGTGGTGATCTCACCGAAGACCATGATCATACCGGTCTTGGTGGCCGTTTCACAGGCCACCTTGGAGAGGGGGTCCTCCCTCAAGCAAGCATCGAGGATAGCATCAGAGACCTGATCACTACGATGATGTCAGTAGGGGTGGTTATGATAGGGGAGGGCGAGGGCGAGAGAGGCCAATTGATGTGAACGAAGCAGGAGCAGGAACAAGACTGAGTCTTTTCAATCGGATGTGGATAGCCGAGGAGGAATTCCATTGAAGAATTGTTGCTGTTCCTGCGGTTTCAAGATGTGGGGCATGGCGGGGAGGCAGTGGTGGAGGAGGTGACGAAAGGCAGGGAAGGACTCACGCGATCTTGTCGGGGTGACCCTCACCGACGGACTCGGAGGTGAAGAAGAAGTTGCCCTGGAGAGTTGTGAGTATACTGAGAGAATTGGGTCGTTGTTGTGGTGGTCGTGGTTGTGATTGTAGTCGGTAGTTGTGAAGATGGACAGGAAAAAGACATACCTTGGCGGCAGGGGCGTGGATACCGTTGGAGGCCATCTTTTCTAATTGTGGGATGACGGAGGAGAAGGAGGAGGGAGGATAGTGTAGGACTTGCGACCGTGAAAAGAAGCACGACTTGAGGGAAGAAAGATGAAGAGAAAGTGAGATGGAGGAAGAAGAAGAGAGAGAGGAAGAGGGAGGCTAGTGGGAGTTCTTAAAAAGAAAAATGGCGCGATAGAAACAAGACAAGGGTTGGAAGGTTTTTAAGGGTTTAGAGCTTAGGGGGGAGTTGGAGAGGGTGGCTTAAGATGGGTAGGATAGGCACAAGCACAAGCAGTACACACAGACACTGATACACACACCGAACATCCACCACTGACCACCAGTCCAGTATACAACACGACACGCAAGGCAATCAAGGACAGAGGATGAAGGCGCAATTGCCGAGAGGTTCGGCGGGACGAAGAAAAAAAACCATGCATCCGCTAACTACAACCTGGTACTATCTATGACACTAAACCGAGGGAAGAGGGGTACTTGAGGCACAATACAAAGTACAGCTACAATGCAAGTACTCCTCGTCATTCTCTTTGTACCTCGTACCTTGTATGGACTACTAGACGGTGGGCAAAAAAAAGTAGATCTAGTCACTATTCCACTCTCTCCGGTCATCCACATCCTATCATTCTGCCACTCTGTTCATTCCTACGAGTACGGAGTACTATACGAGTAATAACTCTATCAGATCTGCCTCTGCCTCACGCTTTCTCATGTGCCCCGTTTCGTCCTTGTTACAACTAATTCCCGCTGGTGGGCCTTTTCGTAATACATACATGGCCCCTCCTCACTCAAGATCTGACTATTGCATTACCCCTCATACAATACTCGTCGTGCTCATGCTCATGCTCACTCTCATGCTCGAATCCTTGTGGAGAATGCAAAAGACGTGGATAATGCCATCGAGATCGAATCAAATGGGGAAGTCAAAATGACTCCGCAAATCGCGTCACCGCTCACCGCCCTGGCGTTTCCCTCCTCCCATTCGCCAATGACTTTAACCCATCCTCAAACACGGAGTGAGGACACAGAGCAGCGTAGCATAGACAAGGAGAAGGTACGCCCGAACGCCGGACAGACAGATGGACAGATGACAGGAATCTGCAAGATTGCTGCAAGATTTTATGCAAGAGAGGAGGGAAGGGAAAGAGTACGAGTAGATCTCTTTTTGAAGCTCTGGCTTGCTTCTGCTTCTGCTTCTGCGACCGGGGGGGCGAGAGCGAGGGACTGGCCTCCCCTCCACTTTCTTGGCGGAGCATCCCTGTCACTCTAACATTTTCTTTCCCACCCCCCACTCGTCATACTTCCATACCCGTACTTGTACATACGCAATATCTGCATATCACAAAAAACATCAACAACATCTGAACCGTCGTGCATACCTCCGCTTCCCCCTCCCCGCCGCCGTCATGAGCAAATTCGGCGTGCTCGTAATGGTAAGCCACATTCCCATCCCATCTCACCTCCAACCCCTACCCCAATGCATCGACGACGACAATGACGACGGCTAACTCCCTCTCCCCCAGGGCCCCGCGGGCGCCGGCAAATCCACCTTCTGCACCGCCATGATCCAGCACCTCCAACACAGCAAGCGACCCTGCTTCTACGTGAACCTCGACCCGGCCGCCGAGGACTTCGCCTTCGAACCCGACATCGACATCAAAGACCTCATCAGCCTAGAAGACGTAATGGAAGAGATGTCCTTAGGCCCGAACGGCGGCCTAATATACTGCTTCGAGTTCCTCATGGAGAACCTCGACTTCCTGACGGACCCGCTCGAAGAAGTCACAGAAGACTACCTCATCATCTTCGACATGCCGGGGCAAATCGAACTCTACACGCACGTGCCGATCCTCCCGGACCTCGTCAAGCACCTCATGCGCGGCTCCCTCAACATCAACATGTGCGCCGCCTACCTCCTCGAATCCACCTTCGTCATCGACCGCCCGAAATTCTTCGCGGGCACCCTCTCCGCAATGTCCGCCATGCTCATGCTCGAGATGCCGCACGTCAACATCCTCTCGAAAATGGACCTCATAAAGGGGCAAGTCGCGAAGCGCGACCTCAAGCGCTTCCTCGACGTCGACGCGCGACTCGCAGACGAGGACCCGTCTCGCCCGGTGCCGAGCAACGACCTCGACGTCCTCCCCGAGACGCTCGACAACACCGACCCCGCGAAGACGGAGAATGTTATGGCGGGGAGTGCGTTTTACCAGCTCAACAAGGCGGTTGCGCGCCTCATCGACGACTTCAGCCTCGTGTCGTTTCTGAAGCTCGACGCCCAGGACGAGGATAGCGTCAATGCGGTGCTGAGCTACATCGACGACGCGATTCAGTTCCACGAGGCGCAGGAGGTCAAGGAGCCGAAGGACCTGGATATGGATCCTATGGAGGCGAGCGGCATGGACGACTAAGTTGCGTGACGTGAGGATTCGAACACGATATTTTACATATGCAAATGGCAATATCTGCATAGAGATACAGCGCTCAAGGAATCTTCGTTTCCATCTAGTATGGCACTACAACGGACATGAGGCCGAGGCAATTGGAAAACCGGCTTCTGACATAGACAGACATTGTTGTCTCTGAAAGCCGCACTCGATTCCGAAAGAGAAAAAAGAACGAAGAAGAGAGCGCTCTTGGATATGTGGATAGGGAGGGGCGTCGACCACCCAAACACACAGAGGCAAAGGGGGGCGATGTTGGTGAGAACGCAAAAAATCAGCGCAAGAGGGGAAAGCGAAAACGCTTGTTGAATGAGAGAGACTGAGTGACGAAATGATACCCAAAACCTTTGAGAAAAATAGAAATGAAAAGAAATGAATCACATGAATGAATCAAGTCAGACAATCATCACACGGAGCGAAAGCACGTTAACAGCTTGTTTTCAAGCTCAAATCGTGCTAGTTGAAACCTTTACATAAACGAAAATTTACCCACATCATCAAACTCGTAGTAGTAACTGAGAAGATTCATTTATTGTTTATGCTTCACAAGAGCATTATACCATCCCATTGATCCAAAATGCCTTTGGGGGAAAAGGGTTGCGGGTAGCCAATCAATGGATGATACCTGGCGTCCTCGAACGAACTCCAGGCAAATGGATTCAAAAGATATATGTATGTACTGTGTACACTACTGAAACTTTTTTTCGTAGTGATGAGCAAAAAGGAAAGCAACAACTTTTTTTTCAATGTCCAATCAATCAACGCCGTATGCGTGCGGTCCGACAGCACGTGGGATGCAAAAATGTCTCTGCTGCTTCGCACTGAGCAGCTAGAGCTGGATTACAAAGAACTACTTAAGAAACGGTCTTGGCCATTCGCTTACTCATACTGTGATGTTGTTAGAATTAAGTTTTCTTGCGTAAGATCGTTCGAGTAACTTACAAGTCAAAGAAGGCAAATTGGCTGGCATTGACGCCATAGCCATAGATGAATCGGCTAGCCAAGAAACTGCCAAAGATAGCACGGAGGTAGTTCTCAGGAACCTAAAACAATTAGCCAATGCCGTGCATTTGTTCGAAACCTATCACTTACTCGTTCAATGATCTGCTCAAGACCAATCTTCTTCAACAAGGTGTTTGGCAGAGCCTCGCTGAGAACAGACTTCCTGAACTCAACGTTGTTCCAGAGCTCGGTGTTCTGCAACTCCTCGTCCAATTTGGTAATGGCGGTACTGAGAGTATCGCTAAGAATGCTCCTGCGCTCGCCTGTGGCCTCGTGCTCCCTCCAGATGGCCTCGAACTCGAGCCTGGCATTGTTCTGGATGGTAGCTTGGACTTCCTTGACGTACTCGTTGTAGAAATCAGGAGCGGATCCGTCTTCGCGGATGCACATGTTCTGAACAAAGCTATCGTCATCGAAAGACAATGAAGCCAGAACCTCGAGAGACGATGAAGTAACACCTCCCTTGTTCGCCGACGCATCCTTGTACAGAATGCACCCAGCCTTCTCAAGACGCAGCTTAGCATCCTGGGTGATGAAAAGGTTGGCACCCTCGACGATATAGGGAATAATAGACTTGCCATCCACGATCAACTTGTTAGCCGTGGTCAGATCGATGGACTCGGGTCGTCCTCCGCAAGGCACGAAGGTGTCGTACTGAATATTGCTGCGAAGGTGGAAAGTATTGCGGAAACTTGTGCCATTGTAGATCGTCTCGCCGCTAGGCAGCTTCACGTTCGTCTCGTCGACCAAAACGCGGTAACCCTCGGGCGAAAGCTTGCTCACGTCAAAGTTATTGATCATGAGACGACCCTTGGCGAGTCGAATGAGCTCCTCGTGGTTGATACCTTGAGGGTCGACAAGAACACCAGAACCATCCACAATAGAGATGTACTTCTCGTTGCTCAGGAGAATCTCATTCGAGCCAAGATCACCGTCGGGTCCTCCAGTCTGGAGCTTCCTGATCTGGCTTGGGTCGAGGTTCAACTTCCTGTAGATTCCTTTCACATACTCGCGGACGGAGAGGGTGGTCATGCCGTAAGAGTCGTGGGGAATGCCACCGAGCTTAGGGTTCTTGCCGGTGAAGAAAGACTTCCACCAAGGAGCGCCACGGGCACGAGCATGCTCGGTGGCCCAGTTGACAAGCTCAGCAGTATTCTCATCAGGGCCCATGAATAGGATCTCGGGCTTGCCGTGGAGATCGACAATAGGGTCCTTTATTCCGGGGCTGTTAGGGGGAAGGAGGAGATCAAGGATACTGTCGATGTATTTCTCGAAGGCGGTCGTTGCCTTGTCTTGGTGATGGAAGTCCAACAGTACAACACCCTTTGAGCCACCTTCAGGAATATCCTTGTTCTTGCGCTGCTGCGTGTTGGCGAGGTTGTAGTTCTCGTCGAAGAGAGAGCGGGCATTGATTGCGTACGCTTCTGGGCTTCTGGACTTGACGATACGGATACCTCCACGAGCGATATCGCGGAAGCGGAGATGGAAGCCACGGAATTCCGAGCTAATAACAAGGAACATTCCGTAGAGAGGCTGGGGGTACTCCGAGAGAGGCAAGAAGTTGGGGTTCAGGCGGAAGCTGAGCGCCACCTTGGTGGGAGTGTAGAAGTTGGTCTTCAGAACGGAATTGTTGAAGATGCGGAACGAGTTCATGACGATTTCATGATGCTCGTTGACAACACTCCTACCGATCTTGTCGATGAGCTCGTCGTCCGTGAGGACCTTATCGACCTGAAGTCGGAGGAAACTGAGAGTGGGGATGAAGTCATCCTGCTCGCCACGGGTGTGCACATAGTGGGTGTTGGCGAAAGAGAGGTAGAGGGTGTGCACCAATTCGGGATAGTTGTTGATGATTTCCAGAATGTAATCAGCAGTGAAGGTCTCGGTACGCAGCCTCTTCTTGAGCTTGGAAAGGAGCTCAGCATGAGCGCTGTTCTCCGGGTCCAACATGCCGGCCAAGGCATTGTACTCATTACCAAGTCGGTTGAGGAAGTGAGAAATGTATACCCAAACGCAGTGCGCGTAGATGGTCTCCTGCAAGCTCAACTTGCCGGTAGCAAAGTGAGCTTGGAACTTGTTCTGCGGGATGCAGTAAAGAAGGGAGACTTCCTTGATGATCTGGTGGATCGATGCTTCGATCGGGGGATGCTTGGCAGAGGTCGGGTTGACTTGTCGGAGGTAGAGCGACATGGTCGTGTAGCCGTTGGAGAACTGCTCGACATACTTCCTGGTGGTTGTCAAACCGTAGTAGTGGTACAGATCGCTCAAAGCGCTGAACAGACCGAGAGCAGAGCCCTGCTTGTAGGCAATCACGAGACGCTTGTCGCGCGAGCCCTCGATGTCGTAGTACTCGATGACAGGTCCTGTGCGCTCAATGGCAATCTTCAGCGCTTCCTGGTAAACGGCCTTTGTGTTTTCAGTAGCCTTTTGCAAGAAGCGCTTGTCTCCAATCTGCTCGATGTCCGTCTCATTGGGATTGGGATTGGGGTTGGCGAAATCGCACTGGTACACGAAGTAGCAGCGCAATTGCTGATCTGGGCTACCTGGTAGGGAGCTGGCAGACCTGAAGCTCTCCACACGGTATCCAGTGCTTCCCTTGGATCCATCAAGGTACTTGGAGTCGATGCGGTGCTCGTAACGAGGACCAGCCATGACCGTCACACCGGGCTTGCTAGTATCGATGTAGACAGCATGGTCAACAGCCTCCTTGTCTAGCCTGATCTCGAGGCGCTTGTCGTCGCGGGCGTAGGCGGCAACTTTGGCGGCGTACAGCGAATGGATGTGGTTCACGATGCTGTTTCGTTGTTAGAGGAGTTCGAATAACTGCATTGGCTAGGAGAGAACTCACGCTTCGGACGTCTCGGTGCTGAAGTACATGTCGTCAATGCCCAGCTCGTTGTAGAACCAGGTGGTCTCGGATTCTACAAAGTCTGGGGGGATGAAGCCCTTCTCCTCGACAGCGTCCATGACCGCCTCCATCTGCTTCTCCTTGCCCTCGAACTTGGGAGCAACATAGCCGGAGCCGCCGGAACCCTCCTGAGGGAGGACTCGAGGCGTAGCATGTCCGGAGCCAGGTATGCTCAAGTGTGTGGGGAGAGGAGATGGACGGCGCTCTGGAGTGCGAATGACCTGCTCGAGGAGCTTGTTCGGGGCGGTAGCAATGCCATTAACTGGTGTTGACGCCATGATGTGAAATGTGCGGTTATTGTCGGGCAAGCCCAGAGGCGGGTGTATTATGGGTTATAGAGGTAGTCAACCCTGCAATTGCAGCTTGAACGACCTTGAAATTGATCGACTAGTGGCAATTCAACCTTAAAATCGTCTCAAAAAAGCACTCTGAGCGATTTGTTGAAGGTGACGTTTTCAAGGCCGAGAGTTATGCGGGTGGGGTTTTCTACAATTGGTGGGGTCCGGAGAAAACGACCGCGAATAACCAAGTAGAACGAGGTGACGAATGGTTCGACTAATGGGAGAATTGGGTTAGCGACTGGATGAGTGATTTCAAGCGTGAGAGAAAAAAGGTCAGATGAAATGTGAGCGGATGAGAGCGCAACGGGACCGTAAAAGTATGCGGATGCGGAGCCGTAAAGGAAATGCTGTCCTTGTTGGGCGAGGCTATTTAAAGCAAATAAAGATAGACGGGTAGGTAGGAATGACGCAGGTACCGACAGGCGGTGGTTGACCGCCGCCGTGACGATTCGCGACAGGATCTCCCGACAAGGACCAGGTACGAGGTCGTGCAGGATAAGGGAACGACTTACAATTGGACCAATTGTGCCGCTGATATCCAGAGCTGAAGAGGCCACAGTCGGTGAGGGAGTGAGTGTGTGAGAGGAAGCCAGGTCAGCAAGTCGGGATGAGTAGTAGCTGCGCTGTGCTGTGCTATGCTATGTTTTGTCGTGCTGTGCTGGGCAGGCTTAGATGCGGCGGGAGGGGCCTTGAAGCTTGGATATGAGATTATGTGAAACGGTAGCACGAGATAAGGGCGTAGAGTAGCAAGCACACTTTGCTGTTCTCAAAGATAAGAGAATGAGGAGTGTGATGTTTATATATATGAATGCTTGTGTAGTGTAGTGTAGTGTTGTGGTGTGGTGTAGTGTAGTGCAGGTAGGAGGTAGAATCAATTAAGATCTAAGTATGAATGACGGATGGAAATGAGATAAGATGTTGGTGAGAGGTGCAGAGAACCAAAGAACATAAGACAGCAGCGGGGAAAGGACGTTTTATATAGAAGAGAAGAGAGGAAGTGAGTGAGTGAGAAAGCATGTAATGTAATGGGGAGAGGGGCGGCCAGGTACGGTTGAGGCAGTGACGATTGACCATTTCTTTACGGAGTACCTGCTGTGACCAGGGACTGTACTGGACTGGATGCGTATGGCGCGTCTGTTAGTTACCGTTCGAGAATGGTCGTCATGGGTTCTACGACTAAGCAGAACCAGGTAGGACTGGGACTGGGACTGGGACTGGGAAGGTGCAGCTCAGTAAACACACTTGAACTAGGAAGGCGGGACCCCAGATCAGCCATCAAGAACCCGCTAGCCTCCCTTCTCTTGCCTCTCTTGCCTGCACCTGACGAACCCATTCACCTTCTTTTCACACCTAATCATACCTAATTATTATCCTTACTATCCATACTCTCTCTCTCTCTCTCTCACTACCTACTACTATTACTACTATTTACTACCTACATAACCTTTCATTATATTCATTCTATCCAGATCGAACAATACTTGAATCCAACATCAACCACTAGTCAAACTTGAATCCATTCCAGACAGAAACCCAACTCCAAGACATAACCAGTCCCAACTACGGAGTACCAACCATCAACTAACCAATTATCGACATCTCTTGAAAACTTAACGATTGAAAACTCTGTAACGGTAAAAACACTGGGCGGGGTTGGACTAACCTGGATTCCAGTACTTATTACCCCATACAAAGTTCGAAAATGGTCACATCCGCAGAGATTTCATCCTCCGTCGGTCCCTCGGAACCACCAACTCCAGTTCTTCTCCCTCTACTGGCGAACAAAAGACGCAATCATGGCGCTAATTACCCCATAAATTCATCACTGCATCGCGACATCCCTCCATCATCCCGACGTCTTGCCTCATCGCCTCATCCTCAACTACTTGTTGGTGACCCCTTTCCTTTCCAATCCAATCCCCTCATTCGCGCATCGTCTTCTATCCTCGATCATCACCTTTCATCATCCATGTAGCAATGTAACAACAATAACACTTCCTTGTGGCCCAGCGTTTTCTCCAAGTTTCCATTCCCCACTTGGTCAGCGTTGTTTTCTTTTCCACCTTCTTGCGAGTCCCGTTTCGTTTCATTACTCGTTACAACCCTTGCCACGGCTAGTCACTACTAAGACTGCTACTGCGGACAAGATTAAAAATGCCTCCTCATCTTTGTCACCGATCCAGAACTCACGATCCTTGGCATTTCCGGGGCGGCTGAACCTCTTAGGGCCAACCGTCTCATGGACTCAAGGTACGTGGCCCCTCTGGAGTGGCCGTGCACGGCACGTGTGCCTCCCCTTTCGACCAAAATAGGTTCACGATGTTTTCATTCATGTCACCTGGCTTCAATCCGGGCCATCCCCGAGTAACTGTGCGAGGTCACGATGTCTACTTTTTCTCTCCTCTGTCATCTCCGTACTTACGTACTTACTTACCTACAGCTGCCCGAAGCACCCGGGAACCTCGTAACCGACCCTCATCCACCTCCGATCGGACCGCCCCTCGCACACCAGTGGCAATCCTCTATTCATTATCCATCCATATCCACCAAAAAACTCAAATCCATACCCATTGGTGCACTAACCTAATATCTCTGCAACTATTAATTAATCACCGCCTTTTCGAAGAATACTGCAGCCGCGGATTCCTAAGAGATGAATAGCGGAGTCATTACGTCCCCGCCCAAGTCCCGTTGTGCTGTGGTTGTGCTTCCTCAGCCATTCCGAGCTGTCCCCATGATGGACGTTCACGATGCTCGCCACCCCGACTGGGAATCACGCGATCCAGATGCTTCTCAAGGAGTCATAATGTCGTCAATGCTCAACCAAAATAATTGTGTCCCAGTAATTCAATTCACCGCCAGCCGCATGACCTTTGTTCATTCGGGCTCAGCTGGAATAGTCCGTACCATTCACTGTCACAACCACCTTGTGTCCACCACCGCCGACCCAGTTCTTCTTCTTGCCCGCCTTCTCCACTTTACTCAACGCGCCATGCAATCCCTCGTCCAATTCATCCACAGGCTTTGAGAACGTGAAATCAATGCAAAGCACATCATGCTCCTTTTTGGCATACCATGACACCTTGATGGCCAATCTCTGCTCTCTGACCAACCCGGCGGGATACACGTTGCCCAACACAGCTGCAACCCTACCTAGATACATGCACCACCAAGGCAGTCCTGCTGGAAGCAATTGCACCATTCTTCGATAGAAATCCTGCTCCGTGGGCGATATCGATCCAAAGCCACCGTAACGCTCGCACAGCAGCACCGCCAGGATGGCCCGTTGCTCATGACTGATGCCATGGGCCGCAGAGAAGACGCCCGTTGTCGTGCTCCTCAGTGCCCCTCCCGCACACAGATCCTTAGGATACGCAGAGTGGACGTACATTGCCTGCACGAACGCCGTGAGCAGTGCAACGTCGAAAAGGCTTGTTGAGCTTGTTTTGCTGCCCGACCTGACAATACTCGAAGGAGGTCCCTTCAGTGCCGTGGAAAGAAGGTCCACTAGCTCCTGTGTCGATTCCCTAGCGTGAGGCCGTGTAGCAGTAACTAGCGGATCTTCCGCTCGCACGCGGGGGTCAAACTCCGCAAACAATAGTCCTTCCCTCACCCCGCCCTGGCAGAAGTAGACGTCCGTGATGCTGGGCAGGGCCTGCGCCAGGCAGTCGATCAGAAACGCCACGGCGGGGACCTGGCTGGCCCGCCGCTGGGAGACCCGAAAGATCTCTGGCGTTTCCTCTTTTTGCACCGCCATTCGAACGTCCTGCGTGTTCTGAAACTCCTCCGTCCTGACTTTCATCCCGTTGATGATCGGTATCGGATACGGTCGAATGCTGTGCTCCGACATGAGCACGAAACCCCATCCCCTGAACCCACCCCCAGAAAGATACAACGGCAACCCCCCAGGTCTGTCAAGCAGCTCTCTGGGGATCCCGATTCTCCCCACCGCCTCCTTCAAATCCCTCACAACCTCCTCCCCAAACACCTCGTATCCTCTCCCCTTCCCACCTACCTCACCAATCCTCTGCGTCAACGCCGCAGCGCCATAAGGCAAACTCACGCTCCCCGCCTCACTCATCCTCACCTCCCCGTCCCCCGTCCACAACCACGTAATCTGCGTGCTCCCCCCACCAAGATCCATCATCAACCCCCTCACCTCCCCATACGAACTCGCAACGCCGTACGCGCCCACCCTACCCTCCACCTCCTTCGCCAACAACTCTACCTCCCACCCAGTAGCCCTTCTGATCTCTGCCCTGTACTCTTCAGAATTCGCAGCCTTGCGCGTCGCCTCCGTCGCCACGATCCGCACGTTCGCGTCCGGCACGCCGAAGTCGCGGCACGTCGACTTGAAGCGTAGGAGCGCCTTGACGACTTGTTGTGTTGTCGTGGAGGGGATCCGGCCGTCTGCTCGCTGCGCGTCGTAGAGTGATATTCCTGCTCGGTCTAAGTAGACTGTTGGTAGTATGCGCTGCGTTTGGGGCGAGAGGTCTGTGATGCTGAAGCGGATGCCGTTGCTGTTGTCTCGTCAGCTTGTAAGTCTAAAGTTGTAGAAAGTAATCCTAATTATGTGTGAAACCCTCCAAACATATAAAGGTAAGTGAATAGGTAGGTGCGTATATAAATACATAGACCACATTACAACGTTCAGTATACACCCAATTCAAACACGTCCCCTATCCCACCTGCATGCACATCATACTCTAAATCCAATATCTCTCCATAGAAAGCCGTCTCCAACCACATAACCTCCTCACAAAACCCCTCATACATCCCTTTTCCCAAATAAAAAAGAAGAAAAAGAAAAAGAAACTCACCTCCCCATATCCACCAACCCCCTCAACCAGCGGCCCGCACCACTCGTCGTCTGTCCCGCCGCCATCTCTATGAGTCCCTGAGTTCAAGTCGTGCTGCTTGTTCTAGATTTGAGAGGTGTATATATCTCTTTCTTTATTGTTGTGTTTGGGCGTTCTTGTGTGTGGTGATTTGTACGCGAAGCTTCAACTCCCCCCTTTTTTGAAATATGGACGGGAAAGAAAGTGTGAAAGGGTTTGTTGTATTATTTTTTTTTTCTTTTGCAATGAAGCTATGTGGTCTTTGAGGAGATGGGCGGAGGTAGGTGGCTGGGCGTTTTTTGAGCTGGTAAAAACTTTATAGATATTTGGTTCTATGGAGATAGAAACAATTGAATAATGGAGGGGAGACACAGGCGCGAACAGGGTATGATGTCACACAAACACTGCTGCTTGGGAACATTACATTGTTTGTTCGGCGAAACATTGTTCCACGTACCCCGCGCTAGTCTCTCCCTAGCGCCTCGCACCAACAACCAGCAATCAGCTCCAAATGGAAGCAAGAGGGCTCAAAATATCCTCTGTTGCCGACAACATAGTAAACTTTAATTCAAGAACATACATAATCAATTGATTGGCCGCATGGCGCAACGGTAGCGCGTCAGATTCCAGTGTTAAATTGGAGAGTCCTGAAGGCTTCCTGTTCGAATCAGGATGTGGTCATTTTTTGCCTTTTTTTGCTCTTGGAGCAGGATCGCTTTTTTTTGCTAATTTTTTGGACTTTTCTGTCTTTTTTCAGTTATTTTTGCTAATTTTACCCCCTTTTTTTACCTTTTTTTTTTTTTTGCCCCCTTCTATCTATTTGTCTCCTCTATTATATTAATAGATAATAAATAAATAGTAGTAGCTAGTTAGTTGTTGTCAGTCTTGTTTTGAGTTTCATTTCTTTTGCTTTGCGAATCCTTTCTTGATTGACAACATGTGTCCGTATGTCTATCCAATGTGATCGATACGATACATACATACATAAATAAATATGAATCCAACCAGATATCACAGCCAAGTAAGTAAGTATTCAATTAGATTGATACGTGGTGACTGATACACGAGGCAGGTAGGACAGACAGCAATGCAAGGGCCACAAACTGGTTCACATACACCAAGAGCGGAACGTTGTGCCTGGACTATTGTCTCATCCGACATATCTTCGTCTGAATCGATTAATCTTCTTGCACGACTAGCTGGTGGTTAGCTGTTGAAGGGAAGAGCTGACTGGCGTTGGAACTGACACAAATAGACAGACAAATTTGCAGCCTTGTTGTTCTTCGATTCTCTCTCATCTTTCTACAGAGCAAGGGTTGCTAGGTTATCTTTTACTACATTTGCTCGATTGAGAAAGTGCTTCTATTACTTAGTGGATAGAATAGATTGATTATATGATTGAATACTGGTTATTTCAATAGTGAATTAGAATTACAGCTTGTTGATTGTCTATGATATATTCGTAGTAAACGAAATATATGTGTATATATACACGAACATATTGTAGCGTAAAATGAATGGTTTTACACTTCTACAATGTATGCATATATATATATATACGTACATTCATGTACGCAATAAATTTATTTCTAGTCATTTACCAGACAGATAGCATGAGATGGTGAGATACATATGTGTGCAGCGTAGGTCAATGTACTTGGGTAATGCACGTATGACGGGTACAGCAAAGCTTTTATGTTGTTTTGAGGGATAAAGGGGTTCTGCGGAATTTCGATTGGAGAGGAGATGTTATGATTGATTAACGGACGGGGGAGACGATGGCGAAGTACTTGCTATCATTTCTTTGTGCGTTTGGGGCTAGGTGACTGGTGCGAGGATTGGGTGTATTTGAGGTCGTAGGGAATGCGATGTAGATAAATGTGTGCGTATGCATTGTAATCCGCTCCTGAAATTGATCTGAATGTACGTATGATATGGTATAGCAAGACGACAAAGAAAACACGAGAAAATTACACAATACCCCCGCAGAACGCCCAATCATGACACATACTCATACACATCCCCAACAGAAACACTACCTCGTACAAAAAAGATCGCTCGAATAGAAGACAGAAAGACCACACCACGAGAACAATGTTTCGAAAAACCAACGCCTACGTCATAGCCATAGTATGCAAATCAAAAACATCGTTCCGCCATCCCCCCTCACTCCAGTCGTCGATCCTTTCCGTAGCCTGCGCGGCTTCCTCCTCCCACAACTTGACGACGCTGCCAGGCGCGTACTTATTCCTGAACGCGCCCTGCCTAGGCGGCGCGACGCCGACGCGCGTGTAGACGTCTGGGTCGTCCTCTGGCGTCAGACGGGTGAGGATCGCCTTGAAGAACGTGCGCAGGTCGTCTGGGTCGGAGATGCGGGTCGCGCGGAGGCGTTCGCGGGCGAACAGGAGCTCGCGGTTGGCGCTGTGGATGAAGCCTGCGATTCCCGTGGCGAGTTGGCGCTCCATGACGCGGCGGATGATGGGGCGGAGGAGGGGCTTGAGGAGCCAGCCGAAGAGGCTGAATTTGGATTTGCGGAGGGTGTAGGAGAGCTTGTGGATGTGGACTCGGACGGCGTTGAGGGTGAGGATTTGCTCCATGCGCTCTTTGGCGATCTCGACGTCTAGGTGGATGTCGATGCCGCGCTCGTCGAGTTCGAAGGATGCGATTCCCTCGTCTGCGAGGCGGAGAAGTCCCGAGTGGGCGCGGAGTAGGAAGCCTATTTCGTCGGCTCGGAGAGAGAGTCCGTCGATTTTGATAGTCATCTTCGAAGTTACGTTCGAGGCTGTCCGGAACCGTGCCTTCCAGATCTCGAAATCGTTGTAGGTCTCTACTTTGAATCGGAATGGGAAGAAGGAAGTGTGGTTGATCGTTCGTCCAGGCTCAATAATAAGGTTCTCAAGTAGAAGATCAATCTCCGGCGTGGAAACCTCGAGGCGTGGGATGGGGATGTACTGGATTGCTTGGATGATGAGAGGAACAAAGACGTTGATCGCATCGGTAACCAGTTCATTATTTGTGTAAGCATGTCGTGGAGAGAGAATGTTGAAGATACGAAGACTTGTCTGAATCAACTTTGCAATATCTTGATCGCGAGTCACGGAATTGAAGGTTCTCTGTGCTTGCTCAAAGAACTTGTCAACGTCCTGGCGCAGTGATGAATCGTTACCAACACCGCGGGACTTCTCCCTCAATTCCTGGAACTTCTCGTCGGCGTTGTCCAGGAAATCCGGATCAGTAAGGAGCTTTTGTAGAGAGTTTCCTGTATCCGTCAATAGATCCTCGAATTCGGGGTCTTTGCGAGAGTGCTCCAGGACCTTGTGGAAACTGTCCTCAAGTTTCTTCCATTCCTGTGTGTCACCAAAAGAGCTAAGGAAAAGCCAGAAGTTCTTGGCCGCTCTCTCCATGGCGGGATTGGGGTTCACATCCTTCTGTGCGGCCCCCATGGCATCTTCAGCCACACGTGAGTATGCTAAAGCATAACGCTGAAGTAACAGGGAGAGTGTCGAGACAGACTCGGAGTAATCCTTCTTGTGCCTGAGGTTCGTAACCGTCTTCTTCAGGCGATACAAAAGCGTATCACCTTCAGCACCCGTCAATTTATCGGCCAGACTCTCCTCGGCCTCCTTCGCCACTTTGGCAGTCCCATCACCGACAACCTTAGCTATCTCCCCCACCTCGCCATTGAGATTGTCTGCTGTTGGTGGTGGACCCGTCTCCGCACCAGGTTCTTTCAACGCCTTTTGTTCCGCCGCCGGGGGTTCGATCGTTTTACCGGCTTGTTCTGCCACCTCAGATAATGCGAATGCAGTGTCTCTGAACACCTCGCGTCCAACGGTGTTGAGATCGGAAAGAAACACGCGGAAGTCAGAGTTGGTAAGGAGCAACGAGCCCACCGTCTGGAGACTTCGATACGCTACACTATTGTCAGACTCCACATTCACCAACGAGGTTCACGCAATAATGTACACACCCGCAGCAGTATCAGCCTTAGCCTTCGACCGCGAAGCTCTCCGAGCAACGTCATTCACATCAACCTCGAGTCTCGATTTCGAAAGGTACCAGATGAAATCCTGTATCTGGTCCTCGCTGTTCTTGTTCTGCAGGAGGTCTATGAATTGATGCAGCCATTGCTTTGTTGACCGCACGAGCAGGCGGCCCGAGTCACTCAGGTCAGGGTTGTCAGGGTTCAAGATGTCGGCGGCGAGCAGGCTTCTGAGGTTGATCACGAGTTGTTCATTCGATGGCATGTATCCCTTCGACAGGGCGCGCACCATTTGGTAGGAATGGAGCTTCTGGTGGAGCTCGCGCTGCAGGACTGTGTCATCGCGGTACTGAGGTAGCAATGGCTCGTGGTCGGCGTCGCGAGACTTGCAGAACCCGAAACAGGACGACATGATGCCTGTGGGTGAATTCTTGTTTCAGTGTGAATGTGGTGTATTGTTGGAGCTGATCCGACCGCGTAGGTCGCGTCGCAATGGATCAATTAATTGACATCGTCACCTTGACGGGTGGTTGGAGCTATGGATTATGATCGACGTCATGGCGATCATGCAGCGGAGGACGGGTTCTTCCGGCCAGGGCCCAGATCAAGCATCCCTGTTAGGCCAGGCGAGGGGGTAGGGGTGTGTGCTCCCCCACTCTATTAACAGAGCTGCGACTACACTACACAATACACGTACCATCCCATGGCACATCAATAAGGAAACTATCAGGGTGAAGAGAACCAATGAAATAAAATATCTGTAACAACCAAGATGCAGCACTTAGTCATGTTTGTAGTTTAATCAGGTGTAAAGTCAGTTATAAAGTGAGTTATAAAGTTAGGCTTCAACCAACAAGTCGATTACATCCCTAGCTTCCGCCCGCATAGAATTCGATATCTCTTTCACAGAACCTCGCCTGCACCTCGTCCAAAGAATCCTGTCGTCCCCAATCTCTTCGCACCCAGAAGTCCGAAACGTAATGCACTCGCCGTAGATGAGGCAGCCGTTCCGTCGACACATCGCACAACCGCATCAACATCTTCAAGATGCCTTTCCTGTACCCGTGCCAAAACTCGGCTCCAGTCACACCATGGCCCATTATCCAACCGCCTTCGAAATCCTCCGGATCTATCAGCCCCGAGTGCATTTTGATACGTCCCTCTGTCTCGATGACATCTTGGCGCCACTGATCATTCAGCGTGAGTTCGGCCAGTGAAGTAGGAAACATATCTCCGACATCAAGTCAAGATATGGCGGAGATCCTCCCGAAAAGGGTTTGAAGTTGAATATGCAGTGTTTCTAGGTGACGGAATTGAGGGAGAGAGGCGAGTCTACCATCTGGCCCCGTGTGGTATCCGCATTCCACTGAGTCGTAAAAGTCTAAGTGAAGATGCCGAGGCGTTGAGGCACGCATCAGGAGGCCGCTGTCGAGGGTTTTAGTGGTCGAACCTGGGACAGATAGTTTCTGCGAATGCCGGCGGTGGCTCATTCGCAGTGCCTGAAGCTGATGGGCGTGCTGGCAGAGGTAATATAGGGACTGTGGCCCGGAGGACGAGGCATCAAGGTGAACCTCCTGTACCGTTCCAAGGTATTACTCCGGTGGCGGTCCCGGCCCAGGCCCAATGGGGCTGTCTTCTTCCATACCATCCAACTAGAACGACACGTTCAAACTTTCGTCATCCTCAGAGGAGTGTAATCGGATGAGATTCGATAATCTAAGAAGGGGGCAGTAGTCTTGGTGGTCGATTCCCGTGTCTTCTTCGTCCTCATGTGGAGGCCTCAAAGCCACTGGTAGATGCCGATCTAGGCAAAGCTGTATCGACGCCAGAGAGCGGCTTATTCCGTACCTCTGTCCATGACCCAGCGTAGTTGGTGTAGCAGATGTGCCATCTAACTGCCGATTCTTCACAATCGTTGTCATTAAAGCGCTGTACTCAGTACTATCTCGAGATCTCGGAACCATCAAACTCAGCATTGTTAGTCGTGGGGACCGACAGAGTATGTCGAAGAGAAGTAATTGCGGTACGTTGTGTTGAGTGATTAAGTTCCGGTAGTGGTCGCTGTCCAACGTCCTGTATTCCACGTTCGTTTTCGCCAGGTTCACAATCCCCTGCATAATAGCCTCTGGCGTCAGCGTCACCCAGCAGGCTATCTGGCGTATGAAATGACCAAGGTGCGAATGATTATTTCAGCAATCTGGATAGAAGCAGCAAGGACTCTGCTTCCCATATAACGATGGTCTGGAACAAAAACGGTCGAGTGAGCGCGTCCAATCTCTTCGACACGAGGCATAGATTGAACAGACTTGATCGGCCAGCAATAAACGACACTGGTGGCATTATCGTCGTTTGTGAAGTCTCTACAATATCCGCATAATCTGGCAGCTCGGGTGCTGCGTAAGCCAGAATTCTATTCCATATTTCGATCGGGAGGTTTTTGGGAGAGCGAGGGCCGTTCATTGTGAAGTACGAGGGGAAGTTTTCGCTGAAACGTTCTCAGGCGCTAGATGGATTCCGATATTCTCTACGGCAGGAGAGACGTGGCGGTCGTCTGTGCTAAAATGTTGTGGGAATTCGCGATGAAGTTCCGTCAGCGCTCGTGGGATTGAGAGGGTCGAACGATACAAGAATATACCCTCTCAACTGATTATGCAATTATCTTACACAACTTGCTCGGCAACATTCTTGGCTGTTCGAATGAACAGAAATAATCGTGCCACAACGAGATCGGCGCCTATCAGGTGATGGAGGAGCGACCTTATCGTTGGTTACACAACATTGATACGTGGGCCAACAGCCTCGAAGCTAAACCTGATATAGCTATCGGACCTCTGCAAAATATGTACTACTGACCATAATACTGACACTATGAGCGCTCATTGCTTACCCTGCGATCGAGACTTCATCGATTTCGAGGCTCTGCAACAACATAATCGAGACTCACCCGCGCACAAGTTCGACTGTACAAGATGCGATCGCCATTTCAAAACCGACAAGGCTCTGGCACAGCACTACCAGAACGCCAAGGTTCATGCTCAGTCCTCCGAACATCCATCCATTCTCACAACGCCTCCTAAAAAGCAAAAGCCGACCACGAAACGAAAGTCGACCAGAAGACCGAAGTCAGTCAAGATATCGTCCATGTACCCTTCACTCCACAATGACGTGTCCGAACTCCTTCGCGAAGACAACCTTTTCTTTAGCTTCTACGAGGAGGACGATAGTAGCAACGACATAGACGATTACGACACGAATATCATGGGCAAGTTTACTTGCAGAAATACAGCATGCCTGGCTATCTGGACAAGCAAGCAAATAGCCATCACTATACGAAGATATTCCAACCAGCGATACAATGCGAGGGTGTATTACCAGTCCTGTAAACGCTGCCGCATGACGAGTGAACCACAACCGGATCATTCATATGCAGAAAGAGTGGCATATCGTCTCAAAAAGTGGTCTGGAGTCCAGGTGGAACGCCCTCCCTTCTCAGGGCGGAGTGATGGCCCACATAGGAGCGATCTATGTGAAGGGTGTAAGCAGGGTCATTGCAGCAGGATGGAACAATTGTTCTAGCCGAGTTGGCACTTATTCGCATTGCTTTAACCTTCACGATTTAGCTTCGGGTAGGGTATCTCGCGACCTCAGGCAACGAAACACACTGACACTAACTGTGGATGTTCACTCTAGAGCCTACGAGTAGGTTCCGTGCCATGTGGCTTTCCTTCAACCGAAGTCTTTCCACCATCGTGACATCCACCCAGCATGTGAGAATGCGGGTCCATATATCGTATCGTTCATATGTATTTCTTGAAATTGATTCAGTTCCTAAATCTTCCTTTCTATATCTCGCTATGGTTTTGGCTCTCTCTTCTGCTTGCCGCCTTGGACTATTCTATTCTCCCTTGAACAGCCACGAATGTCTCTGCCATTGTCATTCAACCCTTGCATCCAAGCTACTTGGACGATGAGATAATCCCTCTGACTTTGCAACTTGAAGAGTCCAACGATCACGCGGAGACACGCAAGGGAAAGTATCCAGTCAACGATGTTCCAGATCTCGAAGTTGCATGTGCAAACTACCTAATGGAAATCGAGGGTCACCTGCCATCCCTCATGGATGTCAAGTTAGCCCACAGTATTTCCAAATGCGGTAGATCTAGATGCACGATCTATCGCTCAAATCACCACAGTGGAAGCACAGGCTATGGAAGACCGCGGCGTTGCGCTGCGAATGAGCAAGGATGACCCAGACCTCGAAGCTCCTCCCCCGTACACTGAGGATATCCGTAACGAATATCTGGAGGATGAAGTCCTGCGGCGGCTCAAGCTCCTTCTTCTCAGTGATGAGACGAGCTATGACGACAACGAAAGCGAAATTGGCCCTTCAGCTCCCTACACCCAACGTCAGGCTGAAGCATTGGGAAAAGTGTCCCACCAGAATTTCGAGTGCTGTGCCTGCCTGTCTGAGTCTCTGGGGGGTTCGCTGAACCAGAGTCTCACGCCTCGATCAATTTTGACGATTATATCCACTCAACTTCCCCCCAGTTTTCTTACAAACATGGATGATCCAAATGCTTCAGGGCCATCGAAGGTTAAACTGAAACGCATCTCCATGGCCCTAGAGAATTGCAGTGCATATGTAAGGAGCCGCGGGATGCTTGGCCACAGCACAACTACCAGATGACAGAACAAGATGCAATGAATCTCCTCTCAAAGAAATAAGATAGAGAGTAGGTTGGAGCTACCTAACGGATCATGATCGACGTCATGCAGCGGAGGACATGTTATTCCGCCCGGGGCCCACCAGATCGAGCATCCCTGTCAGGCGAGGGGTGGGAATTGGTGTGTGTGCTCCCCCACTCTACGACAGAGCCGCAACCACACTACACACTATACACTACACGTACCATCCGCTTTGATCTCCCGAACACTCTACTCGCAGGTGGGTAGCAGGAGGATCGGACAGGCAGTGGTCGGTGGTACAGGCCTGCAACATACTCGTGCTGCCCCGTAACGAGGCCAACAGGTTGACAGTAGCTTATCTCAATTGCTGTGTATCCACACTCTGCATGCACATTTTTCCGTTTTCTGCCTGTTTGTAGCTGGCTAGTCTTCCGATCAGCTCTCTTGCGACTGCTTTTCCCCGATCGATAAGGGAAAAGACTGAACAGAGGCTCGCCCGGATTCCCGTTCCAAATCAGACTCACAGAACACGAGGAGAGGGGCATGCGGAGGGGAACGAGAACGAGAATGAGGAGACGGGGTGCAGCGCAAGCACTTCCATAATCAGACAAGAATTTCGATCTAGTTGATTGGATTTCATGAATCATGAGTAGTTAGTGAACAGTAAAAAAACAATCTGGCAGAAATTTGGGCCCGAAGCTTTCGAAGCTTTCCCCGCATCCGATGTATCGGCGTGCTGCAAGTCTGGCGTGCGCGCACTCCCGCTAAAAGTCTCAGTTTATTCTTAGCGGGCAGCCGATATGGAAATTTACGGAAGCTAGAGGGAGGGGGTCCCACGTTCCCAATGTCCTCTTTGAGTAGTTCCGCCTTTTTTCTTTTTTCTTTCTACGATGTCGTTATTTCTATTACCTGTGGAAAGGGAGACGAAAAGAGGAGAAAGAAAGCTGTATGCTGTGATTGATGTTGCAGAGGATATGTGATCCACCATTTTGGCTTGGTACTACGCCTCGAAGCACGGCTGGGTTTTGAGTCTTTTTCCCCCTTTCCCTTCTTTCTTTTGTTGGTTCTAGGATTGATTGCTGTGATCCTTGAATGCCGGGCAAGGTCTCACACCGCATTCTCACACCGAAAGTTTTGCTATTAGCCAATGTGCTACGAATCGGGAGAAAGAAGAGGCAAAAAAGGTTCGTGGGAAGTGAAAGACAAGAGCTGGGGAGTTGTGTCGGTGAGTCGTCGTCGTCTTGCGGGTGGCCAATGCCGCAGCCCCGAAGTGCTGCACGCTAATCACGAGGCGGCAAGGAGGGCTTGTGGGACAAGGGTTCAGCCATGGGTGGGAGGAAGGGGAGGGAAGGATGCCGCAACTGCATCGAACAGTATTAACTATCGAACACTTTGTGTACGTAGGCATACATGCGTACCGTACGAGGGAGTATCTAGACCATTGATTACTTATTGTAATATGTGACATTTGCCAGTAAGTAAGTCAGTAAGTTCCAGGCATGGTTGTAGAATTGTTGGGGTAGGCCCGCAGGCGACAAGGAGGAATCGGATTCGAGACAGCAGCCGTCGGACCCGGGATATAAGCACAGATATGGCGCAGGGCAGGTTCGCATGCCACAAACATGCAACCGGGGGGTAAAATAAAACAATGCTGGAAATTGCGAGGGATTTTTCGTCGTCGTCGAAGGGCGAAAAGCAAAAAATCGTATGTTTTTTGTGTCGCAGGCTGGGAAATGGTCGGGTGCTGACTACTTTGGGTACTCATGCTGAGGTTAGGGTGATTGGTGCCTGACTAAACCGACGAACTGGCCGACCGACTAAGTTCACTGATGAATTGACAGCGTGACTGACACGACATCGTGGGAGTACTTGTTGTAGTGAGGAGTACTCCGAAGCAGCAGTAGTGGCAGTAGTAGGGACTAGTTAGTAGGGAGACGATGCCACGATGGTGAATTATGGCCTAATTCTGCAATAAGTTGCTGCGGGCGATCCTTGCACCCACCTGGCACCCACCCCCTCTGACCCCGTTCCGAAGCAGGTTCGTAATACGCGTCCAAGCAGTCGACTATTCCGCACGGTCTGAGTAAGTTGGAGGAAGAGTCCGTTTGGCGAAGAGTCATTATTACGATATGTGCCGTACGAATAACGAAGCATGGAGGTGCATGTTACTGACGTAGATACTGCGAGGTGCATGTGAGAAATGGTTGTATGGTACCTACATGCATGGACTATCGGCGATGGTCCAGGGTTGAATGTGAATGCATAGTTTGTAAGTGTGTTTGAATGTATGTTCTTCTGGGCGTCGCGTGTCTACCCGGTCAGAGGATGCAGTGGTTGACGAACGGCAGTAGATGGGGGTAGACCGTAGACGAGACGGTAGACCAGATGGAATGAAGTTTGCGATAGGTACGGAGTAGAGTCCTTCGGAATCGGAGCCGCACAACAAGAGTTGGAGGCAGCCAGACAGTACGAGTAGAGGTGGGTAATACACAGTAAGTACCGGTATGGCAGTAGACGTCTAGGCTTGTCTGTCCGTCTCCAACAGTTGCCTCTCCAATTCCTCCCCGATCAACATGCATGCCGTCTGCCTGTTAGTTCGTCGTACTCCTCCCCACTTGCGACTCCGAAGGTCAACTATAGCCTTCATGTCGACAGCCCTAAGGGTGATTAACAATTGGAGGTATGTGAGTGTAGACTGTGTGTAGGTATGTCTGTTCCGATATCTTCCGAAGAGAAGTTGTTCGTTGCTGTTGGAGCGTTCGCGTCGCGGGGTCCGGGGCCATTCCATTTGGTCAGCAGCAGAAGCCCGTTACCACCAGACTCGCCCTGATACGCTGTAGGCCAGTTAGTGTATACTTGTAAATGGAACATGGGCCTTGGAGTGAACAGACGGAGCGGGACTCTACCTCCGCCTCCCAATTCACCGTAATCCACCCATTCCCCACTCCGATCCACCGTAATCCTTGTCCTTTTACAGGTTTTTTTCTTTTTGTTTTCCCTTTCTTTACTTCGTGGTACACTGATTCTTTACCAGTCCAGTCCAGTCCAGTCCAGTGGCTGTTACCAGGAGTATGTCCTTCTCTTGCCCTACCGTACCACACGAACGCCACCATCACCACCGATGCCGGGAGAGTAATCAGTCATTCAGCACCTACGATGGTTTGTCTAGTGGCTTGGAGGAACATGTCTGTCACTGTCTGTCTGTTGTATCTGTCAGTCTGTTAGTAACTTAGTTGATTGCTAAAGGGTATGTTAGTTGTTGTAGTCATGTAGTCGGTCGTTGTTAGACGTGGTAGGGTACTTGTAAGTGGTAGGTAGTGATTAGGTGGGTGGCCCCTGCTCGACCAAAATAATGGGAATCTTTTTTTTCTGCTGCTACACGGTCCGTTTTGAGGCCTCAATTCCTCTACTTCTTCCTTCCAATTCACCCATTAAACCCAATCTCTTACACGGTTACAGCTCCTTTCTCACCTTATTTTACTAGGTATCCCGTATACCTACACAGTAGTATTACTATTACCCTAACCTACCTCAGGCTACCTGATACCCATACCCTTAGCCGTACCCTACCACCTACCTAACCCTTATCCTTACACCATCCCATCATCGGCTCTCCTCTCTCCTCTCTCGTTTGACATTGCTACTCCATCCTTACCCTTACCCATACCCATTTTCTTACCACCGACCAACTAACTCCCCTCCCCACTCTCCTCCTCAATCCAATCCATGTCTGACTCTTAGAATGCTTTTTTGTCTTTCCCGATAGGTCAGCTTCCGTTCCTGTCTTGCCCGTCCTCCAATCCTTTCCGACTTGTTGCCCTACCATACCTTACCATACCATACCATACTACTACCTTACGTCCTCCTCCTCCTCCTACCTACTCCTACTGCTCCTCCTCCCACACTCCTCCCACCCCCGTTCTCCCTCCCACACACACACAAGGCACACGCACCCCCGTTGCCGTAACCCTTCGGTCCAAAACTTTCCTTTTCTCACCCATATGCCGCGGCCCTGTGCCTCAATTCCTCTCCACCCCGGACGCCAATGCTACGTTTCAATCCCTTCTTAAAAGCACGCCTGTCGCCTCAGGTTGCGGCCTTTTCCAATCTTATTATTTCACATCCTCCTCCTCCCTCCTCCTCCTCTTCTTATTTATCCTCCTCCCTAAGATCTTTTACCTCTTCCAACTTCCGTGCTTTGGCTTCAGTCGCAAATATGTCTCCCTCTCAAACCCCACGCTCAGAATCTCCTCGCCTTATCTCTACTGCGTATGTTTCTCCCCTACTTGCTCCCGTCATGCTCATACCACTGTTCTCCGTTGCTGACCAACTACTGAAGAACCGGCGACTATGATACCTCCCACACCCCAGAGGTCCGCCAATACCTCAAGACCTACGGCCTCGTTCCCCCGGCTGTCCAGAGCTTCGAGGTGCAAGCAGAGAGATGTCTGAAGTTGCTGGCAATGAAGACAACCCCAATTGAGAAGTTCCAGTACTTGGTTCACCTCAAGGCCACAAACGTCCACCTTTTCTACAGACTGTTGGCAGAGAACATCAAGGTACGTACGACCTAGAAAAGAAAGAGGAAGAAAAAAGACCCCAAAAGGGCATCATAGACCCCAAATGCTAACACTCCTCCGCAGGAATTGACTCCCCTCATCTATACCCCCACCGTCGGCGAGGCCTGCGTACGATGGCACGAGATCTTCACACAGCCAGAGGGCATGTACCTCTCCTACTCGGACCGTGGCAACCTCCGCCAAATCCTGAACAACTGGCCCCAGAACGTTGAGATGACCGTCATCACCGATGGTTCCCGCATCTTGGGTCTCGGTGACCTTGGTGTGAACGGCATGGGTATTCCCGTTGGCAAGCTCGCTCTCTACACCGCTTGCGCAGGTATCAGGCCTGACGCTACCCTGCCCCTTACCATCGATTTGGGCACCAGCAACAAGGCTCTCCGCGAGGATCCTCTCTACATGGGTTCCAGGACCCCCAAGGTGTCTGCGGATGAGGAGCGTGAGTTCTTGGACGAGCTCATGGAGGCTCTCACCGACCGCTGGCCAGGGTGAGTACAACCACAACACTTCGCTTTGTTGCAGAATAAGGAAACTGATCGCGTGACAGAATCGTCATCCAATTCGAGGACTTCAAGAACCCCTTCCCCGCCATCGAGCGCTACCAGAACAAGTACACCATGTTCAACGACGACGTCCAGGGCACTGGCGCCGTCATTGTCGGTGGTTTCATCAACGCCGTCAAGGCATCCGGTGTGCCTGCCAAGGACCACCGTGCCGTGTTCCTAGGTGCCGGCAGCGCAGGTGTCGGTGTCGCCAAGCAGATTGTCGAGTACTTCATCAAGGAGGGCATTCCCGAGGAGGAGGCCCGCAAGAAGTTCTGGTTCGTCGACTCGAACGGTCTGGTCACCCTCGACCGTGGCGACAAGCTCGCCGAGCACAAGGTCTACTTCGCCCGCGACGACAACAACGGCCGCCAGTACCAGTCCCTCGCCCGCCTCATCGACTACGTCCAGCCCACCATCCTCATGGGTCTGTCCACCATTGGTGGAGCATTCAACCGCGACATCCTCACCAAGATGGCCCAGATCAACGACAGGCCCGTCATCTTCCCTCTCTCCAACCCCTCTTCCAAGTCGGAGTGCACCTTCGAGGAGGCCGTCCGCCACACCGAGGGCCGCTGCTTGTTCGCCTCGGGATCTCCCTTCCCCTCCATCGAGTTCGGTGGCAAGCTCCTCACCCCCGGCCAGGGCAACAACATGTATGTGTTCCCTGGTATCGGTCTCGGAGCCATCATCTCCAAGGCGACGAACGTCACCCAGGACATGATCTACGCCTCCGCCGAGTCTCTCTCGACCTCTTTGAACGAGCAGGAGATTGCTGACGGCTGGTTGTACCCCGACATCCGCCGCATCCGCGAGGTCTCCGTCGTCGTGACCCGTGGTGTCATCCGCGCCGCCCAGAAGAACGGCGTCGACCGCGTTCCCGAGCTCAGGACCCTCTCTGACGAGAAGCTCGATGCCTACATCAAGGAGAGGATGTACGACCCTTTCAACGACAAGGAGCACATCAGCGAGGAGCTCGCTCAGCTCATGGCCACCGCTTCCGGTCTCAGCGGCAGCACCCACGGCATCAACGGCATCGTGAACGGACTCCAGCAGTCTGCCCACTTGTAAATGATCGACCACCAACACATAATTCAACATTCCTCCCCCGCGCGCGGACAGAACAAAAAAAGTCCTTTACGAAACTAGATTGGGATCTTCACGAAGTAAGAAAGCATTTTTGACACAGGCTTTTCGTCAAAGTTTCATGCATGTTGTTGTTGTTTGTTTTTTCGGTCATTACCGGCGTCCCCCCCTGGATTCGATGATTCTGGTTTGGACACGGCAAAAAGACTTGTTGTTAGGATGGATTCGATACCCCGTTGCACACTCCATCCCTAGTCCTGCATGTACGTGATGTCCTCCGCCCAGATCGCCTGGACGGGACGAATGTGCATGTCTGGAATCCATAGTCTTCTTTTGCTTGCTTGCTTAGAGCGAACAAATTACGAAACATAATCAATCATTTTCATTTCCAACTCATCACTCTGACTGACCATCATTGACGAACATGAACCTAACAATATCCCATACATGCTCCAGCTCGCCACGTGAATTTCAGCAGAAAAACAAACAAATGACGTTCCAATAAGCACCCGCTGCATGCAGCACACCCCCATGTCAGAAAACCCCATATAAACCACCCACCTTACCCATGCCGTGCCTAACGCACTCTCGCTTCTCGCCGTGGCCGGTGCAGCGCAGGCCGTGAATTACCTCATTCGATGACATGACACGACTTGACATGTGTCAATGGAGGAGGGGGGGGACTTTTTTCCCCACCAAAACGCTCCCCAGACGGATGTGAGAAAGAGCAGCTTTGCTCATAAGGCGCGCGCGCGCGCCTAGCTGCCTGCGCCTAGCTAAACACGAATCCCGTTCCCCTTTCCTCCGCACTCCGCACTCCGCAAGAGCACAAGCACGACCATCCCATCCCGTTCTGTTCCCCGCCTGCCTGCGACACATGTCTGTTCCCGCCTGCCCGTCCGCTAGAAAAGCTCAGCTCAGCTCATGTTCTCGGCGGGGAGGAGGAGCTCCTCCGCTTTTCGCTCCCGCACTTAAAAACAGCTATGTTCCGTAAAATCCCGAGTTTCCCTCCTCGTTTTGCGGAATCGAGACATACAAGCCGGAGGGGGGAAAGAGGGGGAGTCACACATGCATCGATTGAAGTGGCATGTGAAGGGCTTTGAGGGGAGGGAGGGGAGGGGAGGTTCACATGTAAAACGTCATCGGGAAGCAACAGCAGTGGGATTGAGGATGTATTGTTCGGCTGTAGGTGTAGGTTTTTGCTCGGGATGGATTGGGTTGTGAGGTTTTATGGCATGAGAGTTGCAGGTTCGGGGACGGGGAGGAACGGAGGGATGGGATGGGGTGGTGCGTCTACAGCCATGCATGATGATATGGGATTGGTATTGGGGTTGAGTGGTTGTGGTTTGAATTGACATGTGGGCTTTGGGAGAATGTTTGTACTTGCGAATGGGTGTGTGGGTGTTGGTGTGAGATGTGAGGTGTGAACGTGAATGTCAACATAGATTTCCATAGCCATGTCACGTATTGTGAATGTACAGAGTACTCCGTATGTAGCACTCTATGATTCTAAACTACAGTCTTATGGTTCTACAAAACCTTCTGATATCATTTCGTCGTACTTTCGCTAATCCTGTGTACATACACAAACGCATTGATTGTAACGATATGTCTATATGTCCGTATGTTCACAACCATGGACATCTAACATCAAGACTTACCTTCCCTCCCACCCCCGAGATGCCGAACATACTCATTTAGTTACGTAGCTTTTCATATCTTCTTTACTCTTCTGTCCTTTCGGGGTTCACGGTAATTACGTGAGACGTGATGTTGTTGATGATGATGATCGTGTTCTCGGGATGAGGGCCTTTGCTTACATACTCATACTCGTACGATGATGACAATTAACTACGGACGGTGATGGTGCGGTCGCGGACGTGGGCGCGAGTGTGATGTCACGAAAGGAGGAAGGTTGGACTTTTCGGATGTCCGAAGAGATAAGAGGTTATCTCGATTATGCGGGATTACAGTTGAATTGTTGTTGAGAGATCAAGGGAGGAACTACGTTGTGGTAATGGTTGCGAGTCTGTGGTGATAGTGTAATGTGTGATTAGAGGGATGTTGGATGTTGAGGGGTGATGTTGAGTGTTGAGGGGAGATGATGATGTCGAGAGTCGGGGTGTTGGGACTGTTTGGAATGAGGACTCTTTCTGGTTGGAGGGAAGGGGAGGTTCAAACCGTGGGTAGAGGGGTTGTTTAGTTGATTGTCTATCCCTATTTACTTGTTTGTTTGTTTGTTTGTTTGTTTAGATACTGTTGTAGAGCGTTAGTTGTTCTCTTTGTTGGTTGTACATGTACGATGCTTCATCGTTCGCCGTCTATTCACATCACAACCAATCCTCTCCACTAATCGGAATAAAAGTACTGTGTTTATATGTCCGCTGAAAGAGGAAACTTATCTCAGTTGCAAGTACTACTCCGTATACACTATCTTTTCCCCCTTGACCAGAATAAAATATTAGGTTCGAGTCAATGATACTGCCCATGGTGCTCTCGATTGGGACAGGCTTGCGAGGAATGGGTGAATAATGTACACGAGTAGCGTGCGTTTCCTTAATGATAACTAACGCGTGTGGTGTTTATGGCAGGTTTCCCCTTGTGGTATGGGACTAAGGTTGGTACGAGTATTCCTGTATGGCGTATGGTGTATGGAGTAACTATGGGTGTGTGGGGGTTTACAGCCGGTGTAATCTTTTTTTGTTGAGGGGGGTCTTGTAAACTATTAGTACACATGGGCTGGGCTGGGCTGGGGGTAGAGCTGCGGGAGGGCGGGAGCGGAGAATTTGGGGATGCGGTGCGGTCGTGCGTGATGGTCTGTGTTCGGTCTTGGGATCCGAGATTCAGATCTGATCTGATTTGCATTTGCATTTTAGATCTGGATCTAATTACAGAGTCATGGAGGAAGGTGGGTTTGAATCTATAGGGATGGTGGATGGTGGATGGTGGATGGGGGGTGGGGGACTTGGAGAGCTTGGAGGTTGGTGGTTTCGTTGAGCCGATGGGAGCCGACATTGTTTTGGTGTTGACTATGGTTTATGACTAAATATGGACTGGATACATTTATTGTGGACGACACGTTTGAAAATCATCCAAAACATTTCAAATTTGTTGCGAATAAATTGTCCATTTCCTAGCGGGAGCTGCGCGTATGAGAATTCAAGGAAGTGGTAAAGCACATCATATCATTCACATCGAATCATATGTCTGATTACGGTTTAGTCTGCAATTGGTGGATGGTTAGCTCAAGCGACACTGCTCGTATGTATGTTCAAGTATGACTCTTGGGGAAAATTTTGGGGGTATTGTCCATGTCCCACTTGCTGCGTGTAACGATTCCGCAAACAATTCCATTGTCGTTGAACAGGCACCATACAGAGTAACTTTCGATGGTATTGTATGGATAGTATAATCATGACTGCTGTTATCGTTCAATGCAGCGTGCTTTACATTGCATGTACCCAGCAGCAAGGAGAGAGTTAGCGTTAGCGACGAGGCCAGCTCGAAATATCCAGTGCACTGGTAATTGCATATCTCAGATCTAGACATATCATTCTGGAGTCGTTTGGGAGTACAAGACACTCTTTCGAGCTGGGCTTGCGAGACCCCTTATCTCTGAACACTACACCTTAGTTGCAGTGTGCTCTGCAACAGTCGAAATTTGTAAAACTTGCATTAGATGGAATTAATTAAGCTAGATGAGTTGTCGCCCCCCGAAAGTCGTGTTCGAGTCGCTTTTACAACTGTTTAGCTTAACCTCCGACTATACCCCAGGATTTGGGTCCGTAGTCTCGAGAATTGCACATGAAAGGCCGATTCAAACACGCATGAACACTTAATTACCCTCATCGGGATGGTCTTGCGATTGACTTGCTCCGATAGCACCCGAGGCCGTTGACGCCCTCAGGTCATGATTGGGGCCTAGTTTTCGAGGTGTGGCTTGTGAATGTAATTGCATTGGCTCTTGACTTATGTCATATCGGAAAGGAGAGGGTGACTCAATCGACTCGATCGATGTTGGCAAGACGAGAAACAAGACCTGAGGCTCAGTGTTTGCGTGCACGGCTGTAGATGCTGGGTGAAAGGGACTTCACATGGTCGGACTCTGCATTTGGATGGGCTTGCGATTGAAGGGCCCGATGGCGTCCGATGTTGGTCAGTGACTGGTGTTTCACGCGCGTGTACTGTGATGGAGGTCGTGCTATTGGAGTCAGAGTCTGAAAAGAAGACATGTGTGTACAGTGATAAAAGGTGTAGGGAAGTACGGCGAAAAGACTTATTCCAACAGCTTCAATCATCATTTGAATCATCAAGTTCAGGAGCCTTCATCTCCATCTTCGTTGTCGCCTATCTATCAAAAGACATAAAGAGCAACCATCAAACCATCAGTGACTTACCACAAGACCAAATCTCAATCTCATCACCATGGACACCGACTGGGTCATCCATCCTGATGACTTCCATACTGCAGTGTCTCCCTCATCATCGCTATCGTCATCTTCTTCATCATCACGATCACAATCACCACTGCCCTCACCATCTCCCACCGTCAACCGACCCCAATACCCCCAGAGATATTCATCACGCTCAAGATCACGCTCACCCACACAACAAACCTCACCACCAACGCCCACACTCCCACAGCAACAACCCAACGCAACACCCTCCACCTCTTCCTCTTCCTCATCACCGTCTCCCCGCGAACCCCACGACACCCCCTCCACCCATCCCCAGCAACCTCATCATCACATGGACCTCTCCCCCCCAGGCACCCTAAACATCGACCCCTACCGCGCCCACCTCCGCCGCATCGCGGGGTCCCACCGCCACGTCGCCGTCGCGCTCGCCTGCGTCCGCGGCGTCTACGACGTCGGGCGCGAGCTCGGGTTCCACGGCGTCAAGAGCGGGTGCGGGTATGCGAATTCGTGGGGGTCGGCAAGGTGGAGTCGGGAGGAGCGATAAGGTGTGCTCCTCAGTGAGGGGGACGGAAAAGTTTGTGTGGTGTTGAGGGTTGGTTTCTTTTAGCGGGTTTGGAGTTCTTGGGATGGTGAAGGAAAAGGGAAGGGGGGAAGGGGGAGGTGGTAATGGGTGGTGATGATGGTTTTGTATGTATGTCTATATATATATATATTTGATTGACCTTCTGGTCTGAGGTCAACTATCAGTGTGCTGTGCTATGCTATCTATATGTGTATCGTGAAGTGAAAGGACGAACCGTCTCGATACGATGAAAGATGTGATCTACTGTGTTTTCTTCTGCGTCTGGGCAGGCCTTAGCATCCTATAACAGTCCCTCAGAAACCTCCCTTCAAACATGACAAGCACCGTCAAAGCGAAGACACCCCCAACAGCTCCGACAGAAACGATCTCCCCTAGCAGACCGTACCTAGCCAAGTACCTCTCCGCCGGCCGGGTCTTTATCAGTGTTGGTATGGCAGCCGCGGTGACCAGACTAAGCACCGTGGGCGACGTCTCCGTAACATTGAACAGTATCCCCCTCTCCGCGAAAAACCGCTTCACGAACCATGTGTTCCAGACGATTCGCAGGCCCATGTTTACAGTGTTGGCGGCGACGACGCCGCTTCCGCCCCAGCCTAGCTGGCCGATGAAGAACCACGCGCTTCCCGCGAAGAGCGCGAAGAATACGCCCATGAAGACGGATTGGATGTAGAGTTGCTTGTTGGTGGCGACGGCTGCTACGAAGGCCTCCGTGACGCCATTGATGGCGAGGAAGGGGATGTAGTAGCAGTATGTCGAGAGGACTTCTGAGGCTGAGGTCGCGGACCATTTGCGTCCTGCTACCAGTGTCAGGAGCAATGGGGCCAATTGGGGGCCGATGGTGATGGCGAAGAGCGAGATGATGGCGTAGAGACGGAGGATCATGGATAATATCCTGGCGGCTTGTGTGAGTTTTTGCTTGTCTTCTGTCGAAGGCGTGGTTGGAGGTACGTCGGCGCAGAGTTTGGCGAACAGGTTTCGACTGCTTTCTTCTATCGGTTGGAATACCATTCTCGCGACGAGGCCGCCGTAGTTGGAGGCTAGGGCGTAGGCTCCTTGGTCGGCGAGAGAGGCAAATGTCGTGATGAGGAGGGAATCTCCTTGCGTGAGGATGTATTTCAAGGCTGATTGGAGGGTGAGAGATCCGGTCAATCGCAGCAACGGCGCGGATAGATGGTTGAATATCATGGGATTCTCATTCGTCGAGGCTATTTGCTTTGGACCGAGCGAGAAACGCTCGGCCTTTGCAACTGGCCACATTTTATATGTGTATACCAGTAGCAACCCCAAAGCGTAGGCTAACTGGCCGATGGCGAAGGGTAGAACCCCAATGTCAAGTCCGACCTTGCTTGCCCAAATCGCAGATCCACATGTTCCAAAGCAACGAAGCAGTGTAGCAGTGCTTTCGGCCGATGCACGAATCTTGTAAAGCATCTTTTGCTGGACTGCCGAGAATGCTGGCTCAGTGAAGAGCTCAATGAAGGTGGCCAGACAATATAAGCATAATGCATCCATGAAATATGGTACGTCTGGAGTATCTGACTGGAGCCATAGTATGGCAAGACCATACGCCAGGGGCGTACCAAAGAACACGGCCAGGTAAGAGAGGTTGACGACCGCTTGAACGTTATGGGCTTGACGTTGTAAAGCAACGCGTAGACTCTCTCTTGCAAAGTACAAGGTAGATATGGAAAATAACTCTAATTGGGCCGATATTCCCAATAGCTCTGGAGAAAGAAAACGCAGTAGGACCTGATTGACCGCGAATGTCAGCGCCCTGGAACCAACTTGAAGCAGAATCAGAAAGGTGGCTCCTTTGGCCGATGCAGACACGACAGAGCCCGACATATCGGTGGAGCGGCCAGGGGAAATGCTCAAGTATGCCAAAATCGGAATAATACTATTGCGAAAATGAGTAAAGATTCATGGTCTGTTCCGTTTGAGGCTGAAATGTCGGAGCAGTGATGAGCTGTGGTTGGAGCTCACACCGACTTCTGCGCCCAAAATAGCATTAGCGTCTTTCCCCCGCGACGGGACGGAAAGATAAACGACGCACGTTGATTCAAAACCATATAGCTCCCAACTATCGCAAATCAACATGACTGCTCAAATACTTGCGCGAACCAGGAATCATGGTGCTTGTAGACCCGGCGATTACGGCTAAGACGGAGAGGCTGCTCATACGGCCTCTTCTAATGGAAGATGCTGTTGACATCAACATTATGAGATCCAACCCAGAGGTTATGAAGCACACGTACGTCTCTAGCAAGTCACATTCAGACGCTGTACTGATATATCTTTAGACCAATTATCGCCTCCGATGATCTCGACAAATCCAAAGCCTGGATCCAAGGCTGCCACGACCGTGACAATTGCTGGAACTTCGTGATGGAACTCCTCCCTTCCGCACCTCAATGGAGCCCCGATGGACCACGCGTTATAGGGTTGATAGGAGCTGTGCGGGCCCCAGAAGTCGGATACATGTTGAACCCCAACCATTGGGGCAAAGGATATGCGACCGAAGCGCTGCGTGCTTTTCTACCGCTCTTCTTCGATCACTTCTCAGGAGGAGAGTACATTAGGTACGAATACGCCGAGGCTTTGACGGACCCAGAACTAGTTGCGAGCCAGAACGTGTTACAAAAGGCTGGGTTCACTTTGCTGGAGAAAAGAGAGAAGGACTTTGAAAATCCTGTACTTGGCTGGAGGGACACATTGGTCTTCCGCTGCCCGCGACCAGGCGGGTCGGTTGAGGAAGCACCTTCGACGACTGTTCCCGCTGGAGTCGCATGAACGCATTTCACATGAACACCCGTTTATTGTGGCACGTTTCGAAGCATGCCGTGCCTCTTGATAGATGATTACGATAGTGCATCAACCATCTTTTGCTCACATGAGCATATCAGATGGGGTGTTCTGTTGAGGTTCGCCTCTCCTCTACGTCAACTCTGAATCAACGTCCACCATTCTCATTACAGCAAGTGGCGAACAAACTACTACAGTCATATACTACATGTCTTTCCCTTCTTCTGAGTCATAGAAAATGAATATCCCCTATCGCTACCGTTATTTTAATATCAGGGCTCGTGGCGTTGTTACGGCTGAGCAATGTCTATGCGAATCACATTGGAATTCTCTACATCATATTGGAGCTGAGCTTCTAGTCACGCATTCCCAACCTTGCGCTATGGATTACCAGAACGCAAAGGGCTTCTTTAGTGCGCCGCTTTCTGTATAACTATTCTGACATTGCACGCTGCAGCTGTCCCAAACAGATGTTCATGTAGTGGTCGCCTAAACCCCGCGTATAGATCTGAGACCGCAACAATAGATTTCCTTCTAGCATTGTCTATACCAGGATACAATGCGTAGATCATTACGTTCTAATGATCTACATTGAATCTTCTGACTGCCCATAGATGAAGTGCAACGTTCCCATCAATCATTTAAGCTACATTATCTAATCCCAACCTCACATCAGCTTTAGGCTCTATCTTCTGGCCTCCATCTTCAAATGCATATTGAGGCGCAGGCGCAGTGCCCTACCACATTGGCCCACCCTCCCCAAACCACAGCCTCAAGACACTCTTTTGGTCAAAACGGCCCCTCAGCACTCGGGACTCGGCTACGCGCAATTCGCATGGTGCGGCCTACTTACGCTCTGATTCGAGGGTTAGGCTGCCAGAGCTGACCGTGCCCGCAACGCCCCTGCCCAATCTACAACTTACACAGCAAGGCGCCCTTTCTAAGAGGCCGCCTGGTCTGTATTTGCTCGTGTCCTCGACCCTCCTTATCGAGTTTCTAATTGCGAAAACTACGTACAGTGACGTTGAACGATATATAGAATAGGTGTCAGTTGACCAAGGATGAGCGTTGTGAAACACCATTTTCGACTCACAGATTATTTGCATTACGCATATGTGCCATTCTACTCACAGCCTTGCCTTGCCTCTCGCACCAGGCAGACGCTTCACTCTGCGACTCTCGCACTTGAAACGCCCCTCAACTTTTAGTACTTGATGTATTAGCCACGCCGCAGAATTGAATCCTTCTTCACCGCAACTTTCAGCTGAACAAGATATCGTGTCAAATTTCGATACAACCAAGAACAGAAGTCGAAACAGCTACCAAAGCTCTTTGAAGCGCAGAGGATACCATCATCACGTATAACGACCAGCAAGGATCATTACAGCGCGACTACAGAAGCCTTAGAGAAATGGCTCCGGTACGACCGGTGGCTACCAGCCCAAACCCGCCAAAATCACCAAGATTAGAGCTTTCCAACGTGGAGACGAATCCAAATGCGCCGTTGCGCTTGTTGTCGCTTGATGGTGGCGGCGTCCGAGGATTATCTTCGCTAATGGTCCTCGACGACCTGATGGAGAATATTGCACTCGAAGAGAAGCGACTAGGACGTCGAGCTCAGAATGACCACTCTACGCTGAAACCATGTGACTATTTTGATTTGTGAGTCTTCGAACGTCCCCACCCATTTTCCCCAAAATGCTGACCCATCGACAGGATTGGTGGAACAAGCACTGGAGGTATCATTGCGATATTGTTGTCGCGCCTGCGACTTGACTGTAAGCAATGTATCGGCATCTACACGAAACTAGCAGAGGAGATCTTCAAGCACGACAAATCCATCAAATTGTTCGGCACCAAGGTTCCTACTGGATCAACACGATTCTCCGGTGCAGTACTCGAGCGAGCGATCAGAACCGCGCTCGTTGACCTGGGCTATCCTGAAGATGAGGTCATGTGGGACGACACGCTGTTTGAAGAGGTTGCAGAGACCGATCTTCCTGGCAGCAATATCTGGACGAATGCGCCGCCAACCCTCAGCGAGAGCCCTACCGCGACAATGAAACACGGAGATTCTGCAATGCCAACGAGCAATGTTGCAGATGACCAAGTGATTAGTCCGGTAAATCCATTTGCAGATCCCATCAAGAGGCCCACCAGAACAGACACATGGAAGATGCGACCCCGGGGATCAGTCCACAAGAGAGCCGATCAGAGAGGCTGCCGTGGCTTTGTGGTGTCCTCGCTCAAGAACGCACTTGGCTTGCCCCGATTACTGACAACTTACGACCCCAACGATCGGAAAACACGGATTTGGGAGGCTCTCCGCGCTACATCGGCAGCACCGACATTCTTCGAAGAGATGCAGTTCGGAACTCCCAAGGTCACGTATCTGGATGGCGGCGTCGGCTTCAACAACCCCTGCGCCGAAGTCGACTACGCTGCCAAAGCTCTCTGGGAAGGCAGGGCTATCGGTATAATCGTGTCCGTTGGAACCGGCCTCCAATCCATTCCCTCAGTCAAGAAGATGGCTTCATGGCTCCCATTCGGACTGGGAACGAACATTGCTCTCGCGTCTGCACTCGCAGGTATGGCAACAGGCACTGCTAGGGTGGACAACGAGATGAAGAGGATGTACTACAACACATCCACCCGGTACTACCGTTTCGATGTTGATCGGGGCTTAGCAGACATATCTCTTGAGCAGTGGATGAAAGAAGACGAAATGGTCTCGCTGACGCAGGAGTACATGAGCGACGCCAAACAACTACGCAGCGCCAGGCAATTCGGCGAGCTCATGGCGAAGCTCTCTTCACTACCGCCCAAGTTCGAAATCGGGGCTTCGCATTTCCGGGTGGGCATCGACGGGAAGGGACTGGTGAATCACGACTTCGAGCAGGTCAAGGTGGACTTTAAGACAGGACTGCCACTTGGCATGAAGAGCCACTTGGAAGATTACCAGCGGCTACCCCAGTTCCGTGAGAACAGTCCGTCTGGCGAGGGAGGTTTGGCCGTCGATAAGAAGGGAAAGCTGCGCACGATCTTCCCCGTAGCAGAGGATCTCGACGGCGACGGTCGACGTCAAGAAGCTGCCGTGTACCAGTGCATGAAAGCCGACAACATCTGTCTTCGATCCGTCAAGACTGGTATTCCTCCAGGTCGATACCGCGTACAGTTCATCGTTTCGTTGCACAACTCCAACGAGACGACGCCCGCAGATATCGTGTTTTCGGTTGGCAAGCCGTTTGATACTTCTACCTTCACGCAACGCTACGTGGATGTCAAGATTACGCCGGACATCGTACCTGTCCTGCTCTATCCCGATGCTGTTAGGGTACGTGTTGGCCGTACACGTTATGCAGATAAGAAAGGCAAAGGGTGGATCGAAATTGAGGGCGACGTTGAAGTCAACGTTGGTCTGGCCGGTGCACTTGGCTTCATCATCAGTAAGAAGTATGAAGAGGGTGTGTTCGTAGATGGGTGGACTTTCGGTGGTGTCAGATTAGAGCCTATCTTTGCGAAGCCCTCTCAATAAAGGATTAGGTAGGCGGTAGAGAAAGGAGGTTTCTTGGGGTTGTAGTTCTTCTTTTCGTCTGTCTCGGCTTGTCCGATTTTCGAGCGTTGTCACTGCATATCTGGGATAGGGATGATAGTTTTTCCAATAGCGAGCTACACTGTAGCATACACTACTACACTAATTGGGCTTATCGAATTACGTAGCTCCCACAAAATTGTAATACTCCTTCCGAGCTTGAAGATGTTCCGAGCATAACATGTGACCCAGCGTGCCAGCCACCGAATACCGAGATATCGCAAGCGAGCAGGCCGTTCGCGGGAATTGCTCGATTTGGCTATGAGTTGCTCGGCAGGGCTGTGTTATCACATTCATTTATGGAACTCTCGATGTAGTTGTGCTCTACTATGGTTAAGGCGCTGGTAGTGAGTAGATTCTTTTCAATCTTCGATTTCAAGAGAATGACATTCTTCAATGATGGAAGCAAGGAGTGTCGTCGACGTATACAACGAACTAAGATCTCCCCAGGTCTGGTTCGGCACACGTGGGATCTCACAAGCCTATTTACTGTATCCTCCCGCCCTCCCCAGCCCACGGGAGCCGAGGCCCCACAAGCTACGAATAGCTTAAGGGTACAACCCCGCAATGTAGGAACACCCTAAACCCACAACCGCGCCCTCAATTCGAAGGCAGGACCAGACAGGCCAAGCGGAGCTAAACTGTCGAAGTCAAGCTATTCGAGTCTCTAAATATGGGGGACATGGTTCCAGTCCCTTTCCCCTCCTGCGTCGGAAGCTGGGAGCCGCTGTCCCCGTCGTGTGCAGATGTATAGCTAGCTGGTCCATTCTTGTTTCAATCTACATACTTGCTCCTTGTTGGACTGCTTTACTCGAGTAAACATAGTAAGGAATCGCAAACATGCCTATCCGGAGCGACTGGACCCTGGCGCGTGAGGGTGAGTACCTGGTGCCTGCAGCATCTTCGTTTGATGCGACAATGTATAGCTAACGAAACACCATTTCAGGTGTAACCGGCGACACCGTCCTCCAGTTCCTGTCGCGATTCGCACTCAACCCAGCTCTCACTCTGCCGCTTGTGCTTCTTGCGCGCTACACGCAGAAAGGCAACCTACTGGCAGCTGAACATGCCTCCGCGTTCAAGGTCCTGAGGAAGCTCTTGTACTTTGGAATCGCCACGAAGGTATCGTCGTGGCTCGACGCTGCTGTTACGAACAACTTCAGCAATGACGTGTATGATTGGGAGAAGGAGGTTGTCGTTGTGACAGGTGGTAGCGACGGCATTGGCAAGATCGTCGTGCAGTTGCTTGCGGAGAGGGGAATCAAGGTTGCGGTTCTGGATGTCCAGGACTTGACCTACGATGGTGAGTATCTTGTCTCAAGATCGTACAGAGAAAGAGTAGACTAACACCTTGGATGTAGCACCGCCAACTGTGCGGTACTTCAAAGTCGATCTCGCCTCAAAGGAAAGCATCGACGCCGCCTGCGCAGAAGTCAAGGCCGCGTTCGGTAACCCCACAGTCCTGGTCAACAACGCCGTACGTTGAATCCCCCACCATACTATGTCCATATACAGAAACCTAACATACATTCCCCCCAGGGTTGCGCCCGCGGCAAAACTATCCTCCAATCGCAAGAGAGCGACATAAAGCTAACCTTCAACGTAAACACCATCTCCCACTACTACCTAGCCCAGCAATTCCTGCCCTCGATGATCGAGCGCAACCACGGCATGGTCGTCACGGTCGCCTCGATCGCGGGATACGTCTCCGCGCCCGCAATGGTCGACTATGCGTCCTCCAAAGCCGCCGCGCTATCCTTCCACGAAGGCTTGTCTGCAGAGCTTTCTACGATCTACAAGGCGCCCAAGGTCCGCACCGTGGCTATCTGCCAGGGATATACTCGCACGAAGTTGTTCGAGGGGTTCAATGACCGCGCGTTGTTTCCCGAGACGGTCGCGGAGGCTATCGTCAAGGCGGTGTTGGGCGGGAAGAGCAGGCATATTGTTCTGCCTGAGTTGGCGAACTTGATCGTTCCTGGATTGCGGAACCAGCCTAGTTGGTTGCAGTATACCATAAGGAAGAGGTTGGTGAACAGGATGACGAACTGGAAGGGACGACAGGTCGTTCAGCCTAGCTTGGAGAGTAAGGTGGAGGACCAGGGGCAGAAGGGAGCGGAGGAGAGCACTGTTTTGGTTGGTAATGAATGAGGGTCTGGGGACGTTGGAGGGCTTGTTCAAGTCGCGTTTTTGGCGTTGAAGTATGTGTTGAAATCTTTGAGCGGGCCTTGTTGATGATAGCAGGATGAAGAAGTGTGATTGGTAGCTTCATGTATCTACATATGAATCGAACGCAGAATAATCATGGTTAGAGTTGTATCCTTCAATTATGAACTCACATTGACTTGAACTTGTCGAAACGGTTTAGCAGCAGTTGAAATGGCCTCTATCTATACAGGTAAAGCACATATATTCCTTTTTTTGTTTGCTCAAAAGGGTTACTAACGTATCACCACCTTGGTTCTAGTGTCCGCTATGCATCTATAGTAATTTCGCCCATAGTGGAGCTTGAAGTAGACACTTGAATCCGTGGAGAAAAACCATTGAATCATTACGGCATTTTCTCATCCGTTTCCATCAACGATAGACACAAAAGAAATATGAAAAAGAAACGATAACTTGTCAAGATGTGACAGGACATGGCTTCACGTCCTATTCCTTTGATTTAATATCCTTGCATCATGCCAACCCCAGCGCTCGAACGAATCGGACACGGTGAAAAGAAATTCACAACAGCCCATGATGCATCTACGCAAGGTATCTCTTACCGAGCCAATATGCAAGTCGCGATAACAGGAAAACCTCAGCAACAACCCGTGCGGGGTATGTGAGAAGCCATACATATCACCCTCGTACAAGGCTGAGATTCAGCCTTTTCAATTGGCCAGGCAGCACTCCCCCGTTCCACGATGACTGTGCCCATTCCAATCTTTTCCTGCCGTGTAACGGCGCGGTTTAATGGTTATCTCGCGCTTAGCGGGGGAGCTGAAAGACGTGTTGGGTGTTCAGTGGTCTCCCTCATGATGGGGGAGGGCTGCAGTGTCCTTCGACATGCGGGAGTGGCGTTCCGGACGACGTGCAGGTGGGTGCGTTACAACTTATGCAGCTGATGTGATGGAGCGTATGTATACTGTATAACGACGCGAATCCTTCAGCCTTCTTCTCACAAACATCACGCAACCCTTTTTGTTTCATCTTTGATATATCACTCGAGTTTAGGAGATGGTGAAGAACAAGGGAGAGGCCGCGAAAGAGCAGCCGGTGGAGGACCCCCAACCCGCGAAGATGTCCAAATCTGCGATGGGCCTTCTACCGCAAGTTCAGAGGCCAAAAGTCTCGTTCGTAGTCCGATGTCTTATCCTGTCTGAATTCTATCTTACGCATCACAGGCCCTACTGTAGTTCGCCGATTCAACTACAATTCGGTACGGAAAATAAAGCATACTACGTTCCGATGGACTTGTTGCAAACCCCGAAGTGGATCGAACAATCGAGATTCTGGAACCCAACCATCCAGCTGCCCGATGTTGACGAGGAGATTGGACACGTCTTGGTGCATTACCTGTACACCGGTGAATATCAGACACTCAACAATGCGGACGCTTCTCAGTCTGCCGTCGATGTCGAGTTCAAAAAAGCAGTCTCGACATACACCGCAGCAGAGAAGTATGTCCTACCGGGACTATCAAGCCTGGCGAAAGAGCGAATCGAGTCGCTCAGCGAGGAGATGAGAATCCACGAGATCATCGAATCCATCGACTCGCAAATGTCCAAGTCAACCGCCGGTCGCACTTGGCTTGGTTCCTTCCTGGAGGCAAAGCTGAGCTCGGCTTTTGAAGAAGATTACGCAGACTTTGCGGACAACGAGATCTGGATGATGATGAAGGATCCGACTCTGATCGGAGACGTGGCATACTACATCTGTAAGCTGTTTGGCAGTAAGGTCGCCGATTTAAGCATGCAGTTGACACCTGAGTCGACTGAGATTGAGGGGCACGTTGACGTCAAGGAAGACGCATGCCTTGTGGAGGTCATACCTCCTCCATCAGAGCTTCCAGAACAAGCGGATACCGAGCCAGCTGTCGAACCAGAAACTCCCTGTCCAGAGCCCCAGGCTGAGCTCATGGTCAAAGCATCACCCTGCGAAGCCAGTGCCGAAGAACCACCTCCATCGGCCACGCTATCAGTGGACGATGAAGACGGCCTACCCAAGGATCAAACGGAGCGGAACAGATTGCTGATGGAAGCCTCCACCAAAGCAAAGATGGAAGCCTTAGTTGAAAAGCTGACCGATCTTACGGGCTTGTTACCGAAGAAGAAGCAGAAACGAATCATAGCGCTGAGGAGAGCCTGGACAGCAGAGAGAGAAGCCTTAATCGAACAACGCGAACGAGACATGGCCGAACAACGCGAACGAGACATGGCCGAACAACGCGAACGAGACATGGCCGAACAACGCGAAAGAGACATGGCCGAACAACTCAAAAGAGACATGGTCGAACAACTCAAAAGAGCCTTGATCGAAGCGCCGCCTGCTCCCCCACTAGACTACCATGACGACGATCCCATACAGTTCTCATTCTATGCTTCTTCCCGCGCAGGACACGAGTCATTGATTGTAGAAAGGCCACCAATAATGAACGATATCAGCTGGATCACCAAGATGAATTCTGCAGAGGCCCAGAACAAGCAGATGTTGATGAACGACACTGTTGCTGAGGAGGTAGTGGCCCCGCCGGTTGTGGAAGAGCCCATGATGGAAGAGGCATCGCCAATCACTGACGGCTGGGGTGCTTCTATGACAAGGAAGTTAAGCAAAAAAGAGAAGAAAAAGAAAGGCGCCAAGGCAACTAAGAGTGAGGAAGCCGAGTTCTTTGAATTAACATCTCAAGAGCCCGAGCTACAGCCAGAACCAGTGGCCCAGCCAGACGACGGCTGGGGGTCCTGGGGAATCACTCCCAAAGACAAGAAGAAAAGTAAAAAGAAGGCCATGTCTACTGAGGTCGACGAACCGGCAGCTGTGGAGTCAGAGCCACCGCCACCGCCAGAGCCAGAGCCAGCGCCAGTGGCCCAGCAAGACGACGGCTGGGGAACCTTCAACTTCGGCACTACTTCGACCAAAAAGAAGAAAAAGAAGGGTATGTACACTGAGCCCCATGACCCTCTACCTCAACTGACAGGACCGAAAGCAGCGCCAGAGCCCGAACCAGCCCCTGAACCTGAACCGGAGGAAGAAGACCCCTGGGACTTCAACCCCTTGGGTAGCAAAAATAAGAAGGGCAAGAAGAAGGGCAAGCTTGAGGTGCCAGCACCTCCTCCGCCAGAGCCCGAACCGGCCACTGAACCTGAACCAGCGCCAGCACCACAACCAGCACCGGCGCAAGATGACGGCTGGGGCTTCACCTTCGGAAGCACCTCGACGGGTAAGAAGAAGAAGGTTAAGAGCATCAAGCCAGCAGCACCTCCGCCCGAGCCAGAGCCAACCCCACAGGCAGAGCCAACCCTAGAAGCAGCACAAGCGGCAGAAGCGGCAGAAGCACAACAAGCAGCAGAAGCACAACAAGCAGCAGAAGCACAACAAGCAGCAGAAGCACAACAAGCAGCAGAAGCAGAACAAGCAGCACAAGCAGCACAAGCAGCAGAGGCAGAAGCCGCCCTCGACGCCCCGGTCGGCAAGAAGAAGAAGAAAAAGGGCAAGAGAGCCATTTCTCCCTCTCCTCCTCCGCCCGAGCCAGAGCCAGTCCCAGAAGCAACACACATGCCGGATGCGCTCAACCCGGGCGACGTCCAACCCGCCAACTACTGCTTCTTCTGGGTCTCACACATGGGGTCGGGAGCCTGGAGGAATTGCAACCAATGCCGCAGCTTCATGGCCGATGCCGTGAATGGGACGGCAGCGGCTAAGGACCCGGTGTCTGAGAGTAGCGGTGGGTTTGAGATTGTGGAGTGAGATTGCAATAGTCAGAAGGGGGAGGGAGGAAGATGATGTGTGTGCTGGTGTTTGAGAGACGATTTTCGGTTATTGGCTGTTTCTGTTTCGGTACTGGATTTCTTATGTTCTGGGAATGATTTAATGACCTGCTTTATGATAGATAAAGTATGCTGTATTCGGTATGTTTGCTTTGCTTTTTATAACTTTCGAGGTTTCACATGTTCCATGCAAGATGAGTTGGGTGAACCTTTTTTCCGATTTCTTTTTTGATATCTCTATCGGATTCGTAACCGTGATTCCGTATCGTACAACAGTTGATCGAGTAGCATGTCCGCCCCTTCGCTCTATCTCTTGACGAATAAGGTGAACCTATCCCTGAAGACGTCTCTTACACCCCCCTTCTTCATCTCGAATATATGAAAACTCCAATGCCCATGCTGGAATAAAAAAAAAGGAAAAATCATGTCGTATGTATGATACACGCACCTCCCTCCTCCCTCACCCCCATCATCTTCCAACCCGTTTCCCCAACTGCCACTAACTCAAGGAAACGTCATGCGTCCCAGCCCACTCACGGCACAACCACAACCCCCAAACTCGCCGCCTGCGCAACAACACTCTTCGCAATCCCCTCCAACTCCAGCCCCGCCAGTCTCCCCTCACTCTTCTTAATCCTCGCAATCTCATAAACATGCTTCAAGCTGACCGTCCCGACCGTCCCGAGCGTAGCGTTCCCGTTCGTCGGCGAACTCGCACTCGTCTTCCCCTTCTGTCCGTCCTGGTTCTTCGTCGGGCCAGGAACGTTGCCCGCGCCGCGGACTTTGGACTTCGTGGGCGCGACGCCCGCGGCGGAGAGGAGGAGGGTTGCCGTGGGCGGGGTGCGGATCGAGAAGAAGAAGGAGCGGTCGGGGCGGACGGTTATGCGGGCGGGGATGGGGGTTCCTGGGTTGTAGTGGGCGGTGCGGGCGTTGAATTCCTGTTGACCGTCAGTGTGCTGGGTTCTTCGTTGAGAGAAGGGTGGTGCGGTTGAGGGAGGGATTGAGAGGGGGATGATGAGGGGAGATGAGGGAAAAGTACCTTGCAGAAATCCATGCTCTTGACACCTTTACTTCCCAGCGCTGGACCGACGGGCGGTGAGGGTGAGGCCTGGCCCGCGCCGACGATCAGCTTCACGATTTGTTCTTTTGCGAGCGCTTTCTTCGCCATTGTGTCTGTGCGTCCCTTTTTTTGCTTTCTGGTTTTTTTATTTGTGTGTATCAATTGGATCCGTTCCTATATGAAGGAAGGTGAGCGGGAAGTCGTGGGTGGTGAGGTGGTTGAGATGTTTGTCGTGAGAGTATGTAGTGGGTGGGTCCAGGTGGTGAGCTTTTTTGCGGAGGTCGGAGGTGCCAATGGTTGCTCGTCGTCGGGGGTCGGAGAAATTGATTGGCCGGCGTACCTCTGTACAAACCTCCATATAAATTCTGCAGAACCATATTTCCAATGGCATTGAATATTGATAGAATATTGACAATTAAGACTAGAATTTCCCAAGATAAGCCGGCCTCTCCAAAGCTATTATTTATGCATGCACGACGTGACGCTTGAAGGCAGTTCCTGATCAAGATTTTGATACCCATATGATGATGATGAGAATTGTAGACTACAATACCCCGTACAACTAACTCATCTCTCCAATAATCCCCTTTTCGCCCTTTCACCTTTCTCCCTTTTTGGTGAGCATTAGAACCGAGAAACACAAAGAATGAACCAGGCCACGAGAAGCCATAGTTCGCTCACTCCCTCGTTCGTCCTCCGCCATACCCATCAACCTAATTCTTCACACACACGATACAAATACACACCCCCTTCCCTCCCCCTCATCCAGCAGAAAGTGAACGTCATCATTACCGAAAAGAAAATCCCTCTTCGCGCTCAAGAAACAGTAAGAACAATGAATTTTTCCCCCATGCCATACCTAACAACCCCATCCCATCCCATCTCAAGTGGAAATCAAAACCCATAAACGCCGCCATCCTCCTGGAACTTCAACTGCTGCTCCCTGAGATCCGCCCACAGCTTCAACTCAACCTCCTCGTCGATGCGGGCGTTGGGGTCGGAGCCCTCCGGGTCGGAGACGCGCTCGAGCTTGGACAGCACGTCGAGGAACTTGTAGAGGTACTCTTGGTTCTGCTGGGCGACGGAGCCTTTGCGCTCCTTGGGGACTTCGAGGAGGGTGCTTGCTACGGAGCGGATCTTTTGGGCCTGTGGGTGCGGGGGTTAGTGATGTGTGGTTAGGTTGGCAGGGGAAAGGGGGGAGGGGGTTGGCTTACGAAGCTGTCGGCGTTGGGCTCCATGTTGACCATGTCAATGCTTCCCAGGACGACGAGCAGGTCTTTGACGACTTGTTCACGCTCTGAAGCCATCTTGCTCTCGAGGTGGGGGTCGATCTCTGTTCCTACGAGGAGGCGGTCGAGCCCGCCTATCAGCGACCCAGGCGACCGCTGGAGCGCCGTCTGCGTCTTCAGGTTGTTCGCCTTCTCCAAGAGGACGAAGTACTTCTCGACCAGGTAGGAACGGATGCTGAGATGCGTGGCGTATATGTTCGCCTTCTGGATCTCGTACTGTGAGGTCGGGCGTATGGCGTCGGCTGTACTAGACCCGTTGAGTGCCTCCAGAGCAGGATCGCGCAGGTTGCCATATTCAGGCATGGGCGGGTAGTAGGGCTGTTTCCGTTGTCCAAATTTTCCATTCTGACTGTCTTGTGCCTTCACCTTTAGTACATCCGGCATGTCGCTCACAACATCGTTACAGCGTTGTAGTGATTGGGAAAGAATCTTCTGCTGCGTGTTCCAGTCGAACAATTCATCCACACCAAAGGCCATCTCTGCCGTTGACACCGTCGAGTAGGACAGAAACGTCCGCACGTTCACATTGAATCCCACCAAAAGCGACACCACACCCTCAGGCTGGGCGTGGATACTGTCCGGGAAGATATATGGGTCGTCAATTTCGACAGGCAAGGGTGGAAGCTGCTCCGTCGGCGTTGCAGGTAGAATAGTCAGCTCTCCGAACGAAGCACCCATCTGTGCCATAGTCCTAAATCCACATTAACTCAAGCCCCCCAATAAACACACGACCAACGCTCTCCGACTTACCTGACTCCCGCAAAGAGCGTCCAAAACACTCTCCGCCCGATCTGCTCGGTGATCATATCGAGCTTGAGGTCCCGCGATCCGTCGTAGCTAGGTCCGTTAGAGCCGTACAAACCAGGAACAGCACCGAGGTTGGTATACCCCTGTTCGTGTGCCTTGTGCAATCCCAGCGAGCGCAGGATCGTCAGGCACTCGCCAAAGTAGAGACGGAGCTGCCGCCACTGGAACGTGTATGCGCCGACCAACCCTAAGAAGTAGCTCGTGCACGCGTCGTATACGTTCAAGCCCTGGCGGTCGAGGTAGCCTGGTCCCCTCGCCGCCGCACACACTTCCCGGCATTTGTCCACGAGCGCGAGATGTGAGGGGTATTGGTCGCGTGTCTGCATCTTGAGGTGTAGGCGTGGTTTCCGCGGGAACGATGCAACGAGAGCGGCAACCATGGACGCCAGGAGGGCCAGGAACGACGAATCTGAGTAGTCTACTCTCCTATCCCAAGCTTCACGAAACGACGGTTCGTGTGGGAAAGGACACAGCGGGTGTATGTATGTGAAGAAGTCGTCGATCAGGGCGTTCATGGTAGGTACGGAGGCGATGGTCTCGGCAGAGAGATGTGCGGGAGGATGTGAAGAGAGTTGTGCCAGCGCGTGAGCAGCATTGGTCGGCGAGGCTGGCGTTGACGGTCCAGAGGGGAGGTCTCCTTCCAACCGACGTTTCTTCTTAATGGCTTCAGCATGGCGGTTGGGAGGTCCTCGCCGTCGACTGGGTCGTTCGAAGGTACATGGAATATCTAGAGATGCGCAGGCTCGACATGGGGGGCCGGATTCGTCACACTGCCATTGTCAGTTTTGCGCTTCCAGTCATAGAGACATCATGCCGATGTTGATGTTGACGTTGACAACCCACCTTGACTTTCCGTATGCTGCACGAATCGCAGGCCTTGCGCAAGCGATTGGATTTGGCCTGCTGCTGTTGTTGCTGTGATTGAAGATCCCCCTGTAGCGGCGAGCCGTGGTTTCGCTGATCGTCCAAGGCATGATTGGCCTGGTGGGCCTGCTGCTGCAGGATGTCGCCTACATTCTCGAGCTTGGGATAGAGGTTGGAGGAGCCGAACTGCAGCTGCTGTTGCTGCTGGGAGTCTAGCAAGGGCGGCGGAGCGCTCGGAGCGGCAGGGTAGATGGGTGCATATTGAGAGTCGTCGGTGGGGGGAGGTGGATACGACGACATGGAGTTGGAGCTGGAGCTGGAGCTGGAGCTTGAACTTGCTGCTGCGCTTGCGCTCGTTCCGACGATGAGCCGTGAAGGAGGTAGTTGTGTGGACGGAGCGTCTGCCATTTGTCGCCGTTAGTCGTTTTATGATCTACTAAATCACGCAGTTTCGCTACCTGGAGATGAGTGGGCCTTCATACTTTCTTTGTAAGGGGGTGTCAGTGATAGTTTTCGATGGAAAGCCTGATCCCGTTTGAGTCCGAGCTGGGGATTGGGAGCTGGGGAGCTGGGGAGCTGGGGGGATACAGAAACTTTCCCGAGCCACCGCACCTCACCACACGCCTCTCGTATCTCAAGCTTGCTTCGAAGCTACGAATCGCACGCGTCTGAGCTTGGACAGAGGGCAGAGAGGGTACAGTGGCGGAAACGCGTGGGGCCTTTTGCAGCCTCTCCCGCTTAACAACACAGGAAGGGATTGATCGCTGACGTGGGCACACGCGTGTTGGGGGATCGAGCTTGCTGTTGTTGAGTGTTGAGGGTGAGGTCAGGCGAGATGGTATTATGTCGTTCTGGATAGGTTGGGTTGTCGATTCGTTGAGTAATTGAAAGCACTGTTGTTGTTTGTTGGAGTCCTTCACACTCTCTGCTAACTGCTCTCTCTTCAAAGCAGCAGCTTGTGACCTAACGCCGGATACGGTGCGGTACCTCAGAAGACGTCACGCTGGGGAAGGGTCCATACAATCAAGCATTGGTACCTGTGTGTATATCCAAGGAAGAGGAACTGGGGATTAGATTGCTTTGTTAGAAGACAATTGCATGCACCCTTTGTCCTTTCCAAGCACTAGATTCGCTAAATGCTCCTCTCCCTCCCTTCATTCGATCATGGGCATGTGCACGCACACATGAGATGAGGTTCCATCGCATACCCCGATGCGGCCAGCCAATCACGGGCGAGATTAATCCCAGCTGAGGATCGCGCTCTGTAGATCATGTGAAATCCTCCGATCCAATACCTCACCATTTATAACATAATGAAACGCTCTCGGAATATCCTAATAATCATAAAAGGGAGGAGTGAAAATCATCTTCTTATTCAAATTTATCATGCACCGACTGGCCTTGACAAATATCAATCAATCATAGTCTCGCTAGTATGAGAACCAACTGTTTGGACATTGAGAAACGCTTCATTCCCCAGCACATGCACGCTAATTTTACTTGTTCATAAATGCATTACCCAAATACCCTCGTACCCTTCCATCGCAGCCTCTTCCTCCTCCTCCTCAAACACTACTAGTCCCATCGCTACTAACAGCCTCCTTACACGGCGGCCGACAAGACCTCGAAAGCGTGTAATCCAGAAGATCGCTCTTGGGCCCCGCGTCCACAAACTTGCGCAAGCACCAGCCAATCTGGATAGCGACGGGGCTCTCGCGGCCGAGCGGGTCGACCTGCTTGCCCTTGACGAAGATGACCTGGTTCTGCGACTGCTCGCGCTCGTAGATGCGGTCCGAGGCGCCGAACGCGATGATGGCGAGCTTCGAGCTGCGGTTCTGGCTGGCGGCGTGGGCGACGCTGCGCTCGAAACCGGCTTGGGCGAGCCCTTGGAGGAGGTGGTCGAAGACTTTGCGGGGGAGTCGGGTGCCGGATGGGTCGTTGTTGGGCCAGGTTGTGATGTTGAGGGTTGTGAGGTCGTGGAGGTCGCCTAGGCATGTCTGGAAGCAATTGTTAGTATGTGTCAATGGTTAAGCCGCTTTGATGTGGGACTCACTTGGAAGTTGATGAAAGACTCCTGGTTTTGTCGTATCAAGCTGACCTCCGGGAACGCCACGCTGATCTGCTCCAGCAACGTGCAGCTCTTGCAGAGGTCAGAGAACGCATTCCAGTCGTAAACGAACTCATTGTTGCAGTCGTCCGCTGCATGAACCAGCAATGACTTGAGAGTCTTCGCATGTCGAGTGATACCAGCCGGAGCAGGAAGAGCCTTGACCTCCTGGAAATCAAGACACAACGTCTTGAGGCCCGTAACGAGACACAAGAACCCGTCTATGGCATTCAGCCCATCATTCTCCGAATTATCGTCATGCTTGAACTCGAGAGTCTCCAATCTCTCGGGCAGTCTCGTGCTCCCGCAGAGCGCAGCGAAGAGCGCATCTCCACCAGAGCAATCCCCTATCACGATCGACTTGACAGTCCTGAAGTCAATAACCTTGCAGTACGTATCCGCCGCGTAGCGCAAGTTAATCTTATGCATCTCGATCTCCTTGAGCGTGATGGGCGTGCACTTTGCGAAAGGCTGCATGTGCGAGAAGATAGTCGAGGTCAGGATCCCCGGCTCGGTGCTCGAGTCGTTCAATTCGCGGCTCGGTATCTCGTCGTCGAAGTTGGCGTGTATGGTCATCTTCTCCATCTTCTTCGAGTTCTCCAGCAGGAGCTGCGACATCTCCATCACCTTGCGCGAGTCCGGGTAGATGCTCACTTTCTTGACGTTCTCGAACACCTTTTCGAAGTCGCGGATCTTGCGCAGCTCGGCTAGGACGTCGGAATCCAGCCCGAGGGCCTCGAGTCTCTCCATTCGCTTCTGCTTCTTGTACAGCAATATCAGGTTCTCGCCCGAGAACAGCTGCCAAGGATGCCACGAGAACTTCTCCAGGATGTTCTCGGGCAGCATCTCGAGGATCATGCGGACGGTGAAGTTGGCGAGCTGCATCTGGTTGCACGCATCGGGGACGCTGGCTAGGTACAAATCGAGCTTCCGGATCCATTGCAGGCCGATGTTCCTGGGGTTGAGGAAGGCGCCGAGCTTGTTGTCGTTGGGACTGCCGATGTCGAGCACGACCTTGTAGTACAGCTTGCGGACGGTGATCTCGTGCAGCTGCTTGCATGTGAGGCAGAGGTTCCGCAGATCTGATGGTCGGTTCACCTGTCATTTTGTTTGGATTAGCTGACGTCCGTGGTTATTCTGCGGCTTGATAGACTTGTAGGAAGCCTTCAAGGCTGTGCCGCGTGGCTTCGAGCTGGTAGCGTAGGTATATCGTAGAGCAGGCAACTCCATTTCGCCTGGACGAATGGGGGAACCTTACATGCTGCACTATGAGCGTCTTAATGTCCGTAGACAAATCCATAAACTTCAATTGCGCCATTGCGACGGGGTGAAGCACAAGCTCGGGGGTGTCGTGTGCCGTGTGTCGTGTGCCGAAGGCGGATATGCAATTGATTCCTAATCAGCAGCGTCGCAGAGGGAAGGGAGCAGGAAGTAGTCTGCCTCAATGGTATAAAGAACAATATCAAGATCTTCGAGGGAAAGTGAGCGATCGACTATTATGTATATTCGCAAGGACGGCTGTTGCCTAAGGGCAGGTTGACATCCAACGCTAAGACGACCGACGTTGAGCAGCAGGCAAATGGGCTCGGAGGTCCGAGGTGGGGAATGTTTCTTATAAAGGTGGGAAGGCTGAGTGCGTGTACTGCAGTGTTACTGTGTAGTTGATGTGATCTGATTTGACTGTCCATGACTGGGATGGAACCCTCGCTCTGCCCCCAGTGGCCCAGTGGAGGATCCCAAGCTCAAGCTCAAGCTCACCACCCACCCACGTACCCGTTCAGCCTCACTCGTACAATACCATGACTTGGGGGTGAAGACCCGGACTAACCGAGACGGGTACATGTCTCCACGTAAGAAACACGGCTGTCCCGGCCCAGTACCAAGTAAGTCGTCCATCGCAGGGAAGTCGTAGGCGAATGCCATGGCATGTCGTGATTGGATGTTGCCAACCACTTTGACCGCGTGAGCTGTTGTTAGTGCAGGATGCAGCCGTTGCGCCGCGGGCTGGGGTTCTCGGGAGAGGGTGTGGGTGTGGGTGTGGGTGTGGGTGGGCAGTCTGTGCCGCAGGAAGGGTACAGAGTACAGTAGATAGATAATTCACGGGAAGCATACGAGGTGGATGGACTCCAATACCTACTTCCCCAGATACCTACCTGCACAGCTGTACATGGTAGAGTGCATATGCATGATAGGATCGAACATTGACGCACCGCCACACCACACCACATCCCGCCTCTGCACGTCGCTCAAGAGAATGGGGGCCAATTCACCCTACTGTGTACACTCCTGCGGCCTACCTACAAGATATCTTCGACCTCTGTATGCATTGATTAGCAGGGTGAATTGAAGAGTCATCACAGGGAATCATTCACAGACAGACACAAGGCATCAATCATTGCATTATCCAATCGGCGCAATTTATACATATTCCATTTGTACCCAGTATCTTGTTACAAGTTAGGTAACTAGAAAGTAGCCTGATGAGGGAGAAACCTCAGCAATCACCCACTTGTTGTGGATCTGTACCACAGAGGATTGACCGGTTGGTGCAGGTGGCTCCTTTCGGTATTTTAGTGGGTGACTCGCTACATGGTGGGGACCATGTGCATGTGCATTGTCCCGAACAGAATATATAAAAAAAACAAATCATTTGGTATTTTCCAATACAATGTCTCCGGGGGTTACCAAATAACACAAGAACTCCAGAATATTTGCCAGAAACGCCTCGCTATGCACATGTATCATCTATGGTCACAATCCCGAAAGGTTGGGGTAACTTTATGCTTCTTCCGAGTCGGACTTTCTGAACTCGGCGAGCATCTCTGCCGCGAACTCGTCGTCGTCTTCGGCCTCAGGGTCTGAGTCTTCTTGGGCCAAGCCTGCTGGGTCCGGATCGTTCTCGAGCTCTCCTTCGATCGCTTCTTCCTCCGGCCCCGTGGTTTCTGGGCTGGGCAACCCCGATGTCTTTTCTGCAGTGACCACGTTGGTAAGAGACGTTACTCGCTCCAGTGTGCGTTTCTTCCGCCTCTGTAGCTTTGACGTGCTGTTGACACTTGCGTCGCTATCGTCGGCATCACTCGCCTCGGCGGAGGCTGTTGCGGCTCGCTTCCTCTTTTGCCCTTTCCGCTTCGTCTCCGACTGCACGCTGGTGTCTGAGCGAACGCTTTCAGAGTCGGAGTTGCTGTTATCCTCGGTATCTGATTCATCCATGAAAGCTTGTAGTTCATCGTCCATCGATTCCCAGGAGATATCGAGGGTTAGCGGTTCCCCCGTTTCACCAGCGCCGTCTTCCTCGGCTGAAGCACCCACATCGGTATCCTCGAAATCGTCGATGGGGGATCCTTCCCGTTCAGCAGGATCAACTTCGATGATATACGGCTCCTCGTCGAGATGCTCCCACCGCGAGCAACATTGGAACATCCAATCCGCATTGACGATCTTGATGTTCGGATAACGCGCGGCCTTCTTGACCTTTGTGGTCTTTCGGTCTGGGTTGGCGATGACATGTGTTGTTCGTTTGGTGACGTTGAGTGAAACTTCGGCTCCGAAGCTCTTCACCCATTGTGCAAAGTCGGACGATTGCACGTCCATGCCCAACGGGATGATGCCGGAGAAGACGATATTGGTATCCCCGAGTACCTCTCTCTTGATGCGGGGCATCAATTCCTTGATGTCTGGCACGAACTCATCAAATCGCTTCTTAGGGCTCTTGCCGCCCCTTAGCTCTGAAACGCGATCGACAGGTGGAGCTGCCTTCCGGTATTCTGCGTAGAATGTGTTATGGACTCGGCGGAGATGGTATTCGATGATATCCAGGCCTCTGTCGTCATCGTGCAAAATGCTGTGACGATGTCGGTGATGGTCGGCATGGTGCGAGTCGCCGTTTTGGACCTCACCCAGCTGGTCATTTTCGTCCTCCACTTCGGCTTCCTCGTCCTCCTTGTCAAGCATCAATTGCTTTTGTAGGAGGGGCCGCTCGGTCTGTTGGGTGATGATGACCTTCTCTTGCTCCTTTGCTTGCTGTTCCAGGACCTCTGGACTGTCCGCAGCACCCATTGAGATCAATTGTTGCTCAATCTCGGTAAGAGCACCATTTGCTTCGGGAGGGTTGCCAGCAATCGAAACGGCCTTGACGGCTGGGCTCTCTTCAACCTGTTTCGCTTGGATAGTAGCCGTTGCAGGTTTCGAAGAAGTGGTGACCAATTCCTGCTGCTTAGGCAAGAAACTGGCATTGATATCGCCCGCTCCCGGGAAGAAATTAAAGACCGGGACCCGTATCAGATTCTCGCTGTAGTGCCAAATGTCCGCTCGGTCATCGATGATGACGACCATGTCGGTATTGGTTGGGAAGAGACGATTGAGACTCTTGAGTTTGTCCGTGTAGTTCTCATCTCGACTCAATATCCTGTCGCCAAAGTATCTCCGGTCGGGATCGATGATTTTCGCAACGGCTTGTGCATATGCACGGGTCGCCATCGTGTACACGTGCATCTCGTACATTTGCGAGACGCGCTCGAAGAATTCCTTCAACCCTGGGCGCATCTTGACGTAATACCAATTGGCCGCGACGTGTGCGACATTGTCGTCGGCAAGCTGGAAGCTCTGTACATCCTTGACAGCATCGTAGTTGGGGTTTTCCGGATCGGACTGCCATTCAGCTATTGTGCGCTCGCAGGTGGTGTGGATGACGGTCTGATCGAGATCGACGATGAGCGAGAGTTTCTTGCCCTTGAGCAAGCGCTCCCTCGACACCTCTTCCGCTCTCGCGGCCTCCTTCTGGCTCACGAGTAAGGCAGTGTTGTCGTGCGTCATGTTCACCGTGGCTCGATTGAGGTTGCTCTCCTGTGTCAAATAGTCTACGACCGTCATGTCCCTGCCACAGTTTGCGCACAGAGAGCCGAATTGGATCTCATGTGTGCATGGCTCTTCTACCTCGCAAATCTGCACGCTACGCATCGTCAGTACATTATGATCCCATTTCCCATCGCAAATGCGGCATATTGGGCTTGACTCACCCGGCTCTTGGAAGTATATCCCCATTCTTTATGAACCATCTCGAGATCTTGCCATCGGCAGAGGAATCGAAGCGAGCGGGAAATCTCTTCGTCACCTCCTTCTCGTCTCCGTACTTGTCGCCCTCGGTCACTTTGGTCTCGTAGGTGTAGGAGAAGAGCGGCGTCGAGCGGCGCACCTCATCGTCGCGCTTTCTCTTGAGCTCGACGACGGTAATGGGGTAGTGCAGGCCGGTGGGTGCTTTGATCAACATCCCTTTCTGTGCACACCCATGCGAGTGGAATGGATTGAGGATTGGTTATTCTGGATGGAACTCTTTCCGCTGGACGAGAGGGTGGAATATATGATGGTCGCGTCGTGGTCGTCGCGGTGAGAATGGGCGCATTCGGTTCGGGGGGGGAGCTTGGGCCCTGTTTGGGGGGTGCGGCGGCGTCGGCGGGCGGCGGACAGTGGGGAGCTACTGGCTGTTCTTGGTACAGAGTAATACTGACCGATACGGAGTGCTTCAAATGTCACAGCCTACAGGTGAGTCACTGTTGTCTAGACTCGACTACATGTAACCAGTGGGGTGGATATGCGCAGTCGCTCTTAATCTGGGGTAGATGGAGGGCGGAAGACAATGTTGTGTGGTGGTGGTTGTGGTGGTGCTACCTGGCTGTGCTAGGCTGAACGTGTGGATTGGTGCCAAGGATTGTGCAGTTGCTGCAGAATGGAGGATTGGAAGTCGCAGTAACAAGCACACAACAAAAGGATGGATGTAGTAACTGTCCAAGTAGGTGTGTATGTATGTGTGTATATTGGAATTGTTCTGCGATATGTGCAGAGAGGAGCAGTAAGTGTAGTTTTGTCTGAGTGATCAAGCAAGTAAATGGGTGAGAAGTCGCTTTCAGTCGCTTTCATCAGTCGTCGCTTTTTTTGGCCGAGGGGGCAATTCCATTCCTTTAAATGCTCCCAGACTGACCTGGACACTATCCCGTTTCCGGCCTAGCCCCCTTTCCCATCCATCCTTACCCAAACCCCCCTCTCTCCAATCTCCTTATGTTGTCGTTAGTTAAGCAGAGCTTAAGGTAGTTACTCCCCTACGACGCCTACTTTGTACCTACCTCACACATGTTCAAAGGAAGCCATCTACCACTCCACTTTGTCCTCCCCCTAAACCCTCCTTCAAACAATATAAAGGACAGAAACGCCACGCGAACGGCGACTGTGACACCACCCGCTTGTCATAAACCCTCGTGGCCTTGTCTCAGTGTACCCTCAACCAGCTTTAGCTGCCTAGAACGTATACACCCCCCGACGTACCTCTGCCTACATCTAGATACTTCCAGAATATATGACTATTCATATAACAGTGTTGTGGTGATAAAACAGAAGCAATGCGTGAAGTCAACAGCACTCACTCCATCGTACACGCAACCCGCATGTCAAGTGTGTTTGTCTGCTGTGACCCCTGTGGTGTGACCTGCACTACCCCAAGTACTCTACCCGTCACGATCCATTCTCAAAGCTTAATAGGCATCTCACAGCGGTCACACACGAGGACTATCAATTCAGATTAAGATCGATTGATTACATCTATCGTCTAGACTTCCCGCCCGGTCGGCAGCACGACCGATTCCTCCACATTGGTAGCAAACATCAAGAGATGTTGCAAAAGTCCCACGATGGGTGATGGGACACGATGCAGTGGGTGCCTTGCGGCTTGAATGATTAAAATGCATGGTTGAAGGGAAAGAAGTAATTGAAGTCATTCCTCCAAAAAAAAAAAGAAGAAAGAAAGGAAAAGGAAAAGGAATCTCCATAATAGCTGTCAGTCATCACCATCATACCTCTCCCTCAACAGAGATGCAAGAGACAAAATAAGAAAAGGAAGTTACATGGTATTGTTGGAAAAGGGTTAGTATGCGGTGTGTATCGTCATCGTCGCTCGACCCGGAAATCGCTTCGTTAAAAGAAAAAGAAAGGGATGGCGGGAAACAAAATGAAAGTTGTTTATAGCATGTGGACGTTCGATTCTTTCGTCTAATCATATTTGCGTTCCAAAGAATGTGTAGGCGGTTGGAAGAGGCATGTTACTTCTTCGATGCCGAACCTGGGTCGCCCCTGGGTGTCGATGAGGCTTTCAGAACCATACTTCCAAGGGCCAGAGAGCCGCTACCAAGACGAGCGCCTTCGGTACTTGCCCGTGCCATTCCGGCGACCGGCTGCTGGATCTCGAAAGGATGGGGAGGCTCGAGGTCTTCGGCTTCTTCGACGAGCGTCCAGTCGTCGAACTCGTCGCTGTCGCCCTCGCGCTTTTCGTGTTTCTTGATCAGGGTTCTTGCACGGTCGAGTTCGCGGTAGATGGTTTGGATGGCAACGTGCGTGCCGTTTTCCTGTTTTCTGTTAGACTATCATCCTCAAGTATGCAATAATGGCGGTTCTTACTCTGCGGATCTTCTGTCCCAGCACTTTCGCTTTGACGATCATGCGTTGGCTGTTTGTTGCTTCCCATAGAGCTCTACTGAAGACACTGATGTTGATTTTATTGAGTCTTACGCCTACTCCAAGATCCTCGACGCGTTGAGCGAAGAAAAACTGATCGCCAAAGAACGGTTTGATGATGGTGGGAATACCAGCTCGAAGACTTGCGCCGGTCGTGCCTGACCCTCCATGGTGGACTGCTGCATCCATCTGCTTGAACAGCCAGTCGTGCGGACAAGCCTGAATCTGGAACACCTCCGGCGGGATTGGAACTTCTGCCTGCGATGCCTCCTTGCCTTTGCCTAGGCGATCTGACCAGCCCTTTGAGAGGATGCAACGCACATCTGCTTTCAGCACGGATTGAATGACAGCTTGAGTGAGGGCTGCTGGGTCCTCAATGACGATGGATCCGAAACCCACGTACACGAGCTTCTTATTGTCCTCGCGTGCCTTGGCAATGAAGTTGACCAGGTCTTCAGGAGGCTTGTAGTTGTCCGCTTCGTCCAAGAACCAGTAGCCGGTTACACGTATCCAATCGGGCCAATCCAGGGGTGGAGGGACCACAGAAGGGCTGAAGTTGTACAGGAAAGGTCGAAGGTTAGCCTGCATCTTTGCCTGCGAGGTGTTCTGTAGACCCAAATCTTGTCGCCGCCACTTGTTGATTTGTCCTGAGATCGCAGTCCAAAAGATCGTGTCGAAGGTTAGGTATGTTACACTGTTGTAGCCACCACCCATCTTCTTCTCCATCACGGAGAACGCATGAGGATAAGTTCGCGTGCGGGTCCAAGGCATCGTGAAGGCACGGAAGTATGGGATCTCCAAAGCTTCTGCGATGTGTATGCCTGCCATAGCACTGGGGCTTTCGATGAGGACGTCCGCGCCTTGACAGGCCTGCCAGGCAGAACTGCAGACAGCATCGAGCCATCCACGGAACTTGGCATTTGCCTCCTTCATGAAACTGTAGGTGAACATTCCGTGCTCGACGCAAATCCTCATCAGCTCGGCTGGATTGCCCTCCACCGGTGCAAAATCTATACCATTCTCGCGGACGACGGATTCGAATTCGGCATGCGTTGCGATCCGAGGTTTATGGCCTTCCTTCAAGAGCTCTTTGCAGAGAGCTAAGTACGGCTGAACATCGCCACGCGATCCGATTGTTAGGCACACGATGTTGAGGGGCTCTGAAGGTTTGAAGTCGACGATGGACGCGAGGGGATCGTCGAAGATCAAGGGGATCCGTTCGTTATCGGCTCCTCGAATAATTTGCGACACCTCTGCGGGCTCTGGTCCGTCTGCAACTAGGCGTGCTTCTTGTAGGAGGTCGTGCTCAAATTTGGCTGCCTCATCTTCGCTATCAATCCCAGATGAAGATGTGTCATCGTCCTCGATGTACTTTGTGCTCTCAAGGATTCGGAGAACCGTAATGGCACATTCGTCGCGATATTCTGCCTTGGAAAATTCAAAGAACAGTTCTTCGTGGCCACGGATTACGATGGCCAAGCCATGGTATCCTAGACGGAAACCTTTCTCTTTGTTAACATTCTCGATGTCGCGCATGGGTAGAATGATCTAGAGTGATGATGTTAGCCATGTTACAGGAGGTCTAGAGATTTTTTCTTTCAACAATGAGACGAACCTTTGTTTTCAAGGTAGGAACCAGACTTCGGAAACAGAAGTAGCGACCACTGATGTAGATCTTTCCATAGTTAGGAAGAATTCGCTGGAGCGACGCAAAGAAGGAAGACTGCAATTGTTCAGTTTCAGGGAAGGCGAAATGCTCGCGGAAATGCTCAGCTGCCTTTGCAGCGTCTTCATCTTCCTCGAAGCCGTGAACTTGGTCGCCTGGCTCAAGCCCGTCGGCAGTAGTGTAGTGCTTTCTACCACCAGCCAGCATGCCGGATACTTTCTCATAGTAGCCCATGGCATCGGTAGCGAGTAGGTTACCCATCTTCTTGGAACGATTGCGAAGAAATCCCGCAAGCCCCGAAGCTTTTTGAAAAGGGATGGAGGCAATGTCTTGGAGAGCAGAGGAAGAGCCCGACAACCGGGAGTTTAAGTGTTGCGCGTCAGCGTCGTCTTCGACGTCGGGACTGCCAAGCGGTGATTGTCTGTTGCCATGGGATTCACCGCGTTTCGCAGCGGGCTTGAGTGAATGAGCTGCAGCCTTCCCGCCAGATGAACGGGTAGTATCTTGCGAGTGCCTCGTCAAATTATCAGACTTATCAGAAGCCTCCAAACGCGGTGAATGAAGGTTTGGTGCTCGGAAAACATCTGAACGGCCCAATATTTGGCTCGCTGACGCATTGCTCTCGTCCATTGACTGTACTGCAGCCGATGATTCTGTGCCCGGGCCAAATGAATTTGTCGCTGATTCTGATGAATCATGAGGCTTTGTAGATAATGGTGATCGGTCTCTGGCAAGGCTCGTAGAGCGTCTATCCGCGCGACCGCTGAAGCTGCGCCTGGCCTCGTGGCTGGGTCTACGAAACGTGCGGGAGGCATCCATACTCCGTCGCACATCAAGGCTTTTCCTTTTCACATCTGTACTTGATCGGCCGGGCTCGACGCTCAGACTGGACCGACCAGCATATGGGCCAGGCAGAGGCGATAATGTAGCTCGGACACTCTCCGTGATTGGCTGGGCTCCAAAAGCGCTCTCTGTGAGCTGTGCAGTACGACTAGGTGCACCAAGCATAGTGGGTGTAGTCGCCGCCCCATCAGCTTGGCCTGGTGTTTGATGGTGATCATTATCATTGACCATTATTCGAAGCACGTTGAGCGCGTCTTGTCCGTTGGAGAAAAAGGAAAAGAAATACTGTTGACAGTGTCAGTCGGGATTACAGTACCATGGTTCGTCCCACATACCTCATCAATAGCGAATGTCTCGTCGTTGTCAATCACGCGGACCTTGACCGTGTCGGCGAAGTCCAAGATGGTGCTCTCTTCTATCTCGAGGACGTTCTGGATCGGAAGGGATATTTTGACGCTGTTGCCTTCGTTGTGCGTTCGGAATATCACCTTCTGGATCGACCTCACCCACTCTTTGGCGCTAACTGCGCTGTCTGCTCTAAACTGATAAGTGCGCTCGTCCGTAGTGACGTTAAATATTGTTTCGTCTTTGGTCTTATCTTTTGAGTCCAATACCTCGGCGGATATGGCATACTGGAGATTTATTCGATTGCGAGGGAAGTATAGATCTGCGGGGTTTGTGTAGTAGGCGAGAACATCTCCGCGAAGTATAAACCAATAGCGATTGTACTTGGAACGACCACGCTTTGATAGATAACCCGTCTTGCTGACGTCGTGCTGCGGTGGTACGGTTAGCAATGGTACCGAAACTAGGCAACCATGAATAGCCTTACATGTTTCTTGGGAATATATGCATAGAAGCATATGTGGCGCTGGGTTATGTACATATACCCTTGCAGTAAGATGCTTTGGAGCAGCCAACATGGATATTCTACGTTCGTTAGCTAGATGTTCACCGAATAGCAAGCGACAAGCCATACCAGAGATGACTTCCTCGAGATTCTCGAACTCAAAGATATCTTGTAGGCGTGCCGCAAGCGTGACAGGAGCTCGAGACTTTGCTAGATTTGACACGCTTCCATGCCGACCCTTGTCGGATTGTTTCCGCTTCTCTACATGGATATCTTGGCCAGCCGTGACCTTCGATTTATGCTTCAGTGTTTTGCTATCTCGCGAGGTTGCAACGGCAGCATCTTCGGATGGACGAGGAGGCAGGAACTGCGACGAAGACATTTGATCCGCATGATGTGCTTCCGATTTGTTTTCCTTCCTGCTTGAGCTCTTGAGCTTTGGTAACGAACGAAGGAGCTTGTTCTCCGACAGTGACCTGCGATGTTTATGCTCCGCTGGCTTGCGGCTGTCCTCTCCTTGTGCCTGTGGCTGCTGGAAATCATTGGATGTATTGATTCGACTCAGTCTTGCTGCGCCATCCAGGCTGTGATATGGTACCCTCCCCGTCCTCTTCCCCTCGTCATCGCTGTCACCGGAATCCACGCCTTCCATAGCTGCGAGATCGGTCTGCGACTGCTGACTGACCCTAGCAATCATGGAGAAGAGCGACTGGTTCATGGGCATGGTATCCTTCCTTTTCGGAGCTGTGACATCGTCCTGTGCATCGTCCCCATCTCGAAAGCGTTCGGGTATGTCCAGCGAGATCCTCCGCGAGTCTTTCCGTTTCTTCGTTAACTTGCGGCCCGTACGGTGCCGCGACCGCTCTTCTGATTCCATCGTTTATGCGTATGTATTTCGTGGTGAGTGAGTTGTGGGTGGGCGAAGCTCCCAGTACTCCGAGTACTGGTGGATGTGTTGGGGGATGGCGTCAGGCGCTCGGAGGTGCTGCGGCGTTGAAAGGACGTGGGAGGCTGCGGCCTATGCAGTTGTCGAGGGCATGTGAAATTCAGACGAGGTCAAGAACGGACTGCAGTGGGCAGTTAGAGGAAAAGATACAATCACATATTGGAAGCAATGAGTCGTTGTACTAACTGACGCGCGCTGACAAGAAATTCGCCATGTCCACGGGTCGTACTGGGGGGGTTGCAGGTGGTGGTGGTTAGCGGCGGGCGAATCAAGCGCGTGTCTTGAGGCAGGCCATCCCACCCATGTATATTATTAGGTAGCTTGTGATAAGAGAGAGGCAGTGGAAGAGAGAGGGAATGGAATAGAGGGTGCAAGGCAGCAGGATGCAGGATGCCGTATAGTCGCTGCATGTACGTATGTAGATAGCACGTAGGATGATGTAGAGGCCTCTGGCTGACTACCTAGGTACTTGTAGGAAGGATGATAACGATTTAGCCACGGCATCTATTCTCTTAGGATGAGTTATGCAGCATTGCCAGCACCTTATTGCTCTCTCTCACTAAGTTCCTAAGGCAACTGATTGACCACAGAAACGTCCGCATCCAACTATACCTACGAGCGTACAATGCAGTGCAACATGCATAGGTGGATGGGTCTCTTTGGTACGATGTACTGTGTACCACATGCAAGAATGAGTCTAAGCAATTCAGCCACGCACGCCATCCCACTCCCACTCCCACTCATCCCATTCTCGTTTTCAGTCTTCTTCTCAATTCCAATCTCAATCTCAACCTCAGTCTCAGCTTTTCTCTTCTTCCCCTCCATAGTCCGGTCAATATGGGGAAATGGTATGCACAGACCATGGTCTGCACTGCCGCCCTAATACGTCACAAGGCAAAGAGACGTTCTAAGTCAATCCCGAGGTCTCTTCACTCGGGTACCACTACTGTGACTACTGTGGCTACTGGTACCTAGTGACCCTCTTAGCTCCTGACACTGCCAGCACGCGGTCACGAGATATGATTTCGCCAAAACATGAGGCTCTGCAGTTTGTTGTGGATCAACTCCATCTTGACATTATATATACATACAGTCCCAATTCCAACACAATATTGAAGCGACAGAAACATGCTAATGAAACGGTTCCCGATTGTTACAGTTCTGAACCAGGCGCCGGGCACGCAACCAATGTTCATCAATTTGCATATCATGATCCAAATGCTCCTATTACCCCTTCCATGATCCTAAACATTACCGCTTACTTCGACTTGGCAAGACCGACGCTGTGGGTTCCGAGGTCGTAGACGGAGTACCACTGGCGCAAGAAAGCGTCTCCGAGAATGGCAAGAGGTCCAACGGGCTCGGGGAAGTCCATACCCATGAAGGCAGAGATGCAGGAGCCCTGAACCTCAAGGATGTAGTCGTAAGGGCCGATGGTGAAGTTGTGGCCGGTAAGAGTAAATGTAAGGTCGGGCAGACCATCACGCTTGTCGCACTCGACAGTGTACTGTCCGTTGAAGCCCTTCTTGGCACCAATCTCGCCGTTGCTATGCTCCGTTAGTTATTGGTCTCGAAGTGTGGGTGGCGATTACTTACAGAAGCTCGGCAAGAGTGGAGGGGAGAGCAATGAGGGAAGTACCAGTGTCAAGGATGACACCGGTGTCCTCGAGCTCGGCGGTGTCCTTGCCAAAGGTGATAGCATCAAGCTCAACCTCCCAGTAGGCCTTGCGCCTCAAGGGGATCTTGGTGAGCTCGCCAGTGTAGTGCTTCTTGTCGATGCCACCGAAGGTAGCCTCGGACTCCTCTCCGGCGTTGGTATCGCCGAGGTAGAAAGCAAAAACGGGCTCGTCCAAGAGGCCCTGGTCGAGCATGTTGTAAAAGGGAGGAACGATCTTGTTCACACTGATGGTGTCGTAACCAAGACCCATGATACCATCGAACCTGCCGAAGGCGAAAGCAAGACCGGGCTCAGAGGTAGCCTCGGCGAAGTCCTGGTGCTTGACTGTGAGGTCGCCGATTGTGAAGGTATCCTGAGAGACGAAACCGCTGAGCTCACCAGAGCCGTAGCGGATCTCGAAGGAGGAGCCGTTCTTCTTGTATGTAGAGGATGAGGAGGAGTCGTACTTGCTGTGGAGGTAGCAAGCGATCGAGTTGCACTCCGATGAGGGAACCCAAAGGTTGGAGCTTCCAGTATCGAGGACGACCTTGAAGTCCTGGGGTGGCGTTCCCAGGGAGATCTCGGAGAAGTCTGGTTGAAGCGTCAATCTCAGTCAATGAAGCAAAATGATGTGGTTTGAGAACTTACATTGTGCGTTCAAGAAGTTGCTCACGGGTACGGGGTGAGATCCATCAGCAACGTATGGTGCCTTGAAGACCTGCTCGATATGAGTCTCGGGCTTGATACCCATGTACTTCTGGCCGAGGGCGCGAGCATGCTCCTGGATGTTCGCATATTGCTGGTAACGATTAGCACGAGCTCGAGAGGATTTCAATGCCGCCCTTGATGTAGGCGACGGTCTCGTTGAGGACTTACGAGCTGCTCAGACAAGGGGACCTTCTTGAGCTTCATCCTGTGCATTCCGGCGCTTGCCGAGCCCAGCAGCGAGCCCGCTGCGAGGAAGATAGCCGTCTTCATATCGATCGATCAACGACGATGGTATGGCTAAAGAAAGGGTATGCGACGTAGATGAGGGTGATCAAAGAAGATGGGTTGTGTTGATGTTGTGATGATGGATGAGGGAAGCTGTTGTGAGGTAGAGAGCTCGAGGTGGCTGGGGGCGAGCCAGCGTCGAGCCAGCGTCATCTGAGCTGCCTAGAGACATGGCACGTGCACAGAGTTCCAAGGTTTCCGATCGCTGGATCCGGTTTAGTGGCAGGAACAACTATCGATAGTCCCCGCAAATAGATGATGCATTTAGAGGAGATGCGCGCATCATTGACTAACAGGACAGGATGGAGTACAGTCTAGAGCAAGCAAAACGCTGTTTATAGACTGCATTGTATGTACTGTAGGTACCTGGAATTCAGACCTGCGTAGCATGCACTTTGGTGGTGCAGTGCCATTCTCCAGACCCATCCATCATGGTGCTTACTAGCTTGACACCAGCCGTTTCCACAGCAGCAGAGTGCCGCGAGTCCTACTCATGCACAAACGCTGCCAAAAAGAACTGACTCACAAAATACCAAACACCACAACTGAGTAGTATTCAACACAACCTGTAGCACAGTGAGCTATCGAGAACAAACACCTACTGCCCACAGTATTCTGTAGAATGCTTCGTCTTTTAGCAATTATATGCGAACAAGACTTTATTTGTCATTTGCAGCCGCAACCGGCTGGCTAGGTTTGTATATCTAGGTAGGTAGTTCCTACCAGCACCCAGGAGCCATAAAAGTGTCAGGACCTATAGTTTAGAGGTAGTTAGACTTGACTGATATCTGACCTTCAACAGTGTCTGATGCACACTTATTTACTTAAACATGGACCTTACCACCTTATATCAACAGAGCTTTAAACTAGTCACGTGCTCTCTCATATTCGCAGAGCATGAGGCTGCGAAGACCTTGTTACATTGCAAAACCTTCTCTTTGCAATTAGACTATAGGTCCCGACATACGGGAGCATGGCTTCTACTGTGTAAGCGATCCTATGATAAAAATGTGTACCAAGGAGAAGGGCATACACCAGCTCGGATAGCTCGTATAAACCAACCACCCAATTATCTTGAGCGCATGCACTCATTTTCCTAGCTCGTCTGCAGAGCCGTTTTTGATGGGCCAGTCATGGTGATAAAAACGTAGATAAGACGGCCCTTGTTCTCAAGCAAGAAAATGTGATCTCGTGCTTCAAGAATAGGATCCCCTTGCCTAGGTATCAGAGCTACGATACGCTACTGTCCAAGTGCAGGGTTGCGAATTGGGTAGATCTAAGCGATGACCAGACGCGCGGGACGGGGCTAGCCGAAAGACGATGCGATGCTTGTACGAGTACAATGAGTATTGTAGTGCCGAGAGAGAGAAAGAAATAGACAAGAGTAGCATGCGTGACTGGTATGTCTGAGCCACGTCCAGAATTTCCCGATTTGGGACCTGTGTCACCGGCCAGTGTGTATAGATCGGCTCACGTCTCGCAGTTGTGTCCGGAGTACTCCGTAAAACCTGGTAGTATCAGTGGTTGCATCGCTATGGCTGCATACTATACTGAGGAGATACAGCCTGCGACTGATGTAGAGTGCGAAGGTGTAGGTATATATCCTGGTCGCTATTGTAGGAGATTGCAAGTGCTCTGATTCTGCTAAGTAATCTGCTACACGGGCCAGTGTTCTTACAATTATCTATGACCCTGAACAGCTCGTACGATGACAAAAGTGGGGTTCCGATGCATTCTTCGATCAATGTGTAGTGCCAATCTCTCGTTGATCGAAGGTGAGACTACGAGGTATGTCCTACCTACAACATGAAGCGTGTTTTAATCCATCCTCATGCTCGGATTCACACCGCCTCCGGTCTCTCATTGTTGCGTTTGCTATGGCAGGTCGAGATCGAGACGTGCATGATATTCACGGAAAACAGTGACATTCTGGTGATCTCCCGAACCTAAAGGTAAATGGACATTGCTTGGTATCATGGCATGTCTTCTTCTAACAGCGGAGGAGCACGTTTTCTTGGCGGTGAATACGAGCGGAAAGTTGTGTATCACAATCTCGAAAATCCGACGCTAGATGGGAACATAGAACACCGTCTACATGGCCATCACTTGCACTGTCATGGGCAGGAGAGGTGGATCAAACTCAGAACTCCTTTTTCATGCATGCAAAAACATCCAGAGCTGAGTTCTGGAATTCTGAGCTTCCTGGGTAAGCAGCATTTTATTCTCGGGCGAGAAGTCAAGAGGCGTTTCCCAATGCAGATGTCTCATATGCTCTCAACACAGCTAGCACAAAAGGAAAATGGGAAAACCAGGCAAACGCACGATATGGAAACATGATGGAATCTTGAGCAAAGATATGGTAGCTGCAGCAGTATCGTGTTTACGTTTTATTTGCATATAAACACTCTTACGCGATACCAAGCACTTTGATAAGCTTTTACAAGACATCGTCCACTGTGGAGCGTGAGGTGGAAATGACTTTGCTAGTTGTTTAATTTCCTATCTCGTGCTCGGAAATCTCTAGCAGAATACGGTATGCGGATAGCGGAGAATTGTACCAACAGAGTGAAGTTCATCTCTGAACGCAACCTTAAGGTACCCCTGAGTTTAGTAGACCACTAAACCAACTAGTAATCGGCAGCGAGCCGGAAATCTGCACAGTGGCAGAAGGCTCGGATAGGTCGGCGCCCCTCCACGTCACGCCAAGGCGTGTGTATCCCTATTTCCCTGATACATCGAAACCCCTGTCTTTCCGCTGGAGCTTCTCAAACACGCTGGAGAAAAACTACGGAATCTCTGTAACCAAAAGTCATAAGGTTGACGAGTGCGGAGAGAGCGATCGAAAGATAGGACTGAACGAGAAATGGCACACGAGTGGATAGAGTGGACTCTGTGGGGCATACTACGAACGAACGCTTTGTCGTTAGGACAGATATCTGCCATGAGCACACGCCAGTAAGAGCCCGTAAGTGGGCCATATACTTGGCGTAGATCGCATTCGTGATTCTCATTGTGCATCTGAGCGGGAGGGGGAGGCCAGTGGGCCACACGAGCCTCGAGTCTGAGAGAGCATGAGGGGTCCATGGAGAGGCCGAACGAACAGTAAAGTACTCCGTGCCGTACAGGAGAGACCGCAGAGTCGTAGACAAGAGCAAGCAAGAAAGGAGAGCATCCCCTGCGTTACATTACCTGGTACCAAGCCCCCAAAGAAGCAACCTAGATCGTCCTCACATGAGCAGAAGGAAGGGTGGCACCTGCAGACATGGGAAATGTATCAACTGACGCGGCACCGTATCGAATAATGATGGATCAGTCGAACAGTACGCCGTACCATAAATGCGAAGTGGATATGTCGAGTCACCGCCAATGGTAATTATCGAGGTGGGATAATGAGATATGGTGAGATGAGATGAAATGAAAAGGAGGGTAATAAACCTTTCCATCTCATATCGCCCATGAGATAATCATCGCCATCCCATATCCATGTCAAAATCATTCCCTCTCCTTCCTTCCCTTCCTTTGCCTTCCCTGTCCAGCTCTTTCTCCGTTCCCACGGGATGGCATTTGCAGGAGTAAATGTGGCTGATAGATTGGGGCGGCCGACCAAGGAGGGGAGAGAGAAAGCAGAGAGAGCCACAAGGGGGACAGGAAGAAGATTCAGGCGAGCCATAGAGAATGGGTGAATGAGTGAACCAGAGACCCAGAAATGAATTCCAGGCGGACGTCCGCGCTACCGCAACGGAACGGCGAAATGCCAAGAACCTGCTGGGTCCTGCTTGGTGCCATTCACCGTGTCAAAATGGATGCCTCCACTCCACATTAACCACACCCCTTCAGGCCAGAGGGATGTCTCCTCCCAGGGTCCCTCGCGGTGGCGTCTTTTTATCGTCCGTACTTCTGTCTCTTTTGGATCGTCCACAAAAGCCCCCTCGTTCCCTTTCCCGTCTCCTCTTTATTTCTTAAACTCCGTCGAGGATACATACATACCGCTTACCTGTCTGTTACCTCGACTTCTCTACTCTCACCGACATCCTCCCACAAGGACATTCCCTTTGCTCAAATATCTCTGCTCACGGACGGACGACCATTTCGATCTGGCCACACTACTACGATCACGTTCTATGGCCCTTTTGAACTTCTGAACCAGTCAATCCCGATGATAACGCTCCCTACGCCGTAAAATCTCCTCTTTATACCTAGACCGCCTGCGTCACATCGACTTCGAGTTACCCCGGCGAGCAAATAAGATAGTGGGAATTAATAGGAACCATGGCTCCTCCCCGCGACGCAAATTGGATAGACGTGAGTGCTTCGAACCTTACGCCACGAACGCCTTTCTGTGTCACGTCCACTAACACCATCTGTCTTAGGGTCTGCGTGGTGTAGCCTCATTCATGGTCGTATGTGGCCATCTCTGCACATCCTTCGTACCATGGCTGCATCAGCCCGCTCTCAATAAGAAAACCGCGCCTCACCTGTTCCAATTGCCGTTTTTCCGTCTCGTGGTCGGAGGTCGCACCGCCGTCGCGCTCTTTTTCCTCATTACAGGATACGTGAACTCGATCGGGCCAATTGGAAGGTCAAGATCTGGCAATGTGGACGGTGCTTTCAATGGAATCGCACGCAGCTCCTTGGCCCGCTCCGGACGCCTCATCCTGCCTACAATGATCGCAACGGCGATCAGCTGGTTCATGGCACAAACGAACGCGTACCACATGACCAAGCATGTCGATGCTACTTGGGTTCGCCAGGGTTGGCATAGGCAGGAACCCACCCTGTGGAAAGCTCTCACCTCCTTGGTACATGCGCAGATATCGACTTGGACCACTGGCTGGGACGAGTACGATGGAACACAATGGACCCTACATCTTTTCCTCGAGGGTGCCATGTTGGTCTATACCACCATGCTAGCTACCGCATTGGTGAGGCCCAAGGCGCGAATGGTCATTTTTGGTGTACTCTACCTCTACTTTTGGAATGTCGGAATTAGTACGTTGCATTGGACCCAGCTTTTAGTATTTTCGCATGCTAACGGACTTCAGCCCAAAGTGTTGGATCTATCAAGGGTCTTAACATCGTAGTAGGCATGATCGTCGCAGAACTCCACCATCACTTCAAGGACTCGGCGACTTCCACTCTTCCCACCCCTGTTCCTGCACTTTTGATCATCATGGGCATGTTTATGGGAGGATTCCCACAAGACTCCTTCGGGAATGCCCGTTGGTCCGACATGATGGCCAAAACCATGCGCGCAATGACTGGCCGCGATACTGATATTCGCCGTTTCTGGGATCATCTAGGAGCTTCTTTCATCCTACTCGGCGTATTTTTCTCCCGGAACGCTCGCCACGTGCTCACTTCGCCTGTCTTCAACTTCCTGGGTCGCGTCAGCTTCCCCGTCTATCTGCTGCACAACACTTTCATTAAGACTGTCTTGACTTGGATGATATACCTTCCCTCGGCCATGAACCCGCCAAAGAATGAGAAAGGAGAGCGGATGGACCTCCAGCGCGGATCTCCAGCTCACATGGCTATCGCAATTCTCCTTTTCTATTATATCCTCTACCGAAGCGCAGCTCTATGGGTTCAATATGTCGACCCTCTCTGCGCAAAGGCAACCAATGCTGCTGTCAACTGGGCACTTGGCGATGCGCCCACGAACAGCAGCGGGCCTCCACCTCATCGTAATGGCACCGCCGACAAGCACGTCCTACCAGCATAGGGCACGTTTACGAACTTTCCTTCTCATTTTCTTCGTATTATATTCTCATGAGCATGGCCGCGGTACCTCTCATTCGCAAGAAATTGGTCCATTTCGCGCAACGCGTTTTAGCAAGCCCTTCTATACCCAGGTCCGGTCTTTGGCTTAGGACAGGACATTTTCCTTTGTTGGCAGCATCGTACTTTTGTCATAACATGAGCTCTACTTTTACAGATTAGGGTTGCAATCAGGCTTTTCAAGGATCGAACGATATATTTACCTCATGTCTGATCTGGAGTTCGAGCGATTTCTTCTGATGCGACAGGACCTACCACTTGAGGCGTCCATCTTACGTTTTGTCGTTTGAATAGCAATTGCTGTAGCATTATTGTGTGTAAGAGGGGACTATGAAAAGAGCTTGAAGCTGGCATCAAAGAGTTTCGTTCAGAGAATATGAAAACCAAATATTCAAAATCAGCCTCATCGCTTTCACCAGTAATAACTAAATCTCAAAACATTTGACCGAATATACCACCGCAAACCCCACCCCCACATGTTTCCCTACCATCGTCCCCATCATCGTTAACCCTTGTGTCGCACGTACACGCACGCACGCGCGTCAAACAGGACCATAAAAAACGCCACAACCTTAACACTCTCCTAGCCCATTGTCGTACACAGACAACAGTAACAGTATGCAACTAGTATTTCGTAGACAGCACTCCGTACCTGACACTTCCTCTACGCATTCACTCTTCGCCCACTCCCGCCGCCCAGCTACCCCCAGACAGCATCTCAGCACTTCGCACGTGCCAGCCAGATACACGCAACGCCGACCGACATGCATGCACGCACACATGCATGCGCTTAATGCCTGCCTCGGTTCCGCCGGCACACGACCATGTTCCGAAACGCTTACAAAGAAACAGACAGCACGACCGCTATGTTTTACGGACTTTGAAGGACCCGTGCCAAGGCAAAAGGAAAGTGTATATTTGGATTGATAGAGGGTCGGTGATCCCGAGGAAGGAGAGATAGTGTGTGTGTTTGTGTATTCTGGGAGACGGAGATAGAAGTACGGGGTTGGACTTTGGTTTTGCGAGGGTTGGGGAAGTGGTGTGAGGGAATTGGGAGTGTCTGTCTGTAGTGAGGATGGAGCGGTTGTTGGAGACGGAATTGATTGCCGATGTGATTGTCTTGGAGTAGAAGTGTTCTCTTTCGTTCGAAGTCTAATACGTGCATGTTCACTACTGATGTTTTTCGTCGATTAGGACTACTGCTGATATTCTCATCTTTGATAGACTAGAAGAGCTCCGCGGTATTTGTCTCGTTTTCTGCGGTAGCTGTGTATCTTCTTCATGTTCTCCTGGGTTATTACTGACTTTGGGGTATGGCTGCCCATTATAGTGCTCACATCCGACGTACTAGCATATAGCTAGCTATCGATTTATACCTACGAAGTACCTATCTATCTATGCACACTACCTACTTCGCAACAGTCGTTCTATTAAGTCAGAGGGATGGTTTCGATATTTGAATACTACTCTATTGAAGAGCAGGACTTCTGGAATGTCGGACTTAGTAACCCTAGCCATATGAGCCGATATGACAAGGACGAGGGAAATGACAACACCCAGAATTGATGTGATTGCATGTTGAAAGCGACTGCCTAGCAGTCATAGTCTCCTGCACTCTGATGGACTTACTCTACCACATCATACGATAAGCGTTGCTTCTCTCACCAACTACCTACAAAGCCATTGGATATGTGGAGAATCATTTGCCACGCGCCAGAGGCAATATGCTAGGACCAAATACTAGATGTTCGTATCAACATCTTGGACCAAGGTCCATGAACAAGCCCTTTACATCATGATAGAATATAGATGTTAAATACTAGAGGTAAATCATCTGAAGAGAACAAGTATCTATTGTATGCACACTACAGATAATTACGAGCTGATACTCCAAACAAAAACAAACTGAGAATTTGGAAATACATTACAAAAGGGATAAGTGGAAAGGAAATTTGGATGAAACTTTACCCGTAAGCTAAGGTTAGATTCTGTAGTTCTTCGTGTCTTCGCCAATTTTGTGCAGTGAAACGCCTTCAGAAGCTCGCTTCTACTTTTTCTGTAACTCATTGGGGTACCAGATATAGAAGACAACCATGACAGCCAACATGAGGATGGAGTCGAAAATGTATAGTGGCCACTCGTTCCGGAGTAAATAGCCGTTAGAGCCACCACCGTACTCAATGATACGAAAAATACATCGAATAAGGATCAGTGCGGAGGTGATGTACAGCATCTTCATAATCTTGCCCCAGTCAAAGGGGGAGAATGTTCCAAGCCTGGCATTATATCGCTTGTGAAAGACAATGGCAGCCACAACGAAAAGACCAAAGAAGACAATCTGAACGACAAGACCGAAGATGACGATGATCTCGCCTGTCTTAGCACTCGTACCCGCTGCCATGTATCCTGCGCCACTGGCTTGTACTAGGAAGGCAAACGCATCTCCGATCACAAAGGTCTTTGTGAGCCAGTTTACGCGGACGATTGATAGACGTTCAGCTTCTGGGCCGAGGCCACGCATCACACGACCCAGAGTCATGTAGATCGAAGCGGCGAAAAGGGAAGGAGGAACGAGTAAGAAGACGGATTGAATGATGTACGGTCCGAGTTGGTCGGTTGCGTTGTTGGCACCTATGCGTCCACCATACCCAATGACTTCCACTAGGATGATATTATCAGCATACAACTTTTCTTCTCTGAACTTAGGAGGCATTACTTACGATAGCCACCAATAACAAAGCAGACGCAGAACCACATGCGCTGTCGGTACATTTTCCATGTGTGCATTGCCGATGCAATCAGAAATAGGATAAGGAATATGACCGCAGCTGCCATGGAAGGTACATATTTCCAAAGGTAGAAATCACCTTTGTAGGGCAGAAGCTCGCCTCTTCTGAGGAGTATCGAAACCGTTGGCGCCATTGTTCGGGTAGTTGTTGATTCAGGTCAAGAATTTGAAATTCCCAATTCCGACAAGAAGTGTATCAATAAGTAGTATTCTTTGAATGCGGAATGAGACTGGATCACTGAACAATATATGACTGATTGGAAATGCCCATAGCTATATATGTTTTGAAAATAATCAACGATTTCCCCCTGTTTAATACTTGGCATTTTTAGTTATTGCGACCGTATAGATACGCTGGGACCCAGATGTCTAGACTGGTTGATCTTTGCATCAGCGCATGGTCCTTATTTAGGGATTGCCATGAGTGCAGCTGTTTTAAGTCGGTAGTTTCGGTGGTAGTATGTTAGTGGTCATAGTTGAACATCAGCCAAGACCGTACAGGAATCGTACAGGTCGCGTATAATAGTCGTAAAACTTTCGTACGGTAGCTCCATTTCCCAACTAAAGTAAACTTGCAATGTTACTGTCTGAATAATCAATGAATTGTATAACAGATTGCAAATGCTCGGGAAGACCATAAATGGACGATAAGTGTCTGACAATGGACGATGTCTTTGCAGCGTATGCATACATACATTAGTTAACAAGAGTTCTATGTAACATTTAATATTATATGACTGTTCGAATACCGTTCTCACTATTGCTCTAATTCATTTGTGGCCCTTCGAGTACACTCCATATCTAAAAGACCAAAATGATATGCTTGCACATTCTGCAACAACCTTTCGACTTGGTATACTGGAATCCTGAATGACTGCAAAATGACGAGCCCAGAAAGTCAGTCATCTTTTAACCACTGGTAGTTTGATATCGTCTTCTAAGCAGATGTCATTTCACTGAACATTGTTTTCTCGAGCACTGGCGACATTCGTAATACTCAGCCACTTGCTGTAGAAATATCTGAGGTATTCTAGAATGGCACACGCTTCCTGGCACAGGTACTTGAACTTCCATGGGCCTTTCGAAAGTTAGAACACATGAGAAGTGGGTCAGCCCTTTGAAAGGGACTAAATGCAGGGCTCATGGTACTGCTATAAAAAGCTCCGGTGGGAAGTATAGGGGTAGCTTCTGATACTCTAGCTGACAACATAACTATTGATGGAACGGTGTGGGCATGTAAAGAGACCAACTATTATAATGAGACCTGGGGTGATAAGACTATACCTAAAAACCTGATTACCGTGACTACATTTCTAAAGACGGGTTGTCAATACAAATTCCCAAACGGTACAATAGATTCGGTGAGACTGGAAACGTACCTTGAGGTTGAAAAGTTGAAGAGGCAACAAAAATTGGCGCACAAATGACTTGATTCATGTGATGTGGTCCTGCGGATCTGATCTCTTCTTTTCTAGACTTAAAGGTAGTTACCACTGGCCGAATGAAGAAGCCGGGAGCGGCGCTTTCGCGGTGGATTGTTACATGTTAGTGTACGTAGTTTGTACGATGGCTATACGACATCTATACGATGGGCTAACGCTATTCACTAGTTAGTGTTACCACTTCTGTCCGCACCATTAGCTCTCTTGTTAGGGTATTATGGCTTCAAACTATTTTATGTTCCCTACCCAGGGACAAAGTCTCTGTCCTTGCAGAATTGAATGTTCTTCGCCTGTTGGACATTGGAAAACCTGTGATTGTTTGCATTCCAGAATGACTCTACTTCGCATTTGTTAGTGACGTAGTCCCCTTCGTACGTCGCAAGGGTCTCGGAGGAATATAACTCCATAGATCAATTGCTCTCATAACGTGATAATGGCTACCAGACGGCACCATCGGAAGTCGAGAGGCGGTTGTGTAGCTTGCAAAAAGAAACACATCAAGGTACGTTAAAATTGCCTCACCATTCCATGGCCGTTAGTATTGTGGTTGTTATTCTAAATTTAAACTGCTTGGTAGTGCGATGAGCGCAGGCCTCAATGCCTGAACTGCTTCAAAAGAAGCATTAGCTGCACCTATATCGACGCCCCAAGTCCGTCTTACCCATCATCGACCTACCCATCGCCAATCGAAGATTCCCAAGAACCCCAGCCGTCATCATCCTCAAAGCGTGCGCGTGTGTATAGCGCCGAGGATCTCGAGCTTTTGCATCATTACTGTGCCAAAGCGAACGCATCAGTGTCACAATCCATAGGCTTATCAGCGGAGAGAGGATTATTTGAGCTTCCAAAGCTTGCTTTCGAGTCTGACTATGTCCTTCACGCCATCATCGGGTTAGCAGCGTTACATCGAGCGCACCTTGAGGGCGAGACAGGACAGATCTCGGATTGTGATTTCACTGCGCTAGCCGCCGATCATGTCAACGCCGCTCTACCATCATATCGAAGTGCATTGCAAAACATCACAGAGTCAAACTGCGCGTCTCTACTGATGTTCGCGTCCTTGCTGTCACTTTACGTCTTCGCATCCTCCAACAACGGACTCAATCCTTTTCAAAAGAACACCCAATCCGCAAAGCATGGCTCAGGGCTCAGTCTGGTATCCTGGCTCGGTCTGATAGTCGGAGGTATGACTGCCATCAGACCGTGGTACTGGCACATCCTCCACAACACCGAATATGGCCCATGTCTTCAGACACAACTCTGGACAATACAAAAAAAGCCGGAAAGCCCTTTGCAGATCCATAGGGACGGTATACTGGCGGGGCTTGAGCGGCTTTGGAGCGAGGATAGAAGACTCCTAAGCCCCGGTTCCGACATTAACAGCCAGCACCCCTGGCAAAGAAAGCTATCTCCGGAGCAGCGAACTAAGCTTTCGACAATACTGGAAGCACTTCGAAAAGCGTATTTATGGATTACTTTCGTGTCTCCAGGCAGTACAGATCCTGCAGATCCTGGACTTGATCCCAACGAACCTTCGGCCCATGAAAATCAACAAAACAAATTAAGTAACTATCAATCAGCACTTCCCATGTTCATCACCATGGATCCAGAGTTGACCACTTACAAGGGCTCTCGAGTCCAAGCATCTCCAATCGAGCTCAGTGCCATACTGCAATTCCTACATTCACTGGATGGGGAATTCGAACAGCTACTACATGACAAACATCCATATGCTTTAGTCATATTAGCATACTACTCGGTGCTGTTGAAGCAAAAGGATGTCTGGTGGATCAGAGGCGTTGGCGATGATATGTTTGCCTGGATCAGTGAAGAGCTAGCGGATGAGCATAACATTGAACTTTTCGGCGAAGATCTTACAAACTGGATCAATTGGCCTCGAAGTGTCTTCGTTCACGAATTTGATAGTCGAGTTGACGCTGGGAATATTGAAGTGGATCTATCTTTATAGGAGATTCTGCTATCATATAATAGCGCAAGAACTTTTATTCAAGTCGTCTCAAGTAAGCACATTTCACTAAAGGCACACATTAGAGATCGAATCAGCAATTGGCAGCATCGGAATCGAACATTGATTTCCCCCTTAAATGTTCCTCCATACCATTACACATTGTACATTATTGTCGCAACCCTCTGTTCACATGGCCTATCTTCTCTGCGACGACAACTTCCATCCTTGTTCGGTCGGCACCAACTGGACATTAAACTCCTTCGCCCTCTTCGTAATCTCCCTTTGCCTATTTGTAGCCCCAACAGTACCCATCATATCCAGACTCTCCTTGTCGAAACCGTGGAACAAGAAAGCCAAAGCGTCAGACTTCAGGTCGTGGACCGGAGGAACGATTCCATCGACGCCAGCCTCGGCCCTGAGCCGCGATTGCGAGATGGTCGTCTGGATCACCATGCCGAGGAAGAAGACAATCAGCAGGCCTATAGTCGCTGCGGCGTAGATCAGCCATACCCAGCGCACCTCCACGCATGTGGTGTTGAAATGCACGTCTCCGATCGCTGGCGCGGTGAAGTTCTCGAGACCGTTCCTGCGCATGTACGTGGTCATGGCGTCTGTCATGTTGCGTACCATTCCATCGACGTCTGCAATGGTGCCGTTGCCTGATCCTGCGTTCCAGAGCGACATGAGGGTTTCCTTTCCTTCGAAGGCGCCGTAGCCGTAGTTGGGGGAGTCGTAGAGCTCGCCTTGGAGGATGTCGGCGAGGAGGTAAGGGCCGACACTGTTGTAGAAGATGTAGCCCATGGAGTGGATGCACCTTGCTGGGACGACCGTGTAGGCTTTCTCGGTCAAGTTCCAAGATCCACCTCCGTAGTCTTTGCAGATTTCAGCCGAGGATTGCGCGGGCGCTTTCGTGCAAGGGTTGTAGTCTGTGCTGGTCACGTATTCGGGGTCTTTTAGGGATCCAAACATGGCGGAGACATTGTATGGAAGCCATCGAGTCTTGTCGTCGAATTTGTAGCCAAGGTCCTTCAGGATGCGGCGACCGTCGTTGTCGACGCATTTCAGGTCAGCGGTGTTGATTGACCCAGCGCCATATCCTACCCTCATGCTGTGCGAGAAGGTCTCCTCAAAGGGACCGCTTTCTTCGATGGTTTCGTGCAACTCGCTGATGCTCATAGAGCCCCGGATCGATTTCATGCATGGATAGACTCGACAGCTGTATGCCTTGTAGATATCCGGATCTGGATTCTCTGGCGCTCTTTCGCGGCGAATCATAGGTATCTCATCGAAGGTACTGCCACCGGACAGGAAAGAAACTGGTTTCATCACAGTTCCGTTCACAGATGGGATGATACTCCCATTTGGACGAACAAGTGAAATGCCGTCGAGAGTGGCATTTGTCCAAGGGGTTTTTAGACTACCCGTGCCGTTGGTGAAAGTAGACATAATAAGATCATCGGTCCTGTCTCGACATTTACTGCAGAACCCCACGGTGGTGTATTCTTCTGGGAAGGTACAGTTGCCGGATCGGCAGGTCGCTTGAACCTGGGGCTTGATGTCGGCGAAGATACCGTTGTAAGCTGCATCTCGAAGACCTCTGGAGATTTCCTGATAGATTGCGAAAATATGTCTTCCACTTTCATCGTAGTGTTGGGCTCTTGGGATGCTAGCCTGGACATCACCGGACACACGAACGCAGTCCTCTAGGCGTATGATCTGCTGCGAAAATGGATCCAGTAGAATGACCAGAATAGTAACGAACGCTCCAAGGGAGGAGAACAGGCCTCCTCTGTGCTTCAAGAGTAGAGCAACGGCGCCCCAGGGACCTCGGGAGGCCTGATCGTGTAGGGCGAATCCTGAAAGTGGTCTGGGTCTCGAAAGACTTGTCCATTTCAAATGGCTGATACCTTCAGCCAGAATAAGGCCAGCACAACCCTTCATAATGACGGTGTAAACAGCGATCAAGGCGTTGAGAGAGATTCCGTATCTCCATTGAGGCAGCGGCTTGTGTTCGTAGGCGCGGACTGTAACGATGATGGCAACGACGGTGGCGACTGTAAGAATACAGGCCAGTATTTCGAGCCACCAGACGTGTAGAAGGCTGCTTCGATGCCATGTCCCCTTTGCGTATTCAATGGGACGAGAAGAAATGGTGTTCCAGCGAGTTCCACTCTGAATCTTGTGGATGTTTTCTTCGGATGATTTCTCAGATGAGAATACTTTGCTGTATGTCTTGGGTGCTCTCTCGTTTGATATCTCATCCTGTGATCGACCGCCATTGTTCATCTGAACGTCGTGGAATCTGTCCATGTTTGAGCACTCCGAGTTTGGCAGTTGTCGGCCGAGACGTGCGGAAAGGATGCTATGCTCGTAGGATGTTACCACCAAAGAGCATTATATCATTATATTATGAAGAAGTTTGGTTTGGTTTGTAAAACCAGGCAAGCATGAAGCTTTAAATGCGCAGCAACATTGCTCCGCTGCGTTCTCATCTTACTATATAGTAGTGAGGCAGACTGACTTCAAATTTGTCCGTGGTATACTAGACGATGCTCGTCCCTGGTCTCGGGCGCTACACTGCATGTACCCAGTGAGAGCTAGTTGGGGCTGGACGTGAGGTGAGGCCGCTTGATACAAAACGGCGGCCAATCGTGCAGGGGCAGTTCCTAATTACGGCCCCCAATATCAAACATGGTCACACTATCTCGCGCGAAAGCATTAAACCTCAGCCCCTCTGGACTGACCCAAACATACTTGGACGCGACCCGTTGGTCAAAAACACTGTCGGGCGTATTTCGATGTTAGTTGTAATCTGCAGAGGCAAGAAGCATTGATACATACAGTCACATCCATAATAAGGAACGGCGGCCATAAGCATCGTCAAAACGGGACCGCATAACGAGATTACTGTGGTAATCCCCGGGCTGCTAGGGTCCTGCGCATCAAGCAGGTATGAGAACTAGACCCAACGGTGCTACTCTCTGGAGAGCAGGGATAATAGCGTGTTACTGCATTTTAATTCCCCTTCGGCCAGGCCCGACCAACAAGGTGCCAGCGGTGTCTCGTTAACTCGCCTAGAGCACCAAGTCAGAGATACATGTGAAGTTGCTCCTGCAGATGAGTCGGCCGAGAGATGTATTCAGCTAAAGGATTCCAAGCGATAATCATCAGGACTTGGCACCCAGGTGAAATATATGTAAAGCCTGATAATGGAAATATGCGTTGGTTGCTCAATAGTTTGAGATACTCGTACGGGTGTGTAAAGTGGAAATTATGCATGCGATCCACTGGCTGATCTTCGATTTTACCAAGTCGTCCTGTTGAACTTATCCCCATGGCCCCTAACAGATGCATCACACAGCCGCAGATAATGTTCTTTTTGTCATGTTGGTTCAGATTGATGCATTGGAATGTAAAACACAGTGACATCATCAGGACTACTGCCGGAAGTCGTGAACCCCGATTTCGTCTCTGTTGATTCACCGTGTTTCGTTGTTCATACTGGCAATCGTAGCTGCTTATATCTCTTGATATTCACAAATCCTCGATCCTCGCTCGAAGCGAGTCGTTAGGATTAATCATGCACTCTCCTTGTTCTCCAAGCCTCCTCAAGCTCGATGCGAATGGCGATCAAAACATTGATCGCGTCTATGAGGATGTATCCTTCTCTTCTTTTAAAAATTCGTCATGGTAGCCCACCGGGATGTTTCTTTTCCCAATTATAAAAAAACAAATGAATTCCTTTGACTCCGCCCATTGCTAGTCCCATAAAGAAACCCGAACTCTTTTCTCTCGTATTGGTGACATATTGGTTTAGATCGAGCTGGGGTAGAGCATGACCCTCACGCTGGCGCCGAAGCTCTTGGGAGGAAGGTTGGACCTGAAAGAAGCACGAACAACACCGGAGTTTCCTAAAATCCAGAATGTCAGGACAGATGCCCTCATCTGGTGCGTATAATGCGATTGCGACTCACCGTGTGTCCTCCTGATGCGTCCCCAGATAACGCGGTGCTTGGTTCCGCGGACAGCAGTAGGTGCCTTGTAAACGAAGGCGACGCGCTTTCCAAGGTAGAAGGAAGCGGCCTCGGTGTTGTCAACGCCCTCGAGAGCGAGGAGGCTCACATTGGGGTTGGTGTTGCGCTTTCCGCGCTGGTAGCTAAGGTGGCGTCCCTTGACGTAGACTGCAAAATTGTCAATTATGATCTCGCATGGCAGCATAGGGATAACGTACGGCGGTGGCTCTTTTCTTCCGACATATTTAATGGTATCTTGGGGTATCTTGGATGGGATATCGTAATGTTTAGATGTACGATGAATAGTTCGAGATCCCAATGTGTGGGTCGGCGAAATGTTCTTCCTAAGCGAATCCTTCCCCATGATTCGGGAACCATGGGCGTTAGCGTCGTCTTAGTTCGAGGTACATCACCTCAACTAATGTTCCGGTTGATCACCAATAGTCGATCAACTGTGTTACTACGAACAACATCATATATTGTTTCAGCATTCAATGCATAATATATTTGTATGGCATACCGTCAAGTAGAAAATCATCCACCGTAACCGAAAAGAGCGTGTGCATCGTCGTTGATGTATTGCATGTGCCTTCGGCATAAATCTGCCTCTATCTGCGAAAGGCATTAAATGGCATCACAATCAATATTTTAATGTGGCCTTGACGCTAAAACGAAAAGGTGTCAAGGCTATCAACATGCAGAATGAAACATAGGCATCGTTATCAGTGCAGTCAAACGCATAGACGACCGACAAAGTGAGTGACTTGTGTATGACTTTCGATTTATTCATTAGCCTTGGGATGGTCTTACGACCATGCTGATCTATAATACCCTTTTGTTCAAGCTGCCCCGTTCATGTGCATCTCGAAGCCGGGCAGAGTCCAAGCTATTTGTATCGTACACATCATGCCTGTACAGGTACAATGTTCCTTTAGTTGCGACCCTCCGAACGTATGTAGCGCTTATACAATCGTCTCTAGCTCCCTGGCGTACCCGAGAGTTTTCTCAATGACTTGGTCGCTTGTCACTAAGATGTCCTTGCTATCGTACTCGTCCTCTTGCGCTGGGAAGTATATCCTGCCGTCCTTAACGATCCACCCGCATTCTTGCGCAAAGCTGACTACGCTGCCTTCAGAGTCAAGGAAGAGAAGGGATTTGGCGTCAGCGACGGGGATGGAGGGGTATGCCTTCTCGCTGCAGGAGGCAATTTCCTTGCGGATCATTCCGATCAGAACCTAATACATGTGTCAGTACTGGTAGCTTCAAAAGAGTGTATGGCACGACATACGTCCGAGAAGAGCGCAAACTCCTCGCTGGGAACCCTCTCGCTCTTTGTCTCCCCCCAAACCCTATCGTAGCTTCCCTCCATCAATGCCTGCTCTAGCCTGATCGGATACTGAATGAAAGCATCCTCCTCGAGCCCTTTGCCCGTCTGTGCAGCCGCCACCTCTAGCGTCTCCAGTAACGTGTGGAACCCCGCATAATCACCATCGCTCAGCAACAACAGCAGGTACAGGCCTGTAATCTTGCTTGAGTTTCCGCCCTCCTTTGGCAGCACATTCTCCGGTAATGAGTAGAAGGGTTGCAGTTGCTGGAAGTAGCGTGTGAACGACACGGGGTCCTTTAGGCGGATGGAGATCACGGCACCGACCTCGAGCGTTTCGCGGGCGATGAAGAGATGTTTTCGTGGTGTTGAATCGGTGGGAATGAGAGCGTTGAGGTTGAGGAGGGCGACTTTGGCGCGGGAGAGGAGGGATGTGGACTGTTGGTACTTGTGTGACTGGAGGGACTGGTGAAGCTGCTTGAGCAGTTCTCGGAGCTCGTTTTCGGCCATTTGATGGGGATTCTGGGAAGATGAACGGGCGGAAGAGACGGCTTCGGAGGTCGCGAGTGTAGGTTTGGCGGGTTGTCGTGTGTTTGATGTTGGAGGCGGAGCTTTGGGAGATGGCGAGCTTCGGACTACTAGACGCGAGGTTGCTGATTGCTTCGAAGCGGCGGTCTTGGCGGCGAAGTCAATGCGCGGTGGTGACGTCCATATCGTTCCGTATCCTTCGAAAATGCGATTTCGGATATAAGGCATGATTTATTTTTGTATTCCAAATCTGAGTTAGAACTCTATTTTCAGGGAAAGAAGAAAACTTTATATTATTCACGGAGACGCGCAGAGTCGAGACATCCACATGTTGAGCATATGACCCTGTTTGGTCACATTGTGTCTCAAAACCCAGGCAGAACAATAGTAACATGCATACAGCTCTGCCAGGTAGAAATGCTCGTCAGAAAGGTACACACACAGCACTGTCCAACGTGCAAAGTCCCTCACATCACAGGAACTAAGCAGGTCCCAAAATTTCATCAAAGGCCAGCGCAAGCCAGCACGGTACGGACCGTACCAAGTGTGAACTCGTTTTCATCTATCCACATATGCAACGCAACAGGGTGTCTCTTTGTACATAAAACGGAATGTCTTCATTGGACTATCTCCTCCGACCGAAGCGGCCACCCTTACCGCCATTTCCCCCTTTGCTCTTTATCTTCAGCCTTCGGTAGTTGGCATGGGCGGTTGCCTTGATCTTCCGAGCAGCTGTCTTCACCGGTCCGGCGTTGTCTTTCGGCTCTGCCTTTGCAGCCTCTTTATCTTTCTTCGGCTGCACTTTCCGCTTCTTCGGTGTGTGGGAGTCGTCACTGGCATAGTCTGAGTCGCTCTCGTCTCCGGATTTCCCTTCATCATGTGCGGTGGAGCCAACTTGAGTTTCTTGAACTCCAGTCTCTGGTTCTGAATCTTCGTCATTATAAGACATGGTTGGCTCAGGCTTCGGTTTTGCAAAATTAGGACGCACTGAATAAGGTTAGCAAAGGATGTTTCCGTATACGTTTGCAAGAACTCACTGATAACGCGTCTGGTCTGCCTCTTCTGACCTCGCTTCTTCCATATTCTGGTAGGCTGGCCACTCTCATCTTGACCATCCTGCTCATCCTGTTCATCTTCTGAAGGCACAAAACCGTCTTGGTCCAAAACAACAGCAGGCTGGCTATCCTGCACGAGGATGGCTTTGGTTTTCGCTTTCTTGGGTAAAGATATGCCCATTTCCTCCATTTCCAACTCCGCCATGATCTCTGCTTCTTCGTCGAGCCTGTCCTCCTCTTGTTTCTTCATAGACTGAATCATGCTGCTCAAACTTCTGCCAAAGCCCCTTCGCTTCCACGGTGCTGCCCTGGGTGTCGCCTGGACATCCTCCTCATCGACAACACTCAAGACGTTGTCCCGGCGCAGGAAAGCAGGTGTAGATAATCCTTTCAATGCCGATGTGGGCGTGCCCTCGTCTCCGAATCTCCTCTTCTGTGGCGTGACGAACTTGTCCAGCATGAATCGCTTTCCAACAGATTGCGGTGTCTTCTCCCCCCGGGCTCGTAGCTCTACCGATGCCTCGCTCTCGGCCTTGTTGTGTTTCCTGCTCGGAGTCTGAAGGACGTTCAGGGAAACATCTGATAATACCGCCCGCCTCTTGCTAGGTGTTTCCGAAGGCAAGAGATCGAACAAACCCAGGACGATTCCATCGCGTTGTGGAGTAGGACCAATTAATGTAGGACCTTGCGGAGAAAGGAGTTCCGAGGGATCAATGTTCTCTTCTGTGAGATCAACTCCAGAGTCTCGCTTTCGCTTTTGTGGTGTTGTTGTGAGGCTTCTAGGTTGGCTCTTGATGCATTGTTCGGCGACTTGGGTAGGTTTCCGGCTCGCGCAGCGCTTGGACGGTGTCTGAGGAGCAGTCTTGCCGGACATTACTTCGCGAAGTTTGTTGTATTCTTTGTATTTCTGTGCTGCAGGATGTAAGTCTCAAATGTTGTTTTAATTCGTGGTAGCGTGCATACAAATGGCGGCGTTGGCCTTGATGTCGTCTCTTCCTGCCTTGCGGCCATCATGCTGTAAGGCGAAGTCTTTTTCCCAGGCCTTGAGTTCTTGTCGCAGTGCATTGCACTGGTCTTGGAAATTGAGGCAATCCATTGTTGTTGTAATGTGCAATGTTGTAGTAAAGAATTGTGAGTGTGGAAGGAATGCGGCGGTACTTAGGGTAGCTATGTTCATGTGGAGGTTGGCGAATGGCACGTTCACATTCGCGGTGGGTTGAGACGCGACGCGCGCGCCGAACGGCACGTCACGCAAAATTTAGCACGAGCCAGCCACGCCCCAGTCAATTAATTCAGCCCTATCGGCCAAAAAGCAGAACGCGAGCCTCAACCTTCAAAACCAGCACCCCCATATAATCAAAATCCGGAAATGACCTGTATTCTTTTCTTTTCAAGTGCATAAGGCATCCTAGATATAATACAGGTACTATTGACAAACTCCCGCTCGGAGCTCGAAAAGCGCTTATGCTAAGACCAGAACCCCAAACCAAGGAAACGAAATCTAGTAGTGAATGGCCTTGTCGTATGTTGACATAGCAGCCTCCTTGAAAGCCTCGGAGAGCGTAGGGTGAGCGTGCGATGTGCGGGCAACATCTGCGTATGCGTTAGTATGCGCTTCAAAAATCACATCAATTGTAGACTTACCCTCTGAGCTTGCACCGTACTCCAATGCAAGGGTACCCTCAGCAATCATCTCACCAGCGTTGGGGCCAACGATGTGGATGCCCAAGATTCTATCAGTGTTGGCATCGGAGATGAACTTGACCATACCCTCAGTGTCGAGGTTGGTCTTGGCTCTTGAGTTGGCGGAGAAGGGGAAGGTTCCGACCTTGTACTTGACACCGGCAGCCTTCAACTCCTGCTCGTTCTGTCCAACCCAGGCGACCTCGGGATGAGTGTACATGACGGAGGGAATAGCGCCGTAGTTGACGTGACCGTAGCCCTTGGTAAGATACTCAACGGCAGCGACAGCCTCCTCCTCGGCCTTGTGGGCAAGCATAGGTCCGAAGGTGACATCTCCGATAGAGCGAATGTGGGGGATCTTGGTGCGGTACTCCTGGTCAATGATAAGACGGCCACGCTCATCGGTCTCAAGACCAATGTTCTCGAGACCCAAGCCAGCGGTGTAGGGGCGGCGGCCGATGGCAACCAAGACAACGTCGGCATCAAGCTGTAGTTGTTAGCGCATGTTTAGTCGAGCAATTTATACCATAACTTACGACATCCTCCTTTCCGCCCTTTGCAGCCTCGGTGCTGATCTTAATGGTCTCGCTGGAGTCGTCACCAGAAACAACCTTCGTGTTGAGCTTGAACTTCATGCCCTGCTTGCCGAGCAACTTCTGGGTCTGCTTCGCAATCTCGGCGTCCATGCCGGGACCTCCGATCTGGCCGAGATACTCGACAACGGTGACTTCGGAACCAAGACGGGACCAAACAGATGCCTGTATCGTTGTCAGCGGATAGAGAGATAATTTGCGTGGCGGAACTCACCATCTCAAGACCGATAATTCCACCTCCGATAACAACCAACTTCTTAGGGACCTCCTGGAGCGCAATGGCACCAGTGCTGGTGATGACCTTCTTCTCATCGATGGTCAAACCAGGGAATGGAGTAGCCTCAGATCCAGTAGCAATGAAGATGTTCTTTCCCTTGACGGAAGTCTCACCGCCGTCAACGAGGTTGACAGCAATGGTGTGCTCGTCCTGGAATGCGCCAGTTCCCTTGATGTACTCGACATTGTTCTTCTTGAACAAGAACTCAATACCCTTGGTCAATCCGGAAACAGAGGTCTCCTTTGCCTTCATCATAGCCTCAAGGTTCAATTTAACCTCACCGACCTCGATACCGCGGTTCTTGGTGTCGTGAAGGATCTGGTGGTAGAGGTGGGAGTTGTTCAAGAGGGATTTTGAGGGAATGCAACCGACGTTGAGGCAGGTTCCTCCGAGGCTGCCACGCTTCTCGATACATGCGACCTGCGATGGTTTTGTTAATTGCCGCTCAGTATTGTATTATCATCGGGCTTATGGAATACCTTCAAGCCAGCTTGGCCAGCTTTGATTGCGGCGACATAGCCAGCAACACCGCCACCAATGATGACCAAGTCCTTCTCTTCTATCAAACAATTAGCATTGATGCATCGCAAAAGCTGCAGATGGATGCAACTGACCGGCCTCCGATGCGTATCCTCGCCTTAATCGGCCCTGGAAGTAGATGTTGGGTGCGCAGAAGGTGCTTTGGGTTACGGGTCGCAACTGCCTGGGGACAGCGCGAGGAAGTACGGACCGGAACATGATGCGAGAGAAAGGAGGAGGAGGATTCTATTAAATACAAAAGCCGTGTTCAGCACGGCGGGGTGGTGGAGGTGGGTCAATGGGGGATGAGATGGCGATGTTGTTGAGCTCTAGCAAGAGTCAAAAGTCTCTCACACACAATCCCTCTCTTTCCCGAGCTCACTCCGGTGCGGCTACAACCGGGGCCGCACGCGAACTTCATTGGTCAGTCACTCCGATCTCTACCTCTCGCGCCCCATTAATTTCATCACAGCACAACAGCTTCAAGATAAATTTATATGTCTTAGTTCAAGGCAGATAATAACTCATATCTATGGTATCGCGGTTTTTGATCCAAAACTCCATCTCTAGTTGTCAAGGTTCGCAGTAGCCAGCAACCTCAACAGCATCCCGTTCACCGACTTACAGCCCCATTGCACTGTCTCCTTCTCCGCTGCATTCGCAGTAATGCCTGTCTTAGATACCACCTTCTTGAGGAAGAATTGCAGTTCCGGGATCATCTGGGGAGTGTTATCCACGTTGATAAAGACTTCCAACAATCCCTTCTCATCCCGGCCTCCTTTGGCTTTCTGTTGTGATTGGAGGATGACTGTGACTAGCAATATCTCGATGAACGTCTTCGTCTTCGGCTTTAGATGCGTAAGACTCAGATTCTTGATACTGGTGATCGAGAGACCGTCTTTGGCGATCAGCGTTCCGTATAATTTGCCCAGGTTGACAAGTTTTCGCAATGATACATCGGTATTGCGTTCCTCGTCCTCGTCGTCGGAGGCTTCATCGTCTCCCTTCTTCTCACCTAGACTCTTGAAAAGATCCCACAAGGTGAATTGAAAACACTTTCTTGCCTTGTAGTCTGTGCAGAATTTTCGGGCCAAGAGCGTGTAGTAAGGATTGTAGTTTTCCTCACAGCCGGAACAGTGGACGATGACTCTGGGAATCTCCAGTTCTTGAGATTTCTTCAGATTTAGTTTCATCAGACGCATATGAGCATCCTTTGCATCGCTCGCAGACATAATCGTCACAAAGATTGCGCGACGAATATCCGTGTTCATGCGTTGTTCCCTTGCAAGTTGGAGTAGATCGACGTCGCCGTTCTCTCCACCGATACTGGTGGTAGATTCAGGTACGCTGGCGGGTTTGTCCTTTGGCTGCGAGGGCTCATTTGCCATATCATTCCTCCAACTAGCACCGACGAGCCACCATTTTCCCTTCTTGTCCGTATTCTTGACATCGGCAAGACCTATGCGCAGCGGTTCCGTGCCCTTGAGATTTCGGTTGTTCAACGAGCCTAGATGCTTCTTCATCCTCGTTGTATGTTCGCTCACCAGCGCGGACGCTGCCACGCCGGCCTTCATTTTGTTGTTTTTCAGGTTGTTAATGGTTTCGATCATGAACTTGGTTCGCACGGGAAGGTTTTTCTCGCCAACCTGTGCGACAGATTTCTGGAGAAGGAGGACAATATCCTTCAAAGACGTAGGATCATCCTGTCTCAATTGCGAACCGGAAATCTTTACGATCCTCAGAAGGAGCTCGGTGTTGATCTCGGACAGCTCTGCTAGGAACAGCTTGATGTAATCGAACACCAAGTTACTGCCAACGACCTGAAATGAGTAGAGCTGTGCAATGACAGATATCAGATTGGTCGTTTGTTTGCCAGCACCATTCTTGTTGTTCTGGTAGTGCCTATCGAACTCGGCAACGATACGTTCAATCATTTGCGCAACAAAGTCAGTTCCGATCACCTTGTAAACCGCCGCAATGAACCCAGAGTGGAGAATGAGGAATGTATCTAGCAAAGACGACTCATCGGCAAGCAGTCCAAGAAGTAAATCGACAAGCGTGTTGTTGACATAGCCTCGGGCATTATTCTGATACACTTGCTCAATGTCGCGCAAAATTGAGAGTATGTTGGCCTCTGACAGCCTGTTGAGGAGACCTTGGATCTGTCGCTTGAGCCGTGCAAGAGCTTCTGCATCTGAGGATGGGGCACCTCGAAGCGCAGGCGGTATGTACTTTGCAGGTTGTTGTGACGCTGTCACCACAGGGGCCACGTAGGGGTTTTCTCGAACACGCGGCTTTGGTGCTTCGGGTTCTTCTTCAAGTGCATCGTCATCGCTGCCGAAATCCTCGAAACTTCCCTCATCGTCTTCATCTTGTTCAGAGCCACTTTCACCGTCCTCTCCGTCGAGATCCTCGAGCTCGTCATCCGATCCAAAGTCATCATCATCATCATCATCATCAAAGCCCTCCTCTTCATCCGAGCTCTCTGGTGCTTTCCCCAGTGCTTTCTGTCTCTTTTGCGCAAGCCAGTCATCATCCCCACTGTCCCTCTTGCGCTTGGATGGTCGCAAAGCATCCAGTTCGTCCCCGCTGTCAAAATCTCCCAAATCTCCAAACAGATCTTCGAGACCATCATCAAATTCACCCTTAGACTTCTTTCCCTTTATACCCAGCTTCTTCTCAAGCGCGGCGATTTCGGCATCCTCGTGTTCTAGTCTATCTCGGGTAGATCTCGATAATTTTGGGTTCGGTGGTGGGGAGGGTTCTTTTTGTGGTTCGGGGCGTGCTTCCTTTTGAGACTTCTTCAGGATACTCTTTGATGGTTGAGAAGGTTCCGTTTTTGAGGATGACGCCTTCGGTGGCGGTGCTTCCTCCTCACTGAAATCTGCTTCATCGTCCTCTTCCTCGGACTCTGGCTCTTGTCGGGAATATCGTGAGGCATTGCGACCTGTAGGTTGCCTCCGTTGTGACTTCTGCTCCTCTCGCTCCGCCTTCCGGCGCTCCTTGCGGTTCAACGATCCATAGTTTCGGCGTCCGTTCTTGCCTGCATTTGCAGGGTCTGAGTAAACGTTAGCTCTGACCTGTGCATTGTGCCAAATGCATCATATAGCTGCAAATAGACCCAAGTCCATCGCAAGAAACTAAAGTTTCCGTCCCGGCATTTGCGACATCTTGGCTTGTCTTTGAGTCCAAAAAGATGCACAATGAACAAGTAGACATACCGAATTTATCACGAAGTTCTTTTGGCAACTTTGGGCCCGAGAATTGTCGTTGGCGCATCGCGCATGGAACGTCTGTCGTGAGAGCCCAGGAAAAAAGTTCGAGACTAGAAACTTTTTGGAGGATCCGACCACCCATGCGAGTTCCCTTGTCCGTTTTCCCAGGCCCGCGGCCCCGCGCCCTGGCGCCTCCCACCAACCCACCCACCGCCCACGCGATTGCCTCCAACCTTAATTCCAACCTCACACGCCTTCCGCAAAGACCACCGTCGTGAGGAAGGAACGGGCGAAACCCCTGCCCAATATGGCCGACGCACATTTGACAAATGATGAGGTAAATTCCAGAGAGCATGGTGCCATTGCAACAGCGCGGCTAAGAAAACGTAACAGTTCTTCGCTCAACTAGCGAGCCTCTTCGAGCACAATCGCAAAACAGGGCACGGCACCGTGTATCTGACGCAAAAGCGACTCGCATATGGAACTGATGCATCTGCCGAAGCAAAAGCGGAAGATCCATTATGGGACGCCCATCCCGAACAGCCTCTACCGATCCTGATTCGAGCGTCGAATAATAAATCATCGAAAAGGAAGGGTGCGGGCCGACCTGGCTCAGAGCGCGATAATGCTACGAAAACGAAGACGTCTACGGTGGTCCAGCCTGATCAATTGGAGGCATTTTATGTGCGGTACGCGGAGGCCTGCAGGGCCGGAATGAGTGGGTTGAAGAAGAGGGATCGCACGAAGAAGAAGAAGGATAAGAAGAAGAAAAAGGGAGCTGCTGGTGAAGTCAAGGGATGAAGCACTGGAAAGAGGAAATTCTTGAATAATCCAAAAGTCCGATGGACGTCGCCCACGTCCTTTCGCCATTAGTACGGTGCACGATTGGTACCATTTCCATGGTGCAATGTTAATAGAGGGCAGCGATAGGCGGCTCTCCCTCACATAAGCAACACCTGTCGCGTAGGGAAGCGGAAGAAGAATCAGGCAAGACAACATTCACGTCAGACAATTCAGATCAATATCGAGAAGATTATGGCGCATACGACGTCTGGAGAGGTCACTTCCTCAAATCACCAATTGGACTCATTATGACTCTCCTTGATTGTGCCACAAGAAACTACGTAGGCTTGCTGCTTTTGAATATCTTGAAACTAAGAGGCAAGGGCTGCCCCATCCACGTTGCTCGCTGTGAATGGTCTCTTTCCTCTTCGTCCGTATTAGGATGGATAAGTGCTGACAATGGGCCTCGATTGATCACAAGCCAGGGAATGAATGCTCCGAATTGCTCTAATGGTTTCATCAGTTACAGCTCCTCTTTTTTCCGGATATGAATGCCATACCAGGTGTGAAGATATTCACTTCGAACATGGCCACGGGGTGTGGACCGATAGGTCTGTCCCATACTCTATAGATGCGCAGCTCAGGAACTACAGTACCATTGGTTAATCTCGGCTCGATGTTTCCTATAGAGAGTGTCCTTACATTCGCGCCGTATCCGTTCCCATAGTTCGTGTGCAAACTTTGTCTCTTCTGGGTCACTCTGGAAATAATAGATGTGCACACTAACACACCGTGAGTACGTGACCAGTCCAGCAACAAGTGAACAAACTTACTCGAACCCGGCTCGGTCACCGTTGGTAATCGGGTGGACGAAGGCATTATATGCGTCGCTCTTCTTCTCTGCGGGGGGATTTATGAATGATTTGCCATCTGCGGCTTTGTCACTGGAGGCATGGTCAGATACAAAGCCCAATGACGACAAAGTTTGGGAACATGCGGAGACCACTCACTTTGGTAGAGGTTCGAGACCTTCATACCCTTGTAATGGAGATGGATACGTATAAAGACTTGGGTCGGCCATTTGTGAATCTGGTTAACTGAGAGTGCTGGTTAGACTTTTGGCTGTGTTGGGGAATGATCTGAGTTGTATATAAATGTCATTGTATTGCTGTTTGTCAGCGCGGAATTGGGAAACTACAGTGTATGATGCTAGCGACTGACACAATTACGAATCCGGTAGGTACTTAGGCAGCCTCTATGCTAGTATTCTCCATGGAAAGTTCAAGTAATCTCATGATTCTATAGAGTATTCAACCTCTATCACAAATATCACAACTTGCCTACTATAAAAAACCTCCCCTGTTACTGCATAGGTATAGTACCAGGACGTTACACAGATAGATGGTCTTATCTAACGCCACACTCTACGCCACAGCTTATCAGAGGAAGCAGCAGCGCATCATGTTTGACAACGACGGCATGAAACCAATGACTCACGAAGATAATTCCCGATACTCCATCTATTAAGGCCTCGGGTTCTGAGACTGTTCGGTTCGATATCTCATTAACTATAACAAAGTAAAACAAAGCAAAGGGTTACCTTTGGAGACGCAAGGTGCGTCAGTTTAGCCACATTGGAGGGGTCCGAGGGGGCCCCTTCCCTCCCGAATCAACGCGCCCCCCACCAACGAATCAACTGATGACTCCTCCGACCCAAATTACTTACATATTTCTTAGGACAACTGAACGCAAACCATCTCCCACAAATCTCTCCCATACAATTGACCAACAGCTCCATCGCTCTTTTGCCGGCAAAAGGTTCGTCTTGCGATCTCTCCGACTGCGCTGCCATCCAATTGATCAATCCAGCCATACTATTGCACTCCCACTGATCCAAACAGCACTGTTCAGTATCCAATCTCCCCCCCACAGTCTCCGCACATCGACCCCACTGCCGCCATGGCGGACACAACATACTACATCGACGAGGATGTCGGCCAGGACATTCCGGAGCAGACTGGCTCGGAAGAGCTCCCCTACAAGTCCTTGGGATTCGCCGTCCTCACCCGCACTGAAGCACCCAAATTCCTCACGCGCAAAAGTGTGACCGGAGAGGTTCCCGAGGGTTCAGACGCCAGTGTGCGATTGGAGTACAAGCCGGTCGCAAAGGCTGCGCTCAAAAAGGCTGTCAACTACGCAAAGGCGCAACAGAAGAAGGCGGAAAGCGCACAAAAGCAGCTCGCAGAGCGCGCCAAGGTCGAAGCCGACAGGAAGAAGGTGCTCGACGAGGCCAAGAAGATTGTCATCGAGGAAGATAAGAGCCTGCCCGAGCCTATCAAGATCAAGTTGGATGATACCAACCCAGAGAAGATCAAGCTGGGCAACAGCGAGGGCGTCAAGGGCACACGAGTGAGGGTATTTGGACGTGTGCACCGTGAGCGACGCCAGAAAGAGAACATGTTCATTACGCTCCGTGATGGATACGGCCAGATGCAGGTCATTCTCCAGGGCCAACTCGCAAAGACATACGATGCGCTCACACTGACGCGTGAGACGAGCATGGAGATCTTGGGTGAACTGAAAGAGGTGCCCGCAGGAGCCCATGCCCCTAACGGCCGCGAGCTTCATGCCGATTTCTACAAGATCCATCCTGGATGGAGGGCAGCAGGTGGTGATGATGCTATTACCAACAGGGTGCGTTGCTAGGGACAGAACTAGGTTTCGGCGTTCTTAGCTGACGATATTACTTTAGGTTTCGAAAGATACCGAGCACGCGACACTTCTCGACTTGCGCCACCTTGTAATCCGAGGAGAGACGGCCTCGAAGATTCTGATCATTCGTGATGCTGTTGAATTCGCATTCAACCAGGTTTTCAAGGAGCTCAGAATGCGCAAAGTGAGCCCACCGGCGCTTGTGCAAACACAAGTGGAGGGCGGCTCCACCCTCTTCAAATTCCAATACTACAACGAGGAGGTACGTAGACAGCTTTTCTGCCTGCAGTTGGAAATTACAGCCTGTTTCTCTAGTGGAATATGAGGACTGCGAATGAAGCGGCCCTGTTATAGCCAGGGGCATATGATTCGAACAGTGCTAACTTTGAGCTTCATCAATAGGCTTTCCTCACTCAGTCTTCCCAACTTTACCTCGAGACCTGTCTCCCATCTCTTGGTGACGTTTACTGTAAGGGTTTCTTTAGTGCTCGTCACTGTAATCGGTACTAATTGGTTCAGGCATCGAGAAATCTTTCCGTGCTGAGAAGTCTCTCACCCGTCGACATCTTGCCGAGTACACCCACATTGAAGGCGAGCTCGATTACATCACCTTCAACGACCTTCTTGATCACTTGGAGCACGTCATCTGCCGCGTTCTCGAAATCTCCATGGCCGACCCAACCATCAAGCAATACATCTTGGACCTCAACCCCGAGTTCCAGACACCAGAGAGGCCTTTCAAGCGCATGAAGTACACCGATGCCATCGACTGGCTCAACGAGCACAGCATCCCCAACGAGGACGGAGAACCACACAAGTTCGGTGACGATATTGCTGAGGCTGCTGAGCGAAGAATGACCGACATCATCAACCGACCAATCTTCCTCACCCACTTCCCCGCCGAGATCAAGGCCTTCTACATGCAGAAAGACCCTGAAGACACTCGTGTCACGGAAAGTGTAGACTGTCTGATGCCCGGCGTCGGTGAGATTATTGGCGGTAGCATGAGGATGTACGACTACGATGAGCTCATGGCTGCCTACGCAAAGGAAGGAATCTCGCCAGCCGACTACTACTGGTACACTGACCAGCGAAAGTGAGTAACAGAGCGCCCTCAAACCCAGCAGAATCCGTTTTGTGCTAACATTTCGAACAGGTATGGTACCTCTCCCCACGGCGGTTACGGATTCGGATTCGAGCGTTTCCTCGCCTGGCTCTGCAAGCAGCACACCGTTCGTGACACCTGCTTGTACCCGCGTTACTTCGGACGCTGCAAGCCTTGATTCACCTCACTTTTCACTGCCAAAGCTGGCTTTCGGGGGTCCTTTCTTTCTTAGCTGTTTCAACGGTGTGATGGCATTTTAGAACTTCGACAGTGCGTGCCCTATCGTACAGATGGAGTACACGAATCATGTATTCGTACGACCTCGCCCGTCAATCAATCAAGACTGAATGGCACCGGCTTCTTGATTCCTCCATCTCTCGACACGCACATCTCAAATCATGGCGTGTCATGTCATGCCATTAGAACCCCGTTGTGGTGTATGTAGTACAAGCAAATTCAAATATCTTTTCCAAAACATATCCAATCAAGGAACTTTCCACACATCATTATGTTGCAATTGTCTCACAAAACAAAGCGAAACCCAACCGTCATCGTAGCAGTTACTCCCTAGAGACTCGACCACCCCCACCCCCACTCGGAACAAATGAACTTCAGCCTCACAGAATAGTCTCGTATAACGCATCTCCCTCGATCTGGATGGACACTCCATAAGCTGTCTGTCTGTATTCCCCCTCCCTCCCCTTCAGCCCGCCGGCAGCCTTCCCAACGTTTTGTTTCCCTCCCACCTCCCCACCCCACGAATCAAACTTGCTCCGAACCCTCCGAGCCCTACCTAGTAGCTACTCCCCGATACCCCGAACATCGGGCCTTCCCGGTCCATCCCATCCCTCCCCTCCCCTTCCCTTCCCTTCCACAGTCTTCGTAAGTGGTGAGCTGAGCTGAAAACTGGATGGAACAAGACGCACTACCATCGAGCTGGGCTGAGCTGAGCCTCGTCGACTCGTCACCCGTAGCCGTTATGCATCCATCTCATCCCCCGGCCTCCAGCCTCCAGCCTCCAGCCGTGCATAGTCGACAGAAAACAAGATTGGGTTTGTCAGTTAACTAAGCGCGCGCATGCCTGAACTTCACCCAGTCCCCCAGTCCCCCAGTACCCAGTGACCCACGCTGCGTCGTTTGTTTGATGTAAACCAAAAACACACACACGCACATGCGGTATAATGAGGAAAGGCCATGAGCGGTGCGGTGCTCCTGGTGCCGATATGAGCTTGGATGGGGGGTGTTAGACCGGAGGGCTGGAGTCTAGAACGTCGGGGTGTGCTCGTGGGTAGCTCGGGCTTTTGACGCGTTTTATGGTGCCATTTTTTTGCTTGTATTTGTTGGGGGGTTTGGGGGTGATGTCGGACCGGGGGAGGGAGGCTGGTATGGTTGCTATTTGCGTTAGTTACTTGTTTTCTTTTTTGTTTGGGGTGATGGGGAGAGGGCGTGGGAGGGTAAGTGAAGAGGATGAGACTGTGAGAGTAGTAGATAGATGGCAAAGAGACACGATTTGATGCACGCTGCTGAAGACTGTTGATGATATCGATGCAAAATACACGTTATGTTTTCTACCTGATTTGCACCCGATGGCCCTCGAAAGGAGGCCTGACATATATCTAGATATGTCCTGTCCTGTGTTATCGCACTGCCTAGACTACATGAAATTTTGATGTTGGGCTGGCTCCAAAGCAAGCAAATGAGCTCAAGCCACACACAAGGGAAAAGAGAGAACAATTTGTCTCATGTTGGGAATGAAATCTCCTCCTTCTCTGTGCCTGCTGCAATGAACTGATTTGCGCAGAGCACGAAGCCCAAGCCGGAAGATTTGACAAAAAGGAAATGATGGATTATGACCTCCCGATACCACTGTTGCAAAAAGGAGAAGGGGTACACACTGAGAGTACTGGTGAGGAGGCAATTCTGAGTCCCAGATGGAAAAAAAACCAAGGACTGGTCGGACTGATGGTGGAAAAAGTGTCGCATGTCGCAGGAAAGAGAAAGGAAAACGCCAGATGGGAAGATACCAAGGGCTCCGTACCAGGAGCAGGTCCCAAGAGTCTCGAGAGATCGATCAACCGACAATTGGAGCCAAAAAAGGGGGAGGGTGGATATGGAAAAGAGGTTTCTGAAAAGAGATGCCGGTAAAACTCCACGCTATGCAACTCGGCGGATAGAGAGATAATGCAACGAGAGCGCTGTTGGAAGCTCTCAAAACCCGCGGAGAAACCATGTCCTACCGTCCTTGTCGCAGAATGAGGAAATAATGTTTGTGTGAGTGGATGAAGACAATGATGAAAAGTGTGAGGTGGTAGCAAAGGAGAGTTAACTCTCGTGCACATGCAACCGCAAATGCAGGTCTGCTGAAATGGCAAGATGAACAACGTCACCTGTGCCACGTTGTAAACGTATTCCGGAAATGCTGAATCACGGTCGATGGGGCCATCTCAAGTGCGCTCTCCTCAAGACAGAAGGGCACGATCGATGAGAGCACGAAGCTTCATCAGTTCAGCGCGTTTCTCTTCTGTCAAAGGTGGAGGACCTGCGGTTGAGATAGCTGTGACAACCTCATCGGGAGCTTCGGCCTGTTTCACTAGAGTTAGCGACGATCAAACATTACAAGTGGGGCATAGGGGTCGTACCGTGAGACTAAGGTAAAGAGCGTCAACACTTGTTTCGTTGAGACCTATATCCGTCTCTTTGTTTGCGAGCTGAGCAAGGTGCAGTGCAGCCTGTTGTTGCTGAATCGGGCGAGCGGCAAACTGTTGTTGAGAAGCCCTGCGCTTCGCGGCCTGCTTGGCGGCTCGACGCTCCTCCATCTGCGTCTCATAGCGGTTGCTGGATGATATTAGCCAAAAGTTCTGATGAAATGCACGAGAAAACATACTGTTTGACTTTGTCAATGAAATCAAGGATGACTCCCTTTTCAGGTATACGAAAAGTCTTGGAGTTGAGGTCCTCGAACACGTAATTGCCCTCGCCGTCAGTATCGTCGTCGGGGTCATTGATGATCTCGACAAGCCCGTTGTTACGAATGCCGCGCGAAAAGGTTGGCTCGATCAGGGAGGCCTTCTTTGGCCGCCTAACCTTGCGCGAGACTCGGTCATCGAAATCCATATCGACCATGACAGTGTCATCATCAGACTCGATGTGATTCAGATCTTGCTGCTTCAGTTGACCACTGCGCAAGTCATGATCGACGTGGCGCGGGCATTTCCACGCGTCACGAGTCGATGACTCCAGGCTGATGTGTGGAGGATTGGCAAGTGGCGGATCACAACAGTCCAAGTGCCAGTGCGAGTCACAGAAGTCACATTTGAGCATCTGGCGTTTGCCGGAGGAAGACTTGCCACACTGTACGCAGAGCAGGATCTTCTGGTCGTTATCGTGCGTCTTGAGATAATCTGGCCTCTGGTAGCCGTAGCCGCTGTTCCTTGGTCTGTTCTTGATCAGCGTGATTCTTGGCGCAATAAAAGTCGGACTTACAGGGGGAACTTCTTGATCTCTTCATAGTAGGAGCCATCATCTCGCGCAGTAACTCCATCAAAGAAGATCTGAATCTCTTTAGGGAGCGCGAAGGAACGTGCGTTCGTGTTCTCGAGTCGCTTGAATAGCGGACCTAGGATCGTGAAGTTCTCGATGGGAGAGTCATCCACGTGTTTCACCTTCGGGCTGCACTCGTAGCAAAGGAATGAGCCATCTGGAGGCTCAACCCGAGGCGGATCGCAACAGAGATAATGAAAAACGCGTGGGCATCCGTCGCAACAAACAAATTCGCCCGCGCCTTTACAGGCGGCACAGAAGTCGTCGCTATCTTGTGGCGAGGCCTGACATGGAGTTAATGGAGGGGACAAAGTAGATCTCGGAGGTGTTATGGGCAGTTTGAGAGGTGTGATGTGCCTAGAGAGAAGCATGTGTGATGGAAAGGGGGAAATGTGGAAATTGTTGTTGATGATGGTTGTGGTGGAAGAAGAAGGGAGGATTTGGTTGGGTGCGGCCGGAATTTGAGTGGAACTTACTGGATCATTGTCATCAGGCCCCGACTGTCTCGAACCGCCACCGCCCGTATGTGCAATACCTGCGATAGGCCCGTCTCGGTTCTTCACTGGCCTGTGTACACATGTCGGATTAGCAAAAATACTTTCAGCGAAATAGTTTGAGTGCGATGAAAACACATGCAGATGCCTGCAAACACGTAGCCCACGCTGAGTCGACACTTGTCACCCTGCACCTGAAACGAGTACAGTCATAGCCCACAGGCCTTGGTGACAAAAACACAGACCAAACGCGTCTGCATACAGTGAAAAGGAAAGAGTACTTACGATCGCTTCGTTCTGGCTGCCTGGCCATTGTTGAGCTTCAAACGCTTCGTAGTAGGTGGTACGAAGGCAGGTGTGGAGGGACGCGTCGTCGCGGCAGAGCCGGGCTGCGGTGATGGGAGCCTGGAGGTATCCTCTCGAAGGCGCTTTCCAGCCTGGAGATTCAGTCCTCGCGGCCCGCGACCTGAGCGACGTTTCTCCTTTTCTTTGATGGGCGGTCCTACGGCAATTTGAGATTCGGTGAGCGACTCCGTGTCCAGCATCTCGTCTTCGACTCGAACATCGGTTTCGTTTCGAACGTCAGACAAGGGAGCCTCTTTCTGGTCGTGCTGTCGAAAGAGCTGTGCTAAAAACAACTCTTCTCGCTTTCTCCACATATTGTTCTCTTCTGCAATCTCTTCTTTGGTGAGCGGTGCCTTTCGCTCAGGCTTCCCGAAAGGCTTTGCGGAGTTGGCTCTGGACTTCTTGCCAACACGCGCGCCCTGTGTCTGCTTGACCTTTCTCGAAGCCGCAGTGCCATTACTCTTGGCTGTCGAGTTGGTGGTAAGGCGAATAGGTTCAGGTGACCCGTTTTGCACGATCTCTTCATTAACATCGGATAGGTCGGAGTCGCTGTTCATGACCGAATCTGGAGGATTGCCATTAGGCGTCGGGGCCTTGGAGGAGGCTCCCGCATCTGCATCTGAGCCCAGAGCCGGCGAACTAGTTCCGTTGGTAGCGCGGAGTTTGCGCGGCGATTTTGAGTTCATACGAGTCGGCAGTGGTGAAGGTGACTGTTTGGGGGGGATGACCGGCGCAGAGGAAAGTAGGTGGGGCTTAGCCTGAGAATCACCCGCCATAGCAACTGTGTCTTCGTTGAGCAAAGAGTCATCGCTCATGCTGATATCGCGAGTGTGTGAAGTCTTTTGGCGCTTGGAGTGAGGACGGCCCTCGGACGACTTTTCCATAGTCTTCCGTGGCTGCTTCTCCCTTTGTGCGCGATTGTAGCGCTTTTTGGCGTCTTTGATGTACTGGCGAAAATCTGCAGTGTGCTTTGGCGTAGCGTTTTGTCGAATGATAGAATCCATGATCTCGTAGAGATAGTGATTAGATTTGGACTCTTGTTCCATTTCGCGCAGGGCTGTTTCAATAGGCAATTTCCCGTTTTGGCGCGCACGGCTGACAGCCTCATTGACCACAATCGTGAGTCGTTGCCTTGCAGCGTCCATGTCGCCGGCTGAAGCCGCTGCCAGTGTAGCTTGTATTGTTGGCGGGCTGTTTATAGCGGTCGAAGGCCGTGACGTTCCGTTTTTCACAGGTGTCCTCCCGGTGGCTGGGATGTTGTTCTGCACCGGTGTCTTGCCCCTTGTGGGAGTTTTGCCTGTTGGCGTCTTTGCCTTGCTCTTCTTGGGAATATAATCATCGTCCTCTTCTTCCTCTTCCACCTGGTATTTGGGTGTGGCATCATCCTCCTCTTCTTGTCGCTCCGAGTCTTCCTGCTCGAGCTCCCTGGCTGGCGTCATCTCCGGCGTTGACACACCTTCCTCGCCGACACCCAAAGTTCCATTCCTGCCGAAGCTCAGACGTGCGGAAGGATAGCCGTCAAGCGCGCGCGTTCGCTGCTTGACTTTTGCAGAGGGACCGACGCCTAAGGGGCTCATGCCTTGGAGGACGCCGTGGCGGGCGAAGCCGTGATCTTCGAATGAAGGAGTGGGTTTTTGGACGGGAGGTTCAATCCATGAGTCGAGTGAGCTCTGGCCCTTTGATCTCTTAGAATCCGAGGAGGGAGCGGGCGTGTCTGGTGCGTTGCTGGGGGTACTGGTTCGACTGGGTCTCTGACGGAGGGCCGGCATGGTGATGGAAGCACTGCGACATTGTCAGCGCGTCATTCCGCGAATATTGTGAGTTTAATACTTACCACGCGTACTATCTGGAAAATTCACGCGCAGACAGCTCCGACAATGCGTGCCCGCCGTGGCGCGGGTGGTTGGTCGAGTCGGTGTTGGTGGGTGATTGAGAGAGGAAGATCGAAGTTCTCGAGAAATTGGCGATCCAACCTCCGGGGGTCCGCCCTAGCTCACCTCCAACAATGCGACGCACGATGTTGGTGGGCGAAAGCGAATAAATGAATGATTCGGTAAGTATTGGTTTAGTAAGTAGAATGGATATAACTGCAATCTGTGACGATCTGGTCTTTTTGATTTTGTCGAGCGAGGGCGGCGTGGTTGTCGTGGTCAGGGGAGGGCGGCGGCGGAGGAGGAGGAGGGACTTTATCTACTTGCCCACAGCTTCACATTCACTTCACTCACCACGGTGAACGCAAAATTACTGTGGCAAAGGAACAATACGATCAGAAATTTTCCTATTCAGCGTCTCCTTCTATTGTCTTCTATTGATCTACTCCTGCAAATTTTCGGTCTCCCACACTTTTGCAGACCCCTGAATGACTTTGTCACGAGAAGCAGATGTCGCTCCTGCGCTGTGGGAGCATCCATTTACGGAGAAGAGCGCGCAATGTGAACAGCCTCACTAAGTAAAGGATGTTTTCTTCATCTGCTTCACGCCGCAATCTACCCTACCGGATTTTCGTTCACATGGTTATCGGTCTGACGCTCAGTCATAAATCAGCACTTCAAAAGAACAATCATAGAGATAGGTGGTGAAGGACGGCACAGTGACGATTGAATTTTTGAGATTTTCTAGTATCGCTTTCTGTCTGCTTTTCAACTGTAGTTTGCCCTCTCAGTCAACCCTTACCGAAGCAATGATGGATGGGGGAGGGGTTGATATGATGTTTGCTTCCTGTTTGGCCCAATGGCAACCTAGTGTCGGGAAGGTACATCTGATACCAGGAAAATGGAGCTATTCAAGATTTTTGTGTAACGATCCTTCAAGTCTTTCTCGCGACTTTGCGATCTTACTCTTCGTCACTCTCAGCCTCCTCCGCCTCGCCGCTGGCCTTCTTGGCTGGCTTCTTCTTCTTCTTGTTGGTCTTCTTCTTGGTTGCGGTCTTGCCGATAGGTTGCTCGAGAATCTTTAGGATCTCCTCGTCCTCAATCTTCTTGTCGGTCTTGTACTTGGAGAGATCCAAGGCAGGAGGGGCAGCCAGACGGGTGATACCGTTCTTGGTGATGGCTTGAATGGAGTCAGTGACAGTCCATGATGCAAATATTGACGGGAAGAAAAATGAGGAAAAAAGACATGGCACACGCATCGCGGAGCCTCACAGATGCCAGTTGACTTGCCGCCATGTCCAAAACTATCGTCCCTCAGGGGTATTGGAATGCAAATAACGACTTACCGATGGTAGTGAAAAGTCTTGCAACGGGATCGTTGTTCTTGTCACCAACGACCTCATATTGACGGATGACGCCTCCGCGGACGCACTCGACGACACCGACCTTTGCGGCCTTCTCGTCCTCAAGTTGCCTCAAGCTGAAGGGGAAGTTGCTGAACTTCTTGACGACCTCGGACAAGAAAGCCCTTGAAGTGGGTCGCTTCAGACCGAAGGTAGTAGCGGTACGGCGGTGAAGGGTTGCGCGGTTGTTGAGGGTCTTGACCTTTCCACTGCCCAAGCTGACGCCCATCTCGACACCCCAGACCTCGCCGACCTCAGGAAGTCCCTCTCCCTTGACACCCTCGCTAGGGGCAAGGATGATCTTCTTCTTAGCCTCGATCTCGTTGCGCTCGAACAGCCAGATGGTGGTGCTCTCGACGAGGTTGCAGTCGTATGCGGCGACGACCTTCTCGAGCAATTGGGTGATCTTGCCCTGAGAAGCTTGCTTTTGAGTAGCAGCCTTCTTCTGTTCCTCCTCAGTACCGGAGGTGACCAAGCCAGGAGGAAGCATCAATCGGAGGAGGAGCTCGTTGGCGTAGTATGTAGCCAAAGCAAGGTCGGCCTGTCTTCCAGTAACCTCGTCGGCAGCGCCAACAATGACGGTATCACAGACAATGGCGGGGAATCCATCGATCTGGGCTCCGAGCTGGATCTTGATGGCCTCGCCCTCCTTCAGGGTGGTCGCGGCTTCCTCGGCGTCCGACTTGATCGGGGTGTATGGGGTGATGTAGGAGCTGGGAGAGATGGTTGTGCAGTGACCGATACCCTTGGACACCTTCTTTCCCTTGTAGACCTTGGAAACCTCCTCCTCAATGAGCTTGTCGCCGCGCTCGCAAAGCTCAACGATGTTCTCGCCCTCCTTCAACCATCCTACACGAGGTCAGTCTTTGTCTAGCGGCGGCAACGTCGGACGCGACCAATGCGCGTGTGTACGGCGTGTTACGCACCTGAGACCTCTTGCAAGACCTTCTGAGAGATTTGCGCAGCTACCTTGTACTTGGTGAGAGTATCAGGGTTGTTGAGGGTGTAGTCTATAGGACGTTGGTTAGCAGCAGCTCAATCTCACTTGACGTAGGCAGATTTGAGCTTGTCGTGTGCAAAAATCGACCCCACGGAAGGACGAAGAGCTCAATAATGGACATGCAGCATCATACTCGGGCAGCATCCATCTCACGAAGGGAATGGGGGGGGAAGACGTACCAATGGTTGCTGCGTCGTCTGCCATCTTGAACCTATCGATGATTGTTTTTGGATTGGCTCAGAATGGAGGGATTGAGAAGGAGAGAGAGGCACTCGAGTCGAGGGAGGTAAACGTACGAGTATGGCAGTGGTGGATTTGCTCTAACGTCAAAATGCGACCCCGCCGCGGGGTGGGCCGTTAATTGCTATTCTCGCTTGGTGAAAGACCAATGACCGCATCCCATTCATTACGAGCTTCCTCACCTGCTTCATTCACACTTCAATCTACGAGTATTCTATTCATCCCGTTCCTGGAGAGCAGCAACCGGCAATTTCAGACGAAGCGTTCATACCTAGCATCTGATTCCCTTTCCAGTTCCAATGTCGTGTTCTCCTATGTCTGTTACTACGCACTGCAAACGTGCCAATCGATCCCATACCGGATTCGCTCTAGGACCATTTTATCCATACGCCAATGACGTCGTTCCCTCTGTAGGAACAAGACTCGAACTTCTCCCGAGTTTCGCAACGAGTAGTTACAATGTCGATTGTTAGAGGTTTCCAATGTTTCATGATCTCCAGCATCATTACGTGGTGCTGAAGAAGAAATAGCCCGGTCGGAGTTCTTCCTAAGCGTGAAGCAGTAGTACCTCCAACCCCAATTGTATCACATTATCCGAAAACGCATATTTCATGCTGTCAAGGGATTGTTCATGATTATCAGTTTTTGCTAGACAATTATATGATGCTTACACTAGTATAATTCTTTATTAAACACTACACCGACGAGGTGCTGCTCTACGTGAGGATTTACTGTAGGAATGTGTCCGATTGTATTGCAGGAGAGCGTTGGCAAGGAGTGATAATGCTAGACACATGTTAATTGATTGCTACCTGGGTTTGAATGATGCGTATTAAAGACATGTGAAGATGTAGAAAGTTGACATAATTTAAATATAAAACCGGGTATATGATTCTACTCATAATAGTGAACGATTATACTATCTTTTAGTGTTATCAGAATCCTCAAATATCTTCTAGCTCTTCCTAAATGCCGTATGATGTTCGTAGAAATGTGTTTTTATTTTATTCATCCTCTCTTGATCTAATCGGCCAAGAACACGTCCGCGGTAACCATCCTATGGTCACTAAGAATAACCCCATCATCATGTACGTTGGGCAAGACCGCAGTCCCTTGAACCCCCCATAGACTTGATGCTCTCGGGCCAATAAAGATGTGGTCGAGGACGGCCTTGGGCTCACTAGGCGCGAATCCCGTGAAAGTAACCTCGTTGCCATACTTCCACTGCGCGCTGTCTTTCGCGTCCTGGAGCAAGCTGTCCTGGGCGTTGAGGGTTTGGTAGGCCGTGTCGCTCATTTCTGAGTTGAGGTCGCCGGCGAGGAAGACGGGGATGGGTGATGTTGCGTTGCCTTCCAGCTGGTCGACGATATTCAAGATGAGCTTTGCGCTCTCGGTCCTGCTGGTTACGCCCACGTTGTCAAAGTGTGCTGGTGGTCAAGGTTAGTTGTTTTATCTTTCAATAGGTACATATCAGATCATCTGATGGATGTTTACTCACTGGACATGGCGACCACATGTTTCTGCGAGGCTTGGTGCGTGAAACGGCCAACGGTGACGATCCTGACACTGCTCGCATCCCAGCCCTTGCCTGGCTGATCTGGGTTCTCGGAGAGCCACTTCGTCGTCCAGTCGTCCAACTTCCATACTGATGGTCGGTAGATGATCGGTGCGTACTCTCCACTCTCCTTTCCATCGTCTCTACCGACGCCAATGAAAGCCCATTCCGAACCGAGACCATCCATAACATCTGTGAGCTGGTGGTGCAGTGCTTCTTGCAAACATATGAACGATTCCGGGATGGAAGCAGTATTGAAGTGCAATTGGTTTAGAACGTAAGGTTTCCGCTCTGACCATGGCTTCTCACCTTCGGAGGTCTTGCCTGGGTCATATCTTATGTTGTGGGATATTAATCGAACTGGAACTTTAGCTTGTGCCATCATTGCCCAAGAAAGTAGAAGAGTCGCAAGTAGTTGAGGGTAAGTTGGGAGCATCATGCTGATCTCGTTTCGGTTTAGTAGATCCGGGGTTCGTTAAGGAAAGACACGTGATGGGATGAACACCAAGAATGGTAAACGAAAGTGTAAACGAAAGTGTGAACGAAAGTATGAACGAGGGAATGAAAGGAAAGAAAAAGATGCAATTGAACTGGAATAATCGTGCTGCTGCTCTTTTAACATACTTCCATCGCAGTGGTTCAAGTAATCTTCAAAGCACATCAACTCCCTCAGTGGGAAATACCCAAACACCATTCATCCTAGCAGGCTCTCCTGTTTCCAAAATTAGAGAGCGGACAAATCAAACGCCGGTGTTGTAACACGCTTTCCTCCCTTGCTCCGTAACGAATACCAGAATGCGCTTAAATAATTTGTACATATTAGTACTGAGCTGAAGCAGCGTCTTTTGTGTTGCGGACGTCGAACGCATTGAAAGCAGGTGAACCAATCCAGTGACCGTGTATTATTTATTTTCCTAGGCCACGCAATACGTAGTTTACAAGGAAACATGGATGGACTGTTCCAAATTTCAAGGGCTAGAGAGCAAGGTCCAGTCCGGTCTGACCGGCTATGATGCACTTGCTTTGTTTGTGCGCTTGTCAACACTGGCTCTATGTTGTCGATTCTTCAAATGAACCTCGAAATTGTCGGCCGTCAAACCAGGTCCAGCTGAATATAATTTGCCCGGACAATCGATGCAGCGGATGCGGGGGCAATATAGTGATTTGAGATGTGCAGGTAGAGGTTCTTTGGCGTTCAATGTGTCCACTTTGACATTGCTACCACTTTGCGGGTTAACAATGTAGTAGCGCATTGTTGATTCGAAATTATCATTGGGGTATGTTTTCCGCAGCTTGCTAAGCGCATTCTGGAGCCACGATGGTGGAGGGGCCTGTTCGAGGTTAGCTTACCATTGCATGTCGGACTTCATTTGACAAATGCTTACCGGTGTCGTTCCGGGCACCACAGGCCATGGCGCATCGGCTCGTCCGTCAGCATCGTACTTCCATTGCTGTTGTGATTGGGGAGCAGGAGTAGGTGTAGATGGGGGTTTTGGTGAAGTTTCGGCCGGGGTAGCAGGTTCTGCTGGAGTAGAGTGCGCAGGCAAGGCGGGGGAGGGCGGGGGAGGCATTGAGCTTGCACCAGGAGTACTCCTTGCTGGTGCGGGAGTTGACGCCATCTTTGGGGTGCTCGATGAGGATGCTCTTGCAAAAGCTTTCGGGTTCGCCAGGTATTCACGGAATTTCTTCGAGTTGATACGCAACTTTACGATCAAGGAGGTTGACTCGGAAACACTCTCCTCTCTTGCTTCGTATCGCAGCGCCCTTGACGAAGCTCGAGGCTCAACTTGAATGTTAGAGACTTCAGGCGTTGCGGACCTGCCCATGGCATTCCGCATCGCGACCTGTGCTGCACTCGCCGCACCACGCATTCCGCGTGTACGAGCAGTACCGCCAGTGAGCTGTGAGGGTGCTGGAGATTCAGGTGCGGAATCGTCGCTATCGGAATCATCGCTCTCTTCATCTGCGCCTCGGCCTGGGCGGTTCCCGGGTTTCTTCGACCTGGAGACCTTGAAGGTTTGGCTAGTCTCGATATCCTCGGCAGCTCCAGGTAGGACAGAGGATACGATCAGACTGCGGACTGTTCGCTGTCTATCCTTGAGATCGGGCAATGCAGGACCTCCTCGTCTGTTGACAGATCGTTTCTGTCGGCGCTGTTCGCGCATGATTGATAGCTCTGCACGCTCGAGCTCAACTTCGCTGAGTTCGTAGAGGTAAGGTTGATAGTCCTTCGCTGATTGCATGGGCCGGAAGACGGAGGGCAATGGAGATGGTAGAAAATTGTCCCTAATATCCGAATCTTCCACCAATCTCCCGTCAAATGGATGGCCAGTAATGTATAAACTCTTTGTGAACATCTGGCATTGCTCGCGAATGGAATGGGCGATCGCAGTGGTGAATTCTCCTGATAGGGATAGATCGGACGCCATTTGCTTAGCGAACTCTTCAGGAGAATTGAGTGGATTGTTGAGGTCCCATTCGAACTTGTCCACCAATGTATGTTGCCCAATGGTAATGTTAAGCGTTATGGTTATGCGCATTTCGTCGTCTTTGTATGCGGAATAAGGCTGATGGGGGTCGAGGGGTTCGTCTTCGATGTGAGCGTGCGGGTAAAAGTCCTGAAGTTGTTCTAGTATCTCGCGCTCGATCTGCTGTATTAGCTGCGAACGTAACTCGGTAGGTAATTGAAAGTCTTCAACAAGATTTTCGGCAAATACACGAATGTGAGTAGTACGGTCGTGTAAGTTCCAGGTGAATGTATCTCGCAATTTGATCTTGTCCAATTCGATGTCAAGCCTGAGCGGGACAAGTTCTTCAATCTGCTCAGCTTGTGCGGCCAATTGTTTCTTATCAAGTCGAGGCATTGGGGTTGATCTTCGACTGCCAGGCCGCCGAGCATGGATTGGATATTGTACCAATAGGCCTCCTTCCTTTCGATTCGTTACTCCGTTGCCGTAGCCCATATATCCGTATCCGAAGAACGCACCGGGATCCTTTGCGCGCAAAGGGCCGATTTTGTCGCGGTAGAATTGGCAATCGGCGCGTAAACCATCGATGATCGCATCGGAGCGGGCATTTAGATCATTCAGCGCGGCGGTTCCAAGCAGATCACGCGTTATGTATCTTCGTAAGAGTTGGTCATGGGCGCTGGACTGGTCCTCTTCGGGTGTGGCTTTTGAAGGGGAGTGTGAGGGTTTCCGAGAGCCAGAGCGCGAACGTTTGCGACTGGGCGATGCGCCATTGAGACCTTCGGCTGGTGCGGGTGAAGCCATGTTGGATCGTGGTCGTGAGGCTTCGCCTGCGCTGGGTTCGAGGTTCACTCCTGATGCCGCTAGGACAGCCTTCGCTTTTTGCTTTCCCTCCCGTATAGTCGCGTTATCATCGGTAGCGTTATCGGGTCCATCAACATGGACTGGGTTGTCGAGCTGCTGGACAGCCCCTTCGCCGTTGGCGACGCCGTTTAGAACGGGGGACGCGCGTGGTGAGGATTCGAGCAACTGGCCAGCGTCAGCGCTCGAGGCTGTGACGGGTGATGGCATCATGAGGCGAGGTGGAGTTAAGGCGCGTGGAAAGATGAGATTCCGTTACAGGCGATTCCTGAACAGAGATGCCCTCGGGCAGGGCCGATGCATGAAGCTACAATGATGGAGAGCTGGTGTTGCGGCGGTTAGTCGGGGGTGAGGATGAAGGTCGCAACGCGGGTCGCGGACACCCATGCGTGGGAGAAGGGGGCGATGAAGCGACGGGAGCGAGCAGACAACACAGCGCCATCTCAGCAGACAGCAACCATCGCGACGGTTCTCGAAGCTCGATGCGCTCTGGGAATAGGGATAAGGGAGTAGAGGATATGGTACATACCGATGGGCTCATGCAAATTGCGCGTCAATACTGGCGAAGGAGGTACCCAGGTACGAGTAAGATCAACCGGTCACGCGGCACTGGGACAACAACGGCGAGAACAGGCGGGAATATGGGCGTCTCAGGATGAACAGCCTCGCGCCTCTTTTTCTTGCGCGACGGCGGAGGATAAGCTCGGATTGCCGTCGATAATTCGTGGTGCTTGTCAAAGGGAGAAAGGTTCTGAGGCGCTTCCGAGGAAGTCTCGGCGTTCAGGCGGAACGACCGAATTCGATCAAAGGATAACGGATAACCACCAACCAGAGCCCGATGCTTGGGTTCTGTCCACAGCGGAGCGGACGCTTGAGTGCGCGTGCTTTTTTCCTCTTCCTATTCCTGTACCTTGAATTAATTTAATTCCGCCCTCAGTACCTTGGACTACTTCTGCAGGTCGCAGCGACGCAGTCCTGTTGAAGCACGTGATATGAAGCCAGACAAAACTGTGCACCGCCCTCTCGCCCCCATACCAATCGGGTTTAGTGTCTTATCAGCCATGAAGTATTATAATGTATAGAATAGGGGATGGGCCGATAAGTGGACGAGAAATATAAGTAAATGTCGCAACTACAACAACAACAACAACTGGTAGTCTTCCAAAAGTAAACATGGCATTTTACATACTACAGTGCATTTTGTGTAGTCGACCTTTTTGTGACATTAATCCATCCCTGATAAGAGAAAGAGACGCTTGCTAATACAGCCTGGAAGAATGGGCCAGGACGCCATGAACCCTTTGACAAGCTGTCGTGAAGAGAAAACGCTAGAGATATCAACGGAAGGTATACTGTCCCGAACGGTTGCCTTGAGTATTCGGACGATGATGTTTCTCTCGAGATGCGCACTCGTCCTTACTCTACAGGTTACCATCTATCTCCACCGTAAATCAATTGGCGGTGAGACCCATATACTAAAGAAAAGAGAGCAAACCACCACGTCTTCCTCAAAAGTTATGTTAGTGACCAAATCAAGACGCACTCATAGGAGGGAATCAAGCCTAGTGAAGACACTCAAACAAGCCGCGACCACCTGATTTTTGAAGTCAGTTTAGTTTTCTAACAACATCTCTTTTAAGGGGATGGATCTTACCTCGAGCTGCAGCTCTGTTTTTGGAGTCTTGTTCTTGTTTATTTCATCATTAATGACCTGGCCCAAGTTGGCGGCTATGCCTCCAGATCCACCGGTGCGACGAGCAAAAGGCCACTGAGAGTATTCTGCCAACATCTCATCTACTTGAGCAAAGGCACGTTCACGTGCTTCGTGCCCGAGCGTTGTAAGGGCGTTCTCCAGCACATTTGCAGCATAAGCCGCACACACCATGGTAACTGTTCGAATGTAACGGAACTCCATCTCCTCCGGTAGGAATTGGCTGGGTGGGAGAACGACTGTGCGGTTGGTGAGGACGTTGCGGACACGTTTCCGGATTTCTTCCTTTGCGCCTCCGTCGGCGACTGGATGTGTAGCCATGTCGAACAGCAAGAAGTTCTTCTTCTCTGTGCGAAGAATTCCCTTGTCAACCAAGCCCTTGCACAATCTCTCTCTGACCTGTTTGAGCTGATATCCTATCTTCATGAGATTCCATGTCTCTCCTGTGGCAATTGTTAGTCGCGCATAACAGGGAGCAATCCTCGGGGGTGTATGTACCGCTCATGAGATCAATCCATGAGTTGACACTCATCTTCTCACTTGTATTCATCATCTTCAATGCCTCATCAAGCAACACCTCACCCGTCAAGGTAGCGTCGCTCACTTCAATAATACGATCAGCGAGGGGGAAGCGCCGCCGTGAAGGGTCATTCTGCATGGCTATGCGGCCTCGGAATGCCAGCTCTATGACAATGCATCCTCGCAGTGCGTATGAAATGTTGTCGTTCCAGAAAGAAAGATATCCCTGATTCCATCGTCAGCGTGCTATCCCGGTTGTTTACTGCACGCAGTGCCCACCTGTTTATCCTTCAGGCCCATAAGAATGACCTCCTCCATGAGCGTCAACTTCGGCTGCTTGCTCCTCTCTGCATTTTCGCTGATGTCTCGCGGATCGTATGCGACTCTTTCGCCGTTCGCCGAGTTCACGTAGCCTGTTCTTGGATCGCCATCGTCGTTCCTCTTTGGCACGGGGGAGCTGACGCGGCTGTCATCGTCGTTCGCACCGCTGGCAGCGCCGCCGCCTCCTCCTCCTCTTCGGCGCGTCAGGCCAGATGTGGATGCCATCAGTCTTGCAACGAGTGGAGGGATTCAAAGACCTGTGTTGGAGTTGGGGTTGAGGCTCCCGACAATGAGCGAAGGATCCCAGTGAAAGCTCGGGCGCATTCACGAGAGTGGGACTGCGCGGCGGTGTAGTAATCTTTGATGAAGGACAGTCGAACAAAACTCGGAGCCTTAAGAATAGGGGCCCTGAAGCAATGTCTTTATGCGAAGTGGAAAGTGATGTCGTGTCACAACTTTTGTCAGTAATGCTTGTGCCTCTCTCATCCCACTGCCACACTTTTGGCTTGGCGGAGCTGCCGCTGCTTTTTTGGGACAAGTAGATGATGAGCACGCGGGTGAAACGCTATCGATCAAACTCCGCTCCGGACAACTGCGACAGAGATAATCAAGCATTCAGCACAGTAGGTATTCAATTCCAATGTAAGAAGCTTGTCCTATCGGAAAATAATTGTATCGTCGCAGTGGGAAAGTTGAAAAGTACGGAGCAGATGCACGTCATAATTCGATTCAAGCACACCGTTACACACAGATCGCGGGACAAAGCAATGAGAAGTGGACAGCATCATTGTATGATCGAGTGTACATGAGATGCCATTGCTGGCGAGTGTTATACAAGCAGCGGATTATTATAACAAAGCCGGAGTGCGCCGACTGTCCGGTGTTTTTTCTTATCCATCTGTCAAACCCAACGTCACATTAATTTCGTTCAATGAGCTGTGATGCAATCAGTTCGGCCGCTCCCAAGAGATATGTCCTTGATCTACTTACCATCAGGCTGGGCAAGGATGTACTCGACAGCTTGCTTAACTGGAGTGATATGTTAGTACCCGACCCATTGTGGGGTAATTGGCTGAACCTACCACTGTGGATGGCATCTGCCTCCTTGTCGGGGATCTCAATGCTGAACTCCTGTTATAGAATTAGATACTCTGGTTCCATGTGTGCGCTACGCCGGTATAACCAACCTCCTCAATAGCCATAACCACCTCGACGGTATCGAGGCTGTCGAGACCGAGATCGTTGTGAAAGTGAGATTCGGCGTTCAACTGTCAGATAGATGAGTAAATTGTGCAGTGAAGCCCAAGCAGTCGAGGTTAACTACCTTGGAAGTGTCCTGGACCTGTTCGATATGTTAGATATCTGCGTCATCCAAAATTTATGTGCACCCATTACCTTGTCGAAGTTCTTCAAGAGATCCAATATTCTGCCCTGAACCTCGTCCTTTGCAAGACCCGCCGATGCAGCATAGCATCGCACTGCCTGGAAGTATACGGAAGGAGCATTTTGCTTGGTCTGGAAGAGGGTGTTTTGCGCGGCGGGGCGAGCCATTGGCATCTGCACACGCGGGGCAGCGCGCACCGCTTGCCTGGCTGATCGTAGAAGGGCTGTTCGGAACATGGTGACAGAGTGTGGACGTTGCTGAGGGACGGTGTTGAGAGGTAGAGATAGGTAACGAAGATGATGTCTCTAAGCTCGCTCGCAGACTTCTCGAGCACAGACCATTCTGACTTCGGCTAACCCAGGCATGGAGGAGTACTTGGTAGAAGAGAGCTGTTGGCAGTACGGGACTGCGAGGTTCATAACATCACACCAATTCAAATCTTACAATTAATTAATTCTAATCTGATTTCTATCAATGTTGCATGCTTCGTCTATCCATCTATCGCCACTTTAAACGTTTGACGGGTTGTTGTGGTCATCGTTCAATATTGACCAATCACACCCCTTTAGTTGTCAAACCTTACGAAATCACTCTTGTAGCTTCTCTGCGCACCGTCAACGACATCACATCCATACCCCCAACTCCACTCCGCCGCCCGCGAAACTCGCAGCGCTTCCACAATGGCCAACACAAGGCCATTGACGATGCTAGCACGCAGCAATCCCCTTGCTGCTTCGCTATTGAGGCCGACACGCTTCACCCCTCGAACACCGGGACCCGCCACGGCAGTATTCTTTTCGACCAGCGGCATCCGTTTCGCATCGCCACTGGGACCTCCAGCGCCAGGATTCCGTCTGCCTCCCCCTAAACGTTGGCAGGATGGAGAGGGCGCTCTGGACCGAGCAGGAAAGTACTTCTTGCTCGTGGAGATGTTCCGGGGCATGTACGTTGCGCTCGAACAATTCTTCAGGCCTCCGTAAGTCAAAACAACTCAATTGGCAATTCCAGGCGTTGCCGCTCTTCGAAAACGCGAGTGCTGATTATTTCAAAGATATACCATTTTCTACCCATTCGAAAAGGGCCCTATCTCCCCCCGTTTCCGTGGCGAACACGCTCTCCGAAGGTACCCAACTGGCGAGGAACGTTGCATTGCCTGCAAGCTTTGCGAGGCCATCTGCCCCGCGCAGGCCATCACTATCGAAGCCGAAGAGCGTATGGATGGAAGCCGAAGGACATCGCGTTACGACATTGATATGACCAAGTGCATCTACTGCGGTCTGTGCCAGGAGAGCTGCCCCGTCGATGCCATTGTTGAAGGTATGCCAAACCCAACCAATCAGCCAATTTCCCCCATTCTATCATTACCAAAAACTAATTTCTCGAAGGTCCAAATGCTGAGTACGCCACCGAGACAAGGGAGGAGCTTCTATACAACAAGGAGAAGCTTTTGGCAAACGGTGACAAGTGGGAACCAGAAATTGCAGCTGCCGCCCGTGCGGACGCACCTTACAGGTAGAATGGGAAAAAGTTGGCGCTCAACTTGTGTACATATTAGAGAGAGAGCAGGTCAAGGTGTAGCAACAGATATCATGATTTCATTTGTTTTCAACAGCTCGGCTGTCCTCGCGACGTACCCTTAGGTATCTCAATACAAATGCAAAAATCAAAAAAGACAGGAATACTTCGATCTGCACGGGAGAGCTTCCAAAATATGCGAACACATTGATTTCAAATTCTGATTTGTACTTGTTTTCGACAGGTAACAACACAAGACGCCACCACGTGCATGCATATTGCCTAGGGCTCTTTTCACAGGCTCATGGTCCCATGAGCTAACTATGGGTAGAAGGCTAAAGTTGCAAGCACTCTCTACAGAAGTGACCGTATTAGCGACTGAGAAATCATCACAGATTTGGGGGCAGTTTGACAAGAATAGCTTGCAAGAAATTTAGGGTGTAGTATTCATTTCAGAGAGATGCATCGCGTTCCAAACGCCTCCAATGCAACAGCCGACGAGACAACTATGCCAAAACCCTATATCTTGCGCCAAAAATTATGCATCATCTACTTTTGACGGCCATAGAAGAAGCCGCCAGATTCGCTTTCACTAAATGACTTTTTTACCTCGCCTTGAATGTTCCCTCAAAACCTGGCCGCTTCACCTTTTTACCGGGCTTTTTGGCCTTTGTTCCCTTTTTGCCCTTCTTGCTACCCTTCTCGTCTCGTCGCTTCTTCAAGTTCTCCTCTCGCTTCTTTTGCTTGGCCTCCTGGGCCTTTTGGACGCTTGTCAATCGGTCTTTCCATTCTTGCTTGCTCTTTGCTTTAGCCTTCTCTTGACGCTTGACGCTCTTCTTTAGCAAGGCAGCGTCGTTGTGCACCTTCTCTCCTTGCGCTCGCTTCTTAGCGTCGAGCCACATGTCCTTCTCTTCAATGTCCTTCCGCTTGACTTCATCAAGAGCATTGATTCGTGCTCTCTTCTTCTCGGCTGCCTCGAGCGCAGTCTTTGCGTCTGATTTACCCTTCCTTTTCTTAGCTTCCAAAAAGCCTGAAAGATTGCTGTCTAGCTGCTGGCCGTCCTTCCAAGCAACGCGACCGAAAGCAAGAGCATCGTGCTCGGGCGTTGGGCGCAGTGAGAAGAGCGAGGGTGAGCCGGAACCACCTCGTAATCGTGCAAGTTGCTCCTCAGCCTTTAGGCGCTCTTCATCCTCCTTTGCAAGCTGACGACTGGCCTTGCGGGCGATCTTCCGCTCTGCTTCCTTTTTCCGTCGAGATTCGATGAGTTCTGCTCGATTTCTTGCTGGTCGACCATCGGGACCATCTGCTTTTCTCGCCGCTCGCATCGCTGCCAACTTCTGTGCGAGACGGTCACGGAAGGCTTCGTGCTTCTTGGGGTCATACTTGAACGATTTTTCCTCTTTCTTTTCAGATGAGGCATCGGCTGGAGGTATTATGGATGATGAGGACGAGGCAGCTGAGGCGTTTGAGGTAGTAGAGGCGTTCGAATTTGCAATCGATGAGGCAGCAGTTGATTGAGGGTCTTCCACCAAACCGCTGACGTCCAGAGGCTGGAGGCGTTCGTCGGCATCCTCCTCCAAAGCATCCTCCTCTTGTTCGTCATCTTCGGCATCTCCGTTGGAGTTACCAAGACCTTCGCTGAACTCGTTTTGTAGGGCTTTCTTGTTTTCTTTATTTTGTTGCTTCTTCGCCAGTTTCTCTTTCTTCTTTTCAAGCTTCTGCTTCCGCTTCTCAGCGGCTGCCTTAGCCTTGGCGTCCTCTGGCTTCTTTTCCTCGACAACATCCTCCTCCTCATCCTCATTGGCCTCGGGCTCGTCATGGTCAACAGGGTCCTCCTCATCAAAGCTCGCCTCAGCTTCTGAATCTTCGCCTTCAGTCTTTTGCTTTTTGGATTTGGTCGAAGCCTTTCGCAGGCCCTCTAGTGGCTTCTCCTTTTCGATGTCCATGTCAAGGTCTGTGTCTGAAGATGCTGAGGAAGAATCCTCGCCTTCAAGTTCGCGCTTCCGTTTTCGTGCGTTCTCGTCCATGACATCTTTGGCGGTCTTGTGTGAGGCGGGATCAAGCTTAGCACGTTTTGCAGCTTGTCGTTCTTCTTTTGTTTGCTTTTTCTTCGACCATTGTGTCTGTGGAAAGATGGTTCAGTATGGTGGCGGTGAAATGGCAGAATCTTGCGTACGCTTGTTATACTGGAGTCCTTTCCATAGTATTCCTTCGCAGGTATCAAGGACATGAGGCCCTCGAAAGCTCGAGCATGGCTCTTCAATCGCTCCTAGGGGACTGATTAGCGAGCGTGTACATGCGGGGCGAGCGCATAAATGCGAACCTCGAGGTTGGAGTCCGCCATTTGCAAAGTCAATTATTTTCAACTGGCGGCCTTGGACTTGCAAATGCTTCCCTGGGTTGGGAAGTGGGCTTGTTGTTGCGTGAAACGAAGTCGGACGTTTCGTCGTGTGCCTGCGATGCAGATGGAGTTCGAAAAAGTGGAAAAAAATGAATTACGGCCAGTTCGAAATCTTGGCAAAATATCTCACTTGTCCGGATTTGGTAGAGGAGGGAAGGAGGCGCAACCTCAACCTCGACCTTCAAAATATTAACCACACACAGCACGCCCCTCGTGCTGCTCCCCACAATTGCCAGATTTTCGTTGATCCTATTGTACACTTCCAAATCTTGCGTGGCAAGCAAGCGGCACCACGCGTAATTTGGGACTTCAACCAGGGCGCGAGCGCGAATGCCTGGGCAGGATTACGTGGTGCACCGCCACAAGCTCCCACCAATTCACTTCAGCCCAAGCTGATGGTTCATAAAGTATGCTGCTTGCTGCCACAGCATTTAAGCTCCACAACCTACATTGACGCCGTGCGGCTCGAGTGCTAGTTTAATCTGCCTCGAACTCAATCTGTCTCCATACCTCACACTTTTGACTGCGAAATACCAGCTCCAATGTCCGCACCGGCGATTGAAGCAAAGTCACTATCTTCGCTAACCACTCTTGCGTCCAACCCACCATCATACCCAAGAAATCCTACGCACGTGAGACATGAACCATTAGTGTTATATATCGCTCGCGTTCCCGGAAGCAGAGGTACGGCTTTCTGTTGGCTGTCCTAGAGTCAGCATCTAATTACATTTCCAGATGTCTTCCTTAGTCCTATGAAGCCGCGCGACAGGGTCGTTACAGCGGAGGACATCCAGAGTTCTCTCTATTTTGTACACATTGAGCAACCAGAAGATGTTCGTTTCATAAATCCCTTTCCGGGTTCATCGGCAGCAAGTCCGCGAGCAGAGTCGCCAAATCTAGGATCTACTCCAAATTTCCAGAGAAGGCCAGCCCCAGGAGGATTGGTTTCCCCACTGACAGCTTCTGCACCGAAACGCAAACCCGTTCCAGGAACTTTGGCTCCTCAGAGCTTGAATGTTAGAAACGATTCACAGGATGCACAACTGTCTCCGCATCAGGCCAATCTGCTAAGCCCCGACTATCATCAGCGTCGGTCTTTTGACTCGAGTCGCCATCAAGAAACACAGAGGCCCTCTCCACCGTATTCACCGTTCGATCAAAGCACAGAATCTGGGACCTCTCTTACCCTCATTCGGCGTGATCCTGGATCGGGGGCGCAATGGAATGTTGCTCGGATAGCTGACCCCCATATGTCGGAAGTGTCTTCATTCTCGAGCAATGAGTTGAGTTCAAAACGCAAGACAGCAACACCTTTCCACGTCGAAATCCATAATCCGGGCTATTCGAAGTTCTTACACTCTAATCCACAATCGCCATTGATCAGTCGCCCTACCAGCTCTTCATTACGCCCCAATAGTCAAGGAGGTGCTCATCCCATGCCTCCTACCCCACAATTTCCCAACAGTCCAAATTCAGAGAACGCCGATGGAATATTCCGTCGACGAATCTGGATGGAGAATTCTAAGTATGGAAGCTCAGATTCTGGTCATCGAAAACATAATTCGTATGATGCCAACGCAGGGTATCAGAGCAATAGAGGCAGCGTTGAATGGCCAAATGATAGATCGTCAATGGACCTTCGCCCACCCCCATCTCCATCATACTTGACACGGGACGATACCTACGATTCCATACCGGCAGCAGAGAAGCAGTCGCCCTTCCGAGGATATGTATTCATGACTCCGTGGAATAGTCGATGCGAATTCGTCACTGGGACCGGTGGCGGGTCGCTGAAAGTAAGTCTATTTGGCCCAATGTTCTTCACTCTTCTAACAATCTGCAGTGTCGTCACATAGTCCCCGGGCTTCAGGGTAATCCTCCCACGCCGATGCCTGTGAGCGAGTTGAGGTTCAATCTACCAAGTGCTTCCCGAGATGAATCGAAGAGATCTTCTATCTTCCATCGTCCGCGACATAGCCGCAACAACTCATCCGTTTCGGAAATGGATCTATCATTGGGACAAGAATTTGCGGGTGGGGGCTTCGGGGGACGACAAGCTAAACTCGGCAAGCTTATCATCGAGGATGAGGGCTTGAAGATGCTGGATCTTTTGGTTGCAGCCAATATTGCTTTGTGGTGGAGGGCGTATGAGAAAGTTTGAGCGAAATCAAGCCTTGAAAGGTGGCACGATGCTGCTGCGGATCAAGCAACCCCTTTTCTTGATATATGCCAGACATGAGAGGACCAAGCCTTGGGGAGACATGATCTCAATGCATTAGCCGGCGTGCTTTCTCTGTATTTTGGTGCACTTTTGCTAAGCGAATCCAGTAACAGCAAACGGGGTGATAGGTAGTGTACAACTATGTCCGCGATTCGGAGCTGCAGAACATAATTAATGCATTTACAATACATTGATGGAGGCCCATCTGCATGTGTGTCTATCAATACTAGCTAAGGATGCGGCGGAACGATGATGACAGGCGGAACCGTTCCGTCACACTTCATACCAGTCCCGAACCGCGGAACCAATACCCCACATCAAGCTCCAACAGTTCCCCCAATGTATATGAACGCCTGTTGCAGACAGAACCTCTCAACGCCATAGATTCACCTCGAAATAATACCAATTGATTCCAAAAGCAAGATGTCTGTCCAAAAGGTTGCTCTCATCACCGCCAGCTCTGCAGGACTAGGAGCCCAGATAGCTCGAGTGTTTGCTCCTGATTACCGAGTTGTACGTACAATACAGCCATGCGTGGTGCCTCAGAATACTCTATGGATAGACCCATTGACTCCCAGTACAGGTCATCAACTACTCCTCCAACCAAGCGCGAGCACAATCACTCGTCGAAGAACTATCCAAGATCCCTTCAACACACTCTTCGCCAGCAACACCACGCTTCCACATTCTCCAAGCCGATGTATCCTCCAAGCCTTCCGTACAAAACCTCGTCGCAGAGACAATCAAGACCATGGGTCGTCTCGACGTCGTGGTCTCTAACGCCGGCTGGACACGCATGACGACGTTCCTGAACATTGATGAGGGCGTCAACGACGAGGATTGGGATAAGTGCTTCGTCATGAACGTCAAGACGCACTTATGGCTCGCTTATGCCGCGAAGGATGCTTTGGCTGAGACCGAGGGCACGTTTATATCAACAGCTAGTGTGGCGGGAGTGAAGCCTTCAGGAAGCAGTCTGCCGTATGCGGTCACAAAGGCAGCGCAAATTCATCTTGCGAAGAGTCTGGCGGTCATTCTCGCGCCCAAGATTCAAGTCAACAGCGTCAGTCCCGGAATGCTGTTGACCGAGTGGGGGATGAAGTTCCCCGAGAGCAAGAGGGAGGCTGCGAAGAACAACACTAAGTTGAAGCGGTTGGCGACGGTTGAGGATGTTGCTGATCAAGTTAGAGTATTGGCGTTGAGCAGGAGTGTGACGGGCCAGAACTTGCTCATTGATGGTGGTTCTTCTCTATAGAGGTGTTTTGATGATCACAACATCGCTAGTGTATTGATTGCGATGATTGACTAAATGGGCATACATGGCGCAAACAGGTACAATGGAAATAAATATTACTACATTTTACAAAGAAATGATCAACTATATTTTCGTTTTATTTTATCAACTTTCGTACCATGTTCAACAAGCTCGAATAGGGTCTCCGGAAACGCTCCGGAAGCAGATTGTGGGACACTAACACTAGCTACCTGACAACCACGACGTCAAAGAACGAAAGCTGAAGCCTTTCTAAAAAATTTACATCTTTCCACCCTTTCCATTCACTTCTAAAGAGATATTGGGTATCGTGAGATGTCATCAGCCCTAATCACAAATGCTGGTGACTCAAATCCAACATGGGTCAATGCGCGAACTTAAATTGTACACCACGTAGTGAGGTTGTAGCAACGACGGACATTGCCGGAAACGGGGTCAGTCAGAACCCTACGATCCCCAACCTTGAAGTTCTGTTGTTAAAATAATTGGGGATATAGGTTTTATACGCCTTCATCATCTCAGCTATCTTGACCATCGCGGCAATCGCATTTGCCTATATCTCGGACTCGCTACCAGAAAGCTATCTCAACGAAGTCGACCGCGCCGTGATATCAGCTGTTCAATCCATCCTACCCTCCCGGGAAACTCTGCATCGACTATGGACGAAACTGAAACCATTCCTCACGTTCGGCCGCCCAGCAAGCAGCGAACCTCGCATGCTCACCCGGATGGAACGTCAAGAAGCCGTGACGCGGTTCGTCCTCGCGCTGAGCGACCAACAACTAGCCACCGGATTAGCCATCTTAATCGCAAGTCTCGCAAACCAATGCACCTTGACCGTCTATGAATTCGAGCTCGCCTTCGCCCTCGCATGGTTCTCGTCGACGACCCATCTGGCCACGCTAGACGTGCTGCGGGTGTACTTCCACCACCACCAAGTCGTGCGGAACTGGCGCGTGTTTGGCATGATAGCATTGCTCATCTTGCTGCTCTATTCACTCGTCATGTCTGTGGGTTCGGTCGACGAGACGCTGCCTGTGCAGTGCACATATAGGTATTTTGGCTACGACGGCATCCGGAGTACGAATCCGCTCAGTGTGTATCTGATCATTGCCTCTGTCCTGGTCCCGCTCATTCTCGTCTGGAGCTACATCGTGCGGATCTACTGGTGCTACCGGGTTCTGGACGGGAAGGCATCCACGCTGGAGCGAATTGTGTTCAACATGAAGAGCCGTTCACTGCGAAGGAAATTCCGGCCGTCCAAGTCAGAAAAGGAAGCGCTATTGAACGAAGCCGTACTGGAGCGACGGGCGATAGTCCGACGTCGACATTTGGAGCGTATAGGCTCGACGAGGGGAATCGTGCGGCAGTGGCACATTCAGAGTCGGGCGTCGAAAGAGTACAACGGGTCGTTCCTTTCTTTCGGTCCGTTGGTCATCTTCATGGTGGCTTTTGGGTTTTCTCAATTGTATGTCACTAGATGGGATCCGAATGTTCCTGTCACCATAGACGAGGCTATGAGTTTCGGGCAAATCATGCCTCTGTTTCTACTAGTTTTACCTATCTTCGCTGCTGCGGAGATATACTACGGTAAGCTTGACTCCATTTTAAGACTCTTCGGATTTCTAACTCCCTGCAGAGGTCAAAGGCGGCGGCCACGTAGAGACATCAGTCGACGACAACCCCGACACCAACGAAGGCTACGCCTTCCCATCCTTCATCCCACCCTACCGCCGCGCCTCCTTGGTATCATCCAGCGGCGCCGACGACGACCGCGAGTTCTCCCAACTGCTCAAACTAAGTGAACTCTACGACGAAGAGCTCCCCCACATCAAACGCCTCTTCTACCTCGAAGCAAAGACCATCTCCCTCCGAACAGCATCCGCCACCACCTGCGAGGAGCACAAAGCCGCACTCGAATCGCAAGCCGCGATTCTGTCTCGATTCTACGCGCTCCAGCACATGGAAACATCACTGGCGCCGTCGTTCCTCAGAGCGTCGGTCGAGTTCTTGGTCAATTCCGGGTGCAGTCTGGCATTTGGGATTCTGATCAATATCGATGATCCCAGGGCTACGGGGACGATTACGAGTGTTGTTATTTTGGCGTGCTATTTGGTGAATGAGGGCATTAATCTGTCGTTTGATGTTAAGGATGCTTGGTTACCAGTCACGGCGGGGGAGTATGAGAGGGTGTTGCTGGAGGTGAGGAGGAGGGAGGGGGAGAGAGGTGGGTGTGATGATTCTCCTGATGCAAATACGCCGGTTCTGCCGATTGTGGATCCGGGGAGTGGTAAAAAGGAGGCAATCATGCATGGGGAAACGACTGAGAAGAAGTGAGGGAGGATACTGAATAGATGTTGGGCGACTCATCAAGTTAGATTCCTAGTCTAGTTGTAGGCACAAACTATAGAGTACATAATACATGGGAGAATAATCATAAAGCAAATAACTATTTAGACAACTGCTTAAACACGTCAGAAATATTTTTAAATAGAAAAGACAAGCAAAGTATACAAAATTATAGCAAGCATAATTTTTTAAAATCAATGATAGACCTCTTATTAGATAATATATATTTAGGTACGGTCAATCATTCAACTCCAATTAGTACTTGCTCTTACGAACACACCCTGCCCTTTCCATGTAATCAAACATATTATATCCCTTAACAAGGCCAAATACCATCCATCAAGGCACGGCAAATTAAAATGATGCCTACTATTTATTATCCCGGTCTGTACATGATCATACTCCCTACTGCGAGCACTCACCATCCCCTTCTCCACCAACCGACAAAAACCACAATTATTCCTTCCGCTCACCGACTGCACAGTTCCGATTCTTACACATGCACGTATTATCTCCTCTTTTCAGAATCCTGTAAGACGCATACATGTATACGATAGGCCATCGAAAGTGCATTCCTATTTGACTTGCTGGTGAGTGGTTGTAAATGGAAATCTTGTAGATGAATCACAGAGACCCTGTATACGGGGCGGTAGTATGATTAAGAATGACCCAGAAGTTATAAAATGTATACTAAATTCTACGAGACTTGATATATAGAAAGATAGAGCCAAGAACGAGCCTGATAGTCGCATGTTGAAGGTGGGTCCAAAGGTAACGTGATATCAGCAGTAGTCGTCCAGATCCACACAACCAAGCTTTACTGTGTGATATATCGTGACCGCAATTGTTGGCTTTCTCCCACCCGCTTTCTCGTGATTGCAGCCGCTGTTCCCAAGAGTCCCGGAAGCCAAGATGTCGCTCAAGACAATGTGGCAGCAATACTTCCCCGCAGAAGCGCCTTCGTTCACGGAAGCGAACCTCGCGCCTGGGAGCCAAGAGGGAAAAGTTTTCATCATCACGGGTGGGAATTCGGGGATCGGAAAGGAGCTTGCGAGGTTTCTGTATCCGACGGGGGCGAGGATCTACCTTGCAGGTCGGTCTGAGGAGAGGATCGCACGGGCGATCGAGGATATCGAAGCGTCGTCTGCTTCGACGGGCGTGGCGAAAAAAGGCTGTCTAAGGTCGCTGCATGGGCTCGATCTGAGTGATCTATGTACAGTCAAACCGGTGTTTGAGAGGTTCGCGGCGCAGGAGAAGGAGTTGCATGTGCTTTGGAATAACGCGGCCATGCCGTCGCGACCGGGGAGGTCGAGCCCACAGGGTATCGAATTGTCCATGGCAGCGAATGCATTGGGTCCATTCCTATTGACGAGCTTGCTTGTTCGACATCTTGGTGCTGGGGCGAAGAATGCGGGACGACCGTCGCGTGTGGTTTGGACAGGTTCGGTTCAGATTGAGATGAATGCACCGCTGGGAGGAGTCGATTTTGAGCGCCTTAACCAAGGAAAGACAATCTCGCAGCATCCAGATTATGCCCAGTCGAAGGCTGCTAACCTGTTGCTTGCACATGAGAGCGCTATCAGGTGGGGAGATCAGGATATCATCAGTGTTTGCCAGAATCCGGGGAACTTGTACACGAATATATATGCCAGAGAGAATTGGTTACTGGTGCTGTTCCTCAGATATACAGTACTCTACGAGGCAAAGTATGGGGCGTATACGATGATGTTCGCGGGGTTCTCGGACAAGATTAGCATGGCGCAGAACGGCTGCTATATATGGCCATGGGGTGTGATCAAGCCGAATTCGAGGGAGGATGTATACAAGGCGATCGACCAGGGCAAGGCCCGGGACTTCTGGGAGTGGTGCGAGGACAAGATTGGGGCTTTCATGTAGCCTTAGCTGTGGTTCTGTTAATATTTGATAGATGATCGATGGCGGGCACCGTGCCACATGTCAGCTTTCAATCTTTGGCATGATGGGAGCGACACTGTCCATTACGCTCCCTGGACGGTATGCACCGAAGCGAGTAAACCCAATCGTGTGGACCGATAACTAATATCAGGCTGTGATGAAACAGTCAGACATCTTCAGTCTTCATCCGCTCAGTCCAGAATCCTTTCCCATAGCTGATCAGTATCTCCTGGCCTTTCGGGACCCCTTTAGCTCGTTTCCCACTCTTGCCAGCGGTGAGGACAAATACACCTATCCTTTTCTCAATCTTCCCACCACCGATGTCAAAGTAGACATCCCTAAACTCAGCGTTGGGCCCTGTAGATACCCCACGGTAATCGTTGATGAAGCGAGCCTCGTTGCCCATGTTAGAGGCATCTACGCCTACTCCGAAGTCTCGGTCGAGTGAGAGATCGTAGTCGGACTTCTCATCTAAATCATTGGCATCATGAACATAACCTAGATAGGGTAGCACGAAGGATTGGGAGGTAGATTCTGAGCAGCGAACAGTCCACTTTGGCCATGGGCAGGATGAGACGGATTCGATATCTTTGTTATCCTAACGTTAGTGTAGGGAGCTGTAGATATGCGAAGCTGCTCATTGACCGGAAGGTCAGATTTGGGAAGAATCAGTGAGTTGAGTGCCTCTTTGGCGAGTGCTTTGGAATAGCTCTGAGCGTGTAGATACGGAGTGCTGGATGGCCAGTCTTTGGGGAATTTCCCACCAGACGACCGAGTGTTCTGATCCTTAGAAGGTTTCGTCGTGATTTTGGAAGCCATATCTTGATACGTGGAATGGCATCAAACTGAACTAGGACTTGGTAGCTCTCGCTTGGACTAGCCTCGTAACAAGCAAATGAAAAGGAGACCGAAAGGAGTTGATTTTGTATCCGTATTATGTAGGTGGCGTAATAGTACGAGGAGTGGGGTGTTGTATTGCTTGACTCAAATAATTCCCGCGTGGATTTACGGGCGTAGGTACACAAATTTAGGAACCCCCTTATTGGCTCAATGAGTTTTTCCGCTCAAACAGGTTTTTTATGCCTTCCAAGTCTCTAGAAGTTCACCCGGGACTACGGAGTACTTGGAGTGTATCTAATGGAAAAAGATAATAGACTCGTGGAAGGCAAATTCTATGTTTCTTTCTAGCGAGACCTCAGTGGCTGCTGGGAGAGATTTGACACTGTTTCCAAGGTCAAATGGATTGGTTGGCATTGGCCGGGGCCGACCGAGCAGGAATAGCATGCATGAAGTCGATACCAGGGGGTGAGTGTTATTTCGGCATGCATCCGGGGAAGACTGGATGGGTGATGGTAGCAATTTTTAGACTCCGGATGGTTGTTGAGAGTTGGGTAATGGATGAGGTACGAAGGTAGCGGTAGGGTAGATAGCTTGATACTTGATAGGGAGAGAAGCTAACGACACCGACCGTGACACGCTACCACCGGTCTAACCGCACCATCAGCTCCACGCTTACAACGCACACATACACGCCGGTACGCCAACCATCTCCACACCGTAACTATTGTTTTTGTTTTTGTTATTGTTTACTCTAAGAGAATGATGAAGAAGACTTTTCGTTCAGCACCGAGTAAATCTGTTAATTGACGCTACGACGCTGCATGAAAAGACATGGTGAAGAGAAGAGCTGTCGAATTTCTGTCTCTCCACAATGTCAGGGGAGACAACTTGGCACAATCCGCGAGGCGCCCACGTTGTCCATGCAATGTCACGGACTGAATTTCCCCTTGTGGCCCTACGGTAGAACAGGCTTTGTCCAAGGCCCAGAATCAACGCAGGAACCCGCGCGGATCAAGAACTGCTCCACACCACACTGACATCCTCTCCTCCTGTAACCTACCAACCTGAGGTCTCCACTATCTACGACTATTCTCGGTCGCCGCCATGCGGGCCTCTCCTGTCCTTAGCCTTGCTTCTGACAAGCGCGATCGCTTTGGTCTCGACCTCTGCAGCACGCGCTGATCGGCTGGGGACACACGGAAATGTACACAGCAACAAGGTAGGACGTTGCTACAGAGCGACAGACGTCGTACTCTCTAGGTAATTACAGAGTTCTCGAAAGTAGAGCTCGATCTCCTTACTGCAAGCACAAAAGGGGAAGGGCTGAGGGTTACGATCTGATTTACTGGCTGCTTGGTCGTACGACACTCCGCCGTGAATTCATGCGACGAATCGTATGTATCAGCCTGCCAAAAACCTTCGAATCTTGACTCTGGAGGTCACGGTTGTGCGCGCAGTGGTCTCCGAGGGCTTACAACCTTCGCGCTCAGATTGGGCGAAGGGGAAAAGAGCTAGGTGTGGACCATGGAACTGTTGAATTGCTTGGACTACCAACGGTCCCCTGCTGATTGATATTGGATGTTTAATCTGGTGCCTGGAACTATTCCCTCTTGGAGCACGGTCGTCAATAACTGCTCACATTCCCTCTGATAGCCCAGGCTGGGAGGAGCGGCTAGTGACTCCATCATACGTTCTCCTATCCTGCCACGCCTTCTCGTATGCTGCTAGCAATTCGACCAAGGACGCCACGGACAGGCCAAGCTCCCCACATACTGGTTGACGAGTGCAACCATGGTAGCTGCCCCTGTTTACCTTCATCCAATATCGATATCAATTCATGAGCACAGGGAGAGAGTGCTATTCATATAAAATGCCCTCCCGGATCGAGTCTCAATCTTCTTTTCTCTACCTCAGTACACATTCGCTCTACTCCTAATACCAACCGGTCTTACCCCGATTACATTCTTTATCAACAACATTAATACCGCCTCCCGTATAACTTAATATACCAAACACCAAACTCAACCGTCAAAATGAAGTACTTCGCCGCTACCGTTGCCCTCATCGCTGGTGCCCAGGCCTCTGCCTACGGCTACCCTGCTGCCAACAGCTCTACTCCCGTCGAGTACCCCGTCTCTTCCAGCGCCTACCCCGTTGAGTCTTCCGGATACCCTGTCGTCTCCTCCGGATACCCCGTCTCCTCCAGCGTCTATGTCACCAAGACCGTCTCTGAGCTCACCACCGTCTGCCCTGAGCCCACCACCGTAAGCTTTCTCCCCGTTTGAAATCCAATGTCACGATACTAACATCATTTGATAGCTCACCCAGGGCGGCAAGACCTACACTGTCACCACCTCCACCACCCTCACCATCACTGACTGCCCTTGCACTGTCGTTGAGACTCACTACCCCACTGCTCCTGTCTACACCTCTCCCGTCCACACTGCTCCCGTCCACACCACTCCTGTCCCCGTCTACCCCACTGGCAACGGCACTCACCCCACTGCCCCTGCTCCTTCTGGCACTGGTGCCGCTCCTCCCTCCGAGTTCACCGGCGCTGCCGCCAAGGTCGGTGTCAGCTTCGTCGGTCTCCTCGCCGCCGGTGCCGCTCTTTTGTAAGCAGCATCTCAACCTCTTGAAGAGCATTGATCTCCTCCGACCATTGTCTCTTCTGGATGTTTGACAGGAGACGAGAAAAGACGTTGGATGAAAGAATTATTATTCGGTTCCATTTCAATCACGGTTTATGACTTCGGGCTCTGCATTCATGTCACCTGCATTGCGATGGTGAGTCTGCGGTCGGATACCCCCCGCTAAATAATTATCAATTTTGGACAAATTTCCCCCATACTTTAATATACCTCCATCTCTCTTCATAAGCGCGCTCCGAGAAACAGTCGAACCAAGGGCTGGAACTACCTGATACCCAAATGTACAGAAGAAAGTGCGAATTTCCGTGTAAATAGTTTTGATTGAAGGGTTACGCTTCTGGGTCTTCAGATTTCAGGGCTGCCTCGAATAAAAACGCCTGTCGATCAGACATAAACCATATTCTCTTATTGCAAACCTGTGAAGTCTTTAAATCTCATGGTGATTTTTAACATTATGATCAGGAACACCACGTCAAAAATCAGAAAGCATCTCACGACGTTGAAAGAAGCTCGCCTTGCGTGCTCCCACCCCCGAAATTCGCAACTCCCATAAGGCTGTTGTATGAACCATCTCCCCAGATGCACCAAACCACCCTTCAATTGGCCCAAACTAACAGGTACCTACAAACCCATCATAACTAAAAACCACAAAACAAAACAACCCAACAATCAAACAAACAAGGACAGCAATAAACCAAGAAACCCCAACCTACCACCCGCTCCAGAGCCTACTACACCCTCAAAACAATCCTTCAATCAAACCCACCCACAGCGTCCAAACACCCCCAAGCACACCCCAAGCCCTCGGCATTGCCTTGCAATAAACCACTCTTTCCTACCTACTCTCCGTCGTTTTATCCCCCCCGGTACCGTGAGCCGTGTGCCGGGAGATAACGAAATCAGGAACAAGGCACGATCGAAGGACCAACGACGTCACTCTTCATTTACAGTTCTACACGGGTGGGAACTTGGGAAGTCTAGATTACTTACGCGCGAAGTCCTGTTCGTCCCTTGCGCCGGCGTACGGCGAGGAAGAGATAGCAAGGCTGGGGGTAGGTGTGGTGTGCAGTCAGGGGTACCACACATGGTTTACTTCGGGACGACGGAACGGTGAGGTTCGCTCGTGTTGTTGTTGTGTCGTGTTGCGGTTCTTCGCCATTTGTGTACGCGCGAACCAATTGTGTGATGTGTGATTGTGGCTTACAAGAATTTTACTCGACCTACGGGTTTAACACTTGTTGGTTCTAGAATTCCGATAGTTATGGGATGTGAACTTGTGAGCTAGAGCGGAAAGGGGAGGATGTCGGGTGCTGGGTTCCGGGAGGGCGCGTGAGCGAAGCGAGGATGACGGTGGATTACTGATGTGTGATATGGTCGTCGCGGTCGCGTGTTGAGTTTACTACAAGTACATGTTCGTTTTTGGGCGATGGGAGGTGTTGGATTGTGCAAGCGATTGTTTTGTGTATCGCTATATGCTGGGGTGACGCGTGTGGATAGATACGGAGTATATCGTCACGGCGCGTGATGGGATATGACTTAATGGGGAGACTGCAACACCACTTTTTTCGATATCGCTTGGATAAGTTGTAATGATGACTCCGTCGAATGTTCCCCCAAGAATCCAAGACTCTTTGCAACACACAGGTGCGTCGTAGGACAAGATGAAGAGTTTGATTGTTTTAGTTTCATTTCTCTCAGCTGCATTGAATACAGCCATTTCTTCAAGTTACCTCCTGACAAACAAAGTCTGCAGCTGACATTTCACCGGTCGCTCAATCGAGATGAACTGCGAACTACGAATTCCCAATTCATCCATCGAGGCTTGATTTGGTCCAAAGACTAGATGGTAGATGGTAATACTACGGAGTGCTAACACCAATAACCCTCCACTTTGAACTAAGAGAAAAATCAATAGGGCGCTCGCTCGCTGTGGAGAGATTTTTTCTTCCAAGCGCAGGCGTAAGACTTGTGTTATTGAATTTTGCTGTGGAAAGTAGTCCAATCAGGGTAATGCTAACCAGACACCGTAATCGACGCGTACGCACTCATTTCTATGTCTGTTTAGTCCCTTTTAGGGTTTGTACCTCGTACGGAGCCATTTTTTGAGGTATCTCGTGAGTTATGCTTGTTCTTGTTTGTTTGCGGACTTGCATAATTCATTTGCACAACTTCCATTACATCTGCACCGCTGACTGAGTTTTCTTCGAGAAACCGGTGAGTGTGATAGAGTCTGCGTATGCTTTCATTGGAGGATGATTGGCATTTCTTGTTCGCCATTGTTCTTTTGAAAGGCACACATGAATATCGGTTTTCATAATTCATTTAATTAAGTTGTTGCGGTCATCGCGCGGGCATAGTTCGGGGCCTCGCATATCGCGGAGAGTTTCGCATTGCGACGACCACTTGTCTCCAGAGATATCGTGTCGTGATTGCGATATCGAAAAAAAGAAACTGAACCGCGTGAGGAAATTCACTAATATCGATGCGTGACTTTGTAGAAATCAGATTTGGTTAGTTGGTCTAGAGGTCCGATTCCTGATTATATTGGACACTTCGGTTTCCGTCGATTGTGTGTGTGAAAAAGCTGGGAGCATCTTTGCTGATATCAAGAATATGCAGGTTTTCTATACGAGGAATAATCGCAAGACGTTATGATGGAAGAAATACGAGATCATTGAATATATTTTCGTATGTATGGATTTGAGTTGGACGGCGAAGTTCTAATCGCATGTGGTGTTCTGCTTGTGTTCATGTCTTCTTGGATTAGAAGTGACAGTTAGATATACATGTACAGATAATCATATCAGCACATACTTGCAAATCCGGCACATGAGTAGGGGCCTATGATTTTACTCTAAAACAGAACCTGTGAAATAAAACGGGACCATGAGAAGTGCTTTCAAAACATGATGATTTGTGACGAAATTCAATAGATCCAGACTTATGGTCTCGTTCTATAGGCATTGATGATATTGGACTGCCCGTACGATAATTGTGTCAAGAGTTCAGCCTCCTCGGAGCGAGTTTCGTACGTCGTACTTACTAAATCAGACACACGTATATTCGAATATATTTCCCTGCTATAGAATAGATATGAAATCGTTCTGTCGTCATGCCCACAAAACCCGGCGCATAGCCTGCCTGCACGGAACATCCAAAGACGCAGGAACATGACCCATGGTTATCTATTCTCCGACATCCAGCTTCTACAATAGGTACTAATTTTACTCGTGGAACGGTGAGGAATAGGCCGATGGACAGGCCGAAGCATTTTGGGGATGCCGAAATTTTGCTTCATGGCGTAGTTATTGTCTATGTATTACCATGGCTTCGGAGGAGGCTATCAGGATTTCCGAAACCCATCTTATCATAATCGCCGCCGTCGGAGAATGCGTGCGCTTGGGATGTATGACCTCATCCTGAAGTAATTATGTCTGCGGGTGTAGTACTTGTTAAATTCTAGACACACATTGTTGCGATAATTACCTGGCATTGTAAGGGGTGTAGTCAGATAGGCATAATTCTGATGAGCTGGCTCCGAGGACGAGACGGGTGACCTATCGCAAGAGTCTACAAACGTTCTTGTTGTACACATCTGACGCGCCTATGATGTCCGCACTTCAGAGTCATTATGAACCTGGCATTCGTTAATGTGTGAGATCTTGGTTCCGCGCTCTTGTCTTCGTCTGTGAGGTGTTGGGGAAGGATAGCTTCTTGAGCCATCTGGTGGAATCTCTAGATTCCCTACCCTCGTGCGCTGCGTCTGTATGACGTCCCTCGGATTCTTGAAATCCCAACAGCAGCATACCATATCATACTTACCGCAACCCAGAAACGATCAGGAATCGATGAGATAAGAAAAGAGGGATCCGGTCCGGGCCCGACGTCAAAAAAGAAAAGTAGGGTCCACGTGGAGACTGGGTGTCAAAAGACTTGCATCCTGCATGACGCATACGCCCATTGCTAGAGTACACCCGACCATGGACTTTTGTCCAAATTGCCATGGTCATACCAGCATCCAGTAACCATGATGGGGGACGCTGGGCTGTCGACTACCATCAGGGTATGTAAGGCAGGGTGGAGGCCCGGCCATGATTGCGATGCCATTCCAATGGAGTTTCGAGACAATCCTGTTACCAGATAACACGTCACTTGCAGATCGCAGGTTGAAACTCGTTTCTATTTTCCGCGGACCTCCCTATCAGAGAGAGCAATTTGAAGGGTCGATCCGGGTGGACGCCGGGTTCAAGCCACGCCTGGTATTCGAGAAAAGTAAAAAGTAAGGCGGCTGATATGTTGTCTTAGTGGCTTGAGGCTGGAGGGATGAGGCTCGTGGCAGTACTCTTGCTCGTTGAGAGAGGTCGGATAAGTGGGGGCGAGAGACGTATGACGTGGGGCTGAGGAACGTCGATCGTGTGTCTGAGGATCGAGTTTCGATCGCAAGTCAAGAATATTGTAACGTAACTTCTGCAGTTGTACTGTTCGGCCTACGAGTACTCGTGCTGGTTCAACAGGTTTCGTTCTCCCTTATCATACTCGCACAGTGCAGAATGTGCAATAGGATACCGGTAGATGGATGGTACCCAATGCTGTGGTTGGTTACTGGTACAATGTTTCGGGTGTCGGAGCAGGCAGGGTCGCCTAGAAAGAACAAGTTGCTGCAGGTACTGCCGTTGTGACGAATTAAAGATTTGGATATTTCGTAGATCAGTGCCCACAAGAATGGTTGTAACACTGTGCAGTCGTACTCATCGCCGATTTGGAAGAAATTGGTGGTCTTACGAGATGACGTTAACCTTTGAAGTCATATCTAAAAAAGATGATCAACATAACCCAAGATGGCCTCGACCAATGATCATCCCCACCGCCCAGGAATTTTAGATTCGAAACAATCACACAATTGACTTCCCTTGTCCGAGTGTCGGCAACGCCTCAGCCTGTGCCCAGGAGTGGCTCGATCCCGGATTTTCAGTCAGGCACGCCGGGCTGCGTTGGTTTGTTCTTCCTTCACGGAGTTGAGGGATTGGCCTTTCAACGTCATAGGGCCGCTTGGACCAAAAGAGGGAATCAAAGAGTGGAGGGGAGGGTAATTACGAGGCCAATTGTGGAGTTGTGGAGTGTCGATGGTGGAATGCAATTCTCGCCCTGGGGCCGATTCCGATCATGTCAACTAAGGGCAAAGACGGATAAATAGAATCCTCAAGTACCCTCTTTGGAACGATTGTTCTCTTTTTGATCTTTTCTCCATTTTCTCACGCAATTACCATTACATACAACCAACAAGAATAACCTGATACTATCTTGTACTGGCGTCTAGCGCAATTCACGCCATTCCCATACCATCCATTCACCATCCGCCATACTACTCGCAGTAACACCATTCGCCATTCACACCACCGTCTGACCGGAAATAGATCAGCTCCCGCTCACACCACTCCATTGCGAACCACCGGTTGCCCTCCCGCATTCGAGTGATTTGTTTGGCTTCATCATTCTAACCTGCGTAACCTTTCTTTCTACTGGCTGCTTAGCTGTTCCCGCTCCGCATTACCCCCGAGCCAATATCAGAAGCCACCAGACCCCGCATACCCCAAAGAGGAGAAGAGAGGAGAGGACCCTTTCTCAGCTGCTTTTAACCCGGATATCCTTTTGAGCACTCCACCTTCTTATCTTTCTCTGATAAACCCATATATTGCCTTCGGTTCGAAACCGACAATCCATCCAAATCACTCGTCTCATCACAATCCCATCACTATCTCGACATCAAACTTGACATCAACCCCATCGAACATCAAACATTGAACATCAGACATCCAACCTTACCATACATTCACAATGGCCGAGGTACGTATCAGAATCTCCTCAGCTTTCCACCCCGTATATACTAACACATCCCCAGTCCGAGCCGCCCATGCAGCGATATCTTAAACTATCATCACAACAAGAGAACATCCGCCGGAAACTCTCGCTCGAAACCCAATCACCCACATCACCCGAATTCCGATCAATGTCCTCATCACCCACCGAGAGCATGCAATCATCCATGCACTCATCCACCACAGCCACGGAGCCACACCTCCCCAGCCCAATGCCCATCCCAATTCAACGTCAACGACACAGCGTCGACTACACGGGGGACGACGCAAAGCGAACACTCTGCGACATCAACCAGCAGATGAAGGCAACCCTGACCGAGCTCCTGAACCAGAACCGTTCCGATGACAAGTACCGGGCGTGGGTGCAGGAGAAGCTGCTCGAGACGGAGCAACAGATCAGGAAGCAACGTCGTAGGCACTCCAGTGGTGATCGGGAGATGGCCGCTTCGATTGCGACGCACTTCAGTCCCACGCAGAGCTTCGCGTCGCCGTGGCACTAGATGTGGAGATCGTACCGGTCTGACAGGACGTTCAGACCGATCTCCCTATCTATCATTCGACTTTGGCATATCTGTTGTATTACCATTTGTATTTCTGTTTTCCTTTGTTTTCATCTTTATATCTTGTCACGATTTGAACGACTCAGGCGGCACAGCGGGCATGGAAACTTGCATAACTCAAGAGTAGCGAAGACGGAAACCCTCATCACATTGTTGTATACCAACACACCAACACAAACCCCCTAAAGATACCCCTATACACTCCCTCATTTGCATTTCATCGACAGCAATGAGCAGAAGAGAAAAATGATCGCGCGATGAAATTGCGCTGGGCTGGCTTCACAAACAATAGAAGCCTACTCAAACCTACTTACCAAGTAATGAATGAATTGAAATGTAACTTTTCACTCTGCGTATGGCTTGTAAAACTTCCTATCTTCGAAAAAAACGTACATACAATCTTGCAAATATGAAATCTTTACATTATCGTCTCCCTTCTGTGAGGTTCAAAATCCCAAGAGACGCAAGCAGAACATGCCGATCTTTCGCTTTTCAAAGCGAATCCGTCCATCATTCGATAGCATACACGCACGTTTATCGCCATGCATGACATTGCGTTCGCGTTTTCCCAACTGATGTCGCCGCAGGAAACGATCGACCTCAACGGAAAATAAAAACATCATTTTGCATCTCTCATCTCAAGATGAAGATAAAATCGTTGATGTGATGCATCGAAAAAGTTCACACACCACCCTCCACAAGCCACACACCATCAGAGGGAGAGAGATGGGAGGACTATCAGATTATGACCTCAACCCCCTCCTCACAAACATTCCCCATCGACGATTTCGCCACAACACCAACACCAACAACCATCCCTAATGAATCCCCCGTAACATCAACACCATCCGCCCAATTTTACATTCAATTATACCTAATTTTCCCCAATGCCTACCCCGGAAGATAGATAACAAAATCAGAATTCATAGGTTTTGCCCGCGGCACTCACTGGCCGCGGACCATTTCCCCGCACCTCCCAACAAAAAGGGGCCGCCAAAACGGTCAAAAACCCCAGCTTCTTGAACAAAAAAACAACAAACGAACAAAAAGTTTAATAAACCCTGAACGGGGAGCGAGAAGCGGGGATTGTGATGTCGGAGGGAAGAGAAAGGAGGGTACGCCATCATCGGGAAGTAGTGTGCTCGATCTTTGATATTGTGGACAAGATGGGAGAGCCACACCACACCTCCCCCTCCCCGGCTGCTTTACCGAACTAGAAGAAGAATAGCGGCCAGCGACCGTTCAGGCGAACGAACGGTGGCCGGCCTGTGAATGGTAAGGGAAGGGCTGCGGATAGGTATCTACCACTCGTGTTGCGTGAAGATGTAGGGAGGCATTGGGAGTGCCATTATGCGGGGTGTGGGGCTGGGCTGGGCTGGGGCTAGGCTGGCGTTGCATTTTTGGTCAGTTGTTGGAAGCTTTGGAGATTGGGGATCGACAACGTGCGTCTGCATCTGCGTCTTGCGGCTGGCATCTGCGTTGTGGTGGAGCGTATAGGCGTTGTCGTTATGTATGGCGTAAAGGCAGGGTCTTGATGCAGATTGGTCTAATTAAGCAACTAAGGTTTGTGTGATTCTAACTACGAGTATCTACTGGCTGAGAAGGGAGGGGAAGGGAAGAATGGTGTGCCGCTGTTATCGCTCCGTTTGCTCGTTCGCACCCACTCAAGAGTTGTATGTGCCCTTACTTTACACAATAATGAGGGTGTAGGTGAGCACTTCGGGAGCATGGATTATGGATGATTCATGATGGCATGCGCTTGTCTACTGGAAAGGATGAAGATAAGGGTATGATGACTCTGGTTGGAGTTTACCGCTTTGCTCGCTGCTCTCCATGCGTGTTGACGTCTTCACCATACCACGCAATCTGATGCGCTGGATCGAGTTCGGGAGCACCTTGCTCGTTTATTCTAAGCGTCCGTTTATTGTCCATGTGAAGTTTCCAAAGAAGAGTTCGCTATGCGGGAAAGCTCGACGCGCCGAGATATCCGAAAGCAGTTGCTGCCTTTGTTTGTGCTTCGACCGTCACTAACGGCAAGGCGTGGGTTTCTCTAAATGAATAGCTTGGACCCTTGATTCCCCAAATAGTGATGTGGGTCTCCGGTCAGAATAATGTGAGGCTTTTATCATTGGGTTGATGGTCGATTATTGCGGGACGTATGTGGATGCATGCGGAAATTGTCATTGGATAGTTCCCACAGCTTTAGGACTGTTCCTTATCTACACCTCTCTACACGGCTTCCTCAGGCGTTGCATCATCATCCGTGTACCCTTGTGCAGGGGAAGCCTGAGCTTCTCGTCGACGACGCACAGTCTCAAGGTCTGCTGCCCATAGTGCAGAGCTCACAGCTGCAGTGAGCAAGAATAACATGCTAAAGCCAGGAATGAGCTGCAACATCAGATAGACTGCACCGTACCAGGTATATTGCCATCGTCGCCTCTTCACAAAAGCATCCCTCGCCTTCCTATCAAATCCACGTAGGTTGAAGTATCGCCAGTGCTGCAAAGGCCCGGCGCGATATCCCGTCAGGAAGAGGAACAACGGCACCCCGACGTAAGGCACGAAGTTGAGCGGAAGCAATATGACGAATTCGGCAATCTGGCGGAACGAGAAGGGACCATAGACCGAAGACCTTGTTGGTTTACCAAGGCGCTGGACCGGATTGTTCAAGGAGTCTTCGGACACCGGCCTGAACTGGCTGACGAGGTCGTCGTAGCCTTTGTGAACCAAGACCGCATCGAAGATGTCGACTTGCGACTCGTCCTATATCGACTTAGTATGGACCACATGCAATGGTCAGGCCATAACATACCACCAGAAAGCACTCAAAGAGTATGGCTACTGCAGCAGCACCCTCTCCCAGTACCAAGAATGTACCGTTCACCCATGCGCTTCCTCCGCGGTGAAAGAGCGCTAGGAACGCTACCTGGGGGAGGTAGGCCCAGAGAAAGAGGTTTATATAGACAAATAAGCTGAGAAGAAACGCAGGGAGAAGTCGAGCCTTCAATAGAGGGTATAGGAACGGATGCGCTGCAAAATAAATCACTCCCTACTCTTTGTCAGTGTCCTGTTGCCTGCAGCTGGAACTGCTCTTTGAGGGCGCACCTTGAAGGGATATAAGCAGGCGTGCACATTATCTCTTGTGGGATAGATCAAAACTTGTGGTATTGATCTTATAGGATTCTGGCGCGGTCGTTGCTGCGGCATCTTCTCTCAATATGCGGATTTCTTTCTGTCAGAGATGTTCTGGTGATGGGATGTAGCCAGATGCGCTTGGCGATGACGCATGTCATCACATACGACAAAACGCGTTAAACTGTTTACATCCAGAATCACGTGGACAAATATTCACAACGTAGTATGGTAGGCAAGTGCTAGATGTTCGGAATCTTCAATGTCAAAGATTCAGCTCAATAACAAAACGTAAAAAAGGGAGCTTAGGGGCTTACTCTCAACAAAAGCCAAATATGTCACACTTGTGACCTTCGAGTACTCTATGTATAGACCCAAGTCCTCTCACGAAGACAGCTGATTCGCTGAATTGGTGCCGCAACGTAACACAAGTGTTGAAGCAAACATCTCTCACCCGTCAACAGAGATGTCGCTGGTTATATCTCCTGCCAGTATCTCCTGAGTTGATTTTCTCCTCTCTACCCCATGGGGAACAATTCTCCTCGCGATGGAGACCACTACCATTAATGACTTGCTTGATGATCTCCTCTCAACTTCAGAGTCGTTCTTCGGCCGTGAAGGGAGAGACAATATGTACGAGACTTTCTTTGGACGAATACCGGACGGCTATGGGGATTTACATTTGCCACCTCACCTCCAGCCGCATCCTCTGCAGGAATACCTGGACCAGGGGTTCTCAGCTATGCCACGCTCTTATGATCAAGTGCCGTTGTATCGTTACCGTCACCGGCCAGCTCCTCAGCCTCGCAACCAAGGACGTAGCTCGACAAGACTTACGGTGTTAGGATTCGCATTTCATCAGCCAGCGAGTTCAGGGATACAGGATCAACGAGAAATTTTGGGCAGAAATGCTCTTGATGACGAACCAACATCATCAACGGGGGAACGTACATCTTCACGCTTCGTTCATTCACCTCTTGAGTCGTTCGACTTCGGCGAAGATGATCGGAATGGATCCAGTTCGAGAAATGGTGACGGAACTGGCTACGCTGAGACTATATTGGAAGTCGAGGAAGTGGACGACAATGATGGTGGCAACGATAATATCAACGGATACGTCGACGAAGCACGTCAGCGACCAGATATCGGAATGAGTACACACGGTGGAAATGAAGCCAACGCATACGTTACAGATACTATATTGGATGACCTCGAAGTGCATGCTACCGCATTAGCATCGAGAAATCCCGAGAACATCCCGACCTTTGCGCGCGACAACCAAGAGTATTGGAATGCACAATGGCGAGAGTTCTACCAGCGTGAGCGTCAAATCGCGCAGAACGAAGCGTATCTGCGTACATTTCGACTCGATCTAGAGGCAGAGCGGAGGCGACTCCGCCAACTCAGGCGGGACTGGTTGCGACGAGAAAGGCGGGTTGACCCGCTGCATCCGAGTGCTCGACGTGGCCAGCACAATCTACCGAGTCGTTCTATGCGGCGTAGCCACCGACATCAGGATCGAGGAAACGGTTTCGAGAGACGGAGTGGGGGGCGGGGGGTTGTGCGCCCAGTCGTGGATGAAGACCAACAGGTCCTTGATACTATTGCACGTCTTACAGAAGACCTCATAGTCCAAGAAAACAACCAGCGGTTCCACGAAAGCAACCAGCGGGACGATGATGCGTTTGATCATCTTGATCGTCTTACAGGAGGATTTTTTTAGGACGAAGTGTCTGGCATGTAAGCCAAGTATTTTATCAACATATTGAGGTATCTGATTTTCATTGATAGCGAGTTGGTCAGCGGGATTGCCCTCTGCGAGGAAATGCCAAACCTGACACATGGAGTCGTCTTTCGGGTCAAGTTTTCTATTTCAATATTCGGGCGGAATTATGCACAGTTGGAAAGGATACCATATATTTATTAACGTTTTCGGGTCAGTCATGTACTTTTCCAATGTTGGTTTCAACTTTCATTATCCAAATTGAACATCTCGTCCTTGAATTTCGGGAAAATAGTTATTTCACTCCACTCCTACAGCAGCCAAACAATACAAAAAAGATTTCCTCCGTACCCATGATTCCCTAGTTATTCTAGAAACACATTAGTGCCCCCGACGTCCTTGCACGTATCTCAAAGTACACTCATCGCTGCCTGGAAGCGGCTTAGCGGCAGGCGTTTTGCGCGCCCAATCGCATGCGGAAATCTCACGCTTTGCTTACACGGGCGAGAGAAAAAGACTCCCATCCCCACCCCAACGGTTCACACTAGAACGAGAATGGCAAACGCAGAGACAACAGTCTTCGACACTTTGTTGATGTTCATTCCTGAAAGAGTATATTGAGGGATCTGTGGGCGGTGTCGTTGGGAGAGGAGCCGTGGAGCTGAGATGACAGCGCATTGGTTGGTGGGTTTAAAGGTTGTCAGGACTTTTGACCGGTTCGTATTGCGAGTGTTGCAACATTCGGGTTCGACGTATGAGGATTGAGAGTTCTTGAGGATGTTTGGCCCCAGAATGTTGGTAGCAGACTTCGCACAGCAGACCGTCTAATCCCGCTGTTCAGAAATCCAAAATTATTGAGACTCAGGCATGAACGTTGAGCTCCACCAACATCGTTTCGTAGAATTGATTTACAGTGAACGGATAGAAGATAACCTCATCACCTTTCAAATACGACATTGTGTCAACCGACTGAATCATTTGCCAATTCAGAAGCTGCAACGACAGTGGCATTCGCCCTCACCGACTTCTCACCTTCAAACCATTGGCTACTGTGCATGTCTGTACACAGCAAAGATGCCCCCACAGACTTACACTTATCCCCATTGATCTCATTGTTTCCAACTCAAAGGTGTTAGGCTGCGGCAATAACAGTCGATTGAATCACACATCGCCAATATGGCTATTTTCATTCGGCGGAAACGAACCCCTTCCGAGGAATGACATGTGTGGACCCGCTTCTACTGCCGCTATATGCCACGAGTACCAACCGGCCCTCAGCATAAGAACATTGACGAGAAAGGAGTCCAGGGGGACTATCTCTCCCATGTGCAATGTGCATACGATAGCACAGATATGGTGGCGATTTCTGTCTCGAAGAGTCTCGACGTTATGATTTGATTCTGAGAACATGATTCATAGTTTCCTCTGTGGTCAATGCAGTGCACTCGAAAAAGATTGAATACCATATCTCCATTCTTTCTACGTACTTGTGATATGCTACGTATCACCACCGATACCGAATGCGCCGAGCGAACCTAATAGCCAAAAGGCGTACGCTTTACCCTAAAAACGTAACATTCGAATCCAAGAAAGTTCATTCTTCGTAAAAGACCCTGAGGTGTTTCCCAGCCACCCGCCCAATGCTCCTTTATTATATCCCAGAGACAAGTAGAACGCCTTTTTAATCATTACGTTCATAAGTCTCCGCTTCTATCATACATCGAACAAACAAACAGCCGCAATTAAAGTACTTATCTACACATTGTTAAAGTCCAAGAAGTCGTAGGTGGTCGAATCAAACGAAGTCAGATCGCTTATCGCATTCATCTCCAGATCGAACTGCGAGCACGTGCTGTCGGGCAGTGAGCTGAAAAGGTCTTCCAGCTCATCCCTAGGCTCGAATTTGAAATTGCTGCTGTCCTCTTCTCTGGGCTCCGCCGGTGATGTTGGCGGTGTCGAGAATGGATTTGATTGTATTGATGAATGAGATGGAGTCGAAGCATCTGTGCACGAGTTTTGCTGCGCTTCCGATTTGGCATCAAGACCAGACGATAGTGGTCGAGCGTTTGCTGGGGACATTGGAGGGGTGTGTGTAGTTTGCGAAAGTTGTTGCAAGATGTTGAATGAAGCTACGTCGCCATTGAAGGAGTCGGATGAAGTGAAACTCTCTGTCTTGACTTGTGAAGCTTCAACATATTGGGAGGTATTGTAGCTGTTGTTATGTTAGTATTTGAGACTATCGGGAGCTTGTACTTGCACATACCTGAACGAATTTGAAGAAGAGCTCATCGGATCGCTGAAGCTCTCCATTGTCGAGAAGGAGCGAGGAAGTCCATGCGTTTGAACCATCTCAAGATCTCCGAGGGGCGAAGGGGATTGACGAGCAGAGTAGATATCGGATGCAGGCGAGCCTGCAGAGACCGACGAGGCTGCAGATGCCAACGCCCGTCGGGTTTTGTTTGCCTTTGTTGTCCTCTCTTCGATATCTGGTCGGTTCTTCTTGGGCCTACCGCGCTTTGCTTGCCGCCTGACGGCATCGGGGAATCCTCCAACGCACATGCCACGCTGGCGATGGCGAGTAAGAGCATCTTGTCTGGCGAATCCTGCGCCACAGGGACACTTATATGGCTTATTGCCCGTGTGGATTTTGGCATGGCGCTTGAGATCGTGTTGGCGGACGAAGCACTTGCCACACTCATTGCATCGGAATTGCCTGTCTCCAAGATGAGTCTGGACGTGTGATCGGATGTTTTCCCTTCGGCCAAAGACTTTGCCGCATTCTGGGTAGAGGCAGGTCCATTTGTTTGTTACTTGGTCCTGGTCGCTAATATATCTCTGCACCTCCTCTGGCGAGATGCCAGTGTACTCGAGGCTGGCATCGAATTCGAGATCATTGAGGAGAGAGGATTGGCCCGGTGAGCTTATGGGCATGGCAACATTGTCTTGGAATGAAGATGTGGCGGTGCTGGAGAGGAACTCTGATGACTGCGAGAAAGTCATGGGTTGTGATGGGTGCTCTTCGATACCCTCGAGGAATGGCTTAAGGGGCTTTTGGTGTGGCGAGGGGATCGGTGAAGGGGATAGGGCATCCGAGGTATAATAAGACGACGATTCATAGCCCAAGTCGGCGTCTGGATGATCGAAGTCGAAGGTCATGGCACTCGATGTCGGCTCTAGGTTGATATCTGCCATGTCGGAGAAACTGTGAGGCATTGGCGCCGTATCGAGAGACTCATGACTTGGTAACTGCGCTGGCTTTTGGGGAGTGGCAGTTGGTGTTGGGAGGATGTTGATGAAGACTTGGCCACATGAGCCATACACCGACTGTATGTGCTCATGTAGGTCTTTCAATTGCTGTTCTGTGGGAGGTTTGGAAGGGGAGAGGGGGGCTTGTTGTGGAGACTGGCCACGGATTGTCCGTCGTGGCGTCCGTGGCGAGGAGAGAGACTGCTGTACTGGAGAACGTAGAAAGGGTTCCTGGGGGCCCGGCTGGGGCTGGCTGTGCGATTGCGCTACTTGCATAAATTGCTGTTGGGGTTGTCCTATGTTAGTAATACTTACCGTACTGTCCTCCTGCATAAAGGAATCCATGGGTCCTGGGGCCGAATGGATTTGGTCCGGCAGCGGTCCTTGGGGCATGTGAATTGATTCCAGGTCAAGGCCTCGGAGATCAAGACTCACGCCCGTCCGCTGTTGTCGTTTTTGTTGTAGGTTGTTAGCAGGTAGGGCTCGTACTCGTGGTGCCTCAAATGTTGCTGGTGTTGAGTTCTGGCGCCGATGTTGTGTTCGTCGGCGCTGAATGCTCGAGGCTGGTGCTTTTGTGGACAGCATATTGTATGCTCGTCGAGTCCGGTTTAAACTCTTTTCCTAGGAAGGTCCGTTATCCTGTCAGGTCCGAAACTAAATGCATGTTAGCTATTGATTGAGACTTGCTGAGATGTTCAATTTGTCCTACCTCACGCAATGCAAGCGGCGTCCGCCGGGCGGTTGGTCTCCTTATGGTCTCTTCAGTACAGAATGCAGTCTCTCGCCTGCGTCACAGTAAGTAGTAGATGGCCGAAGCCCGCGTTTAAACAGTAGTAGGGTTGTGAGTGTGGTTCTTTGTTTTAAGAACCGGGAGTGGATGTAGAGCGTAGGATGGAACAAAGAAGTTCGTTATTGACAAAGGTACTTGCAGATGGGATGAATGGGGATTGAATGCAGGTGGATGGATGAGGATGACGACCTTGATAGTCTGGATCGCGAGACGGAGCTAGTAAACACGGCCGTTGCTAGAGGTAACCGCTAGCTCGGGCCCCCAGACACGTCAGGCCGGTTCGAGTTTCGGTTATGGGTTATGTCAGCCACCGATGCACGTGCCCCAGTCAACCTTGTCAACCTCGTCATTCGGCAACAGGTAACGCCGCTCCGTTGCCAAGCCCACCAGTGAATTTCTAATCTGCGTCTTCAATATCCTTCGCGAATTTCAACCCACGCTCTGTACACGACGACTGAGGAGGACAATCACGATTGTCTAGGTGTGTATTCTCCCCCCAAATGGCAATTTCTTTCCACATGGAACGGCAACTGGTATCGTACACACATGTGTACTTCTTCCAGTCGTCCTTCCTATGGAATCCCCAACATATCCGCTTCAGCATACTGCTGTCGTCGCCGCCACCTCTTCTCCAGAACATTTTGACTGACTTTGAGAAACCAGGCCGCCATGCAGATCTTCGTGAAGACCCTTACGGGCAAGACTATCACCCTTGAGGTGGAGTCGTCCGACACCATCGACAATGTCAAGTCTAAAATTCAGGGTACGTAGCAGTCATTCCATAGAACACCGAAGCGGAATTCTAACAGAATCCCCAACAGATAAGGAGGGTATCCCCCCGGACCAGCAGCGCTTGATCTTCGCCGGAAAGCAGCTCGAGGACGGCCGCACCCTCTCCGACTACAACATCCAGAAGGAGTCCACCCTTCACCTTGTGCTCCGCCTCCGTGGTGGTGGCAAGAAGAGGAAGAAGAAGGTGTACACCACCCCCAAGAAGATCAAGCACAAGAGGAAGAAGACCAAACTCGCCGTCCTCAAGTACTACAAGGTCGACGGTGACGGCAAGATCGAGCGTCTCCGCCGTGAGTGCCCCCAGCCCGAGTGCGGTGCTGGTGTCTTCATGGCTGCCATGCACAACCGCCAGTACTGCGGTCGCTGCCACCTCACCTACGTCTTCGACGAGTCCAAGTAAACGAAAAAAAAAGAACGAACTTCGAGGGATCTGGGGATGATGGAATGAGATTATACGGCATATTATGACAAAGGAGGGATGGGCTTGATGTTTATCTCAATGTCGTCTTATCTTAAACGAAAAAGTCAAATGATACCTGTCCACGGACTTCAAACACACCTCTTTTTGCCACCTGCGTGATCTTTGTACTTGATGTCTCTACCCCACTTTCTCATCGACTTCGTGACTATTGGGAAATCAATATATTCCTTTTCCGACATCTGAACGAATTTTACCATCATCTAGTGACTTCCTCTTCGATTCTCTACGCACTAGTTCACATATAATTATACCGTTGATTTATTTCAATATCTATTCATCATCATCACTATCATCACTTTCCGATAAACATCATCCCTTCCCTCAGCCATGATTCTCAATCTGTCATCTGACCACCACCTTGTTCCTCCTCTCCATCATGCAAAAACAACAAAAACGCCATATACATCCCCTTTCTATGCAGATGATATAATGCAACCCTTCCCAACGCCATTTGAAAAATGAATAACAAGAAAGAAAACTCACTTCCAGGAGAGAGAGAGAGAGAGAGACTACGCCTTCCTCGGCTCAAGCAAAAGCTTACCCTTAGGCCCGCTCTTCTCGACGAAGCCCTGCTCGCGAGTGAAGATGCGCTGGCCGCGCAGCCAGGTCTCCTGGACGACGCCCTTGAGCGTCTTGTCCTGGTAGGGCGAGACCTTGTTGCGGAAGAGCATGGTGCTGGGCTCGACCTGTGGGATATTGTCAGCTACTGGCACACAACAACATGGATGGAAGGTAAAGAGGGGATAAACTTACAACGAACTCAGCCTCGTCGTCGAAAACGACGATGTCGGCGTCGAACCCGACGCCCAGGTCGCCCTTTGTGGCTTCGAGGCCAACTTGCTTGGCTGTGTTCTTGCAGCACCAGCGGACGATCTCCTCGACGCTGAAGTTCTCGTCGCGCTTGAGGCCCTCGGTCCAGAGGATGGGGAGACCGAGGCCGACGCTGGAGATGCCGCCCCACGCGGAGAAGAAGTCGCCTTTCTCTTCGGGGCCCTCCATCTCCCCTTCGGAGCTCTCGCAGCTGTCGCAGTCCTTGCCGCTGTGTCCAGGCTTCCTTTTAGATTCTTTCTTGGGTGCGAACTCGGCAGGGAGGAGCTTGATGTTGGGGGTGCAGGGGGAGTGGTCGGATACGACGGTCTTGATGACGCCTTCGGCTTGGTCTTGGAGGAGTTCGGTCCAGAGGCCATCTTGGTTGGATTGCCCGCGGATGGGTGGGCAGCACTTGTGGCGGGTGTCGCCTTCTTTGATCTTCTCTGCGGCTAGGGAGAGGTAGTGGAAGCAGGTTTCGGCAGTGATCTTGACACCTTTGCTGCGGGCCTCGCGGAGGAGAGGGATGGCTTCAATGGCTGAGAGATGGACGATGTGGAGTTGGAGCTCGGGTGCCAGGTGAGCCAGTGACAAGATCTCAGCGATGGCGTAGGTTTCGAATGATGGTGGTCGGGATTCCAGGAATGTCGAGTACTCGGTCAGTTTACCATGGGGTGCAAGGGGAGGGTTGGCGCGCTGGACATCGTCACCGACGGAGTCTGTGATCGGAGGAATCATCTCTGCATGGAACATGAGCGTTGTGGCGCTGTCCTTCAGCTCAACGAGCGCCTTGGAGATGTCGTCGGAATTTACTGCAGGGAATTCTTCAACCTATACGCGCGTTAGTCACATCACATCTCACGCATTTCAAATTCCTCAGAAGCTTGCATACTCCACTCTCGATTAAGAATCCCTTGAAACCTCGAACACCCTCATTGACCAATCCCTTCAAATCGCCTGAATTACCTGGGATAATACCACCGTAGAAACCAACGTCAACCCAGCACTTTCCTTTGGCAGCATCGATCTTGATGTGAAGATTTTCAACCGTCGTAGTTGGAGGAATAGCATTAAGGGGCATGTCAACCACTGTCGTCACACCACCGAATGCTGCAGCCCGGGTTCCCGTCCAGAAGCCCTCCCATTCTGTCCGGCCAGGCTCGTTAAGATGCACGTGAGCATCAACGAGACCAGGGAGCAGAATGCGGGGTGAGTAGTCAGTGTATGGCGTACCAGCTGGGAAGTCGGTTGCAGGAAGGACCGAATGGAAGATCGAGGTAATCTTGCCAGTGATATTCGAAATGACTATAGTCGCTTCTGTTATCCTGCCAGCCACAACTGCCCTCGAAGAGGCTAGAACTGTGATAGAGGGCAATGTGCTGCTTTGTGGCGTAACCGTAGGCGTGGAAGCGTGAGGAGCCATCTTGTAATCTACCGTAAGGACTAAGGAAGATGGGCAATAGAAGATTACGGATGTCTTTTTAGATTTCGCTTCTGACTACAAGTAGTGGACCAGGGAAGCTAATTTTGGATATATGCAGAGCCTCGGCAACGGTTGGATGGAAGCCGTGTGTATGTATGTGTCGGGCAAATGTATAAGAGATAGATAGCAGTAAGCAAGATAAGGTGTGGTGGTGGTGTCACGATTTACGTGAGGGAAATAGTGAATAGAAACAATACTTCTTCTGAGACTTCTTGGACAAAGAGACGACGACTATACTAGAGTCAGAGTACGGAGTAGTGAACCTGTGTATGGGCACGATCCAGAGTCAACAGAAATCTGGGGTATCACGGCCTTATCTATGCTTCTTTGAATAGCGTTGCCGTATTTGAGCGCTGTGGGTCGGAAACCAGCACAGTCTCTGCACCGCCGGCGGCAGGTGTGTTGCATCCATAGTGCGGAGAGTTGCTACTGTTGTTACTTCGGATTACTTGAATCAATCGAGCAATACGTTAAGGCCTTGTCGTGAAAGACTAGCTCTTAATGGGCCATTCGACGAAGAAAACACGGGGGTGGCCGAATGGGAATCTGGGAATCTGGGAACATGGCTATGGTGGTGGTGGAACAATAAGAGAATCGTGTTGGTCCTAGCGCCATGCAAGATAGGTAGATAGGCGTGGTAGGCTCAGGGTCTTTGAGATTAGAGATAAGGTCAGACGTAAGTGGTTAGTCCAGCCGTTGACTTCTGGAATACAAAACCATTCTGGTTCGACGCCGCCACCACTTCAGACTGTAGTTATATCTCTTGAAGCCTTTCGTGTGCTTCTTCTCAGCATCTTCTCATAATGGTACTTGACAAGGACTTCGTGTCTGTATGACGATAGCAGGAGGAAAAAAAACACAAGACGGCGATCATGCGCGGCCTAGTCTGTCCAGTCGGAGCATAGAGTTGGCAAAGAATATTGATCGAGTAATAGTAATTCGAATCCTCTCCCAACCCGACTAGCCATTTTCTTTCTCAACTCTTTCAATCGGAGGTCTCCGGACACGCCTTAGTATTACGAACGAGTACGCACCCTTCGCTGATAACGAGCGCAAGTCGCATGTCACATCGAACCTCCTGATACTCGTGTCCCTCGAATAAATACGTCAGTAAAGCATCGGACTCTCTCTGTGTGAACAGGAGCGCAAAGTATACCGACTGTATATTATTCAAGAGGAGGGCCTGTGCCCTAGGTGTTGTGGTTCGGCACGGGAATATTCGCTCAGCTAATTTTGGTGCCATGGAGATTGCGGACGGCGCATCTCCGGCGATCGAGTAATGGAAACTCGAAAATTGATACATGCGCTGCCGGTCAGCACCCACGATGCCTTTGGCCACTCAGCGAGAGGTTGCATCAGCCCAGGCCGATGTTCTCGACCCCCGGATAAGTCAAAGATGCCGCACAGTCACTCAAATCGTTTGGACCTCTTTACATTTCCAGCCAGGGCTAGAAATGACCTCAAAGAGATGCTGATGTGGCGTCTTCACAGCGTTTCTCTTACGTTGCATCCCCCAACAGAATGATGCATCGCGTCAACGATCATCAATCCCCAGGCGTGCGCAAGACTGAGAGTGCCATGTCCTGGATTTACAGAGACGAAACCCCCTGCTAGAACTACAACTGAGCGGCGTAGACCGAGTCGTTCAGATGTCGACAACCGAGCCTATCGGACATGGTTCATAGTAATTTTCAATTTGAGCAGAGGGCCTCTTACCTGAATCTCTTAGAAGACGGCGCATGCTAATGGCGAGCTGATGGTTCGCAAGGTCAGGCTAACGCGAGTACAAGAAAATTGATTCCATTAGATTTTCAGGGGAATAGAGGAAGAGGCTTAACTACGTGGTATGCACGCTCACATCACCAGTTCTAAATGTTGATGACTTGACCAGCTGTGAGAATGGGCCAGGGTAGTGGTGACATGCCTAGGGACGGATGGTTCTCATACCCTCTTTCGCCTACTTCTGGTTAGCGACCCAATGATGCAGCTGACGTTTGCTGCACCATTACTGAAGCGCTTAATTGTTGTAGTTTGCCGATGAGAGCAACTTTTTGCTCGAGAAGAGACTGGCCTGGAGTCCGTATGCTGGTGCATTGCTGCCATAGATGTCGAGATACGTGTACGCGTCTGATTTGTAAAATATACCTCGTCCGCCGTCGAGCAACCCCAGCGCGGCTATCTCTTTGACCACCCGGAGGATATCACCAGCGTCGCGGAAGTCTTTGGTGTACACACAGATCAGCCGATCTCCACCTTTGCCATCGTCTGTAGCAACCTTTGCCGCAGTTCCAAGTCTATTGTTGATGGTTGCTTCCGCAACTTTTCGCCAGGTACTCTCAAGACTTTTAGCATTTCGAAACAGCATCCACTGCAATACGCGGCCACGTTAGCATAAGATCATTGATAAGTATCGTACTCCTTACCTTGCCTGACAAAACATTCGTATCTATGGCTAGGTCTGTAATCTTCTGCTTCAAGTGTGCGCCGTTCTGATCCAGCAAGCGTGTGACGGTTCCTTTGGCAGAACGGGAATTCTCACTGATAATGTCGTCTCTTTCTTGCAAGGCCTGCTGTAAGAACAGCTTTCCACGAGGCACCAGTTGATCTTGCGCGTGGCTTCGGCCGCTCCTGTCACGCCCACTTGGATGTGGATTTGCAACCCATATCCATGGGCAGATGGAAACAGTTGTTTGTCCGGGCGGTAGCCGTTCCAGGAAGTCGTCTATTGATTCATGCAACTGCCACGAATCCATGCGCCCTTCGTAGATGTTGTGTAGATCAGGCGCCGGCTTAGCTCTAGCCCGGGCGAGGATTATATTCAGATCATGGGCAGCGGTATTCATGGTCGTATGACCGTTGCACAGCGATGTCCAACGATCTTGTTCTTCTTCATCCCCTATGACACTGTTAGATCATTCCCTGCGGCAATGGGGGAAAATATGACAAGAACAAAATCGGTAGAAATAGAATCAACCAATTTGAAGCAAGTTGAGAACGGTGAACGATGATCTGAAAATTTTACGAGGTGAACAGAAAAAGCAATCAAGAGATAATGATTGACTGACCCTATGTACCTGAGGAATGCTCAGATCACGACCGTCCGAGTTGATCAACTTACCATAGAAACTCGAATCGTCGGAAATCCAGCCTTCTCCAGAGACCATACCCTCCGACTCCATCTTCACCAGAAGTGAGTCAAAGAAGGATGGAATTCATGTCGCGGCGGTGAAACGAAGTGTGACGTCTGATCTTGGTCACAGTTTGGGGCAAGAGCTGCTGCATCCCGCTTGCTTGTTTGGGCTTCCTGCAGTGACGCATCCCGGGCCAATCAACGCGTGGCGTTCACGGACGGGCGCGACGCGTTAATGGTTAATGGGTTTCCGTTCCCCGCGACCCATGAGATAGACATCCATCAATAATTTTGACAATTGCAATTGCAAGTGCAACCACCAACATCACAGTACCTCCATTGAAACTACCACAATGCCTCACTCAATATCACCAGAGTCCACACCTGGAGAGGATTCCTCTCAAACAGTTTCTCAACCCAACACCCTGAAAGCAGAATCTCCAGACGTTAACATGTCGGATGCACCAAGCCCTGCAGTGGTACCAGAGATCAAGGAAGACACAGCGAAAGTCAACCTCGAGGAGCTCTTCGACGATGATGATGACGATGAAGAATTCCCTTCCAGCGCACCGGCGATTAAGTCAGAGGTGGAATCCTCACAACCTATGCCCATGTATGCTACTGAACCCCCTAAACCCGTACAAATGAACAGACAACCAATACCACGCAGTCAAATATCCTCCAGATCCACATACTCAGATCCTGAAATAATGCGTGCCTTTTACCAACGTCTATTCCCCTTCCGCCCGCTGTTCCAGTGGCTCAACCACTCCCCTCAACCATCCAACGACTTCGCGCATCGAGAATTTGCCTTCACACTCCCAAATGACGCCTACCTACGATACCAGTCCTTCCCCACAGCCGACCTCCTCCGCAAGCAATGCATCCAGCTACTTCCATCCCGTTTCGAAATCGGCCCCGTGTATTCCACGAACCCCCGCGACCGCAAGACTCTTCGAAAGGCCAGCGCTTTCCGACCGATAGCCAAGGAACTGGTATTCGATATCGATATGACAGATTACGACGACATTCGAACGTGCTGCACGGGAGCGAGCATCTGTCACAAGTGTTGGGCCTTCATCACCATGGCGATCAAGGTGGTAGACGTTGCGCTGAGAGACGACTTCGGCTTCAAGCACATCATGTGGGTTTATTCCGGACGAAGAGGAGCCCACGCCTGGGTCTGCGACAAGCGTGCGAGAGAAATGGACGACTCCAAGCGACGAGCGATAGCCGGCTACCTCGAACTTCTCAAGGGCGGCGACAAAGGAGGAAAGAAAGTCAACGTCCGAAGGCCGTTGCACCCACACCTGGACCGCAGTCTCAACATCCTCAAAGACCACTTCCAAACGAGCATCCTGTACGAGCAAGACCCATGGTCCTCCGAGAAATCCGCCCACCTCCTCCAACTCCTCCCCGACGCATCCCTGAAAGCCGCCCTGCAGAAGAAATGGGACTCCGCACCCTCACGACCCAGCCACATGAAGTGGGCCGACATCGACACCGCCGCGAAATCTGGCGCGCTCTCCAAGTCCTCCAAGGACCTCCTCGAAGCAAAGCAGGACATCGTCCTGGAATACACGTATCCCCGCCTCGACGCCGAAGTCTCCAAGAAACTCAACCATTTGCTCAAGAGCCCGTTCGTTGTGCATCCGGGCACCGGCAGAGTCTGCGTACCCATCGACACCCGCAAGGTCGAGGAATTCGACCCTCTCGAAGTCCCCACCGTCACACAGCTGCTCACCGAGATCGATGAGTGGCAGGGCGAAGACACCGACAAAAAGCTCGCGGACTGGGAGAAGACGAGCTTGAAGCCTTATGTCGACTTCTTCAGGGGCTTCGTCGCGGGTCTGTTGAAGGACGAGAAGAGTGGCGTGAAGAGGGAGAGAGACGACGGCGCGGAAGCTATGGAGTTTTAGATCCCTTTTCCGTCTTCTTGTTTCTTCTTTTGACTTTGATCCTTTTCATTTTTGCGTTGCATTGAGAGACACATGAATGATTGATTCACTCGGGCGGGGCGTCTTGAGGCGTTGGCTGCTTGTACATATCAGTTCGGACGAGACCTGGGGTGTACTCAGCGCATGACATAGGCGTGGTTTTTCAATGAATGGTTAAGGAAACGGGAGATCTTTTGAGAATTGGAATGATATCGATCGAACTTACAAAGGCCTCAATTTATACACCTGTCCACCCCATAAGTGAAATAAACAGAATGGCGTGATTCAAGGGCACACATATGATGTATACACCACACATCACGTCACGTCAGTTATCCCATCAATCACAATCACTGAGAATCCAGTCTTCCATACGAATGAGGACATTATGACACTGAGTGGCTGTAGAAGTTATATTTTCCTTTGTTTTTAACACAAGAGTGGAAAGGCTTTACCACGTTATCTCCCCCTCTCCCGTCCGCGCAACGCAGCAGCGCACATACACGCCCGCAGATCTGACTATATAATTATACATGTTTGTCGTGTTTTTTCCAGTCTTGATAATTCGTGTACCAAGACTCATGCTTTTTGCAAGGCCCTTTTGTTCATTCATGACGTTGCCTTATCCCTGGATGCAACACCCACCCACCTCTTCACAGACTCATGACCAGCTTAACTTATTTCCCTGAAGCCCTCTTCTCTTTGTCGAAGGCAGACTGGCTGATGTTGAGGCCGAGGCCGTTCGAGTCGAGGTAGACCTTGTTCTGGCTCTGCTGCAGGATCTGTGCAATGTTCCTCGCGTTCTCGAACTCCCTGAGGTCGACGTAGGACCTGGACTTCTTGATGGCGTCACCGATGAGCTCGGCTGAGCGGGCCTCACCCTGTGCGCGGACGACGGTGGCTTGCTTCTCTTGGCGGGCTTTGTCAACAACGAAGGCGGCACGCTGGGCTTCTTGCTGGGCAACTTGCTTGGCTTCGACGGCGGCGGTGAACTCGGGAGAGAAGGCGAGGTGCTGGAACAGAATAGTGAGTATTTGTACGTACAAGGCGGAGAGGTGGGGGTTCAGAGTGGTGAACATACCGTCAATGAGACATCGTCCAACATAATGTTGAATCTCGCCGCTCTCCTCACCAAGTTATCCCTCACGAGCCTACTAACGTTCTCACGCTGAGTGATGAGTTGCGAAGCATTGAACTGGGCGACCACGCTCTTCAAGACCTCGTTCACGATGGATGGCAACACCCTCTCGTCGTAGTCGGTACCCAATGTGCGGTAGATCTGAGGGAGGGCATCGACACGCGGTCGGGACAGGACACGGCAGGTTATGTTGACCATTTGGAGATCCTTGGTTCCGGTGAGGGAGGCGACATTCCTGGGTTTCGCGCGCACGTCGTAGGTAATGGGTGTCTCGAACCAGGGAAGTCGGAAGTGGGTTCCTTCAGCGTAGATTTCCTTCTGCACACCTCCTAGCCTAGTGTACTTGATTGCTCTGTGGCCACCGTCGACTATTCATATTCACGTCAGTTTTGCCTCTTGAGTTCAGTGGTCTGAACACCATCGTCCGACTAGCACTCCGCTGTAAACGAGAAGGTATACGCACCGTTGAAGAGTGCATTGTTTGCCAACCAGATACCTCCAGCAATTATAGTTATGGCAGCAGCACCTCCTCCAAGACCTTTTGGAGCACCTCCGCCGGAGCCTCCGAATCGAGCGGTACGCTTCGCAAGGTCATGTTGTAGCCTGCGCCAGGCTTCTTGAGGGTCCGGAGCCGACATTACGGATGTTTTCGAATGGTCGATCCCGGGGGGAAAGGGTGGATATTAAGAGGTGGTGGGAGTCCGAGGTGTTTTGCTGAAGGCGGGTGGTGGAGTGGCAGGTGGAGTGGTGAGGTCGACGAACGAGAGACGTCGGAGGAAACTTTTGCCCGACGCAATCGATCAAGCTGTAATAATGTAAGGGAAGGCGCTAGTCCTGATCCAGACAGTTCCATCTCGTCAATACTGTAAGACTGTATGTATGTACTCTGATGTTTGAGTATCTAGTGAGACTTGTACCACGGATGCCCCCATATTATTATTCCAGAACCCGCACAGTGATCGACTGGATGAATCATTCAAGAATTGTTTCGGGTCTGCTCTGCATGGCTGACGTATCACCAACTCCCCGCGACTACAAACGTCGCACATGTTACTAACTTTCAGATGTCCGGCACACCATTCTAAGTAGCAGGGAGGGGGCATCAAACAAGAGCGCAGTGATACTACTCAGATGGGCGGCACTCATACAAATACTATTCAATACGAGTCAGTAAAACTACGAGCATATGATTGTTTGCATATAACTTACAAAGTATTTATGTACTTGTAACAAGAATAGACGACCCCGTCTTCGCGTGCACGGATCACCCGCAGCCAATCGAGGCCTCAGATTGGTCGACTCACTGTCTCTCTCTATTTCTACCCTAAGCCCTCGTAAAGCACAGCTGTCCTGTCCAGATGCACCGCCGACATTTCCACTCACTCTACAACGTAAATTAATACAACCTCCCCCGCTGGTTGAGGGTTGTTTCCTTTTTGTTCCCTTCCAAGTTCCTGATACCCTTTTCAAGCCTTTGCACTTTTCCACGTTCTACTATTCCCTTACTGGTCCGCCCTTGCTCGTGCTGTAGCGGCGGTAACTTGAGCACGGGTAGCTTGACTCCTACTTGACTTGGAGGTAAAGTAAGTATACCCTGAGAAGAAAAATACTGTTCCAATTGGAAGATGCAAAAGTGGCGATTCTTCTCGTCCAAGGACTGAAGGAATTGGACATCATAGCATCTCGACTTGCAAGTATCCTTCGCGCGGAGGACCGAGTTCCGGAAACGGCATCTATACTACAATGTCTCGCCCTTCGTCGCATGCTCTGCTCTTATCTGCTTTGTGTACAATACACTTCCGCTTCATACCATGACTGACAATTCTTTAGACTTCATCCAATTGTAGCGACTCGCTCCTTCCTCTTTTTGCTCTTCAGCCTTACCTCGCACCACTCGTACCTCCACCATGTACATAACCTCGCAGACGCTGCGGACCATTGCCTGGTCCGCCCTGACTATCTCCGCGGCTCGCGCACAATATGTGATAGACAATCTCAGTTTCGGTCAAAAGGAGGGACAACCGATTTCGCCTAATCTGCGTGGAATTCCTCACTGGTTTGTCAACGGCGATGGCTACGAGCCCGAGATCCTTTCCGACCGCATTCTCCTCACACCTCCATACCCCGGAAACAAGCGGGGTGGTCTCTGGACCGAAGAACCTCTACACCATACCGGCGATTGGAAAGCGGAGCTCGACTTCCGTGCGGCAGGAGTGGATCGCGCGGCAGGAAACCTGCAATTGTGGTATGTGAGGGAGTCGCAGAAGGGCCAGTCGCCGAACTCGTTGTACACCGCACCGAAGTTCGACGGTCTCGTGCTGGTCATTGATCAGTACGAGGGGAGAGGAGGTTCCGTGAGAGGGTTCCTGAACGATGGCAACGTTGACATCAAGTCGCACACCGACCCGGATACACTCGCATTTGGGGTATGCAACTATGCATACAGGAATCTGGGTCGTTTGAGCACAATTACGCTCAAGCACGCCAATGGACTGCTCGAGGTCGCAGTAGACGGAAGCCCTTGCTTCGCCACGGACAAGATCAAGCTTCCCCAAGGCTACTACTTCGGTGTCACCGCATCCAGCGCCGAGAACCCGGACTCGTTCGAGGTTCACAAGTTTATTGTATCTACGACGAATTCGTACACTCGCGAGGAGCCTAGGCGCGGAGGATACCAGCCCCCTCAACAGCAGCAGCAGCAGCAACAGCAACAGCAACAACAACCGCAGCAAGGAAACCCATCGTACAGTAACAGCGAGATTCCTCAAATGCTCTCCGACGTCTTAGCTGGCAGCATTAAATCCTCGCAGGACCAATTCGCCGACCTGCACAACCGCATCCAGATCATCAACAACCGCGTCAGCGAGATCCACGACATGCTTGCCCGCATAGAGCAGTCCGAGCAGCAGCGATATAACGAGCTGACCCAGCGCTTCAAGTCCTTGGACGACCGGTCCGCGGCCATGATGCACAACCTCGAGAAGACGGAGCGCACGGGCATGAAGGTGCTGTCATACCTCGAGGGCAACGACTTCAAGGACACGTTGAAATCGGTGCACAAAGCGATTGAGGATAACCACAACGCACTGTCCTCGAACATGCCGCTCGCCATGGCGCATAGTAAGTCCACTCACTCCCCCAATTTCTTAATCTACAAAACACAATGAGAACCAGAGAAAACTAACAACACCTCGCAGTCGTCGGAACCCACAAGATAAGTCTGTCCACCTACATCTTCGTCGCCGTTGCCGTGCAAGTCATGGTCGTGGGCGCGTACATGGTATACAAGTCCCGAAGGAAGAGCGCACCTAAGAAGTACCTATAAACTATTTATCAACCGTCCGTATACTACTCCAATACCCCACAATCGATCCCCTTCTACTTGTTGTCTTGTTTTTCCAGTTTTCGGGATTGTCTGTTCATAGCGAACGACCGGGTAGATGCTCCGGTGGATGGATGGACGGATAGGTGGACAAGCCGGACGCCAGGGGAGCAGAGTAGCAGAGACCAGCAACACGTGTGTGCATCATTGGCGTATATAACAGCTCTGCACAAAAAGTAAGGAGAGGGAGATAGAAACATATCAAACGAGCGAAGGATAAATTACATCACATCTCACATATCTCTTCCCAGCCCGTGATTTGGTCATATGAATAGATCTAACTACCCATCGATTTCCAAAATATCGGGCCTGCACTCGCATCTGCATGCTGCCCCTTGATACGATTTTGAAAATCGGCATGACGCCATAGTTCTAGAAATTTGATAGCATGTAGTGTATTCATATGGGATCTCTCTCCTGCCCTCTCTCTACCTTTCTTTCTAGAAGGAATGACGCAAAATTACGATTGCTACTATGGTTATAACCAGAAAATGAAGAAGGAAAAGTCCGTTAGAGTTTCTTATTTTTGTTATTTAATTTCATTGAAACTATGTGGAACCATCCAATAAAGTGAACGGAATTTACTTCTTTAGTTATGATATTTGCTATACTCAACAATCGGATGCTAGCCTACGCGTGTGTGCTATGAAACCAATAGACGGCGGCTCTGTACATTCCTTGTATGAAGTGGAGCAGAACTCCAGTGGTCACGGCCATGTCCAGCACAAAGATATCTCGACCAGAACCACTGACCCGGATTCACCGAGACGTGGGAGTCCATTCCTTCATGCACTTCGGCACCAACCGCAGATCAGGATGCATTCTCAGGATAACGTTCCTCTAAAGGGACATGTTTCGACGGTTGCCCCTCATGTGATGCTTATCACCTACCCAGGTATCTTATGTATATAAAACGACCAAGTGGTTGTCTTTCCGTAAACGCTTCCTTTCTGACCACTGAAAAGAGTCGCTCGTTATATCTACTTCTTACAGCTTCATCTGCACCATACACGACGATCATGCATTCCTCAATCTTCCTCGCTCTAGCAGCTGTAGCTTCAGCCACACCCCAGGCCCTCGAAGCTCTCGCTCTCTATCCCGTCGCTCAGGTCCTGCCCGTCCCAGGCTACAACAACGCCCCTGATGGCTTCAACAGCCTTGCCACCCTCTACTCGAACAGCGCAAGTCAACTATCTGCTCGTGCCGACTCAATTGGTAAGAACCTCCGTCGCTCTATGCATGCTTCCCTATGGGCGGGATGGGGCAAGAAATGTTGTCCATATAGGCTGACAGAAAGACAGCTGGAACCAACGCCGTGATCAGCAGCACTGGAGCCGTTCAAGCCTCGTACGACGTCAAAAACAACTTGACCTCCACTCTGCTTGCTGTGAACAACCTGTTCTGGCAGACGACGTACGACACGGAGAAGAAGATCTGCTCCATCATCACCTCCATCAACCAGCAGAACGTCGACGGCGTGAGGGGAAATCTGCGCACTGGGTGAGCTTTTCGAGCAATCAATGTTTTTAAGGACATGTTATGGTGGTGCATATGCTGACTTCGTATCAAACTACTAGTATCTCCGCAGAAGTCCAGGCTATCATCAAGATCACCCGAACTCTCTTAGCCACCGTCCGCGCCATCAACGCCCGTATGTATACCCCATCCTCCGCTGACAGAACACCCCTCCTCTCTCCCCAATCCAGCGAGTTCAGGGATTCAAAATGGAAAGAGGAATTCATTGACTGACCGTGTTGACAAACAGAGGCGACACTCTTCGTCGAGGCTGAGAAAGCCATCGTAGCAACGCTAATCCAAGCCATCGTCACCGCCGCAACCGCGAGCGTCGAGCCAGCCGGGCGACTGAGCGCAGGCCTGACTTCCGTCGGCATCACGGGGATTAGCGATGTTGTCCAGACGTTCCAGAGCGCGGTTGCGTCGCTTCAGACTGCGGCTACTATTACTTGGGAGACGGAGTAGATTGATGTTATGTGAGAAAGCCGAGGGAACTGGGAAAGAAACTGGCTCTGGGTTGGAAATGAAATGTGATAGGACGAGAGGGCACAGAATGAAATAGCTATTAGTGACCATGGAAGTTTGTTGATTGAATGAATTGTCAGTGTTGAACGAACTTGCCCTGCCGTACACGTACTTTCCTCATGACTGTAATCGCTAAAGACTGATACTGCTTTTACTTCCCCAAGTAACAATGGAGAAAGGTCTGAGAGCCATGTTTCTCACATATTCAGGGCTCCAAGCTGGATAAGAATCTCATCCATCCGTCCGTGCTAAATGCTGGTGGTTCTACACAACCCGGTCTTGCAGACGTCCAGGGAAACCATGCTCTCTCAGAAAATCACAGACACTTCTTCACTCCGAAGATCAACAGTGATAACCCCATACCCCTCACAGAACACCTTAGCACCAACCCATTCGATCTGCCCCTGAGGAGCTCTACCAAACAACCCGCTACGATGAAAGAAGCCCTGGTATCCGGCACCCATCTGCTCACCTCGCCTTGCCTCACCTTGCCTTACCTCGCTCACACCCGCCCACGGGATCTAAACTCTGATTGCTAGCCGCATTCCAGAGCGTCCCCACGTCTCACCGTCCCACCCCTCTCCCCTCCCCTCCCAACCGGAGCGACGACGACGACGTCAAATAGTCAGGTGCTTCGGTTCCGTTCCCGAGAAGGCCCGATTACCGACCGTCGGCTCGGGAGGGGATAGGAATTCTTGTCTCTCCCTTGAGTACCGAGCTATGCAATGCAGATTCACGGAACCGCACCGCACTGCTTTCTTCGGCTTTTTCCGTCTCACGTAGCTAGATCGGCTGGGTTGGCGAATTCTTCTCGAGTTTTGCACGACATTGAAGATGACGTGCTTTAGAGTTTACTTGAGGTTTTAGTTGTTGAAGGTTGGTAATGCCATGTCGGGCATGTAGTGCTTTACCAAGGATGTTATCAACCGTTTAAAGGTTTAAAGCCATAGATGAAAGTAACCTCAATCCTCTCGTCTAGGAACGCAGGGTATAGCGAAACAAATTATAGGTACTTTGAATCTGACAGTCTTTAGTAGATCAATTATGTTGCCGTCATCTATTGGATTATATTATATTATTTGTATGCCTTTTCAGGTATTGCTATTGCCTCCTAACCTAACAGAGAGATATGCTTCCCTTCACAGCAAAGTAGCTCCTACAAGCCACTGCACCATGAAAGGTTCACCTTTCGCTTCTGAATTAAGATAGCAGTACTGCGTATGTACTAGGTTATTAATCCCTACCAAGTTGTTCATGATTTATCTTCAGCCTTATCAGTGGCGCAGTGCACAATATTATGTGCTGCAACTACCCCGCTCAGAAATTCTAACAAAGCAGTTACAGATCCGGATCAGTCAAAGGCAGTACTAACGCCGTAACCTATCTTAAATAATAGGCCGCTGAGGAAGACAATGTAGCTACTCGAATCCGCATGACCATTTCGGCAACTCCCTCGATCCACTGCATTTGATAGGAATGACGGGATCCTACATCCTCAGGAAGATTCGATCATTCATCTACTCAAAGTCCAGTCTATTACAGTATCGGTTTTCCAAATCCTGTACCCCGCTCAGAAAGGCGCAGATCAGATGCATCTGGGCAGTTCACAGGGATGGTACATGTGGCTGAGAAAGTGGTGTAACTCAAGTTTATAGATGTCCATGTATTTACCTGCAACCCGAAGTGTCTATAAGGGCAGTGCCAGGGCGGATCAACCGCACTGCCTGCTTCCGGTAGCAGTATAATATCACTTCATGTTTGCCATGATTAGTTGTAGAATCATGTACATACTGAGGCTGTACTTTACTCGCGAGAGCCATGCAGTACTGGTTAGCCCAATTCTAGACCTGTATGGTACAGCCGTGCGTTGTTATCTCAGCCTTCTTCACTGCCCCAGCCTTTTATCGTTGAATTAGCATCCCGTAGAAGCTTAAAAGCAAAGGATTTTCTCTTTCATTCCGTCTCCAGCCTGCCATCCACCATCTTCAACAACTCGACATAATGGCTGAAGTCGTAGTCGGCGTTCTTGAGAGTGGAATAATGATTTTGGGTTTCGTGGTGAGGTTCAGACAACTCGCATCGAAGCTTAGAAATGCGGACGATTGGAGAAGATATTGTGACGGCTTGGAAACACTCCACTGTGTAAGTAAGAACGACTAAGCCCCACAAGAGCGTGAATTCTGACCCTGCTAGATCTCAACTGCTATCGAGGAAGTCAACCGTTCCACCTCTGGCTCGAACACGCTCACAGTGACTATTGGAGGCAAAACCGAAAACCTCCTAAATTACTGTAATTCACAACTCGAGCAAGTTGTAACAATTGCACAAAGGTGTTCTAAACAGGATCGAATATCCCCAAAACACAAAGCGAAGAGTATTCAAGGCTTTCTTTGCGGGACTGCGTGATAGATGGGTATTTGTATTGAAGGATGCGGATATTCTAGATTTGATTAGGGGCGTTTAGTTCGCGAAGACATCGCTCATCCTCGCATTGCAAGTTATTTCGCTGTCCTGTAGTGCCAAATCAAATGATTCAAGCCACCGACAAAATAGCCAGGCCGAAGCACTGCTTAAAGACTTAGGCACGAAGCTCATGGATAAATTGAAAGAGCAAGGTCGACAAGCGGATGAGTTCTTCAAAGAAAGTCGGCGTCGCGAGCGTGTCATTGAGCTTCAGTCCGCTGACAGTGAATCAAAAACAGAAAAAACGGGTCAGAGTGTCGACAAAGAGGGTCAGAGGAACAATGAAGAAAGTCAGAGTACCCCCGAAGAGGGTCGGAGTGTCAATGAAGAGGGGAAGACTGACATTGAAGAGGGTCAGAGTGCCAATGAAGCGGGTCAGATTATCGACGAAGAGAGCCATAGTGCCGACGAAGAGGAACAGAACAACGAGGCGCCATACTCCTTCAGGAAAATGTTTCTTCAGCAATTCACACAACCAAAGATCAACCGATACCACCATCGACAGTCGCAGTGCGACCTCGTTTGAAGGTAGCAAGTAACGTCCACTTCGACAGTTTCGAATACACCATGCCGCTCGCGCATACAGGTGACAAGGCCATGATTGATTTCTTTTTAGCAGCCATGAAGCAAGATGGAATCCGATAAGAATTAAGAGAAGGCGAACTCATAATTGGTTGGAATGGCACCGAGCCCTGTGAGATTGTGGGAGTAATTTCTAAAGACCAAATAACGTTCCTGGAATCTTCTGAACAATATGACTGGGTTCATCGGAGATGAGGTCGATATTGAAGATTGTGTAGTAGATGACACAGATGCCATATGCTTTTGCGTCGAGAGAATAGATCTTGTCGATCGAGGAAATTCTACAGCTGGTCTAACAACAGTTAGATCCAGGAAAACACCAACACCTCCAAAATGGTCGAGCTTTACTGAATCCTATTTCGTCTTGCGCGAACCGTGTGACGATCCCACATATTGCAAGCATGCAACGATGGAGGGATTCGAAGGCCAAACTTTCCACAGGGTCATTGAGAAGCCCATTCCCCATTAACCTTTCTGTACACGTTCAAGCCGAGATCGGAAGTGGTATCATATCAGCGGATACTATCACTCTTCTTCCCCCAGGACTCCAGCGCTTCCAACACACAACGGTTATGATGAACGAAAACCCTGAGACCACTGTTTGCGCCGCAAGGGCCCGGTTTTGGGCATCTTTTCAATGAAAAGAATGGTGGCCGATCGAAACCGAGTTGCCTTGGAAGTTTTCCTGGATGTCAAGACTACACGTCCTAGAAGTAGTTTCATTGCTGTTAAATGGAAATTAATAACATAAAGTCTTCATGATATTGGTGCTACGTGCTTTTCAATCTTGGTGCAAGAATGGTGGAGAAAGAGGCACAGTACAGTTACTTATTTACACGATTTTTATAGCAATTACCTCGTACGATAACACTCCCCCCAACATGAACAAACCTCATACTTGTATAAGAATACTTGTATCAAAGTTCTTCTCAACTTTATCTTGATAGGTCCTGCCCTACATGTAAGCTTCCTAACCCTGCTCGCCCCCCTAAACTTGTCTCAATCCCCGAATCATCTAAAAGCTTTTCCTTGTATTCTTGTAGGGTGGTAGCTACCGATTGAACTAATAGTGGGTGGCCACCAATCGAATACCAATTTTTCTGGTTGGACAAGTTTATAGGGAAGATGGGCTTTGAACTTCTTTCAAAATGCACAGAGGCAAAATAAAGGTAGTAGCCTTCCCTAACTAGGGAAAAGTAAATACGGGTAATAACTTTCTTTTAGATAGGATACCTAGATGCCTACTTATATGCAATATTTTCTTTCGTGATGACTACTACAACACTCACCTCTCCCCATTTCATCAATCATATATACACACGCCCTACCTCAACTAGAAAAGGAAGACATTCAATCATCAAAGCATAGGCTTAACCTCGTCCGCAACCTTGAACTCCGCGTCCGTCTTCGCCCTAACCTCATCAACCGTAACCCCATCCGCAATCTCCACCAGCGTAAGCCCGTTCGTAAAATCGACGTCAAACACGCACTGTATCCCCTCACCGTTAGCAATCCATCCACTGAAAACCTTTCAAAACCTCCCAAAGGAAACTTGAAAGGGGTTAAAAGAAAAAGGGGGGATTAAAGAACTCACCAAATCCGTAATAATCCTACTCACACACTTCCTCCCGGTAAGCGGGAACTCACACTGCTTCATCACCTTCGGCCTCCCCTTCTTATCCGTATGCTCCATCGTCACCACCACCTTCGTCGCCTGCGGATTACTCACCAGATCCATCGCGCCTCCGAACCCCTTCACCTTACCAGGCAACATCCAATTCGCGAGGTCGCCCTGCGCGGAAACCTGCATCGCGCCCAGGATGGTGAGGTCGATTTTCCCCGCGCGAATCATGCCGAACGACTCTTCGGAGCCGAAGGTTGAGGCTCCAGGGGCGAGCGTCACGGTCTCTTTGCCCGCGTTGATGAGGTCTGGGTCTTCCGCGCCGGCGGTGGGGTACGGGCCGAGACCGAGGATCCCGTTCTCGGATTGCAGCTGGACTTCGACGGAGGGGTCGACGAAGGAAGGGGCGAGCATGGGCATCCCGATTCCCAGGTTGGCGTACATCCCGTTTTTGAATTCCTTCGCTGCGCGCCGCACGATGCGTTCGCGTTTGGAGGCTGCGGCGCCCGAGCCGAGGGTGTCGGCGACGGCGGAGGCGGTGGAGGAAGGCCGGTTGACGACTTTTTCGATGTTCTTCGGGGAGGTGGATTGGATGACGCGGTCGACGTAGATTCCCGGGACGTGGATGGCGTTGGGCGGGAGGTCGCCGACGGGTACGATTTCTTCGGCTTCGACGATGGTGATTTTGGCGTTGCGGGCCATCGCGCCGTTGAAGTTCTGCGCCGCGTACCGGAATTGAAGGTTTCCGAGGCGGTCGGCTTTCCAGGCCTTGATGAACGCGTAGTCGCCCTTGATCGCCTCCTCCATCACGTACGACTTGCCGTCGAAGACCTTGACGTCCCGCGGCTGCGAGTACGTCGCTACGGAGCCGTCGCTGTTGTGCCGGAGCGCGAGTTCGCCGGTCTGCACGACGGTGCCGAATGCTGCCGGTGTGAAGAAGGCGGGGATTCCCGCGCCGCCTGCTCGACAGCGCTCCGCGAGCGTGCCTTGGGGTGTGAGTTCGAGCTCCAGCTCGCCGGCGAGGTACATCTGCTCGAGCACCTTGTTCTCCCCGACGTAAGACGCGATCATCTTGGACACTTGCTTCGATTCCAGGAGGAGCCCGAGCCCGCTGCCCACGACGCCTGCGTTGTTAGATACGGCGGTGAGCCCTGTGATCTGCGGTTGCGATTTCACTGTGTTGATGAGGGTGTCGGGCACACCGGATAGGCCGAAGCCTCCGCAGAGGAGCGTGCTGTTGGGCTTCATGTCGGCGATGGCGGATTCGGGCGAGGAATAGACTTTGTTGATCTCATTGCGGCGGAGCGTGGTGGAGAAGTTGCGGGAGAGGTTGAGGTAGGTCTTTGGTGTCGACCGCGAGAGGGTTCTCGCGATCTTGATCGTCCTAGATATCGACGACATGATGTATGGCTTCTGTGATTCTCGTCTTTCCCTGAGTTGCAATTGGAACTATGCCAATCTCTTTCTTCCGTGGGTTCCACAACACCTCACTATCGAATTGCTATTCGTAGCCTGACTGGTGATCAATGGTACAGTATTATCCAATTCAACACGCCCAGACAATCGTCGTGCCACGTAGTATGAAGAGAAGGAGAATGAAGAAGAAGTAGAAGCTTTGAAGCAGCTATGTAGATTCCGAGCTAACTAGCGCGCATGTTATCGGCTCATGGCCGCGGTACATCATTTTTGTATCGGCAGGGCAGGACAGGGACCGCGATCAAGCCGTCCAGCACAGCGTAAGCAAACCTACATAGTTACAGGCCTAGAGCTTCCAATTACCTATACAGTACCATATGTGATTGATGGTTTCCCCCTCCTCCACTTCGGGCTTGAATCCGTTCGTTAGAGGGGCATTGCCGGTCGTCGGAAACGTTCCGTTGTGTGAAGAGACTCGAAGTTGGCATGTGAGGGAATTGGGAGAGACTGGGGAGAGCTTGAGGACGTGACTACCCCACACTTTCCGGCTTGGCAACCTTCGACTCGTGGCTAGACGCGGAAATGCACCGACTACTACCGGAGAAGCCGCCCTGACCATACTGTGTAGGTGTTCCCTCTCTTCCATCACTTACCTCCACTTCCCGAGGTCGACAAAATTTCAAACATCACAACACACATAGTAGGAAGGGCTTTTCTCTCTTCAATCTCTTATAGGTCCTTCAATTGATAACAACACCGCCAGAACTCAACTAGTAGGATGTTGCAATGTCCATTATCCGAGTGATCCAACTGATTTTCCCTCCACTCCATTCTATTCCATCAATGCTCTAGAACGTCACTGCCCTTTTCCGCGATGCCGCTCCTCCCTGAGTTTCTTGCTCGCGATTCCAAAGATCTTTATGAGAGTAGCGAATAGGAGGAATACGAAAAGGCCTATTATTGGCAACTGGTGCTCTCTTTGCATCTTGGGCCTCCGAATCGGATTCGGCCACCCTCTCCTGAGCAATCGCCATCGCGCGCCTCACACTGGGACTGCTAATCCTTCTGCCAGTTCCTGGGGTTGTACTTGCGTTCCCTTGACCTGGCGGAGTACCTCCCGGGAAATTCAACAACCTACTCCACGCGAGCTTTGCATTCTCAAGCGACGTGCTCGCTCGGATCGTGCGAATCGTGGCATTTGAGTGGATCAGGTCCGATTCTAAGAGCGACGTTGAGAATGCATTGATTGATAGCTGAAGTCCTTGAACCGCTTGGCGGACTGGTGTGTTCATCTCACGGTGCCATGCTCGACCCAGGTCGATGAGCGCTCCGGAGAGTGTTGGTATCGCTGTGATGTAATCAAGATAAGGATTGTCGAGACTAACGCCCGTGAGGTTGGCGGTTGGAGGTAAGTTGGGAGGAAGTCCATTCGGCGCACTAGGTGGAATCATGGGCGCACTGGATGGGCCTGTAGGGAAAAGGAGAGTACTGGTCGGCAATCTCGAAGGTGCTGCACTAGTTGTGATAGTAGGTATTGTTCCATTGACGATCGGATTTGTACCGTTGAGCCAGCTGAGCTATTAATCTCAAACATCAGCAGTCTGTCTGACGGAGCACTAAGAACGGCCTCACCCTCTCACTGTCGAGATTAAACTTGATCTTCAACACCGAATTCGTGATGTTCTGTACCAAATCTGCGGTGCCCTGATTTCGAATACACGTTAGCTTCATCTCAACGAGGATCCTCAGATACGCACAGGCACACCTTTAGGAGGCAACAGCCCCCAACCTCTCCCAGGATTATCCGGTGAACCAATAGTCTTGGCTGCATCGTTGATGGTATCCTTCAGACTCTGGAGGTCGGTGAGAGCATCCGCGTAGACGAGAGAAGGGCAGACGAGAAGGAGGACCAGTGCCGCCTTGGCGATGACAATGATGGCGAAGGGGCTGTGGAGAGAACGGCCTGGGTCCATGGTGCTGAAAAGTTATAACAAGGAAGATGTGGTGGTACTTTGTAGGTCAAGATGGTGAGTATGAATATCTACTGTGAATACTCGATACAACGTATTCAAGTAGAAGGTAAAGTGAAGAATGAAAGGATGTTGGAGATGTTGAGATGCTTGAAAGGTTGGATATAAGCATGGCAGCATGGTGACGGAAGGAAGGAAGGAAGGAAGGAAGGAAGGAAGGAAGGAAGGAAGGAAGGTGCACGTTGCTGCCAGGACGTGGAAGGAGCATCACACGTTAGAAATCACACAGCAACAGAAGGTGCTACGCAATCGACAAGCCTCACCTAACGAGCACATTGCGAAGTCAAACACTGTAGTTGGACTAGAAAGGCCATCTCATATTGCTTATACTTCATTAAGATTTTTCAAGTATAGACCTCGCTTTGCCATCGCGATCACCACATGTACAGCATCTATACAGTTCCACCAGCGACTGAAGACAGTGCTCTCAATCCACTCCTGTCTCTCTGCCCTGCCGTCCACTGAAACGAAAGATAATGGTAAAGGATGATGATCAGAAAAAGTTTCTATCAGAGTGGAAAACGACGGGCAAGCAGGCGTTCCGATACGCGTGATGTACAAGACGAAGGATGATTGACAGTAACGATGACGATGATGGAAATTCAGGAACTAAAAATAGACTTTGGGGATATCTTGAACAACGAGTATGCTGAACAGTAAGCTGTTAAACAGGTGTGCGAGAGATGGATAGAAAATGTAGAGAGGGAAACGGCATGAAACTCGTGAACAGCCCACCGCTGGCATGAACCGGGAAAACCCCTCCAATGCAAACAATGTCGCCAAGTAAACTCTGATAGATGGATAAAAGATGGGAGGAGTCAAGGCTCTCCCTGAAGCGAAGGTGAGGTCCAGGCCATCTGTATTGGCGACGTGCCCTAATAAAGTGCATTACACCATACATCGTAACAACAATAATGATTATGGGGAACGGGCAGCTGAGGCTTCACCAAACGGTAGCAGCCCATCATACTAATACCCACTCACTCCCCCTCTTGATGAATTTGTCTAACATCAACGTGACATCTGCAAGAACAAAGCGGCAGATGTAGAAACCAAAGAATTCGGCTGCATGCCGAGCGGACAATTCGAGCCCAACATGGGTAGATGACGAGAACTTGAGGCCAGGATCTTCGACCTGGCGTGCGATTTGGTCTGTCTATATGTTAGTACATGTGAAGATCGCATCGTGGAAGGCACCAACTTACCCAGAATCTGGGCCGCATCGAACAATCTCGCCAGACTACTCATGTAGCTTGCATTTGGTCCTTCGAATGTCACGCTCGAAATGTCCCGCTTTGCGAAACGGATGTTGGGAAGACTCGTCATCGGCAGCGTTGCCATGATCAACGAGTCTTTCGGGACTTCACTGACAGCAGGCGTCTTTGGGGTCGCCATCGAGCTCAACCCCACCGCGGAGCCCTTGGAGCGTAGTTTTCGCCACGACGTGAGATAGGATTTGCTCTGGGACATTGCGCTCTTCGGTGCATGGTCCTGAAGCCCATGCGAACCCTTGGATGAGCTATCCCCGTTTGCCGAACTATCGTTGCCGAAATTTGCGTCCTTGAACAAGGTCGAAACACTGTGGGAGCCGACTTCATTGCCGAGCTTCTTCGCAAGCTGCAGCTGCACTTGATCAAGCACAACCTCCAGGGCCTGCACTTCTTCCAAAACGGCATCGGCGTCGAACGTATCCACCGCACTCAGCTTCTGCAGAGCAGCAGTGAGAAGGTCGCAGTTGGAAATCTTCTCGTCGATGTTCTTCAGCTTGACACCCTTGACACGCCAGACATCCCGGGGTACAAACAGCTTGGTCGAAAGATATCCGCCACGAGGGTGGGCAATGGTTTGATAGAAACACCGCATCAGCCAGAACGGGCGAAGCAAGTACGAGTCGGGGCATGGTTCCAAGGGAATGGGTGCATTCGTCACGCCGCCGGATGGAGATCCTGGAGAGTAAGGCGAATGGATGTCGCTCTCAAACAGGTGCATGCCGCCGCTTGGTAATCCGTCAACGTTAAACGTCGGGATGCTTGGCGTTGGTGTCGGAGCGGGCACCGCAGCTGCATTGCTCTGTTTCCGCTGCTGTGTAAACGAAAAGGTGGTACTGAGTGGCGTTCCGATGGAAGCATCTGAGCCGTCAGGGCTTGAAATGGACAGGGTTCGCTGTTTGAGGCTCAGAGACGATTTGTTTTTCCTTATCCCGGTGGCGGAAGTCTTTCCAGTCTTTGGCGATCCTGGTGCGAGTGAGCTGTCATTATTGGACATGCCATGGCCGAGGGCTGGTGTAGCAGGCGAGGTGGTGAAGGCGGTTTCGGCAGGGCTGGGGATGGGTGGTTGCGGCGAAGGCGCTGCCAGGCGAGTCGACTGCGGCAGCTCAGGAAGTTTGAAACTCGGGTCAGCCTGTGCGCCATTGAATGTCGACGCAGCTGCAGTCTTGGGTACGGGCGGGACGTCTGAACGTCCCTCCTTTTCGGATACAGACAGCTTTTCAGTGTGTGGTCCTGGGGCGACGGTGGAGTTTGGAATGGCCGTCTCGATCTTGAGATTGTTCGCGTTCAACACCGAGATCCTCCTATTCTTGACGGATGAAGCTTCCTTGCCGAAGGTTGGTCCCGCTGCTGGCGGAGATCTGCTCAGCTGCAACGCTTGCGCTTCAGCTACCGACGGCAGTGCTCCAGTAGGTGGTGGTAGTGGCGGCGGCGCGTGCGATGGTGCCTGGTGTTTCAATGGAGGCACGAATTCCGCAACGGTCGAGAGCGAGGTTCCACCAGTGGTCCTGTGCGAGGATGACGAGCTATTGTACGTACTCCCGGAGAAGTTGCTCGAGTCCGACTGCCTCGGAAGTGAGGACTTGTTCTGCAAGTCGAAATCGAAGCCGTCCAGCATGTATTCCCTCGTGATCTCATCCAGTAGCCTCTCCTCCTCGTCTGCCTCCTCCTGGAAGTTGAACTCGGCGCTTTCTCGGACGTGTGGTAGAGCCTCGCTCCGGAGTTGTGATTCTTTGTAGCGGTACTTGGCCGCAGCGATGGCTTCTTCCCGCTCCGCCTCCCGTACCCGCTCCTTTGCCATTTCCACGTTCTTCAGTCGGGATGCAGTATCTCCCGACAGAGTTGAATGTTCGTCATCATAAGGTTCGTATCCCTCGTCGTATGCAGCTTCGACAGCAGCGTCCAGGGCGGCGTCAAATTCGGCTTCCGTCGCGCCGCTGGCGTTCCGAATATGCTTCCTGCGCATCCCGCCAGGGGACAGCGAGTGGATGGAAGAGGAACAAGATGATCCTCCCGACTCGTCGATGGTGTCCAGCCATGAAATGGATTCACTGCTATTTCCTCTCTGGTGCTTTGCCGACGACGGGGGCCGATCGGGTTGGAGGAAGCTCGTAGGCATGCTCGTTTCGGGCTCATCGTGCTCCGCCGCGGATGACAATGGAGGTGTTGGCCTTCTGGGTGACAACGGCGGGGGCATGTAGCTCCTGTCCATGGGCGATTCCAGTCCGGCACCACCGATCGGAGGGTTGGGTCCTCCCAGCTTCCCGGGCGGGGGTTGCAACAGGAAGTTGGGAGTAGTAGGCATGCCCTTTTGGACATCGCGAATTGCCGTGGAAATGACTGATTCTCTCACTCCACCGGTTTGTTCCATCCGCAGTGGTAATAACTGGGAAGATGATTCGCCCTCGTCTCCCGCTACATCGGCTTCATGCGAACGGTCGTTCACGATCCGTGCCATGGACGCCGTCTGCACAATGGCAGGTTCCTCCTCATCATCGTCGGCAGCATCGAAGAGCATGGAGCGCTGCTCGTCCAAGGAATCGTTGCTCATAGGCCGTGCGGGTAAGGACTTGCCGGATCCAGCTTGGTAGCCCGGGTCCAATCGTCGTAGTTCTTCGATGCGATTGGTGTATGTCACTCGCTACCAGACAATTAGTTCTGCTTTCCCGCTACAAAGAACAAAGGTCCCGCGGCGGGGGGGTGTTTAGTGAATGTGATGTATAATAGACTTACAATCGAATCCAGTTTCCGGCGGTCCTCTTCGCCTTGACTTCGTATCATGACCTGCTGCAACAGCTTGCAGGCGTCGTTGTACGCCTCCATGGCGCCCTCGAAATTCTGCGCATTGTCCAGCAAGACTGCAGTATTCGCCTTCTGCAGGGCCCGGGAAAGCATGGTCTTCTTGTCTCTTTCTCTCTTCTCGCGACTGCGAGGAGGGGTTCCCTGATACGCGTCGTCCGGCCTGGCACTGGCACTGCCACTGCTCTCGCTCCTGCCCTTTGATTCCTGCTGATGTGACCTAGAGCGCTCGTGCGCCGCACCATGTACCGGCTTCGCAGGTTCCTTCGAGGACGTAGGCGGAGGGCGGTTCCCGGTGCCGGATCTCTGATATCTCGCCTCTGCCTCGAGCACGCCAATCGGCGGAGTGCCCAACGGCGATCTCCCTATCACTCGCTCCGCCTGTGTTCGTGAAGGAGGCCGCTGGGGGTTCGGGGGAGGCGCTCGAGGCTTCGAATTGAAGTAATCGGAGGACGCGTTGGAGGTGACGGCGGAGGGAGAGTTTCTCGACGAGCCGTTCGGGCTGCTGGGGTCGTATACGGTCGCGGGAAGGAGAGCGAGGGTGGGCAATTGCGGAGGGGGCGCGGTCACAGAAGAGGAGGAGGGTTTGTATACGGGAGACCGCGGGTGTGGGCGTCGGTGGGGGCTCGATTCCGGCGAGGCGTTGAAGGGGAGACTGTTGTTCCTATTCCGCGAGGGCGAGGTAGAGGTTGTGTAGGATGGTGAAGACGGGTTCGGGGCGGTTCCATTGAAGGCGGGCAATAGGGGCGTGTTGAAGGAGGAGGAGACGTTGTGACGAGAGGTACTGGCGGAGGGAGTGTGGCCGCGAGAAGGGCGTCTCTCGTCTTGGTGATATTGGGGAGGCGGAGGAGGAGGTTGTTGTTGCGGTGGAGATTTGCTCGTACTTGCGGCGGTTGAGTGCGACCAGCGATTTAGGTTGCCAGTGGGCTCCCTGCCAGAAAATCCAAAGCCATCTACAGCAAAGCCGGCAGCGCTAGAGCGGCGTCTGGATGGAGGCGGTGTGGCCCTCTTGTGGGGTTTGGACGGATCAGGGATCGTGTCTCTGAGAGAGGCCGAGCGTCCAAGGAGGGACGATGAGGTGGAGCTAGAGCGAGCACGACTGGAATGCGAGAGAGTGTGTGAATGTGAATGCGATTGTGACTGTGATTGATGATGAGATGGTTGTGGTTGTTGATGTTGTTGTTGTGGCGGCGGCGGCGGCGGCGGCGGCGGTGGTGGGTGGTGGTTAATTTGGGTTTGCCCGTAGGCCAGTCCTGGCAGATACGAGAGGGCCGTGGGAGAGGAAGGAGAGGTGGTAGTAGTAGTGGCAGTAGCAGTGGTAGGGGCAATCGCGTCGGTGGTGGCCACAGCAGAAGGTGGAGAAGAGTAGAGGTTCATGGTAAGGATGGGTTGCTGGCAGCAGCCCTGCCGTGCAGCGATATGTGTGTCTCAGACCGGTTATGCAGACTTGGGTCTCCCGCTTCATGCAGACCGGCGCAGGCGCGGCATGGCGGGCGAGAAGAAGAGAGAGAGGAGAAGTGTGTGGGAGAGAGAGGGGAGAGGATGGGCGCACGATGTAGCCTAAGCAGCGATCGTGGGAGTAGTAGTTGGAGTAGTGGTGACGGTAGTGGTGAGTAGTGGTGGTAGTAGTGGATGGAATACGTAGTGGTAGTGGTAGTGGTAGTGGTAGTAGTGGTAGTGGTGATGATGGTGTGGAAGGGAAAGGGGAAAGGAGAAAAAGAAGAGAATAGCAGAAAGAGACAGATTAGAGAGTGGGAAGGAAAGACGGGCGACAGGACAGGACAGGACAGGACAGGACAGGGCGAAGTATCGACGGCGTGGGTGTAAGAGGTGTGAAGGGTGTGTGTGAGTGTAAAGGGTGCGAAGGGGGGGGGGGGGGGGGGGGGGGGGGGGGGGGGGGGGGGGGGGGGGGGGGGGGGGGGGGGGTTAGAAGGGAAAGGGAAAGGGAAAGGGAAAGGGAAAGGGAAAGGGAAAGGTGGAGTGGAGTTACAGTAACAGAGTGGAGTTGTTTTTTGGTCGATCAGAGGTTCGTTGGTGGTGGAGCAACAGGAACAGTAAGAGTGGCAGTTTAGGTAGATTAGTGCAAACGGGATGGATGAGAAGAGTCGAGAGTAATTACGAGTAATGTCGAGCGTAAGAGTAGAGTAGAAGGGGAGGATCGAGTTGAGTCGACTACCATGACGATGAATGGCATGACACGACACGACACGATACAATTGATTCCAGTAATAGCTGGCAGTTAGTTAACAGCTACATGCACACAAGTACACATACACAGCAACTACCTATAACTACATTGAACGATTACCATTAACTAGACCCTGACTATGTTTGTGTAATTAGTTATTGGACTAGCTTAGGAATGGCACATGGCTCACATAATAACAATAACTATTAACTATTATTGATGAACAAATGATACTCGATACAAGGACGACACATGGGAAGTACTCGCACAGAGGGGAGAAGCGATAAAAAAACATACACAGTAAAGGATGATGATAACATTGAGTACGACTCCGGGTAGTTACAGGTGTCCAACTGCGTACAGTGAGTGGGTACGTATGTAGGTACGGACAAGACAAGACAGTTGTTCCTGGCCTGGCTCGTTCTCTGTTGTTCTGTTGCCCTTCTTCTGCTGTGATACGCACGCACTGTTGTGTTGCCTGTCCTCTTCTGTCCGGTTCTGTGCGTCATTGGGCGCAGGTAGGCGTACGGCGTGTGTGCGACTATGAATAAATGTAGGTTATTCCTTGTCTATGGCTTCAATTGACTGTATATCTAATACAAAGTAGTGACTATGGATGGTACCGCCTATAGTCTATCGTGTAAGGATGATGCTGATAATCATGATGAGAGTGAATGGTACCTATCGTTCGTTAGGTGTCGTATTGTATCGTATTAAATCGTACCCCGTCGTATCCATTGTCTTTATCTCTCTATTACCCCTGGCCTGGACTACCAGGCGGCCCCTTCCCTTTCCCTTCTTCCCTTCCCTTCCCTTCCCTCCCTTCCTTCCTTCCCTTCCTTCCTTCCTTGGGGGTTCCTTCCCTCCCAGTCCCTCCCATTGCCTCCCTCCCCTGTCCCCTTCCTTTCCTAATCCTTCCCTTACCCTTACCCTTCACCTTCCCCTCCCCCTTATGGTCTGTGCTTTCCGCCTAAAGGGTACACTGATACAGTAACAAGCTAGTAACCATTCCCAACCCCTCCTCTTCTACTCCAATTCGTGACTTGTTCACTACAGTAGGAGAAGGTACGTACCTAGGTAGTTAGTCTTGTACAGAGATGACTATTACCTCGTACATGATACATACAGACAGACATGGTTACGTGCATACTAGCTACATACACATACACACTACATGCTGCATCGTCGTATTCCCTTTGTCCTGTCCAATCCACGTCCGCCAATCCATCAATTAATTATTCTCGCTGCATCTGCATATTCAAAATTCCCACATCCCACCTCCAATCAGCTGACTGCCTGTCCGACTACCTGCCTCTTGCTATGTACTGCACTGCACTGCACTGCACTGGGTAGTGTTATCGCATCTTACTTGTAAGAGCACACACAGGCTACCATCCGTTCTGACAATGGAGTATCAGACATCAGACGCCGTACGCCAGCGGCCAGACATCACACATCGGGCGTGTAATGGAAAAGTCCGCAACTACGCTGTTCCCAAACCCCTCAAGCCAGCCGGTCTAATGATGCATCTACCTCGTAGTTCACTGTTGGACTTGGGCTACGGGCTAGTCAGTGTCGTAGATTTTATTTCGCTTCCCGTTCTCCTCCCTTCCTTCCTCTTCTCTTCTGGTTCCATTCTTTCCTTCTCTCCCTCTTCTTCGTCTCCTTCTTTCATCTCTCGACTGTTCTGGTGTATTCGCTACTGACTAGTTCCGTAACCCGTTCGCTTCGGAACTTCAGGGTCCCCGTCCGGCTGGCTACTAATCCGTATGTGGTTAGTCCTATTTACCACCATCACCACCACAGTCGTCACCACCACCATTCCAATCCATCCATTCTTCCTCCTCATCTTCTTCGTCATTATTTGTATCATGTATTCCATATTCCCTCTATTGTTCTTCTACCTTTCAACATCACGGCTAACATCAATTTCTTACCAGATCACCAGATCACAACCACTTACTCGTATCTAAACATCCTCATGACATCTATTCATTTCCCCTTGACTCAGTGCAGTAATTTGACTCCTCACACGGAGTCACACCCACAACACCATTCTCCAAAACTCATTCAGCCCCTATTGTTGTTGTTGATCTCTTACTCGTACATCACGGTACTATCGATCAATTATCGCTCATTCTTTGGTACCCTAATCTCGCCCATCTCCTGTTCGAGATGCGAGCGAACATCCGCCCAATCCATTGAATTCCACCAATTCATTGATTAATCTACCCTTAACTTCCGTACACTCCTTAGGCCTTGCCCATCTTCTGTATGATGAACATACACACGGGTGCATTCCTTTCCTATTCTTCATTTTAATTATAGCAACACTCCGACTCGTCTCCAACTACTCTTCCACTAACGACGCACCGTCCAATACTTACACAGAACACGTTCCTCACCATCGATTCTTCCTTTTCGTCGACGAAAATCCACCAACGCTAGAACCAATCCACGATAACGACACCCGATGCTTTTTTCTCCTCTCCACATCCCCTCCTCTTCTCTAGTACAAGTAAACACCCCTATCCAACTGGGCTACACTGGAGACTAGACGGTCGGGCAATTGAGCGCCATCCGACTACGGCTAGGTATTCCAGAAGAGGCGCGGAATCTTCGGCAGAATTGAGTTCCGTACAATTATATTCGGCGCTTCTTCTACAGTCTACGAGTTACAATTGCCCTTCGAACCGGTTCATTGGATACAACACCCCCACTCCACTCCGTCCCACGGTGCGCACTGCACACCCATTCCTACCATCTCTACACCGTAGCCTCCAATTCCTACCCAAAGACCCATTTCCTACAATACAATCCTACTCTTGTTTGCATTCTACTGTTCCCGTCCCTCCTCCACCCCCTTCCCTCTCGTTTCCCGCTCATGGTCGGTGCGGCGGTATTGCGTGACCATGTGCCGTCCCCGTACAATGGATACAATGGTTTAGTCGGCCGCCGTGTCAGTGCGGTTACGCAGTGCCTGACTAGGTAGATGGGCATGGGCTTCACGGGCTGGTTACCCACCAAACGGAAGACGACCACAGAACGCCATATTCGAAACAACCGCAATATCCCCGACTCGAGCAACAAGCAACGTGCCGGTACCTACTCCGTACAATGCAGCTACAACCAGCCACCGTGATGATAGATGATGATCTCAGGACCTAGGAGCTCGAAGGTTGGTTTCGATAATCGTCTGGCGTCCACATCTAGCAATCGAAAACGCCCAACCTACGGTAAGTACAGAGTAACGCAACCCATAAAGCTAACTAGATATTGTAACAACAAAAACAACGCATGTCCGCCGCCAGGGAACCCTCCCCTCTTCTTATCGGACCGGACTTTTCTCCTTCCAACGCCCCAAACTGTGCTATGCTGTGCGCGCCGCGCGCGTGGATTGAAGTCGATTCTGATTCGCCAATTCCACATTTCAATCAACAAACGACGGAACGTCCCCCCCCCAAAACCTAAAGCCAAAGCATCTCGAACGAACGTCGATCATTCCGCTAATTACCTACGACATTAGTCTTGTAACTTGCTCGTCCATCTGATCTGGTCTTGTGGTGGTACCGTGGTGGTCCATTCCGCGTAGACATCACATCCCACATCATTTATCTAGCTATCTATTTATCTGGGGATGCGTATGTCACGATATGAAAAAAAGCAAAAAAAAAATAGACGTCTGTCTAATTGATCTTCATACCAATCTTACCCCCAACACGCTAACCATACATATCAAAACCTCACACCCATCCAATCCTATCATAGCTATTAAAAAAAATAAAACAGAACCAAAGCAAACCAAAGAACCAGAGCACCCTCTAGTACACAATGAACAAGTAAAGAAATATTTAAAAAATATTAAAATATGAACTACTTCAAAATCTTAACCCCATAGATTGATTGATCACTACATCTCTCCGCCACCAGGCACCTGTCTTTGGTGTACAGGCCGAACATGACATAGCCAATTCACCCACCAACCCACCCTCTTCTCTGATCGAAAAGTCCAACAATCACATGTTCCTAGCGCGAGTTGATTAGTTTCCAAACCGTATGCAAATGCAACTCGACGTTCTCCGCGAGGGAGACTAGGGAAAGTAAGATATGTTTATCTGGGTAAATAAGAATATATATATTATGATTATAATTGATAAATACCACCACCACTATCTCCATGAATCAAGTCTACGTACTGTTTATTGCTAACCTCTACTTTCATTCCAAAAAAAACAATTGAATCAATTTGAATCGCTAGTCCTGCATAACCATGAACTAATAACTAGAAAGGTACTTCCACATCTACACAAAAGACAAAGCGTCCACGTACGCAGAAAAAGCACCCACAACGGGAACGACACGACGTAAGGAACCAATCAGTACCTCTTTGAAATTTTATTGATTTCTTCCTATGTAAATGTATCGGTGAGTTAATTATTGTAAAGCAAGTGAGAGCTGTAAATCAATCGAAGTGAATTATCAGATATTTTTCTTATACTTATACCTGTCATCAAGAACTTAAGAATAAAACCACCGAAATGGGACATATATGGCAAGGTTTCTTTATGCAGCTTTCAACCTAAGTAATCTTTCGGAGAACAGTGATAAATATAAAATCCAGGGGAGAGAATGGGTGGGGAAGAAATGAAGTGGTTGTATGATATCGTGATCGGGTTGGGAGTGAGGTCTATTATGACAGTTCAATTGACCCCATGCTGTTATTCCGTAGCAGGTTGTATTGTATAACTCACGACTATTCAGAATGTTTTGTGACTATGTTGATGGATTATTTCTATCGCCGTGCTAGCTATGATGCTCCCCACCGTTCTGGACCAAAGGCGTGGGTGTGTTGTGCAACGTGGGTAGGTCGTTCCTTTACCCAGTACTTCCCCAATAGAGGACAGGAGGGGGTGTTGTTGACTGCGGGCGAGAGGGCACACATGCTTGCCGTCCGTACAGCGTCTCTTTGGGAAAATACGCGAGATTACTTGCAGAGTGATGGCGATCCCACCTACTGTCGCCGATACTCTCCGCATTCCAATGCCAGATGCTCGAGCTTGAGAACGTCGACCCCACCTCCAGGCCCTGCACCATGGCACCGTACCTCGTAGTCATCATCGCTGTAGTCGTCATCTTCGTCATCTATTTCATATCATAATCGTTGAGTCTCCATGTTTTCTTTCGCTCGCGGCCCTTGGCTGGCTACCCCTCACTGCATCAGGTCTTCCTCCAGCGGCTCCTCGAACTGCATGTCCATGGCGTCTCCCCCGCCTCCACCTTGCGTCGCCTTCTTATTCACGCGCTTGATGTGCTCGATGTACTCCTTGGTCAAGCTCAGCCTGTAGTCCGCGCTCTTGACCTGCTCGGCGAGCAGATTCGTGCGCTCCGTTTGCGCGAGGAGGGCCTGCAGCTGCTGCTTCTCTGTCTTCGCGAGGGGCCCTTTGGTCGGGTCTGGGTAGAATCGGAGGACGACGCCTAGCTCGGGTCGGTTTGTCTGCTCGAGGCTGGCGTTTAGGTCGCCGTTTGCGATGAGGCCTTCCAGGTACGTCGTTAGGTTTTGCACGGTGCCGTCCAGCGCGGCGGCTATCTTCGACACGGGAATGGCGGAGAAGGTCCGCGACAGTCGAGCGACGTAGAAGCGATATTGGTTCTCTGCAAGCTGGTTCACGAGGCCGAGGTTGCCGTCCTGTGGAGTTGAATGTGTAAGCGCTTTGGGGTTTCCATGAAACATGTTTCATACATGTTTCTTCCGATGGGGGAGTGGGGAAAACTTACCTCCGCCCAGGTGTCTCTGCCCGCGTTGATTTGTGCGCGCAGTTTGGGCAGGTTGCTCAGGTCGGCGAATGCATCTGCGAGCGCGTCGTAGGCTTTAGATGCGGCCTTGATGCCCTTGAATGCGCTCGTGTTGGTGGTGCGAGGGAGCGGTTTGGCCTGGTTGCATTAGAACTCATGAAGAGAGGCGCGTAGGCAATCAATCACTTACAGTACCATGCACCAAGCAAGTGACTAGGACCCACTTCTTGTATGCTTCGAGCATCAATCCATTGCCCACACCGGTTACTACTGGCGTAACCAAGATATGCTCTAGTAGGCGCATGGCCTTCGCCCATTGCCGCTGTCCTATGTATGCGTGTGATCCCAAAAGATAGTATTCCTGCAAATCAGGGAGTGAAATCTTATCACTATGTCCCGACTTTGCGTGAATGAACTCTCCGCTATTCGTGAGCTTGTCTGACGCTGGCACGGAGAACTCCAGGGATTCCCGCACGACCTGAGGAATGCTGCCTGGCAGGCTGTGGATGTAGTTATCAAGGATCGGGTTCGCCGCGGCGTACGATCTCGTCTCAACGCATATCCGTATGAATTGCAGGTGCACCGATGTGAATGTGCCGGAAGTCGGATCAAGTCGCAGCATCCCGGACCGTATTGGCGATATCGCAAGAGCAGGCTGCCGAAATCAGTATACCGGCCCAGATCTCATTTATTCAAGCATTCCGTTCCTAACTTACTGTGCCTGTGAACCTCGCCACTTGCTCAATGTAAGTACACAGCTTCCTCCACTCTGCACCCACGTATCGCAGTTGTATCGGATCCGCATTCTCGAGGAAATTTACCGCTTTGTTCCATAGTGCTCCTCCGGGCTTCAGTTGGTCGGAGACGTGTTTTGGCGACTGGAAGGTGCCCCCCGCGGCGGCAATGCGATATTGGAGGGGGAAGATGTAGGCTATCGTGTTCACCGCGGGATTGCATATCTACATGGCCGTCAGATTACATTCCTAGGTGGCAAATGAGTCGATCTCACCTCCAATATATCCTGTGATGTGTCGGCTCCCCTTGCGAAATGCTGTGGAGATAGGTTTGCGATGTCGTGAGCGAAGCGGCGAGCTTGAATGTCGTATTCGCGCTTGGACTTGAACTCTGGTGAATCCGGCTGAAATGATAAAAGAAGGCTTATGACTTCGCCCGACATCTTGTGAAATGTGAAAGAACTACCGTGCACAGGTCGAGAGAGACGGAAGCTTGTTGTGAGGACAAGGCGCGTGTGGGGTAGAGAAGCTGCTTTCTGGGCTGCTGGATGGAATGGTAGGCGGCAGGGAGGGCAATTTGTCTTTTGGTACCTCGAATCCTCCAAGACAAGAAGACGAACCAGCAAGGAAAGGAAACCAAGGGGTATCTTCTATCAGATTGAACGAACTGGTGCGCAACTGGATGGGGAATTGAAAGGCGAAGCTCGATGCAATAGCTTAGGCTGCCGTTCCATATCGCACAGACCCTTTCCGGCCCCGCCACTAAATTCATCTGTGGCTCATGAGGTCATTCGAAGCCGACCAATCAGATGCCGCCATCATATCCAATTGCTATCTTGTAGTAGTTGGAAGGCCAGAGGGAAGGCCTAAGTATGTTAATAATCATTGCGTTGAATCTCATCAAATTGATCGAAGAGTTGGATACTAAGAAGGGGTATTTGAGAGAAACGGAACTGAAAAGAACGATCCTAAACTCCATCATCAATCGACCAAGGTAGCAATGCCCATCTAGGTTGAACTCCAAGCAATGCAACCCTTCCCAGCGCCAGAGACCTATATCAACAACGAAGTACAATATCATCTACCGTCGCTTGACTGATTCCTCCATCCTTCTCACCAATGCTTTTAGGCCCACGCCCTTTTCGCAATTCTCCTCTAAGTACGCCTCCATCTTCTCCCTCACAGACTTCATACCCTTTGTCACAGGAAGTTTTCGGCCTTCTTCTGGTTCAAGGTGCATCAATGGGTTGAGGAGTAAGTCGAGGACTTCGTTCCAGATGTCCGTCTGCCAGTATCTCTTCAGGCTTTCTCGGATGCGATAGGTCTTGGTCGCCCCGGCCCCGAGTGCAGCACCTCGTTCCGCCACAGTCGAGATGTATTTGCCGAAGAGCAGGTTGTGAACGATACCAGCAAGACCATGGTAGTCGATCTGGTACGTCCACGGACGAAGTTCTCGCATCTCCGCGCAGTCTGCCTCCGTTGTCTTCCAGTCGGCGATGAATTGCACGTCGGGCTTGAAGACCTTCATGTCGATGCCACGGCCGAAATCGATCAGACACACGCCCTTCTCTGCCCAACCATTCCTTCCATCGCGGTGGTACTGTGCAGCCCATTCGTCAGATGGAAGCGAGTTGAAGCGTACTAGTATGTTGTCGGATTTGAGATCTCCATGTATCACCCCCTTAGAATGAAGCGACTCCACCGTCCTGAATAACTCGATGGTGAAGAACATGGCCAGTTGCTCGTCCATGACTCCATTATCGGCACGAGCAATATTGACCAGGTCGAGCAAGGTACCTTGGTCTCGGAATTCCTCCACCAGATAACACTCATCCTTGAACATGTGCATCTCATAAGCATGCACAACCGAGTGAGCTGCACGGGAGACGCCTAGTCTCCTCTTAGCTTGTCGCATGATGTAAAATTCCCAGGGCGATGGTGGCTCTTCCATCTTGATAGCCTCAAGCGAGTTGCGTTTCAGACCGAACTCACCCTTGCCCATCTGAACAGGCTTGTCCTCGTCGTCATCTTCAATTGGCTCACTTTCAGCCAGGTATACTGGGGCGAAGGCTCCCTTTCCGAGCTCACGCTTGATAGTGTACATCCTGTCAGAGCCATCGAGCTTGAGAACGGGTGGCAATGATAAGTTGGTGGCAGTCTTGTCATTGGCATTCTTGCTGATTTTCGAGATCGCCTTTGTATACTTGCGAATCTCTCCACCCTTGCCACAAATTGAATTACCATCGCCGAAGTATCCTTCATAAGTTAAGAGCGGAGGCTGAATCTGACTGAGAATAACTTCGCGGATGGCCTCATCGACAGGGTTGCATTGCGTGTCCTTGATGATTGGCCCCTTCGGTTTTGTGTCGAGTGGCGTGGGCGGCACTACTGGCTCTGGCTTCTTCGCCTCTCGCAAGGCGAGTTGTGTGACTTTGCCTGGAATCTCGATGTCTTTGTCCAAGTCGTGGAATGGCGAGCTCCATGGCTCACCGTCCTCAAGGATGGCTGGGGTTCCTTTTGACCGTGAAGGAGTTTTGGTGGCATAGTACTCTTTGTGGACGGTTCCTACGGCGATCGATGATTCCGTCTTTTCGACAATGGGCGTCATGAATGGTAGGCGGTTGTTAGCAGCCTGTGCAGGGTCACGATACGGGCGAGTCGGGATATCGTAGCCTTCTAGGGGTGGTGGGGCAAAGCTTGTAGGCAGCGATCCAGGCGAACCAGGAGACGTAGGCGTTGCAATATCGGAATTGGCATCCTTCTCCTCACCCGGTAAAGGAATCTCATCAAAAGAATCCTCTTCAGACTGGACAGAGTCGTTATCCTCGTCATCATCCTCGTCCTCGTCTCCCTGCCGATGCTCCTTGGGGACATGCTTGCTTTCTGTGAATTCAGACCATTCCGAAACACTTTTCACATCAGTCATGTCTGCTTGGCTCTCGTCGTCGGAATCATCATCTTCGTCCTCGTCGACTGTTGTCCGCAGTGTGAAATCCGCTGCTGTCGTGTCGTCGCCAAACTCACTGGTGGCGCCCGATAAGTGACCGGTGCCAGTACTGTCTCCAGCACTCGTATACCCATCTTCATCGTCGTCATCGTCGTCATCTTCACTGCTATCTTCTTCGCTCTCAACTTCTTCTGCAGCTTCCGCTGGATTTTTCAATGGCTGATTGAAGATCTCGTAGATGTCGTCCATTGCCTCCTTGGTGTGTAGAGTCATTGTTGCTTCTTTTCCACCTTTCCTGCGTTTGACCTTCTTGCCAGTAGGGGAATCAAGATTCGTTTGGACTAGATTAATTAGTATAGGGTGGGCGGATACAGGGGTAGGAATAAAATACTTGTCTGAGTCTCGCCACGAATCTCTCGCACTTCCATCACTTTGATCTTTCTCGTCCTGTTGGCGCGCTCCTCTCGTCGCGCCCTCCTGGCAGCCTTGGCCTTGTCTAGTTCAGCTTGAGATGGTGGTGTGTTTTCATCATTCTCTGCATTGTCATCTATACTACCTTTGAGAGGAACCGTTTTAGGTTGGGCAGACTTGTCTGCCAAAACTTTGGGGGCTAGCGGAGTTGGCTTTTCCTTTGCCTGCCTTGCTGCTTCGGCCTCTGCAGATTCTTGTCTCCGCTGCTGCTCTTTTCTACGTCGAATTGCATTCCAGTCACGATCTAACAACCCTCGGTGCTCCGCCCGAAGCTCTTCGAAACAGAGCTCCACCGATAGGTCATCAGGGTCAGGATAGAGCGTAGTCAGATCAATAGAGATGACCTCGAGCTTTCCAGTTTTAGGGTTCACAGTTTGCTGGAATTCACGGAAGGGATGTGGTTTGGACTTTTCATTTGGAGAGCTCGATAAGTTCTGAATATACATGATAGGCAAGCGCCCAACCAATTAGTCCTGTGATCGTAAATAAAAGAAGGGGAACGGGATGTGCGGAACTAACTCACCTCATCCTTGAAAATCATCATCTTCTGAACACCGGTGTTCTTCTTTCCGACCTTGAGAGTCTCGCCAGCCCATGGCCGAGCCTCTGTGGTGTTCTCCTTCTTTCGATCTGCCAACGATCCGATGCTATCCCAACCCTTTGAGCTCCCACTAGAACCAGGTTTCGGTGGTTGCTCTGCATCAGAGAAAATGGCCAACTTTTGCTTCCCTGGCTTCGCGGTGCCACCTCCCATCCGCGTTCGGTGTTGTGCTTGAGGATCGAGGCTCAAGGGGGAAGCATGCGAGAAAGGATCGATTTTAGCTGCAAGTGCCGGTCGAACTGCGGGAAGCGCGGGACTCGTTGGCTCAGCAGCTCCTTGTGGTCTGCTTTCGAATCGATGTTGAAATTCGCCATATTTTCGAATAAGTCTCTCAGTTGGGCGCGCCTCGCGCTCGATTCCCATTGCATAGACCTCCTCCGCCTGTGTCCACCGTCCCGCGGTCTCTAGCCAAGCTGCAAATTCTTCGTAGAAGAGTGCAAGCCCATCGCCGATACCGTGTTGTGTAAGGTATGCAAAGGCCTCGCGAGGGGCATCAGAAAATAGGCGAATGTAGTGGAGCCACAGTTTAAGGTAGCGGGGATCATTCTTGTAATGTGTCGATGATTGGAAGGCTTTTGTCGCTCGCTCGAGCAGCGGGCAGAGTTGCGATTGTGGTGTGTTTTGCGCAGAAGGGTACGCGTCTAATGTCCACTTTACGTAGCGATCGTAAACATCCAAAGGATCGTCCGACTCATCGATATTCTGCAGTTCCTTCTCGAACTCCTGACGAGCCGCGCTGTTTGAATCGTGCAATTGCGACGGCGATGGTGCTTGGCCCGAAGCGGATGAGAGGGGTGGCGTATAAAGCTGTGCGAGTGCCTTTGCAGAGCGGCCACTCGGGAGAGATTGGATGTTCTCCTTTTGGTTTTCGATGATTTCGAAGTCGATTAGGTCCTCGGAACCCATGGTGGTGGTCGAGGGAGGGTATCACAAAAAGTAAAGAAGAAAGAAGCCGGACCCAAGATACAAATAAAATAAGGTTCCTCTTACCTGGGCGTCGAAGTCGTGGTGTGTGTTATGTTATGGGAGTTGAAGTTGTGCGCTGGCGGGGTGTTGTTTCTATGGAGTCTACACACAGACCCGATTCGGAAATAAACGCCCGTGCGCCACCCGTTGCTACAGTAACCTTTCCGACGCCTGAGGGCTGTTCAATCCTCCTATCGATTATACTTGTAGTGTATGCATCATAGATTGCACGAGCTCGAATATTCATGAATCTCATATGCTTAGAGCACGTGCTGAAATCTTGCCTGGCTTCTGGCCATCATTACTTGATCAAAAGAAGGTTCTCTCATACGATTGACAGCTCCATCATAAAGGTTTTACACACTTCTCAGAAGCACATCTTCAAATTCAAGAATTTATGGTATCAAGAGACTTTTGAATTAACGTAGAGCTAAATCTATCTGGCGTATGCCTTCGATACAGCTCAAGGCTATTAATACTTGAACATACGCGGGCTTTATTGTCGTACCTCTAGCAAACAATCAAAGGCTCTTTACCTCAGAATATCTCTAGTCCTCGCCAAACCGTTCTGCCAAAGGAATCAAGGATGTCAGTCTCTCATCACATCCCTTTTTTATCCCGAGTTTCTGACATTGTTCTTCATTCTCCAGCCAAGACTGAGGGACAAGATGTGCCACTTTTTTAGAATTGACCACCATTTTCGTTCTCTCCGCCTTCACATCCCCTTTATTGTTCGGACTTGATAGAACACCATGTCTGCTAAGTGCATCGGTTCTTCTATGCCTTTGCTGAAGAACATCGACGTCGATTGTATACAGTGCGGCGAAATGGTAGACGAGTACTTTCTTCTTTTGCCCGTACCTTCGACAACGTGCTATGGCCTGCGTCATCGCAGCGTCGTACTGCTCTTGGGTTTCTGTGATAAGTGGCGAAATAAAAACGACGTGGTTTGCGTTTACAAGATTCAGTCCTGCAGCAGACTCATCTGCAAGATTCAAGACGAGCACTTTTACCATGCTCCTTGCGTTGCTGTTATCTTGAAACTCTCGTATCTTGTCGACATCTGCACTTCTATTCGTGACAACTGCATGTGCTCTAATCTTAGCAGATCGCAGAGCTTGGTGCACCGTGCCAACTGCTTGCTCATTTGGTGCAAATAACACCATCTGTTCGTCCTCCGGAATATCTGTAAGGAGTTGAAGCAAGTGATCTATCTTCTTTCCTCGACCTGTTGACGAGTTTAAGTCCCGTAGAGGTCTTAGATCAGAGGTCTTGATGAGGTCCTCTGCAGACATTCGCGCATCACAGTCTTTGTGAACGCATACTTCACCATCAGCTCTAGAGGTCAAGCATGTTTGACAGACAACATGCCCACAATAAGCTGAGAGATATATCTGCGAGAGGAATCTGGATTTGCGGCATGAAGTGCACTCATGACTTGTGTTGTCTTGGTCTTCAGAGTGAACGGGCAGAATATCTTTAATGGCGTTGGTGAATCGAAGAGACCTTTTGCGGGACACGAGCTCCTGCGCCAGACTACGCAGCTCAGCAGTCTTTTCTTTGAGGTCTTTAGATGGTCTTTTCGAGGGCGATGATGATGATGATGTCGAAGACTTTGCCCGACTGATCAAATGGCGCATATCCAAGGTAGCATCCATGTCCCCTAATGTATGATCGGATGTGATATCCTTTATGAAGACAGAAAAGTGCTTGCTTGACTTGTGAGAAACCCACCCTAACTTGGTAGCACGGTTCAATATTTTCCGGATCTCGGCCTCCGATTCGTTGATAGCATCAACGCGCTTGCGAATGATTCCACTAATCGTAGCATCCTGCTTGCACGAGAGTGCCAAACTCAAAAGCGCCGCTTCACCAGATACCGCATTATCCAGGGCTATGTTGAATCGAGCTGGAAATCTGGACTTTGGCCGGTCCCTTGCTTGCTTTCCTTGCATGTTGCGAGCAATCAAATGTTGCGAGAGCTCTAAATACATGCTGTGATGGGCAAGGCCAAGCTTGATAGCATAAAGAGACTCCTTGCATTGGATGCGATTCAATGCTGCTGAATTTTGTCGCGCAAAATCATCCAGAAATTGCTGTGCTCGTCGATGTCGGTCAGCATGCCAATTGTAAGAGAACGCTTCCATTCTAGCACACATGTCCTCAGTGATGGTCAGGTCTTGCCTAAGCCTCTTTTCTGATAGACTTGATCCCATGTTATGTGCGTATGCGGAACGACCCAAAGTAGCACCTAGCAGTCTCGCGACCTGACAAATATCTGTAAAGTCCCCTAAAGCAGGCGTCCCGGAAAGGGCCCAACGCTTGTGACCTGATAAATTTTCAACAAGCGCATATGCTGATGAGTTCTTCAGATCGCTACTGCAGAGATAATGATACTCATCAATCACAATCCGGTTGAATGTGAATAGATGCAGAAGTGGGAAACCGTATGATGTCCAGTCGTCGGTTTGGCTTTTGCTTGTATACCTAGGCCTTGTACCGCTCTTTACATCCTGGATGGGCGCCTTTGACCAGTCTAGGTTTCTGCTCTTGTAGGATTGGTATGCGCTCCCGTGTTGAGGTTTTAAAGGCACAATTCCCTTGAAGCCTGGTTGCTTAAGGCGGGCCTCTAGTGCCTCTTTCTTGCCTCGCTTGAACAATCTGACTCCCTCTTGCACAAGTTCTTTTACTCGACTTGGAATCTCCGAATTGACATATTTAAGCCATGAATCAAAAGCCCGTTTTTCCTGTTTTGGTGCTAGTTTAGGCATGGCAGTAAAATCTGCAAGCTGCTTAATGTACTCATCATCAGCAAGGACATTCCATGGTACAATGACGACTCGGCTGTTTTGAATATCAGCAATTGTCGTTCTTTTTAGGTCTTCCATGCTTCCTATTGCCCGCACGCCCATTTGAGCGCATTGCGTCTTCCCTAAGAACTTAACGAATTCGTCGTGCCATTGCCTATAGAGAGTCTGAGGACAGACTATTAGAGTAGCAGCCGTCGAGACCAAGCCAAGTGGGACTGTAAGTCCTTGAGGAGGAGCACCGTAGACCTCGTCAATCTCATACTCCCTCTGGATAAGCGCAATAGTCGTGACTGTCTTGCCAAACGAAGGCAAATCAGCCAGAATACCACCGCGGATAACTGTCTTGTACTGAATGCGGACATCTGCTCTCCAGTGTAACTGAGCGTCAACGACTTCCTCAATTTCCTCAATTGTTAAAACCTTCCCCTTTTCCTGATCAATCATCCAAGATAGCGACTTTTCTTGGGACGTGGACAGGTCATGCTTCAAAGAGAGATTACCGGTATAAGGCTTCTGTAATGCGCAGCTGTGTAGTTGAAAGCCCTGAGGAGCTTCACGTGCCGAATCTTCTACATGGTCCAATGTCAACCTCCACGCTGCTGTATAGTCATGCTGGGGCTCAGCATGATTCCGTGCGCGATGTAATAAGGCAGCGATATTGAATCTCATCTGAAGGCGACCCTTGCTACCTTCTCTCAGCACTTGATGTGTAAAAATAGACCTGCGTGATCGTAATCTACGTTCGAATTCTCAATGGCTTCTTCATCCACCTGTGAGATTGCCTCTCCTTTGCCATTGATGCTGTATAACGGTCTAGGGATAGGAGGCGCACAGTCGCACATAGGCTCTAGAGCGCATGCTGTGATGTCTGACCATTCTGAGAAGCCACGTACTAGCCTCGCGTGTTCCAATGCCCATGAATGCGTAGCAAGGTTAAAAGCTCCTTCAACGTCTGGTATCGTCACCTCCAAGATTGGTATTGACTGGTCACAGCGACGGACTTTCTTCGCTGCAAAGGTAGAGACCAACGCGATTGTTCGTTCAATAGGTGGAACAGCGGGCGTTAGCCTCAGGTCAACTCGTTGCCAATTCTCAGTACTCTCAACACTGATATTATGCCATGTTCTGTGGGTTGACCATGGTCTCCATGTAGAAGCGCAACGAGCGATCACTCTGCATGGTCTGTCGAGTCTTGCATGATGGCAACGCTCGCTAAAGATGAAGGAGTCCTGGTGACCAGGTCCTATTAGGTTCGACTCGAGGAACAAATACATGCTTCCTCCCTGCTGTGTGCTTTTATAACAGCTCGACATTGCGGTCCCACAATCCGGCAGTAGCTCATATATGCCATCGAGATTGTCAGACTTAGATATGGAAGTATCGTCTACGTCTAAAGACACTGGCATAGTATCCTTTTGGTAATCTCTGAGACCGAGCCTGCATCTCCATGAGGCCGTGCGATCTGGAGACGCTGTCATGGTGATTGTGCGGCTTTCGCTTTGGGGAATGCGCAAATGCCACTCTGGATTAAGCAATGACTTGCCTACTTCTCCTTGTGCAATGGGCGTTGAAAGCGCTTTTCGCAGTAGACTATTACCCGGTTGATCCGCTGGACAGAGCAAAGACAGGATCCAATTTGCTTTCTTTCCAACATGCAACTCAAGCGTTGCATGGTTAGGGGCGTAGCGTATCGCCCAGTAACCATTCCTTCGCGTGAAAGTCTTCAGATTAAACTTTGTAGAATGAACATTTGCTTCCTCAAGCACACTTATGAGGGGAAGTTGAATTTTTTCATTAAGGGTCCGATAACGACGAGCAATATCTGCCCCGCTTGGAAAGCCAGAAATCTGCAAACGGGCGGGTAGTTTTAGTCGCCATTTGCGCTCAAAAGCCCAAGGCATAAGCCGCTTTTCATGGACAAGAGTTTCTTGATATATGTCTCGGATTCCCTGCGCAAGACGTGCATGCTGTATGATCGCACTTGCTGCATACCTGGATATGTGCCCGTGAGATACGTACTGAGTTCTCGCAGGCACAAAGCCGTGAACTTACTAGAGCATCCCTAACAAGTTGAGATATGTCTATCTTAGACGTGTCTATGGGCAAAATCGTATCCTTTCTCATGTTCACCATCTGGTCCTTTCCAATCGATGCAGGCCTGATTTGCTTAGTAGCCGCAGTTGCCAGAGCAAGGCCATGGTGTAATTGAGTCCCTACGCCGATGAACGCGGAAAGAAGCGAGGCTCCAATAACGGTGGTAGACATTGCATTACCAGCCAGGTCCTGTAATTCCTTTTGTGTCTCCCTTGTAAAATGGAGGTTTTCGTACGGTATGCCCTGTAGAATAAGAAGCTGACTGCCTAGCAGCGCGCTTTGTCTGTTGGTTATAAAATTGTTTCCCGATGGCGTAATGCACGAGACTATACCAAGATTTGGCTTGAATCGATCAACGTTCTGAGACACGTCCCACACTGCCATCTTATATAGCGAGTCTGCGCCATATTTCGCAAGTTGAAGGTGAGCGATGTCAATAGCCTCGCATGCCCTGCTAGACTGCGCTCTATACCAATTGTGATTGGCGATGTCTGGTGGCCGGACTTGCCCAGTTGCACTCCAGTTCGTCACTGGTCGCTTGTTACCCAGTTTTTCCTCAGAACGAATTTCATCGTATCTCAGCCTGCAAAGATTCCAGTCTGTATCCCAGTTCCGTGACTTGAAGAAACGCTGATTGAAATCACCCATTGTAAAGCAGTCCTCATCAATAAGGAAGTCCTCGAAAGTGCTGCTGCAAGGGCGCTCCAATTGAGTCATCGTCGTTTTCCATGTGCTCGTTGCTTTCCGAGAGTCTTTGCCACAGAATTTCCTGTCGACAACAATCATGTACATTCTTTGCCGCGTTTGCGGAAGACCATATAATTTTGTGTCGCATATAAGCCAGGAAGCTTCGTACCCAATTCCGCCCCACTTAACCTTGAGACTGTCCCAAAGTTGGTTGGTGGCCTTAACATTCTCGATAAGAATGACTTTTGGACGTCTCGTCTTCGCATAAGTGAAAATACCCAGGAATGTGTCGCCTGACTCTCCGCCAGCGTCAAGTGACTTCTTGTTGTTGTTAAGAGTCGATAAATCTTTACACACGAATCCAGCAATCAGGAAGTCGATGTCTCGAGGAATAGGAACCTTTGCGCCATAAATAGTGCTTGCAGTTTCGGCTTCCTCATTAATGAAATCGCAGACATCTCGAAAAATAATAGAGCCAGGAAAGTTTCTTGCAATATATGCTTGTTTAAAGCCTTCGATCTCAGCACTAAAGACATGCTCAACATTAAGAGGTTCTTGTCCTTGTAGTTCGAGAGCTTTCGAAATCAGCTGCAGGGCTATAATGGGAGCCTCCGTACCCGACAACATCGTGCCTACTCTGAGCTTGCGTCCAGCGAGACCTTTGAGCGAAGCACTTAACCCAAGATTCAATGCTTTCGACACCATATCGTCGAATATGCTGTCAACATCTGCAAGCGGTGGCAGACTCATATTAATACCTTTTTCATGCTTTGCTTTGCTCGATTTGGTTGCTGATGACGATTTGCCCTTGGACGACTTTCTCTGTGAAGAGTGGATCATGTTCTCTTCGACAGCAAGCTCATCACAAGATCTCTCCCCTTCACTAGGAGAACTTGCGCCATTGTCATCATCTGTAAGAACTTCTGGTTCAAATATAGAATCGCTAAGACTCGATTCGTCATGATCCGAAAATTCGAACTCGGAACCAGAAGATATCGAGAAACTCGCATCTTCCCAGTCAACAGCAGCTTCACTCGTTACCGATTCAACCTCAGAAGATACTGAAGTTGGAAGCCGAGTACTCATACCAACAAATCTAGCGCTCTTGGTAGTCTCATCGTGTCTTTCCGAACTGTCAAATGTTGTATTCTCCAAGGATAGTCCATTATCTGGCATGGAACTATCGTCGCTATCGCTGCTCAGATCTTGGATGACTGGTGGATTAGTAGAGCTGTCCGAAGATAACCACGATATGTCGTTCAAAGTAGCCCGCTTATGACTTCTGCTCTTGTATTTGTTACCACTCAGATCAACTACAGGTGAAGATCTCCGAGGCTGAGGTCGTTCGGTTTTAGGAGTGGACAGGTCAATGACAAGCGGAGCTGTCCGAGGCTGGGATGGTTCGATTTTAGGAGCAGTTAGGTCAACCACAGGTGAAGCTCTCCGATGCTGAGATGGTCCATTTGTAAGAATGGTCAGATCAACCACAGGCGGGGCTGTCCGAGGCTGGGATCGTTGTTTTTTGAGAGTAGTGCGCTTGTTAGAGTGGCGCTGCACTTTACCACCTGAGTTTGTGCCCCGATGATCACTGGGCCTGGTCCATTTGATACCCAGTCGTCGCCAAGCAGGAATGTAACGACCAGAACTGTCATAGAGTGCTTGAGAACTAACACTACGCGTTGTTTTCCTGGTAGGTGGGGTGGGGGCATGAATTGATGGCGGGCTTGAAGAAGGAGTGTCGGCACGAGGACGGCCTGCAATTCCGTCTGGTACAAGTCTTGATCTTTTGGCAGAAACATTAGAAGATGCTGGATTAGGTGATGTTAGCCTATGTACAAGACTTCGTAAAGTTGTGATAATACGTACTATGGCTATCCAGGGCGCCTCTTTTCCTCGCGTTCAGCGGCAAAGCATTCGAATGCACGGCATGTCCGCTTTGTGGGTGACCAACGCTTCCTAACCCTTGGGACAAGGACGAAGTGTTGTTTGTCGAACTCGGCACAATATTTCTTCGTGCTTCGCCATGCGGACGATTTCCTGAAGTTGTGGAAGTGGCACGTCCAGGGTTGGTCAGTCTTCTCCCACTGACGTCCATCTCAGTCGAAATAGTTGAGTGGAGGCATCGACTTAGAGAACAGCTAAACGGAGGGGCTATCTGATCAAGAGAAGATCTCGACGAAAAATCCAACAAGGTTACGAAGAAACTGAAGGAGGAGAGCGGTAGTAGAAGGATGAAGGCGAAAGTTGGAACGTAGAGACTAAAAGTGCCAAGAAAACATCCAGAGTAGACAAAAAGAGATAACCAATACTAAGAGCGAGGTTGTAGGTAAAAGAGAGGAGTCCAAGAGAGAGATGGGGGGTAGTAACTGGTGGTAGTAGTAGTAGTAGAGCACGAAGAGTGAGATCAGTGACGCTTCTTTTGAGGGCAAACGAACCGACAGGCTTAAGCTCCAAGCTTCTCGGCTAGACATAAGAAAACAACAACAAATGATAGAGTAAATGCAAACTCTATCATCATCAATCTGCTCCAAGGCTGGAAAACATCAATCATCGCGTCACTCGTAGCGCGGCGCCAGAAAGCGAGCGCACCAGTGCCTACATTGACACACGAGTTCTATGTAGACAGCCATCGCTGATACTTGCTCCTGCAGAATTACTATCGTGCTCCTCTTTGCAAATGTGGTTCTTCTCGTTTTCATTGCACCTAAATAGAAAGTATAAAACTGTCGCGTCACTCGCGGCGCGGCGCCTGTACGCGAGCACACCAGTACCTGGACTAGCAGACCAGGGCCATGTGCACTACCAAAGCTGAGGTCTGCTTGTGCACAATTGGTATCGTGCTAGTTATTTATATCATCTTCATTTGGAGTTAAGCCAAGATGTTGGAAGTACTTGAATCGCATTTATAACAGTGAGGTTATTTTTAGCGAAACAGCCACCCGGGTATACTTCCTCTTTAGGGCAAGCCACATATATTGAGTACGTACCTCTTCAACGTCTTCGATTGGTAATTCTAGTCGAGGCAGAATTGGCATTGGGGGTCATTGGCGAGGCACGACTTTATAAGGATCTCACGATAGTACTTCCTTTAAGATTTCCGGCTGCTTAAAGCTTGGGTGCCTTCCAGCGAATTTACACGATTAAACCCGCGATTCAAAGCAAACATTGAGCGGTGTGATTCACAGATATTAATCGTCTCTAGTTCTCAACTCAAGGCCACTTCTACCAAAGCACCAATTGCAAAAGACTGAACATGGTGGAATTAAAGAGTCTTCCTGTCCATACAGGGACGTCTTACGAAGACCACTCCGGCATCTCAACCGCCTCGTTCTCCAATCCATACGACGCCCTCATTGAAGCCTGCAGCAACGATGTCGTGAGTAAACCCCTTCCCCTACCAAAAGACCCAATATGATAACCAAAAACTCCAGACCCAAATCCAAAGCCGCTATGCAACCCACAGGGAGACTCGTAACACTCAACAAAAGTCCAAACTCCTCGCCAAAGATTTTCCCGGTGTCAACATCGACCCCATCCTCCTCCGTCTGGAGGACGCAACCGTCGAGCCAAACTTCGTGGACCCTCGTCATTGCCTCGTCTTCTGGGCCCGCCCAACTGAGAAGATCAAGGACATCATCCAGCACGTCCAGCAGGAGCTATTGACCGTTGCACCGAGTAAGAAACCCAAACTGCCATCCAACCCACCCCTTCAATCAGCCATGGATCCATCAACTAACGCCCTCCAGATCTCTGGCTAATGCCACGCCCAAACCTCCACATCACCGCCCTGGAAGTAACCCACTCCAAGCAAGCCCCGGAGATCTCCTCCCTCGTCACCTCCCTCACCTCCGCCATCCCCTCAATCGTAGACTACACCTACGCCCACCGCACGCGGCTAATCAAGCCCACCATCAGCTTCGACGCCTCGGCGCTAGCCCTCTCGTTCGTCCCCGCTGCGGGCGAGAAAGCGGCGTCGGATGCTAAGAATGATGATACGTATACGTATCACCATCTACGAAAGGATTTGTATGCGTTAGTGGAGAAGGCGGGCGTGCAGGTGGATTCGAGGTATGTGGTTCCGTCGAGCCATTTGACGATTGGGAGGTTCATCTACGGGAAGGACTTTGAGGGGGAGGATGGGAGGGTGGAGCATGAGAAGATTGAGGCGTTCATTAGCAAGATTGAGGAGGTTAATGAATGGTTGAGGAGGGAGTTTTGGCCGGAGGAGAATGGTGGGGAGGTTCCTGAGGGTGGGGATTGGATTGTGGGACAGGAGAAGGGGTTGGTGTGTCGTTATGGGTGAGTTCAGCCTGCATTGAGATTTGATGCAAACTAACAACTGTATAGGACGCTTTGGTATGGAGGGGGTCATACGGTCTCTGAGGGCAAAGGGTTCTGATGTGCTCAGGTCAAAAAAGGTGGAGTGGTGATAGAGATGGTGAAGTAATGTCGACCGATGGTAGATTAGACACGTTACACCTTGCACAACTAGTAGAGATAAGATGGTAATTGTGAAAGAGTTTTGTTTTTATTCCGGGAGTACTGCACATCACATGGGTCATTGGCACAGCTGCATGGTACCCTGTACGCCGAAATGCAATTCCCATTAACGCTGTTTGTTACGGGCATACATTGCATCGCATGTCTGCTTTTGAGAGAAGCGGCCTTGGCCATCGAGTATGCTTGGAGAGAAAAAAAAGACTCTTTTGCAGAATGTGACCCGGGACGTACATGAAAACATGACCGCATATGCCCACATAGAAAGGAGATGAGCGCCTCCTTTACCTTTAAGAAAGCCCACGCCAGTGTGTCATGCCGCCCATAATTTAAGCCTCCTCGGTCTCGCCGGCCAACTCGGCACGCTTCGTCTCCTTGCGCTCCAACCTCCTTTCCCTCGCGGCCTTGGTCTTCGCACGCTTGGCGTCCATCTCCTCCTTGAGAACCCTCTCGCGGGCCTTCTCGGCCTTGGCCTTGTGAATCTGATAGAGTGTCAGTCGACGAGCGGGGAATGGGGAAGTCATGATGTCATGGACAACGTACGTGCTCAACGAGCGCACGCTTGTGCTTGAAGGTGTTACCCTTGCTCAGGTGGTAGAGCTCGTGGTAGAGGTGCTTGTCGATCTTTCCGGCGGCACGGTACTTGACGAGAAGACGGCGGAGGACTCGGAGACGGCGCATCCAGAGGATTTGGCTATTGGCATCCCACATCAGCATTCGACTCCAAAACAGAATTTATTTCGACTTCCGTCGTTTCCGTTCCTCTCATTGTACTTCTGAGAATCCCGGATGGCTTGGGACTTCATACCTGGGCATACGAGCATCCTTGGTACCCTTCCTCTTACCGAAACCACGGTGACGGCCGATGCGGCGAGCGGCGGTGAGCTCCCGAGCGCGGGCACGCGAGTGCATGGTGACGGGCTTGCGGATGATGAGGCCATCGGAGACGAGCTTGCGGATGGTCTGGCGGGAGTTGGCGTTTGCGATCTCGTTGACCTCGTTGGGGTCGAGCCAGATCTTGCGCTTTCCGCAGCCGACAACGGAGGCCGCAAGGCGCTTCTGCGTGCGGAGGTTGACCCTAGAGAAGATTTCATGTCAGTATGAGAGTCGTCTGGAGGCTCATTTTCGACATCGTGAAAGGGAATGTGCAAAGAGGGGTTTTGCCACGCTGCTTCGTTCACTGGGTCGTCCTGGCGGTGCGAGGGCCTCCGCGAGTGATTCGAATTGCGTTGTCGACGAAGGCAGGAAGGATTTGAGGTCGTTATTCTTACATTTTGGATGAGTGGTCGGCTGTTTCGCTGGAGTGGTTAGTTGAAGGTTCCGGCGAGGTTGTATTTTCACAACGAAAATGGTGTGTCTTCACGGCCTCGCTAATCAGCTGCCAAGCGCGCCTTTCCGCCTTAGCACTAGCTCCGAACACAAACGCAAATCCCCGGACATTCTACGCACCTCAGCACCGTATGCAATTATGGAATTTTGTGCAATCTGAATAAACACACTGGAATAATATATTTCCCTCCGCTGTGAGTGTGAGTTTGAGTGAAAAGTTTGAGTTGTTGTGCAGGAAAAACAACTTCCGCACTGTGCGTCTATTCATTTCGACTCATTTTGGGTCAAAATGGATGTCATCATAGAGTCTCGTGACATTCTTTCTTTGTGTGGCAAGTAGACCGATAACAGACATCATCATCCAAATTAATATCAAAGTGTTCGATAAGTGAAAAAAACCATAATCATGATTTTGTATGTACTGTATATATCCAATTGGCTACCAAGCCTATGTTCTATTCAAGTTTTAGATCCTCCTCATTCAAAATGCCGTACAATTTTTCGATTTCCTGTCCGATAAGGGTGAGGTCATGTGCCAGTTGACCAGTGACCAAGGCTATCAACCAATCAGCATGCATGTAACTACAAAGGGGAATACTTCAACTCACCATAAGTGTAGAGCAACTCATAATCCTCGTCTTTCGTCAACGCAATGCCCGCCTCGGTTTTACGGAACTCATAGACCTTAGCTAGGAGTCGGTCTCTAGTGTGTTCAACGTTCGGTAGCACATCGTTAAGTGGATATGCCAATTTCATGGACGATGCCATCACTTTTCTGGGTCAGCGCTTGTAGTAATGCCGGGAATATTGTGACTCACCTGAAAACAAATGGCTAATTCGCCAACTCAGCTCCGTCCATTCCTTTTTAGTATATTTCAGAATCTCCTTTTCGCCCTCGGTCGCCTTTAGGTCTTTCAAGATGACCACATTCATTGCGTGGAAGCTATCAAGCATCCTAGCGGTGGCCTCCAAGATGACACGGAAGTTCTTCTCGGGGAATGGACCCCGCAGCTCGAATTCAGAACTGGCGGAATTGCATAGAGTATCCAGATGAGCCAGGAAATGACGCAACTCAAGCTCTTCACGGACGGAGCAGAAGGATGCAGGTGCTCGATTATCCTCGAGATTGCCCTTGAGTAGCTGCTTGAGAGGTCCGCGCTTCCAGATCAAACTCATCTTGAGCCAGAGCAAGGACGTCCCCTTCTTCACCTTGCGCCTTGCGGAGATGGGCCAGATGACTCGGGTCACAATGATACCCCAGATGCATCCAGTCATGACAGCCACCACTCTGTGGAGTACAATCTCCCATATCTCGGGTGAAATACCGCCCTCATCATCGTCGTCTTCTTCATCTCGGACCGATAGCGAGTAGGCATATAGCGCAGACAGGTTGTAGGTCAGCATGATGAAGCGTCCCATAGGACCTTTGCCCTTGCCGACGATGATGTAGAAACATTGAAGCGAGACGAGCCAGCCAAAGAAGCCCAGCACCCAAGGATTGTCATCCGAGGCGATCCATGCTATAATAGCGAAAACAGCACCAAGACATGTTCCGAAGAAACGCTGGAAGCCAGTGGTGTTGGAGGCACCAATCGTCATTGAGCACACCAACATGTAAGATAAAAGACCCCATTCACCCCGCCAATGGCCGTAGAAGTCTCGTGTAGATGGAATGAAAGCCCACATGGCGTACAAGACTGATCCAATGCCGACCTTCGCGGCATACTTGACATCGTCTCGTCGGAAGACACGGAATGCTTTCCAAATTTGATACTGCGTGGATATCTCGCCTCGTGGCTTTTGCGAGAGACTGTTCGTAGGCAAGAGCTCTGTGGGGAGGCGTTGGATGGGATTGTGTATTTCGTGTGAGTAGCTCTGCTCGGCCGTCTCGTCAACTAGACTGGTCTCCTCGGAATCATCGTTTGCCTTCTCTCTCTTCGAGGAGAACCAGCCTCGCCAGAATCGTAGCCAGTTCCAGCTCCTCTTCTTTGGGAAGCTATGAGCATTTTCCTTCAGCTCTTCAAGGACATCCAAAAATGTCACCATGTCTTCAGCGAAGTCCTGCAGAGAGGAACTAAAGTACCCGCAGCTGGCAGCAACCTCTTCGAAGTCAGCAACAACCTCGACTGAGCCCATCTTGTTAGAGAGCTTGTTCTTGTATACAGCGGCCAATGCTTCGGACCTTGCGCTGGCGAACAATGCATTGGCGTCGACCAGACTGTAACGGAAGTGTTCGTTAATGGCAATGAGATATTCAGGTCCAGGTCCAAACGGCAATTCCTCCAGAACCTCTCGTAGCGTATATGCTAGGGACTTCATAGGGGGCCCCAAGTGAGCAATGAAGATAGAAAACATGTCCGCAGCAGTCAAGTTCGAATGCAGACCATGTGGCATCGACATCGAGCGGCCCAATTCGGGCGTTTCAGATTCCGAGTTGTATCCTGACGATTCCGGGCGCTCATCAATGGAGGCGAGTATGCTGCTACGTCTCTCCAGAAGGCTTAGGCTCGGCGAGAGCATCGCCTCGGGGGTTTGGCTTTGACTTTCTGGAAATATGATAGAACTGGGCTTACTCAGGGTCGGTATGTCAAGACCCGAGGGAGTGCGCGTCGATTCGGATTGAGCGAGCAATGTGAATTGCGTCTCTGCGGCGCTTCGTAGACCACCAATACTCTGAACCAATTGTTCCAAGCACTTGACCAATCTTGCTTCGATCTTGTGTTGCTCTTCTGTCCCGAGAATGTAGTGTTCATATTTCGCCTCTCCCATATTCTTCACCAAGGTCTTAAACGCCGCCTTGCTCTGGCTAGATGCCTTCAAATACGCAGGGTCCTTCAAATCCTGTTCATACCCCGACAAAAAGCTTCGTGTAATCACCGTGAGCATCTCTGCCATAGCATCCGTAGCCTTAATGAAAGTATCCCGAAACTCGTTCCGCGCCGATTGCGGCCGGATGCATAGCGCGACCGCAGACGAAGCAATCGTTCCCATGATGACCATCTTCAACACCTGCCAGACTTTGTTGTACGAGAATTGGCCATTCTGCACCGCACCCTCCTTTGTCAAAACGGTGATGAGCGCTAGAGAAGCCAACGAACACGCGACGTTCACGAGGGGGTTCCCCAGCTTTTGTTTCGTCCATCCGATGAGTCCCAAGCCGCCTCCACAGAACACAATGAGCACAATGACGTGACCCAGGACGAGAAGATCCTTATGTCCCAGGACGGCGGACACGGCCATACTTGAGAACGACACCACAGCCGCATACACAAACGCAGCAAACGCAACCAAGATCGCCTCAGCCATGCTTCCGGCCGTCCGCGCGGGGTGGAAGTACACCGTAACGGTCGCGACCATGTGTTTCCCATCATTCCGACCCAGCAGCCCAGAAATCGGGGGCACGAACGTCGCCAGACTGCCCAGGATGTACGCGAGGGAGCACTTGAGGATGTTGATGCCGACGGGCGAGGTCGCGTACTTGTATCCGCGTCTTGCCTTGCTCTTGCAGTACTCTTTGCAGCGGTCGATCTTGCCCAGCTCGCGGTGGCGATTCGGATCGCTGTGGTTGCCTGGCGCGAGGAGGAATTCGGTCGATTCGCTGGATGAGGGGCGGGCTCGGCGGAGGGTGAAGGCTTTCTTGACTCGTTCGCCTGTCCTTGGAATGACCATTGTCGCTGTGCGGAGCTGTCATTGTGTCAGTATGGAGCTATGATGTCTTCGATGGAGAGCTTACACTGGGCCGCGCAAAGCGGCGCGAGCCCGACATTTGCGATGTCTCGCTCATGATGTCTGAGAGAGACGCCAATTACGTCCTGGCGAAGTGGAACGACATTGTAGTTGGGAAAGTCAGGAACAAAGCATATGTCGTCAATGTCGAAAAGCGATGGCCATCAATGAATATGGTTGACGCGCCAAGCCCTCACCAGCCACAATGTAGTCATCATGCAAATGTACGGGGAACATTGAGACGGGGCAATTGTTTCAAGGCCATACGTTGGTATAGAATTAGAAATAATCATGAAACGAAACTCATGCCGTTTTCTTCGCAATTGTATATCCCATCAATGTTGACGTTCGAATACGGTTGACCCATGTCGATGCAAATACGCGCCGTGATTGGACCAAAAGCGCTAGCGTACCTCTATCCACTCAAAGACCTGATTGCTTCACTTGTCAAGCTACCGTGACCTGACTCCACACTGCCCTATCACGACCTTGGACTGAACTTGAACTGAACCAGGACTTGGACTGACAAATCGAATTAGTAACAACAAATCCACATCATTGTGAATAGGCGCGTACGATGGAGGAAGATGACATCGCGGCCGCAATGGGCTTCTCCTCCTTCGGAGGCGCGAAGAAGCGCAAGTTCGACGCCACAATTTCACCCAAAGCGAAGCTGGAGGGAAGCGGCGCCAATTCTACCAAGCTGGGCGTGAGAACCACAGCCCAGTCGAGCGAGGGGCAGGATTCAGTCGAATCTAATCAACAAGACGGCACATCTGATGTGCTTCCAACAACCGAGACAGCACAAGCCAACCGGAAAGGAAAGCAGAGACAGCCGCCACCAGCAACAGGACTGGCAGATTTCCTCAACCGCGGCCAGAGTCTGCCAGACAAGCCAGCAGATGCGCCCGCACCTGCATCAGCGCACGACGGACAGGCCGCGAATGATCAGTCAGAGATGGTGTCGTTTGGTGGACCACCTATTTCGAAAGCCGAGTTGAGTGCCCTCAGGCGTGGTGTTGCGAATGAGGAAGGCGATGTTGCATATTTCCTACCAACCTTCATAGAAGATCCGTGGGAAAGACTTCAGAAAGCCTGAGGTCGATCAGTCTTGTGGACGCCAATGGCCAGCAACGACACTGACGCCAGTCCAGGCGAATCAAGAGCAACCATCTTTCTCCCTTATCTCAGCTTGAATGAATCAACTCAGCAATCCAAGGAGATCACTTCAGAGGCGTTTAATGATACCATGGTATCAAGATCACATTATGTAACAATACCTACAAAGATACAGATCCGAGATAGTTTCTCGTCCCCATCAGTAGCCTAAATCTAATAAAAAATGAAACATACTCATAACACTCCAAATCAAACAACAAGACAAGTCCTCAGTACAATCAAAGCCGTATGATAACATTAAAAACATGTCACATGTCCAGAAAGATCTAATTAAACATTACAACGCAAATGCACTATTTAACATCCACACATCACCTAGTCCACCAACCACACAGACTTCAAAACACCTAGATCTAGGCCAGATGTAACAATTCATCTTTACACACACCCATCTCGTTATTGTGGGGAACGACAGTAACTTATGTGTATCATTGGATGAATATATGACGCCTAATTATCTAAACCACCGAGCATTCACTCCACCACCAGCAGCCCACTCCCTCACCATCCATCGAAACACATTACACCACCCAAGATCCCACAAAACCAAACATAATCCCCCATTCACAAGGACCCAATTCGTTCCAAAACCCCTTACTCCCCCTCAGCACTCGCACATACACGCATCACAAACCATCACAAGCAGGAGGAAAAAGCAAACGCAGCCAACGCACACCAGTCGACGCCATCCTGCATGACAAACCCAGCAAACCCCAGCGGCCCGACCCGCCGGCGTCAACTTAGGCGCGCGGCGTCCGCGTCTATCTGAGCCTTGCAAGCTATGTGGGGACGGACGATTGGAGTGAGGGTAAAGCGGCGAGACGCTGAGGGTAAGGGGTGGGGGGATCCGGGGACGTGGACTTGGGTTTTGGGTAGGGCTGGGGATGGGGGAGTGGGTTAGGGTTGGATTGTGAGCATGCGGGAGCGTTTTTTGGTCCCTTTGTGGTGGGGAGGGGCGGTTTGGGGGTTGGATTCTGGGGGGTGTGGGATTGAGGGAGAAGAGAGGAGAGATTGTGGTGGGTTAGCTGGCGGGATATCGCGAGTGAAGTGGAAATAAGGTTGCATTGATACTGTGAATATAGAGAAACACACCGCCGCCCCTGAGCGCTAATGATGATTTCGGCAATATTGAAATGGAAGAGACAAGGATGAATGGGAAGGTAATGGCTGTATGTCGAACTTCGATTGTCATCGTATAAACATAAAATGGGGTTTGTCATCAACAAGTGTGGAAAATTTTGGTTCTCGAGAATTCGTAAAAGACCGGGGTATTTCGTCAGAAGAGAAAAGAGAAAACAAAGGATGAAGAATTGAAGAGGGGAAGTTAGTAGTCGACGGGGGCGGGATATCGTCGCTGAGCAGACTTGTATTGGTCGGGATATTTGCGTGCAGCCCGTTCGTTCAGCGCACTACAATCGTACATTCGTCAGTAAAAGGTCGAAGACAACCTTTAGTTCGGCGAGAGAAACAGCTGAGAAACTTACTCTACTCGCTTCTGCGTCCATTGGAGATCCTTCTGCACGTCTTTCGCGGCCCGCATGCCGTCTGCAAAATTTGACCTCACACCGGCCAATCGTCGCTGTGCAAGGGCCTGGAGTTCGAGGAGTTCGCGGTGCTTCGCGTTGAGTTCGCCGGAACTGTCTTGGCTGTCAGTTTTCTTATTCCACAGTTGTGCTGGAATCTGCAGAGTGGCGCCGCGAATTCGAGAATTTCACTTACGTCTGCGCCTGCTTCGCAAGGCTGCGATCCAACGGGACTGGGTCGAGTGCTCCGTTCAGGCGATTGCCCATGTATTCCATAAGATCAACTCCCGTGGTCGAGGCACTGGAGTCGTAGTCGCTTGCGCTGGCGGCATAGCTGCTGGATGTCGCAGATGGCTCGTAGGACGCAACACCAGAAGTGGTTACGCTTTCAGGAGCTTCTGGCGGAGAGACAGAGACTCTTACGTAGCCAGCGTAGCCATGGTACGGGGGATTTGGGTAGTAGCCAGGCTTCTGTGGCATGTTGATGGGCAGGGAAGCCGAGGGATGTGTGGGGTAGTAGGCGTGTGTTGCAGACATGATGACGAGGTGAGGGTATGAATTGGAGAAGGTGGTAAGTATGAGAGTGATGACAGAAAAGTTAAATCACAGTGTGATCTGAGAGAGTACAGAGTGATAAGAGGTGGTATCAGTGACTGATCAATGACTGGTGAGGGCTTGGGCCAACTTGGAAGCAAACAACGGCAAATAGGGGATATCAAGCCAAGTGAAGAATTTGCTATTGAAGTGGAGTGGAGGAAAAGGATTCAGAAAGAAGATTCATCTTCAACCCTCTTCGAAGGGCCTTTTATACCTCAGTCGGCAGGCATGGGGGGTATCATTCTGGATGGGGGGCATGGCATTGACCCCATTCATCCCGCAGTCTTGCTTGAAAGTCCCCGCTCTAGCAATGAAGGAGGTGCATGACCGAATGTCCAGTGAGACCAAATCCCGCCTGAACCGAGCCTAGAAAGCATCGTTAGTCTGGGCTGGAGGGGATTCCTTAGACTGTAGGCCCCAGTCGATCCAAGCTGTCGATGGCGATAGCCATGGCGATGGACCATTGCGGGATCGTAGGAGTTGGCCGAGGGCTGGCCCATTGGTCCAGTGGCAATGGCCCCTAGCGGATATGAATTGCAAGATTAGGCGTTTGTATGCGAAGAAAAAAGCGGCCGGAAGAGAATTGGCGTTGCATTACTGTGGGAATGGAGGGTAGGCAACGAGCACCGGGCATCATTTGCAGCAAAGAACGAGGTAGATTAGAGAGCAACAGACGAACGAACGAACGATGAACTGACCAACGGCGAGCATGGAGAGCAAAAGCTAAGGGCGGCGAGGCATGGTAAGCGCAGCAGACGCGAAGGGCCGGTGGGAAGGCCAAAAGCAGCGAGGGCAGAGCAGTAGGTGCATGGGTAGTATGGCTGATGGGCATGCTAGGTGTTGTCAAAGTTGATGCGTTGGCTCGACAGCACGCCAACGCCTTTGGAGCAGGCAATCTGGAGGAGGCAGGCGAAAGAGGATGACAGCGGGGCCTAGGGCCTGCATAACCCGCGGCGGCAGATTATGGTAAAAGAAACAGCGAATTGAAATTGCAGATTGTGCAGATTGCAGGAAGGACAACGTTGATAGACATGGCATGGCATGGCATAGCATAGCATGGCATAGGACCTGGCTGGCATTGCATTGCATGCAAGACGGATGATGAAGAGTTGATGTCTAGTAGCAAGTGACCGGGGGGGCGTAGCCAGCCAGGCAGCCAGGCAGATGGATGGAAACGCAGAGAACAGACAGACGAGCAGACGGACAAGGCGATAGCGATGATGACAGAGACAGAGCGACGGAGCCGAGATGGATGCTGTAGCGTGCAATAGCGTTTTGAAGTTGTTGAATCATTGGCTGGGTACCTTGATAGTGCGAGCGAACTGTGTAAACCTCATCAGGTGGGCTGGGATAGCGTTACGAGATGTGCGAGGGGTAGATGGCATTTTCGTGGAGGATACGAAGTACCGGAAGTTGGATTATTTCATATATCAGACGACATCTGGAATCATTGAATGGATCAATAGATGAGACATATGGCAAGAGGATCACATAGTGGGGATGAACAATTGAATTGGGTGAAGAGTAATAATTATGAGTGGTAGTGGATGGGAGTTGAGGTTGAATGGATGGAAGGGTGGAAGGTGGAAGGTGGAAGGTGGAACGGCTTCGGGCCGAGCCAAACCATTCTCCATCCACCCACCACCCTTCACCCATCAATCCCAACTACCTAACACAACGACTAAACCTCCTTTGGGAATACTTCCTTATACTGTATAGACAATGTATCTTAACAAAATACTTCATGCCGATCCATACATGTAAAGTACAATCTCGTGATGTTCTTTCCAGAATCCCCATCATCGTCATTTTCCCATTACCCCTCGCTTTGCACCCTGCGTCATCAACACCTCCATTCCACCATCCATATCATCTCCCCAAGACCTGGGCTTCAACTCCCCTTACGAGGCGACTTTCTAGAGTGAAGAAAAAAAGCCACACTCTCCCCTCGACCATTCCCCTCATTGGATCCATCGCTATGAACACAGCATCCTCGCCTTGGCGTTTGATACCCTATTCCTGGGGTCCGCGTTTGATGCCCTACGACATCCTCCCATCCCTGTCAGACCCTCGCAGCCATTCGTACCACCCACTCCATCCGACGTTTCTCTCGCAATTGCATTTGTCTGGAGCAAAAGGTAACCGTTCATGACTGCATGCTAGCCGTAGCCGCATTCTTTTCCCACCCTCCCCAATACCCAATACCCAATAGCGCTAGCGGTGAGAAATAGATACTCTCGGACGTAGAGAACACCCATCAGTCGTTCCACCCTTACCGGACATCAGGTTTACCCTTTTCTCAGCTTCCTATTCTTGACATGGGATTCTCGTGGATTGAGAGAATCAAATGCTGTCACACCAAATGTGCTGCTACTGCTGCTGCTGCTGCTGATGCTACTTGCATATACTCTATTGCCGTGTGAATTCTTCAGCTTGGGCGCCTGGTGTGCCTGTCTCCGGATGCATGAACACTCCCCTCCGATGGCAGTCTACCTTGGACCCTCCACAGCTATCATGCTGATCAAACGGCAGCGGCGGTGGCGGCTGCTTCGTGGTGGAAGTGTCATGCGTTGATGGCGTTGCTTGACTCCCTATCCCTAACCCATCATTCACATTACTACGAGGTACCTACCTACAATCCAACGTCCTAAACATCAAACAAACAAGCACCACGAGCAACAAACACACCCACGCGCTCACAGCCCGTTCCCAACGTCAATCACACCAACCCACCCGTTCACAAACCTCCCCCTCGGCTCCACCCACCCCTCCACCTAGTCGTCCGCGTAAGAAAAAAGTGCATGCGTGCGATGTGAACGTGAGATACTTCGTACGCAGTAAAGCCAAACATCGCGCCCAACGACCCGTTAGCGCCACGCAGCGCATTACACACGCAACGCGGCCCCTGTTCTCCACCCCGTCACCGTCGTACAGAGAAAGTAGTTACATGCAAAGTACAAAGGCCCAACTAAGACGAGACGAGACGAGACGAAGCGAAACGAAGCGAGACGAGGACGATTGACGCGGAGGCTAAACTACCCGAATGGTGGGTGGTACGTAGGAAATGTGGTATGGCTTGGCGGGGCGGTAAGTTGTGTGGTGTAGTGTAGGTGTTTTTGGTGATGATTATGTCTACGTTTGTCCTTTCTTATTTTATGTGGATATTTTAAGGGAGGTTGATGTACGGAGTATGTTTCTTTGTGGGGGAAAGAGAGAAGAGAAGGGTATGGTTGTGGGACTCGGAATAGATATGGATCCGAAATAGATACTCACGAGGTGTTGCGTATATGCATGCGATGGAGTAAGGGAGGGAAAGGGAAAGGGAAAGACGAAGTCTACTTTACACTGCTGCATTAACGCAGGGGATCGGAGCACTCGCGTGCCTACCTAGGTACTTACCTGCATATGTATCATCTATGTTACCATGTATCTATTCCGTGACCGTACATTGGAAGATTGATTCCAAAATAAAGAGACAAATGATCTCCGTTGTGTATGTGAACACAACATCGTGCTTCCAGTACACTGGAACAGCCGCACTTTTCGAATAATCACACGAGATGTTAAGACACTAGTAGTCAGATAGGGAGCACAGCGCACTAAACAGCTTTAAAACGCTGTGTAGAAATCGTTTCTTTTCGTACTACTTCGATTGAAAATCTATTCCATATGGTCACGGCCATCGTTTGGTTACAACTCCCCCATCGCCCTCACCTCACCTCACACACTTCCCCACGCAGCTGACACGGAACCAATCGAGCACAAATCCCTGGTCCCCTCGGGCTCCCGACTCTTTGGTCCCGAGTCTTGTGCTCGGCATGGCGTGGCATGGCATCGATCATAGATGCCTGTTGGCCGCGATCTGGCTCGAAATGACCCTTGCGAAGCGACCTGGCACATCGGTGTCCTGCTTTGCCGTCTCAATACCTGTCAAGATCTTCTTGATGCCGACGCCCACTTCCTCGCCTGCATATCTTCTGATCTCCTCGAGGCTGCCCGCGATATCCTGATCTGAGAACGCGCCGGATTCAGTCAAGACTTTCCTAAGCTCATCCTGCGTGTTGACGTTCGGCACCGCAATGTCGGCATCGAAGCGGCTGAAAAGATCTAGCTGCGTGAGCACCGTACGCTCGGTAGTCGTCGCGAGGACGAGTAGTTTGCGGCCCTAATAAGTCACAATACCGTCAGCACATTCCCTTTCTCACATCGCGCCGCCGGGGGCCCTGTCTCATTACTCACCTTGGGAGGTGCCTTCGCAAGGAGGACCTTCAGTGCCACAAGCACCGTGTTGCTAAAACGGGGCCCAATGGGTACCCAATCAACGAGTAGCTCGATATTGTCGATTAGGATAACGCTGAGCGGGCTCTTGTACGCGTCTCGGAATGTCTTGTCAAGCTGCTGTACCTTTTGCATCTCGCTAAACCCGACCATGTCTTCGGGTGACACCAGTTTGATGAAAGGATATTCTGAGTTCATCGCTATGTCCGCTGCCAGCGCCGTCTTCCCGCTTCCAGGTGGGCCATGCAGGGCCACTGACAGGATTGGCGTCGAATCTGGTTTCCGCACTTGATTCACAAACAGCTTGCCCTCGTTGAGGATCTCTTCAATGTAGTCAGAGTATCTTATGATGCCACCCCGGATGCACTTGCCGAGCTCTTCTTCGGCAACGCCGAACAGTGGCTTGACCTCCTCGAGAGCCTGCAGGAAATCCGCCCGATTGACCTTCATGTTCTCGACGTCGGGGTTGATTGCTGCCATCGTTCCGACCTTGATATGTCGGCTAAAGGCAAAAGACGATGCTGCCTTTACAAGACCGTTGATCTCGGCACCAGAAAAGTTCTTGGTCAATTTTGCCAACTCGGGAATGTTGACATCATTATCTATCACTCCATTCTTCTTCATCTTTGTGGTGTGAATGTTGAGAATCTGGGCTCGGCCATGTTCGTCAGGTAGACTGATTTCCATGTGCACCTCCAGACGGCCAGCTCTGAGGAGGGCCTCATCGATCATATCCATTCGATTCGTCATACCAATGAGCAGGATGTTGTTAAGCTGGTCTACACCATCCAGCTTGGAAAGCAACTGGTTGACCACACTGTCGCCAACACCGGTGCCGCCACCACTGCTTCCTCGCTGCTTGCAAACAGCATCTAATTCGTCGAAAATGATGATGTGTAGTCCACTCTCATCGCCCTTCTCCTTATATTCCTTCTCTGCATCTGCGAATAGCTTTCGAATATTCTCTTCGGACTGGCCGACATATTTATTAAGAACTTCAGGGCCGTTGATAACTTTGGGCTCTCTGGCGTTCAACATCTTTCCAATCTGGCGAGCGATCAAGGTCTTTCCGGTTCCTGGTGGGCCGTACAATAGAATACCGCGGACGTGCTGAATACCAAGCTTGTCCACCAAGCCAGGGGGGAAGATACGAGAGGCAAATGCTCTTCGAAAAATGGCGCTGAACTCGGTATCAAGTCCTCCAATGCCCATGTCCTCAAACTTGAAACCTGGCTGTACGATAGAGTTAGCTGCAGGCCGCCTGTTGGACGCCTTTAGCTTAATCTCAGAACGTGCATCTTTGAAGAAGTCGATCTGGGTCTCATTCGTCAGAATACCTCGAGCCTCGGGATGTGTTGTAGGAGTGGCTGAATCTGTGTCCGGCTTCTCTCCAAGATTGACAAGTTGTACTGTGCGTATCACTAGACGCAGATAAAAGCTGCGAATGTCCATGATAAGCTGCTGTCCAGGAGCAAGAATCTGATTCTGGAAGTTCTTCTTGAACTGTGCGGCAAGCTCATCCTGATCGTACGGGGTGTCAGTTGTCTTCTTTCCAATGAAACCCACTTCCACCTCTATAGATCCTAGATAGGTCTGTCCACCCTGGCTAAAAGCGTCATATGGTTCCACATTCACGATATCTTGCGGGCCTAGAGTGATTCCGGCCCAAGTTCGCTGGGTATCCGTGAGCCCGATCTCGCCTGGATGACAGCTCTCTGTAGGTCGAGCGGACAGTACGTATCGGCCGTTCACAACTACGTAGATATCGGAGCCATCGCGGGACGGGGGAAGGTCATGGGGAGAAACGGCGACCCTACGAACGGTTAGTCTGATACTTGCTCGAACAGAACCGAGGGTACAAATGCCTTACAGGTTGCCGAATATGTATGCGTTTCCACCAGGACTCTTGACTGGCCTCAACGAAATGCGTGGTCCTCCTCCACCACCTCCCCTACCAGGCGGAGGACCCCGGGAAGGCACTTGTTGACCATAGCCCGGCGCAGGTGAATCTGAGTATCCTGTCATTCTAGTGTCGTATCCTCCTCGCTGTTGCGGTGGTGGTGGCTGTTGCTGCGTTGGCGGTCGACCGTATCCGTCGCCGCGCTGAGGAGGACGGGGTGAACTGCCGGGAAGGCCGGGAACTCGGTCTCTATTGAACATGTTGAATAGGATTGACGAAGACTCGGTGTAATCTAGGTAGAGAAGCTCTTAAATCCAAAATCGAAGCTGCCACGTAGTAGATGTAGCAGAAGGCAGCAGCCGAATGCCCCACTAAGCTCTTGTCTTTGGTTCTTGATCCTAGCGTGAGACAAGAAGTCGTCGTAATGCAGCAACGGATCTTGCAATAAATTTGGCTGGTATGGTGTATGCTCCTGGTCTGTAAGAACTCGAGCTGAGTCTGCGATTGCGGGATGGTCGCCGGAGGTCGTTACGATAGCCCAAGAAGAATATGCAACGACGGCGCAATTGGGAGAGATCTAAAGTCGTGAATGAGAAAGTAAGTCTCAGATAAACGCGTTCTATGAGAATATAAATCCCAGATATGTAAAGAACAACAGTAAGAGGTATAGTTATATGATGTGAGGTTGTATCTGTTCCAGAGCTGTTTCGGCGATGGACGCCGCACAGACCATTTGCCATTCGTAACTGCTCCGTGGCGCGGGGACATCTCCACAGTAGCTCCTCTACCCTACCATTACAGACAGGGCTTTCGACCTGGAGAACGAATTCTGTGAAAAATCACTCTCTTACATCACTTTCAAGCAGATTTTTAAAATTATGGATTTGAAGTTCTTGATTCATGCTAGATAGGTATGGAATTTGGAGCGCTTAATAATGCCTTTATTGTGAGTAAGAAAATAAAGCAGTTCCCCCATATGCTTTCTACGCTGTTGCAAGGTATCCACTGCCTTGACCCTAAAATAAGAAAATGTGTGGCGAGATGCGCCAGTTCCTGAAAATTATTTGGGTATCATTGGAGACCCTTGAACGCCTAACTGATGAATTCGATGAATTGGAAGAAAATGAGACCGACCCATGACTCCTGCTCTGACAGCACGAAATGCGTGCTGATCAAATCTGCCAATGGTGAGTATATAATGTTGCTATTGATTGTGTTCAAACTTACTAGCTTGAGTTGTGCGCGATGGACATTGCGAGTGAAGTTGAGCATCGCCCGGCTCTTGTTGTTCCCGCGCTGCAAGCGTCGGTATGCCTCTTGCACATGGGATGGTTGAACTGGCTCCCTGGCCTCCTCTGGTGGGTCGAATAGGCCACGCTCGCGCTTGCGCTTATTGCTCTGCGGCTCGCCTCCTGTATTCTTCTTGTACAGGTCCTCAGCATCTTTGACCTTGAGCGCCTCTTCGGTAAGAGTCTGGACGATTTCGAAGGTCAGGAATCCAAGGATGTCGATGATATCATCGCTAGGCTTCGAGTCCGTAATGAGACCGAACCCAGCCCACTCCTTGAAACGCTTACCCTTCCTATATGTGAAGGATGCTTGACGGCAGTCAGACCAGTGCACGTATTCTTCTCGGGTCATGTTTTTGGTGCGCTCGTCGGCATTCTTGAGGCGCTGGAGGGTTGCAAAGTTCATCTCTTCCTCCTCTTCATCCTCAACATCGTCAAGCTGAGGAGGGTTCTCGCTGAAGAATGACTGGACTTCCCAGACGAGGTCGACCTTGGCCCTCTTCGCCTTCTTTCCTGCTTCCGGGCCAGGACCGCTGCCGGCACCAACAACGCCCGCGGCAAGATCTGCGTCTCCAGCAGCTACATCCGCGCCTGCATCACCACCCTTGTCATCTGAGTCCTTGACTGAACGGCGGACATCTTTCCACTGAAGGAAATGACGAAGGCGAGAGATTTTAGCTCGATCGTGTCTAATCAGCATCATGAGATCATCGGTCGAGATAGATCGTGAACCACGACGAGTAGCGAGGTTGGTGCATTCTCTCAACATATGTTGAACCTGATCTTGGACAATAGACTCGATGAGAGTAGTTGTTTCTGCTGATGGCTCCCCCGTCTCTCCCGAGACAAACATCATCTGTATGAGATCGGTTAGCGAGCAGCCATGAGTGTTGATGATCGTTGATTCTCTGGAGATAGGGCCCATGATGTCAAAGCAGACAATATGGACTAAATGGATAATGATACTGTTGGAAGGAATAGATAAAAATCGCAGGAGTGGGGTATGGTGAGTCCAGCGCCTGAAAACGAAGCTTTGATCGTATAACGATGAAGCGGAGGGGAGTTCATATAGCAGGTAGAGCCGGGTCCACCAGGCGACCTAATAGTGAGAGATCGAAGTTGGAATGAATCCAATACTTGAGATCGAAGTGAAGGAGGGCAGTTCAAGAAGACAGAGCAAATATAAGAAGGATTCGTGAAGGCATATAGCTTCCAGCTAGGGCTTTTCCGAAGTGAAGTTGACGAAAGCAACCGGTACACAAAAAGGAATTACTCGCAGAACCGAGATTATAGAAATATACAAGGTGCATGGGAAAGTCATGTGTAAATTTTCGAAATCTGAAGAAAAGGAAAAGCAGCTCGTGGAACTCACCTGTTGGATCTCCGTCCGGTACTTCGCCAACTTGTCCTTGTCAGCCATGATGTCGACTTTGCGCTTCTAATGAGTCTCGAAAAGTCAGATGAAGTAATTTCTAGTAACAGGTTTTGATGCGGAAAAGTATCGTAGGGATGAGATGTCGATGTTGTGGGTAGGACAAGGTTGAACTGTGAACGCACTTGCGAGGAGGTGTAAGTTGCGGTCTCGAATTCGGTCTAGGGTGACGAGACGGGAAAGCTTGGCTCAGCCCTACCGTTCACCCCGCGCCCACTAAAAAGTTTGGGAGGCCTTCAATTCACATCAACGTCTCGTTCACACTCCAGCAATTCGTTTGGACCGGCATCACGCGTGCACACTATAATCCAGAATGTTGTACCTTGTGGGCCTCGGATTGGCCGACGAAAGGGACATTACGGTCAAGGGTCTCGAAATCGTTAAGAAGGCGGAGCGCGTTTACCTCGAAGCCTACACTGCTATTCTTCTCGTGGAGAAGGAGTCACTGGTGAGCCGCATACTTCATGGGCAGACTTCATGTGCGCAGCTAATTGCCGTCTAGTAGGAAGCATTCTATGGCCGCCCTGTTGTAATTGCCGACCGTGAGATGGTCGAATCATCGAGTGACGATATCCTCAAAGATGCCGACAAAGTTGACGTCGCATTCTTGGTCGTTGGTGATCCATTCGGGTATGCACAAATCTTTATTGGACTCTCAAATTCCTACTAACAAACGTCTCAGTGCTACAACACATACCGACCTCGTCCTCCGAGCGCGGGAGCTATCCATCCCAACACGATCGATCCCCAACGCCAGCATCCTGACCTCCATCGGCGCCACCGGCCTCCAGCTCTACAATTTCGGGCAGACCGTCTCCATGGTATTCTTCTTGGATAACTGGAAGCCTGCCTCTTTCTACGATCGCATCAAGGAGAATGTATCAATTGGCCTGCACACACTCGTCCTATTGGACATCAAGGTCAAGGAACAGAGTTTGGAAAACATGGCTCGCGGACGCAAGATCTATGAGCCTCCGCGGTACATGACGGTAGCTCAGTGCGCACAGCAGATGATTGAGATCGAGGAGGATGTGAAGAAGGAGGGCGTATATACCAAGGACAGCCTGGCTGTCGGTGTTGCGCGAATTGGCGCCGAGGACCAGACGATCGTTGCAGGAACTCTCGCACAATTGTGTGATGCTGACCTCGGTCGGCCGCTGCACAGTCTTGTTCTCCTTGGAAAACGAACACACGACCTTGAGTTGGAATACCTTGAGGAGTACGCCGTGGACAAAGAGGGCTTCAAGGCAATCTGGAAAAGAGACTATGGTAGCGCATAAGGAATGATGGAATAGAAAAGCAATATGATATCATTGGTTTTTGTGCAGTCTTTAACTCAATGATATGATCATGTACTGACTTCTAAGCTATACAATCTCGATAAATAGACATTAGTTCCTCTGCAGCCTTCTAATTTTCATTGCCCAAGACCAATAACGCTGCATACTATAAACACCTGCGCGGAATAATAAGCTCTCCTGTGAAACGGGGTGCCAAAAGTAGTAAACACCAAAGAAAAATTACCTCCCAAGACCGAACCCAAGCCCTCCGAAAACATCACCCTGCCACCCGGTCCCATTGTCTAGCATTCCACTCCCGATGCCCGCCGTCACCAGGCTATCAAAGCTACCCCAGCTCGTCAAATCAGCCATGATGCTACTATTCGGCAGGAAATTGTTCGAGAAGATTGCGCTTTCGGGCGTTGGCATCCCATTGTAGAAGTTTCCAGGGAATGGCGCCTCCGTATCGCTCTGGGGAGTTGAAGATGTAACATTCAGGGCCGACTGGGCTTGTGGGATCGTTGGGTCGTCGAGACGGGTTGCTGTTGCTAGGGAGGGAGAGTCGGTGATGTTGCCGTTGGTGGGAGCAGCGGGACGAGATGATGAACTCGTGCGGCGTGCGGCTTCGATGCGGAGTTCTTCTAGGACGAGGCAGTATCTTTGACTGAGAGTGTCGGACTCGCTAATTGCGTTGAGTTGTGCTTGGCAGCGTTGGCCTGCGGTGAAGAAGCCTTCGCATTTTCCTGGCTCGACGAGGTGTTGTTGGATGCGGTATATGTAGAGGACGACTACGGCGCAGAAAGCGTAGTATTGGGTGAACCAGAAGGCACGGAAGAATTGAGAAGATGAGGACATCTCGTCAATGATGTTTACAATGCCCATGGCTGCATCGAGGCATTCCCGGATGTTTTGAGATGTCTCGACACTGAGAGGCTGAGGTGGGTTTGTGGTACTATGGGAGAGCGCGGCGAAGTTACTGAGTAGGAAAGGTCGCTGGATGAGTAAGACTGCATGGTAGTATGCGAGATTGAGAACTCGTCGTTGTCGAGAATACAAAGGGATCACGAGGTTGGAATCGATGCTCTCGCTGACGAAAAACGGCGTCAGATTTGCTCGCCATTCTCGGAGATCTTTCGAGTATTTTGCGGATAATTCAATCCTAAAGGCTGTGGACGGGGGATGGATAGCGTAAAGATCGCGAAGGATGAGAGAGACAATTTTGGACAATTTGAAGTGCTCAACCGGGGCTCTCATCAACGATTGCGCTCGTGGTGGCGCTGGACTGATGGAATTCCGGTGGAGATCATTGTCATTAACAACTGTGGGTAGTTCCTAAGGACAGTTAGTCTTTATCCGTTACTTTTAGACGGATGTATTCGGACTACTCACCTGATCTATATCCTCGTCCTTGAATGTTCGTGGTCGGCCCAAAGCAGCCGCTAAGTACTTGTCAAGGGTATATGCACACCAGAACAGTCTTCTGCGGCATTCTAGTTCAACATAGTCTACCTTTGCCGAACTATCGGTCCTTCGCCCACGGTTCAACCCAATTGCGAAAGCTAAATGGGCCAATGTCCCGAACAGGCTCCATGCATGGTTAATGCGTGACTGCGTGAGGAGATAGAAGCATTGGCCAAGTCGAGCCTGAACACTCGCAAGGCGTACTGCACCACGCTCTTTGGATAATTGATGCTCAGCAGCATAGTAGTATCGAGCACTATTAGTTGTCAGAAGATGAATTAAATATCTCTAGAAGTTCTGATACTGACCCATTATCTTGTAGGGGGTCATCCGGAGGCGCGTAAGCTTGTGCCTGGGCGAAGACGATGAACAGGAGCGCCGATTTCGCGGGAGCATCTTCTTTGTTGAGCATCTCCCCTTGGGTCCTATAGAACTCATCAAGGATATTCTCTATCGAAGGCCGATGTAGGAACCTGTGTGTTGGGGCTGCGAAATCGAAATACCGTTCCACCAATTGCTGGCCGGTGGTCTTTGAAGGGAGGATGAAGAAAGTTGGATCACAATTCGGTAGAGGTGCATCGCCAAATGTGAAGATGGATGAATCATGTGAGACTGAACTGTTCTTATGTAAAGTCTTCTGTATTCGAAGTAGAAATGATGCACCGGATGCTGGACCGATGTAATGGCCTTGTTGATCTGTCTGCGTAGGCTCCGGAGACGTTCTTGACTGTGGTTCATTGGCCGTGGTTTCTTGAACGGCGAGTCTGTCTGTGCTGTCGTACACATCGGTCGACACACGACGGTCAACAATTGATGGAGGTCCTGACTCCGACGCCTTTGGAAATTGGAATGACATGGCCGATGTATCAAGCATACTTGTGCTTTCTGCAGGTGAGGCTTGTGTCGTGGTGATCCTAGGTCGTGCATTTGCAGCAAGAGCGGCTTCATCAACAACCACAGAGGGTAACCTGCCCCTGGTGTAGGAAGCTGTGAATTCGCATGGCAAACCGGCCCTTATACACAATGGACATGGACATCGCCCTGTGCACCTAGTCTTTTTCCTACATGCCGGTTACTAAGCTCTTTGAGAGGACATACTGGCCATCATGGTTTGACAAACACCACCAATGTAACGCGATTGGATTGTAATCCATATCATTCGACATACTTTTTACATCTATCGCAAGCTCTGCTAACCCGACTTCGCTCCCGATCTTCCTTCCGACGCTTGGCCGGCGGAGTATGTTGGTCGCTTGAGGTAGCTTCCAATGGACTTCCATGCTGACCTGGAGATGGGTTCCCTGTGACATGTACCCATTCCGTGGACGGTCGAGGATTCTGAGAGTCCTCCATGGCTCATCGAAGGCGGCTTCGATGGATTGTTGGACGATTAATAAGTGAATAGCCTTACAGTCATACCCCGGAAAAGTTCTGCTGCTAAAGAGCACGTAACTTGGCACGTGCACGGAGGAAGGAACACCCACCAGTAGTAACTACCTCGGATAAGTATTTGGATCCCCAATCGGGTAAGCGGATAATTCGAACATTCATCGAATTGCATTTCATCTACCTAAACTTCTCGTCTCATAGCACTTATAATGGTGATCAATTCAAATCTGCCCATCCCTAGGTTGAATCTCCAGGTATGAACATCGTGGCATGATTCACAGAGATCGCTCTTATGCCTTCCATGCATCCTCCACGTACTTCAACCCATCTCTCAACCATGGGACTTCCTCCTCGCGGAGATTCCCATCAAAGCCATGGTTCTCACCTTCAACCTCTTGCAATTTGATCTTTTCAGCTTCTCCCTGATCTAGGAATTCTTTCGCCTTCTTCACAAACGCCCTAATATCGTTGACGCTGACGGCAGTATCCTTCGTTCCGTGGAAAATGAAAGTTGGAGGAAATTTCTTCGCCTTCTCGATTGCATTGATCGGCCAAAGGGCCTCGTTCTCTAGGCCAAAGTACTGTCTGTACTTGTCATGAATCGAAAGTGCATGGACGATGGGCATCTTCTCCGGCGGAAACGCAGAGGTGACGACCGCCCCGGGTTCAAGACTTTTCAAGTACTCGTCGATGACTTCCGGACCAGGTGGATCTGTGTCCTTGAATTCATCGCTAACATCCAGGTTCAGCTCTCTTGTCATCGGGTATTGCGCAAGGACAGACTTGATCCTTCCCTCGGGCAATCTCAAGGCGGACGACAGTGCCATGAAACCTCCTGCACTGTCTCCCGCAACACAGACCCTATCGAGGTCGACCATGATGCCTGGCGTGCAACTTCTTATTCCAGCTGCCAGTTTTCCTGAATCTACCCATTTCCAGAAATCATCCAGATCTTCTATGATGTCGGCTCCATTGTGTTCAGGTAGGAGGCGATAGTTGGGCAGCACCGCAATTGCCTTGTTGCGCAGCATGAATGGAACCAGCCAGGAAGAGAACCAATCCGGATAGATAGCATCACCGTTCACCAGAGCACCGCCGTGCCACTTGACAAGCAGCGGATACCGGCCTGGTTCAGTGCCCTTGGGAATAAGAGTGTAGGCGTGAATCTCATGTTGCCCAACCACTTTATAGGTATCCTGGGAGATGTCGAACTGGTCGAAGCGGCTCGCTGTCATTTTGTCGTCTCTCTTGCTGCCACAGACTAGATCAGGTGAGTGTGATAGTTTGGAGTTGAAGTCGTGTTTGCCCCTCCAGTAGTGGTACTGACTGTCGTATTATTTATACTCGCTTGGCCTAGCTGGGTAAAGTGGTTCTGTCCTGTACACGCCTTATCAACTTGACGATGCGACCGAGTCCGACTCCGTATATCTGGTCATCAATATCGGCCTTCGGACAATTCTGGGCGCGCCAACGTTGCAAGTAATTATCTTCACAATCACATGGTGGCAAGTTCTGGCCATAGAAAGTATTGACTCATTTCAAATTGGTTGCCTAGTAATGTTGTCGTACAAAAACATGACAGTCGTACGACATGTGTTGTATCAGTTTGCATGTCTTCCCATGCAAGATAATTACCGGCCCAATAGAACTGCAAGTTCATACTTCCAAGTTTCACCGTTGGTACCGACGTCTACTTTTCATTGACGTAGGTGTGTTGGTTGTTTGTTCTTGAAGACAGCAGAGATTAGAATAATGAAATTTTGCCCATCACGAAGCCGTCATGATTCTATTAAAATTCTGTTTTTTCCTTTTATCACAGACAGATGCAAGCTAATTTATAGCGATTACAAGCTATCCTCGATCTTCTGTATCCTACCCAGAACCTTGTCCCAGTTCGCCCACTCCCCCTCAGGCAGCTTGCCCTTCAACGGTAACCGGCCGCCCTCCAATGTGCCCAAGCCCAGAACTCTCTGAACAGCCTCTTTGATACCCACAATTCCCCATCGACCAACGAACTCCTCAGCGGAGCTGACGACAAATTGTAGTTTCTGGATCTCTTCGAGTGCTGCAGGCTCGATCGGCCTTTGCTCTGCTAGCTTCATCAATTTCGATACAGTCTTGGGATAAATCGCTGCCAATCCGTCGATGACACCCGCTGCACCAAAGAACACGATGGGTCCCAGTTGCTGCCCGAACCCGCTGAAGACACGGAACTTGTTGTGATCAATCTCGGGGTCAAGGGAAACCTGCACATGATACGATACGTTTCCGTGGGACATCTTGCAACCAACAATGTTAGGGTGCTGGGCAAGGATAGTGTAAGTCTCTGGAGTGATCAGGACGTTATTCGTAACGCCAGGGTAGTTGTAACTGGGCAAGTTAGCCAATGCCAATTGTTTCTTTCTTCAGCGCCACATCTCCTTACATCAAGATCGGGATGGGCGACTTGTCGGCCACGAGCGTGAACCACTCTCGAAGGTTCTCCTGGTTGGCAGCGGCTCCAAAGTATCCAGGCGCAAGCACCAGACCCCACTGAGCGCCCGCCTTCTTGAAATCCTCCAACCACTCCAGAACCTCGTCGACACTGTTGATGAGCACACCCGCCATGATTGGGTAGTCGGTGAAGCCCGCGTCGTTCAGACCCTTGCGCACGCCGGAAACCATGTCGAATCGCTCCTGGCGCGACATGTGAATGGCCTCGCCTGTTGAGCCGAGAAGAACAAGTCCGCGAATGCCATTCTTAGCTAGGTGTACAGAGTGCTTGACCTGGGTTTCGACGTCTATCTCTGCTTGGAGAGAGGTAGATGCGGATGCGGGCTTGAAGAAAGTGGGGACGGGCACGAAGACGCCGGTCGGCGGTGATGAGGTCATTTTGCGCGGCTTGTGCTTCGTATGATCCTTTGAGGATGAGATGATGAAGTGTAGGAAGAAACGGTATCACCACAATGTCGTAACAAAATTATAAGGGAATGAAAAGACTGTCAGGGTCTCGATTGCAACATGGGGTGGTCTTATTGTTTTATCCTTCGGTACTCTTTGTCCCATCTTCCCGAAGCTAGACGATGTCGATGGTGGAGCCCCAGCTATGCCATCGTGACCCCGCGCCGACGTCGGGTTTTAGTGTTAGTGGGGGTCAAACAATGTCTAATACCATCAAACCAGAGGTCGGAATTACAAAGCGGTACTTTTAGTAAAGAATTGGCACACACAGAATAGGATGAGATAACTACAAGTCTAATTGATAAATATCGGACCGTGTACTTTGCTTGGTATCTGAGCTCTGTTCCGACACGTAGCGTTCCTATAAAGTCCCACTGCGGGGAAACCACTAAGGTCATCCGAGACCCCCTGAGAACTTATGAGAAAGAACTTAACACACACTCAAAGAATATTACAATCAATACACATTAGACTTTTGAATCAATATGGCTCCAATCGCTAAAATCGAATACTTCCGTGTGCCTCCAAGATGGCTATTTGTTAAAATCACCGACGAGGATGGAAGGGTTGGATGGGGCGAAGCAACACTTGAAGGCCATACACAGACTGTAGAAGGTTGTATCGATGCTTGGTCGGAGAGGTTGCTCGGATTTGAGGCAGAGTAAGAATGTTAAGCTCTCATACATATCATCATGCCTTTCACATTGTAATGCTGACACGCTTAAGTGACATTGAGCATGTATGGCAGTTCTGCTGGCGAACATCCTTCTACCGTGGTGGACCTGTCTTCATGTCCGCTCTTGCAGGTATCGACATTGCACTTTGGGATCTTAAAGCACGTAAACTCAATGTTCCCATTTATCAACTTCTCGGTGGGAAGGTGAGAAATAAATTGAAGGTGTATGCTTGGATTGGCGGAGACAGACCGGCAGATGTAGAAGAGCAAGCGTAAGTTGCCCTCATTGCTAGGGTTCCTCCAGAAAGCTCACAATTCCATAGAAAGGTCCGACAGTCACAAGGCTTTTCGGCCGTCAAAATGAATGCTACCGAAGATATGGGCTGGTTGGATTCACCTGCTGTACTAGACTCCGCTGTTCAACGCCTCAAAACCGTCAAGGCCCTCGGAATGGATGCAGGCATGGACTTCCACGGTCGCGTACATAAGCCAATGGCGAAGCAGCTTGCAAAAGCACTAGAACCCCACCAACCACTGTTTATCGAGGAACCGTTGCTTTCTGAGCATCTAGAGGGTGTCAAGGCCCTTGCGAATCTGACTTTTTGCCCTATCGCCCTCGGAGAAAGGCTCCACAGTAGATGGGAAGTTCGCCCATTCCTAGAAGCAGGATGTGTCGACATCCTTCAGCCTGATATATCGCACATCGGTGGCATTTCTGAGATGAAGCGTATTGCGGCCATGTGTGAAGCCTACGATGTTGCACTCGCTCCTCACTGTCCACTTGGACCGATAGCTCTAGCAGCATGCGTTCAGGTCGACGCGGTGAGTCCAAACTTTGTCATCCAAGAGATGAGCCTTGGAATACATTACAATGCGGGAAGTCAGGATTTGACAAGCTATACGAAGAACCCCGAAGTTTGGAAGGTCAATGAAGGGTACATTGACTTACTGACAGGCCCCGGCTTGGGGATCGAGATCGATGAAGAGCAAGTGCGGGCTTTGAGTAAAGATGCAAAGGCTTGGGTTTCGCCGGGATTCATTGGGCCAGGAAATGAGATTAGGGAGTGGTAACAGCCATTCGTCGAGTTGGTGGTTTCGTTTGGCGCATTTCCCGGCTCAACGCTTGATTGGAATGGTCATGGGACAGGATAGCCTTTCATGAATCCTCCGTAAACGAGTTGAGGTTGGATCCTTTCAGTGTTTGTTTGACGTGGAAACAGCTAGATTCTTGGGGAAAGTGATTGCTATGGATCACGCCCTGCAAAGCGTGCCTCATCTAAGGTCAAAATAAAAGAGAATACTAGCTGGCCTTGTTCGTCATCATGCTCGTCTTAAAATTGAACCCCAGTTTCCAACGTTGGAAGACAATATATAAATGATGTTGTTATTATTATGCTATTAGTCAGTAGCACTGGTGAAGCAGAATGCATATTATGGGACAAATCGTTCTCGAAAAAGCACACAATGTCTCATTCACAAGTCCCTCTAGCTTTCAATACCCTTCTTTCTTCAGAGAAAGCTTGATGCTCTATTGGTGGCACAATAACTATGAAATTCACCAAGTATATACGCAAGCTCTCATAGGCTAGCAGGGTAGCGCTCCGTTCTGCCTTCACTCTCAGTTCCAACTTTACCTTTACCTTTACCTCGCGTCTTGCTAACGCAAAATTTTTCATCTGTTTACAAGTGAAGGTAATTTCAATCGCTGCGGCAATACGGTTTTTCCGTCCTTCCCTACACCACCACCTGAGTCCTCCCCCCAACCATCGCTCCAACCATCCACAACATAACCTCACCTCCACCACTCAAGCAAGCAACCAACTACCAGTCTCACAACCAACCAGCGTTGCTTCCCAGTCAATACTCCTCTGAAAATAAGACTTCTGTCCACAATCAAAATGTGGAATTTCTTTATCTTCTTGGCCGTTTGTTTCGGCATTTTGCCATCTCTCGCCTTCGTCGCCTCAGAGCCACTGACGGTTGACCAAATGGATTTCTATATCGGAGCCACCGTTGTCACGTTCATCAATGTTCACGCGGCACACAACCCATACATTCTCCTCTTCGTCCCGATACTTCTCTCGTTCGCTTACGCGAACTCACTCCGCGTCCGAAACGTCTTCAAGCTCGACTATCCGTTCGCTCTTTCACAACTCGTCGTGAAGTCCTCTGAGCTCCTGGCCCATCTCATCAAGTCGGGCACACAGCAAACCATTGCTGATTTGCGGAGCCAGCTTGCCATCAATACCAAAGAACTGAAAGCTGCCAAGACGAACTTGGCAGCAGTTCATGGTATCAATAAGGCACTCAAGACCCGCATTGAGCAGCTGAACACCCAGGTCTCCGACAAAGTGAGTTACCAGCAGGAGAGTCGGCCCTCCACTCAGTGGTTCTCAGTAGGGGGCGGCTTGATAAGCATCGGCGCCCTGCAAGAGAAGTTAGACGACCTTGTTAACACCGTGAGTCAAAGAGAAGCGACCATCGCGCAATTAAAGCGCGCCGAAGAGCAGAAGATGGCCTTCTGGAAGAACCAGTGCCAGTTGGTGGGTGAAGGTGCAGCGGAAAACAGAAAGCTCATCGAGGTTCTGCGTCCGGAGCTCGAGGCCTTGCGAGCCTCTTACGACAAACTGGCCCGGGATCACTACACGGCCCAACAAGGAGCAGATAAGTTCGACCACCTTGTCGAACTTATCCACCAGTTCGCAGAGCCCGGCGTAAATCAGGATCTGCAGGCAGCGACCGTTTGGTTCATCAACGGACTGCGAGCGCGCGGAGTCGACGTGGAACATTTGAAGGTGGATCTGGATCGTCTGGATGTCTGGACGAGGTTCGTTCGAGATGGCCACCAAAGCCTCATCATCCCACAACGTAAGTCACACTTCCGAATCGGCTTGATTATCCACACTGACTCAATCAAGAGGGCCTTCGACTCGACCCTGAGAGGTCGCCCATGAGGGGCTTAAAGTTGATCGGCACCACAATGGTGGACCCAAGGAATTGCGGTCATGAGGCCCGCCAGATCTTTGACGCCGCGACACGGCACATGCCTGTCGCCCCTAACGGCCCTTTGGGTCAGTACGGGTACCAGCCTGAGCCTGTGAGTGATTCCTCCGACTTATAGCAAGGTCGTTGCTAACAGTGATAGACGAGCCAGGCAGTACAGCCTTATAACGGCCCTATGGGTCAGTTCGCGTACCAGCCAGAGCCTGTAAGTCAATCCTTCAACTTAAGAGATGATCAATGCTAACAGTGATAGACGGGCCAGGTAGTACAGCATCAGCAGGTCACTGCTGTTGCGAACGAAACCCCGGTCTTCGCTTCTGCTGGTCTACCAGCAACCTTTGAGCCCGCCGCCGAAGTACCATCCCTGGCTTCGAGGATGACGTTTGGTAAGTGACCCTCCAAGACTGACGAAAACAACAGACTGACGATTGTTTAGGCCCAGCAGAGACTGTGGCTTCCTTCGCTCCCGCTCCCGCCCCCACCTTGGAAAAGCCATCACTGGCTTCAAGAATGACTTTCGGTAAGTGACTCTCTAGAGTTGATAGAAACATCAAACTGACAACCGCCTAGGCCCAGCAGAGACTGCGGCTGCTCCTCCTCCCGCGCCTGCGCCCGCGCCTGCACCCACTCCGACTCCTATTCCTGCCTCTGTCCCTGCCTCTGTCCCTGCGGCTGCTCCCGCACCCGTTAACGAGCCTCTGGTGGCGGCCACTGCCGCTGTAGCAAAGAAGCGTAGTGACCCTGACGACGCTTTCGCCAACGTCGAAGCAGAGGTCCGCTCCAAGCGATCAGGAGCAGGTCGATCGGCCGCACCAAGCTCGAACAAAACGGGCACAAGGAACACCGCAAACCGGGACAAGGAGCGCCGTCGCCGTTTGGGAGGTGTATTGGAGTCGACCCTCCTTTCTAAGGGGTCGTGAACGACCGCGTCTAGGACCGGCGTTCGGTATAACTTGATATTTTGCGACTTGATATTTGTTTTTGTTCGGAGTTTGGTTGATACCCCTGCCGCCAAAGGCACGTGGAGTTTGGGATGGTTTATAGAAGAATCTAAAATCCCTTGTGTCCGATTTTGAATCAACTTCCTCTTTATCACGATCTTCACGATGCCCAAGAGCCCGTACCCCTATCAGCTTTACAATCCCTCCGTTTGCCTTCACTCTATCAATCACTATTTACAACTCAACACACATTGCAAAATCAAATCGGGCCCCATAACATATTTAGTCATAAAGGAGAATAAGTTCTAAACAGCATATATATAAGTCTTGGCGGGCAGGGTCTCTGTTTGAATATTAGTTTCCGCATTGGGAAGGCGCGTCGATTGCTGCGCGGTTTAAGCTTAATCGGATGGTGCGGGGGATTGTACGAGCGCTTGTGCGTTTTTGGGTGCTGATGATCCTTGCCTTAAAGATTAATTGGACTACATTTTATCGAACGTCGACAAGCACGGGAACATGGGAGGGAGGGAAAATACTATGCGGATTTATTTTTGGGTGTGATGATTTGGGTAAACTGTTAGGTGCACGGTTTGTGTGATTGCAACGGATTTTGAATAGTTCATTTGGTGGGTAGGTACGCATGATTTATTGGTACCATTTGTGAATGTCTATCTATGTGATCGTTGATGTGGATGAACGAAGGATGAATTGCCTCCAGATATCACATGAACCCTACGGTGTTATCGTCATAAAATCAAGAAAAGGTCGCCGTAACAATCGTACACTCAGATAACGGTAATCCACTCCTAAGAAAATCTAGGTTGTTAAGAGGGTGCCGAAATCATTGAGGCTCCTCAGTCTTTGCCCTTTTCCCATCAGCGGTATCGTCTTCCACCTCAAGCTTCCTTTTGCCACTGCTTCCTTCGATTGCAGATGATGTGGCAGTTGGGGCTGGCGCGGGTGCCTTCTCCTTCTTGCGGGTCTTCACTAGCCCTGAGATGTCATTTGCGGATTTCGTAGCTTCTTCGATCTTGGCTTTTTGCGTTGCTGCATCTGCACCAAGTAGGCCACCCAAAAGTCCTTGGAAGACACTTGGATCAATACTGTCGAGTGCTTGTGCCTTGGGGTCGGTCTTGAGATCGGCAAGCTAGAGATCGTTAGCGGGGAGAGAGAGAGAGAAGGATCTGGAGATCCCAACTTACCCTGGTCTTCATATCTTCGAGAACATCCTTCTTGTCCTTAATGATTGCCTCCTTCTCCTTCTTTTGCTCATCCGTCAAGTTGCCCGAAGTCAGTGCTTCCGTCTCCTTGCTCAGCCGTGCGGTGAGACTTTGAACTGCAAGCTCGGTCTGCTTCGCAGCTTCTTCTCGCATCTTGTAGTCGATCTCCTGTTCCTCGCCTTCTGGCCCGGGTGCGGCACCGGCAGAATCACCCGCCGATGCATCTTCTGCCTTTCGAGTTGAAGCAAATTCGAGAGCGAGCGATAGAGTATAATGTGCCTCCGTAATATTCTCGTGCTCGAACGGATGAAGTTCCTCCTGCAGCGCCAAATGAGCTTGTGCATCGGATACAGCGTCGTGGAAGCGCTCGTTCTCGAGTGCGATCTCGACGAGGAAGCCGTGACAGTCGGCAATCTTCTCCTTAACAGTCCTGGCTTGAGTGGTGAGCTCAGCCTTTCCTTTGCCCTTGTCCGCACTCTCTCCGTCGCCGAGAGCTTCAAGTTGTTTGGAATATAACACTCGCGCAATTTCGAACGTCTCGAAGGCATTCTGGAAGTCATCCTCGCCCTCTTCTCCCTCGCCACCTTCGGCATCCTCGTCTTCATCCTCTGAGTCCGTCCAATTCTCGTCGCCTGTCAGCTGGAAGTATGGTTTTGACTCCACAGTCTCCTCCTTCTTTTCCGAAGCGCCGTTCGCTGCAGAACTTGAGCCTTCGCCGGCTGATTTCTTGGTCTTCTTTTCTGATTTTGGCTTCCCCTTCTCCTCGCTTGCGACTTTCGATCCTAGGACGTCGCTCTTCGAGATGGCAACCTTGTACAGTGCGCGGCCATAGTAGAACAACAGCTCTGCATTGTCGGGCGCCATCTCGCCATTGAGCTCAGCTTGAATCTCAACAGCGTCAGCATAGAGATCGGAAGCTGCGCCAAAGTTCTTCAACGAGTATTGCAAGGCAGCGGCTTGCTGGAGTTCCTGGACCTTCTCTTGAGTGCGCGGCACCTCCGTGGTGCTGGACGCAGCTGCGGCGCTTGATTCTGCCATGGCGGGTTATGTAGAGAGAGTACTGAAAGTTGATTACGGTTATTTGGAGGTATGCGACTGCGAGAAGAGGGGTTGAGGACTCTCGAAGGGTTGTTATCGTGGAAAATGTAGCTGTCGCACTGGGAGCTTTCACAAGTGAGATCAGATCAACTGAGATCGCCTGGACCGTGCGCGACGCGAAAGCGTGGACGCGACGGCTGCACGCGTCTCCAAAGTCAACCCTAATTGAATTATAAACCACTACTTCCGTAACTTTTTCAAAGAGCCCGCCGCATTCAAGTAATCCTGAAGAATGGCGACGGCCAAGAGAGCATTGAAGCCCTCAGTGGCATCCGATAATCCAATACCATCTTCGTCCCCAGCATTTGGCACTCCTGTCCATCCTATTCCACCCCGCACAACTGTCCCGATTCGACCACCAGTCTTCAGACCCGCTGCAGCACCGACGACTGTTCTACCGATAGTGCTCCCTCCTGCTACGTTACGGCCCCTCGCCTTCAGGACATTTACAAAGAAGCATAACCTGACGTTGACTTCCTCCGCGCTCCAAGCTCTTGCGACATTTATTGGCAGACATTGTGGGTCAGGATGGCGGGAAGAGGGCTTAGCGGAGAAGGTCCTTGAAGAGGTCGCAAAAGCTTGGAAGAAATGTACGACGCAGGTGATTGTAGAAGGAGATGGGGATACACTTAAGAGCATACTCAAGACTTTGGAAGGTTCAATGACCGGCGGGAGGATAACTCCTGGGTCAGGGTTAAGTCGGCAAACAAGCTTCAACTTCAGCGGAGATGCAGACAGGCAGGAGTCGCCGGGACTAGGATCAAGACCAAATCTGGATACACACAACAGCTTTGGCATATCGGGATTAGAGGTGCAAGAGAAGGATGAAGATGAGGAGATATTGAAGGACCCCCGCGAGTGGATGAAGATCATTGGCGCTTTCGATCAGCCAAAGTTGGAATACAATGTTTCCAAGAAGCATTTCGATAAGTGAGTGTTCCTCGACATATTCGTACCCAGTGACATTTTTCTTATATTCCATAGGTCTACGGTAAAACCTACACTGTTCCCACCACCGACTAGGAAGACAGACCTTTTCCGGCAGCGCTATCATATTGTACACCAACGTATCCTTCGCAACGAGACCTTCCAGGCACCCACCTTCTCAGCGGCTCGATCGGCCACACTTAATCGCACAGGCTCAGTATCAACATCGCAAACAAATTCTATCACCCCAATTGCAAATCTTCTGGGACGCAGCGGCAGCACCCATCTTCTTCTAGGCATGCTGACGATTTCCCCTACCGGCGCCTTGTCTCTCTCAGACCTTACAGGCACAATAGCCCTCGATCTACAGCACGCTCAACAGATTCCTGCCGACGGATCCTACTTCGCCCCCGGCATGATCGTGCTTGTGGACGGAAGTTATGAGGAGGATCACGGCAATCCTGCTGCTGGTTCAAGTTCCAGCTTGGGTGGTACGGGAGGTATAGGCGGTACAATAGGCGGAAAGTTCATTGGATTTTCCGTTGGCCATCCTCCTTGTGAACGACGATCAATAACACTCGGAGGGGACACTGAAGCCGAGAAGAACAATATCTCGGGTCCTGCATTTGGTTGGACCGACTTCTTGGGAGTCGGTTCGGAGCGTGCAACCGGCGCAAAAATGTCACGAATTGCTACAAATACCCTTTCACCCACATCTGCACATAACATAGTAATCGCGTCGGATCTCCATCTGGATGTTCCGTCAACCCTCTCAGCATTACGTACACTCTTACGCACCTACACCCCGGATCCAGCAGAAGTCGACCCTATTTATCCCCTCGCAATAATTCTGATGGGCAATTTCAGTTCTCGTGCCACTTTGGCAGGTGTACGGGGAGCAGGAAGCATCGAATACAAGGAACACTTCGATGCACTTGCATCTGTACTCTCTGAGTTCCCTCAACTCCTTGCTCATACCTCTTTGGTGTTTGTACCTGGCGACCATGACGCATGGCCGTCTGCATTCTCCGCTGGTGCATCGACACCCCTACCAAGAAAGCCCGTACCGACCTTATTCACAAGTAGAATAAAGCGAGCCGTTGCTGAAGCAAACCGTGAGATTTGGGGAACCGGGAAAGCCAAAGGAAAAGAGGGCGAAGTTATATGGACCAGCAATCCGAGCAGACTAACTTGGTTTGGCGTGAAAGGAGAAATGGCGATTCTGAGGGACGATCTCGTTGGACGCTTACGAAGAAATGCCATTCGATTTGGCAAGCCTGGCGATGCAGATGACGATGAAATGCCGGATGCAACCATGCAAGCTGCAGGCCACGAGGGCATGGATACTGACCCTGATCTGCGTCCAGTCCCAACCTCACATAATACCTCCACGAACATCATACCGGACGAATTGGACCCGGATGTTTCAATCGCTCGTGCAATAACACGGACTATACTCTCGCAAGGCTATCTCAGCCCATTTCCCTTGAGTGTCCGACCGCTACACTGGGATTACGGGCACGCCATGGGCTTATATCCATTACCAAGTGTTCTGGTATTGGCAGATAGCGAGGCACCCGCTTTTGTAGTCAAGTTCTGCGGGTGCGCCGTTCTGAATCCTGGAAGTATCGTCGAAAGCGGTGGAAGAGGCAGAAGAGAAGGCAGAGCAAGATGGGTAGAGTTCGATATAGGTAAAGGAGTGGGTGTTGTAAGAGTTGAAGAGTGAATGAGTTAGGAGACGGCCATAATTATATTTGAAACGATGCATTGCATGAGCGAAAATAGCATGGAAGGCGTCTTAAGATCATGATATACATTTAAGGAATCTCGAGCTTCTGTATTTGAATGAGAACTTATCCTGCAAGTTCGATGAATAATATCTATATAAATTCTACAGATGCAGTTTGCAGACGTAGTTTTCATTACTATTTAGCCACCTATTTTAGCAGAACTTGTCTTAAACTGGGACCTTCGCGAATCACCTTATTAAATCAGGGCCATACATATTAACCCAAGAGTTCTTTCTTATCTTTGACCGGGTTTGGTCCGATACGAGAGAGCTTTGAACGTAGAATGAGTACACGTGACGTGGCTATGTTGCAATCCAGGCAGACTGACTGACCTATCAGGGACAAGTTTCATCCTTTACGCACGTACATTCATCCATCAGCTTCCGCGTGTACTGTACGCCTAAGCCATCAACAATGGCCTGATCGTTCCCTAGATCAAACGGTACACTGCTCTGTACTCTTTTTCATCCCTCAGTGCACCAATTGCGATTGCATTTCCAGTATGAATGAGACCGTTCGATTTCAATGTCATGCGCCTTCGCTCGCAGCGGATGCGGCATTCGGGCCAATCATTGATGGTTGCCGAAGCGACTTTACCTTTACATTTGAACAGTACTTTCTTTCCGTGATTCCATCTGTAGTATTCCTTCTCCTTGCTTCGTTCCGTGTTAAAGCCCTGTGGAAACAAAGGATTCAAGTTGATGGCACTATCCTGCGATCCATCAAGCTCGTGAGTAACTCTGCCCGGCTTGTCTGAAAGGTCGAATTGACGCCGGTCAGATATCAATTGCCTTGTTTGCAACCTTACAATTGGCAATAATCATCTTATGGGCAACAACAAAATTACATGGAATTCGCACGCCAGCAACCGTCGCGTCCAGCCTTGGTTTTGCTTCAAGCCTTGCGTTGTTCGCTTTGTCCTATCTCGAGCATTCTAGATCTCCACGCCCATCGTATATTCTGAACGCATATCTTTTCATCTCTCTCTTATTCGATATCGTTGTTTTGCGCACAGTGTGGATTGCGCTCCCTTCTTTTCAACCAGTTCGCATTGTGCTGACCTCGTCATTTGCATTGAAAACCATCATTCTGTTCCTTGAGGCTGTAGAAAAGCGCAATTATCTCCGACATCCTGAAAATTTGGCCCCAGAGGAGACAAGCGGACTATACAGCCAGACCTTTCTTTGGTGGATGAACTCCATAATTAGAGATGGGTATCGTAGAGTGCTCAAGCCGATGGACCTCTACCCTGTCAGTCAACGAATGTCGAGTCAGGTGCTCAGCCATCAATTCAATCAAGAATGGCACAAAGGTTAGTTTAATGGCACAAGAAATCTACTAGGCTGACGCGGTATGGCAGTCGCAAAGAGCGGACAACAGCCTAGCCTAATAAAAATCGCAATCCGTGTACTCAAGTGGGAACTCATGGTACCGATCTTTCCGCGTCTCGCCCTACTTGGTTTTACCTTCTGTCAACCTCTACTTGTCAGTAGGTTACTGGAATTCCTTCAGAATTACCGCGAGGATACCAGCATTGGCTATGGAATGATTGGTGCTTACGCTGTAGTATACTTTGGCATGAGTGTAAGAAGAACCTACAAGATCTAAAGAGATATACTGAAGAAATTAGATCTCCAACGGACTCTTCCTTCACAGGAGCTTCAAATTTCTCACAATGCTGCGCGGCATGCTTGTCTCAGCTATATATCACAAGACTACAGAGCTTAGCATTACGGCTCTTGATGATTCAGCGGCTGTGACTTTGATGAGTGCAGATGTTGAACGCTTAATCTTAGGATTGAGAGGGCTTCATGACCTGTCCGTACTCGACGTAACTTTGTTTAAACAATAGCATCATGCTTATCATATAGTAGATGGGCGAATGTATTGCAGTTTGCACTAGCAATATACGTTCTAGAATCTAGAACTGGTTGGGCATGTGTAGGACCAATCATAGTGATCTTGGGTATGTCTGTTCTGTTGCAGATTATGATCCGCTAAAACTGACGTACTCTAGCAACTGTCGCAATCGTTGTTAGCTTGACATCCTTCGCAACCAAAGTACAAATGGAATGGCTACAGAAAATTAAAAGAAGAATTGGTTCGTATTATCGTTTACAACTTTGGATAGCACTGACCAGTAGATCAGGCATCACATCAGACATGCTTGGGCATATGAAAGGTATTAAGATGTTAGGGTTAACACAAAAGTTGCATGATCTTATTCAGAAGCTCCGCGGCGATGAATTAAAACGAGCAGAGACTTTTTGGAAGCTGCAGGCAGTAACCGGCGCTCTAGGTTGGTACCACATTCTTTTCTCCATGGCTCGTCCGCTGACATTAACTCTCAGCATTTGCCCCCCAGGCTTTGAGTCCTGTTGCTACCTTTGCATTCTATGCTGTCGTCTCAGCCAAAGAGGGTTCCACACTTGATGCTCCGCGATTGTTTTCCTCTCTGGCGCTATTAACTCTTCTCACGCAACCCTTGTTTGCCTTGATCGGTGATCTTCTCGAGTTTCGCACAACATTCGGATGCGTAGATCGGATTGAGAAATATCTCATTACGGAAACACGAACGGATCATCGTCTAGCCGTTGCTTCGAACGCCACCGCATCATCATATTCGTCTTTCCCTGAATCTGGCCAATCTCATGCATGGCAGGCTGGGACTGATGACATAGAGCTGCTGCATGAGCCCCGAGGTTTCGGTACTCGAAATGTCATATCGGAAGTTGTGCGTATTGAGGCTGGATCCTTCGCATGGTCTAAGGATTCTCAACCAGTATTGCATGATATCAACCTCGCAGTTCAAAGATCCCAGCTCACGATGCTAATCGGTCCGGTGGCTTCAGGGAAATCAACTCTTCTAAAAGCAATGCTGGGAGAGACCGCTAGCTCTAAAGGCTTTGTATATGTCTCGGAAAAGGAAATCGCATATTGCGAACAGACACCCTGGCTGACTGTGAGTACTTTAGCGCGGTTTTTTAGTAACGTTTTCTCTTATTGACATCTCTTAGAATGCATCTGTTCGAGAAAACATCATTGGCTTCTCCAATTTTCATGAAGAACTTTACGACGACGTGATCTACAGGTACAACCATCCAAATCCATTTCCATCGTCCGTGCTAACTTGACCATTAAGTTGTGACCTCGAGCAGGATATTCGGACCTTTCCGAAGGGCCACAACACTCTTATTGGAAGCAAGGGTATCTCCCTAAGCACAGGACAGAAGCACAGAATTGCCATTGCCCGTGCTGTATACGCCAGAAAGAGCTTTGCAGTGTTCGATGACGTTTTCAGTGGCCTCGATGTAAACACCCAGAAGAACGTATTTACTCGCCTCTTTGGTTCCAATGGCCTTCTCCGCAAGTGGAATACGACAGTTTTGATCGCCACACATGCAGGTCAGTCACACCTTTCCCAAGGTGAAAAATGATACTAAATTATATAGTGAACCTATTACCCTTCTCAGACTTTGTGGTCGCACTTTCGAAAGACGGTACGGTCGCCGAGCAAGGAAATTTCCAATCGCTCAACCAAAAGAACGGTTATGTTCACAAATTCTACCAGGAGCAGTCCAAAGAACAATCCGATATTGTTGAAGACCTTCCACTCAACGACAGGAATACTACCTCGACTGGGATGCTACAGCCAATTGCGGTAAGCAATGAGGAATCACTTGACGACAAGAGTAGACAGCTAGGCGACTGGTCCGTTTACAAGTATTATTTCCGAACCGTAGGAATGCCGGCCACATTTGTATTTGTGTCACTAGCGTGTGGTTGGGCCTTTCTCACGGCTTTCCCAAGTAAGTTCAGGTGTTGAATCCACTCTTGCTACGTTGACACTAACCATATCTAGCTGTATGGTTGAAATGGTACGCCGATGCAAATATACGAGAGCCAAACAAACATAATGGCTATTATCTAGCTATCTATGCTGTGCTTCAGGTACTTCTTTTACTCGATATTGGATTTCTAGCATGGTACGTGCGGTATTGATGTGGTGATGATTCGAAGGTTTACTCATTGGCCTAGGTTCACGTTTAGTGTGTTGGCCAAAAGATCTGGCCTTCGACTCCATCAAGTTATGATCAAAAGTGTGATGCGGTATGTGTTGTTCTTCTGCGTTCTTGGACAATGCTGACCATATTGTGACAAGTGCTCCGATGTCATTTTTCAGCAAAACGGATATAGGAAGTATCACTACTAGGTGCGTAATCCGATTCTTTCGAGATGTCTTGGCTAACTAGTGATCAGATTTAGTCAGGATATTCAACTGCTAGATTCTTCGCTGCCAATGGCAATGATGGTAGTAGCAGGAGGTACGTATGGTGCTTTAGTAGTGTATGACCTGATGTGTTGACTCCCGTTCCAGGGTTCCTGGGATCTTTCGCCCAAATCGGCCTCATCGCTTCTGCAGCCTACTACATCAGCGCAGCATTTCCCGTTCTCTTTGGTGTTTACTTCTTCATTCAAAGTTACTACTTACGAACCTCTCGACAAATGCGATTCTTGGATCTCGAGGAAAAGGCACCTGTCTATACGCAATTCCTTGAATCACTGAATGGCCTGACTACGATTCGCGCATTCGGCTGGCAAAATAAATCCATCATAAAGAATCACACTTTGGTGGACAGGTCACAAAAGCCATTCTACCTAATGTACATGATTCAGACATGGCTTAATCTCGTATTGGATCTTGTCACAACTGGTCTTGCCATCTTGGTAGTCGGAATCTCGGTTAAGATGAGAAATACCGTCTCGGTCGGATTTACTGGTGTCAGTCTAACCCAGATTATCTCCTTCACGTACAACCTCAAACTGTCAATTATGTTTTACACTCAGATGGAGACAAGCATTGGCGCAGTAGCGCGTATCAAGAATTTCGAGTCTGAGACTGCAGACGAAAACCTTGCAACGGAGGACTCTCAACCGCCACCTGAGTGGCCGGCTAGAGGTAATGTCGAGGTTAAGAATCTCACCGTATCCTATGGGTAAGTGTTTCTGTGACTGTCTTTCTCTTATCAGTACTGATATTGACCTTGTTCTCCAGTACCGACTCAGATCGCAAAGCTCTGGATAACATAAGCCTCTCTATTTCCGCAGGTACGAAATTCGCCATTGTAGGGCGCACCGGCTCCGGCAAGTCCACATTTCTGCTCTCGCTATTCCGTATGATCGAGATCACATCCGGTGCCATCACCATCGACGGACTCGACGTCTCCACAATCCAACGCCAACAGATACGCTCCCGTCTCAATGCCATTGGCGAAGACCCTTACTTCATCACCGGCAGCATCCGCCTCAACCTCGACCTTTACGGCCAAGCCAGCGATGACCAGCTCCGCGCGGTCCTCGAAAAGGTCCGTCTCTGGCCCGTCATTGAAGCTAAAGGAGGTTTGGACAGCGAATACGAAGCCGACATGTTCTCCCACGGCCAAGTCCAGATCTTTGCTCTGGCACGCGCGCTTCTACGTCCCGGAAGGATAGTCGTCATGGATGAGGTTACTAGTGCTGTTGACCGCGAGACAGATGCGCTCATGCAGAGTTTGATCAGGGACGAGTTCAAGGATAGGACGCTGATTACCATTGCTCATCGGGTTGATACGATTAGAGATTATGATTGCGTTGTGGTGTTGGGAGAGGGTAAAGTGGTTGAATGTGGAAGACCAGAGGCCCTGATTGCGACTGAGGGGTCTGTGTTTGGGGACATGGTTCGGAAGGGTTCGTAGACAAAGAGCATCGTTGTTTGTTGGGGAATTTGAAGAAGACCAAAGAATGCCAGGTGGACATGAACCGTTCGATTTCTACTTCTATTGATCTTTTTGAAAGACTGCCTACCTAATAGGGATTCACCTCTTTGACTTCACCTGATGCAAATTCAGGTAATTAATGGAGCGAAGCCTTGTTATTCGACAGTGTCAATGGTATTAAGCACAGCAGATTCAATACGCTATGAACATCTAAAAGGGTTAAGCGAATCATGGGATAGAAGAAGATACCGTCGCCATAATATACAAATGCGGTCGGCATTACAGAGTGCTCCGCGATTGTGGTAGCTCATACCAAGCCGAAGACTACGGAAACGTAGATGAGTGAAACCTTACAGCCAAGGTGTCTTCATGTAATGGAGGTTTTGGGTAAAGTCAAAGCATAAATCTTTTTGATGACTCATTTGTAGGCTATGTTACATGGCCGTAAGTGGTCGTAGGCTACTTCAAGGACGGCCAAGTCAACACAGTTGTCGCGAATCTGACCATTACGATGTCCAAGGCATGCTGTCATCCGTACCAGTCGTGTCGCTTGTTCGTCTTCGGACAGAACCATGTATATTGCCTGTAGCAAGGAAATTGAGCTGTTCCCGAAGCGTATGGTTGATGCGATAAGGGTTACCTCTAGCATCTATGGCCCACTTCCTTCTAAACGTGTCCCTAAAAGGCCACGAATTCTGTCGCATCGTTGTTCCGAACTCTTTGAGATGACTGCATACATGTTAGTACACATATGTTCCCATCAACTGAATAGTGTGACGCCGCGAAATAGGGTGAGCCTTACGCGTAGCTCACGTATGCTATACATGCATATTCTATGAAAGACGATATGACAGTGAGCCTGAGAAGAAGGTCAAACCATGGGCTACCCTTTGGCCAAAAAGCAAAATAGACAATAGGACAAGCTATTGCACCGATGAAGTCGCTGAATCTTGGGGAAACATCCTTGATTTCATGCAAGAGTTCCTACCAACGTTAGAATCTGCGTAATGAAGCCATTTTAGGGTGATCTCGAGTTTCACTCACCACGGCGTCGCTCCCAACGTACTCCGGCAAGATGTAAGCCAGTCGTCTAGCAACAAATGCCCAATAGAGAACTTCCCATCGCCAACCTTCAAGACTTGCCCCAGGCCACGGGAGCCATGGTATCTCTAGAGGAACACAAGCTTGGGTAGCTCGAGACCAATAACCCGTAGATAATCTCCCCAACCATGCCTAGACGCATGATCCCTCCACTGAGGTGGATCATAGTGACGCCGGTGCAGCCAATTATGTAAACATGCTTGACGATGTCCAGCGCTGAGAAGAGGAAGATTCGGGAGTAGATAGGGATCAACAGGTAGAGCGCCACGCGCGCACGATCGGAGAGCGGAGAGGTAGTCATAGCAGGCACTTGATTCTGCCGTGCAGTAGATAATCCAGGCATCTTCGGGAAGCTTGAAGTTAGAAGTGAAGTCCGAAGTTGGCAGTGGAGGTAGATGTAGGTGCACGGTGTACCCAGCAGTTTCACCTTACACTTACTTTCTTAGGGCACAAATAAATGCGGCCAATCGATAATTAGTAAGGAATCGTTGCGGCAAGCAAGTGAGACAAGGTCAAGGTAGAGGCGAATATCTGCAAGTAGGTTTGCTGGTGTCAAGCCAAGGAACTTTTCATAAGATTTAGAAAGCTACATATCTCTCCATACTCATACAATAACAACACTTATTTATATTCCTCTTGTGGCGTAACTCCTCGTTTTCTATTTTGGCTTGGCACAAAGTCCCTTATTGTACTGCTAGAGAAGTCCACTTCGAATCGCATAATCTGAATGCTACACGAGAAAAATCGTAAAATCGTAAAATAATAACACAATATCCAAATACTCAGCCAGACATATATTCATCCCAGGTTCGTTTCCTCACTCTTGTTGTTTCCAAAAAGAGTCATCATTCTGTCCAACCGTTCCTCATACTTTTCCATCCGCTCTTCGTACTTTTCAAGCTTCTGACGTAGCCGCTGATTCTCCTGTTCCGCCTCCAGACGTAACCTCCGCTCTTCTGCTAGCTCCTTCACGAGCACATCCGAGGGCTCGTTTACGCTGTGCTCAGCTAGATCGCCATGTTCATTGTGTTTACGCTTCTTGGTCTGTGAAAGGGCCCGTGCGATATCGCTCGTAGCGACAGAATTGAAGGAACTCGATCCAGTCGCCGGTCTTCCACGTAATCTCGCTACAGATGACTGCTTGTGCGGCCCCTTAAGGTGTTGATCCAAGTGATCTTTGCGACGGAAGCCAAAACCCTCCTTAGAACGGCCGCAGTTGGGGTAAGGGCAGTAATACTTCTGGATATGGCCATGCCTTGAATTTTGGAAGCCTTTAGTATGTCGAGCATCTGTGCCAACGCTCTGAGGGCCATCTCGAGGCTTTTCATGGAAGGGAGATGGTATGTCGGGTGCTGCAAAGGCTGTAGGCTCTACCGCTTCTAACTGTTGCTCCTCTCCAATTTCTCGGGTGGCGCTAGATGTCGCGACACTTGTAGCTACATTGAAAGTGCCCGGGGCTTCATCGGTGCTGACACGTGGGCAAATTGTGTCTTGAGGCTTTACTGTTGATGAAATTTGTAAAGAGTCTCCGGATTCCGGTATGGTAAGACTGCTAGATAACCCCGGCATCAGCTGCTGCAGTTGCTGCTCGGGATCGATGAAGTCAGGATGAGATAGGCTCCATTCTGGGGCGTCCCAATCAAAGTCGGGAAGATTGCAATCGAGACCTAGAAGAAAATAAGTACCCTTTTCTATAGTAAAAATTAAAAGAGAGTAAGTACTCAGAAGTTGCCCGCTCGAGTCCTCAATCTCCAATAAGTCGATCTCCCACTGCGGATTGAGCGGCTCATAGAACATCCAACAAACACCCCACAGTATAATCAGAGCGGGCCAGATCGTCCAAGGCATCGTGGTGCATGGGGGCCGCCGTCTACTAGGAAACTCTGAGAATGATGAAAAGAGGAGGAAGACGCACAGGGCTTTCTTCCAGAACATCGAAAGTTTGTTCGTTTTCAGAAGAATCCGTTGTAGGTGAAAAAGGATTAAGTTGAGACGGCTTTCGATGTCGAGACACGAATCAAGAGAGCTCACTTCATTCAGAAGTTGGGTCAGAAAGCTTTTGCAATAATGAAATGAATAGGAGGCATCAAGCGAATGTTGTTGCGAGAAGAGAATGCTAAGAAAATCCTGATGCGATTTGAGATACCTCTTGATCTCAAGAAGCGAGTAGAGACGTCTCTGGATATCAAGAAGCGAGCTGAGGTAGTTCTGGACATTAAACAGCGAGTTGAAGCGGCGCCGGGCATTAAGAAGCGAATCGAGACGGCATTGGACATCCAGGATTGAGCTTTGGAGTCTTTCGCGCATTTCGTTAAGCTTTTGACTCCAATGAGCTTGTTTCATGTCTTGTCTGTATTTGTCGAGTGATCCTTGGAGACAGGATTTCCCAGCTTCTGTGTCTAGATATCTGTTAATTAGAGCCTTTTAAAGGGCGGAGAAAGAGGGCATGAATCTTACTCGCAGGGACCCATGTTAAACCGCGGGCTGGATCCCAACTTCGCTGGAATAATTTATAAACAGTAGACTCGACCATCGTCATCAACAATCACTCCATCCGCAGAGTAGTGGCCCTTTTTGTGGTAAATCGCTGAAAGGCGAAATAAGGAGGACGACGAGCCTTGTGTGCCTATTTTACATGCACTCATGTCGAAACTAGATATAGCTTCCATACGATCGCCCTAGGGCGGTATTGACAATCAAACAGGGCGGTCCTGGGTACAAGGAACAAGGCGATCAGTGCCTGTTGGCACCTTATGATTGGCCATCTCAATATGCACAGCTGATATGCACAGTCCGCGCTACGGAGATGGAAGAGCCATGATCATTATGTTCGGCTACTGAATTCCTCCCTTGACTTCTTAGCCAACTGTTCATTGTCTTATTCTCTCATTTCTGCAGGTAGTTTGGGTGATGCCTTCGACATTCGTTCCCGATCAGTTGGACGATACCGACTTGGCGTTCTATTATAGGGCCCCAATAAACCCACAGGAGTCCAATATGCAGCGTTTTTCACTGCAATTCACTGGAAGAACAGGGCATAGTACTATCACCAAGATAAAAGTTAAAAGCCTTGTTGGACACTGCATCATAGAAACGTCTCGTCTTAATAACTATTATGATTACTTAGATTAGTACATGCAATAACATGTCTCTATGATTGATGTTTCTATGTACAACTTTTCTTGAAAACCCATAGCTTTTAGTGAATCCAGAGACAATGTCAACAAATGAGGAATGGCCCGTCAAGTGCGAAAGCGATGAAGTTCTCCGTTGATTCTTGGTGATTCTTCAAAAGCTGTTCAGGTGTATTAGCAAGAATATGGAGGTGTTCAGTTTCAAAAGATTTCCCACTGACCGATCCATATTCGTACCAGGACGGCTCCCCTATTCCGTGTTGTGCTGATTGAGTGAATTCGACATCGGAATCAAAGAGCGACATCGGGGTAATGCATTTTAAGTCGTTTATGTCAAATATTACTTTTTCATTACTGGTATGTATTGGTGATCCGCAGAGAGTAGAGTTGCATACGCTCTCGTAGTCATAGGCGGTTGATTGGGAGAGACCCAACCACTCCCCCCAAGACTTGCGCTGTGGTGGTTGCTCCATCGGTTTTAGTTTTGTGTTTCGTTCTGGTAGAAAGTCTTCTGCTTTCTCATATAATTCCTCCTCATTGAGTTCCCCGACTCGATTCGTATCTTCGTCAGTCTCGTCTTCAACGATGTCGTTGATGTCGTAGGTAAAGATGTCTTCTCCGTTCTTGATCTTCTCAATGTATTCTGAAAACTCCTTGATAGCTTTGACCGGATTTGCACGTCTAGTAAGGCAGTAGTTCGACAGTTCCGCAGGAGTGATTGTACTCTTCTCCGGAAAGTGGTCACCAAACATCTTCGCAAACCGTTGGATGGCGTGTGCCTCATGACGCCTAAGAGGATCTTGCCCAAAGATGCGCTTGAACGTCATCACCGCTGTCTGCCTGGTGCTGTAGGACATTTGAACAATCTTATCCACGCGACCATTGCGGTACAAAGCAGGATCTAGTGATTTTGGCGCATTTGTCGTCATGATGAGCAGCCGGCCCTCTTGGGAGCCCGCCCCATCGATTGCATTGAGCAATGCACTCAAGGTGAGTTGCTTGGGCCCTCCGTCGCCCTCCTGGTAGTAGTCATCCTCATAACTCTCGTAATAATCACTATCGCCCCAGCTCTGTTGTTCCGTACATTGTTCCCCCTTTTGTTGCATCCCTCGCATCTCTTCGAGGAACTTTTTGTTATCATCGCGGAGCTTCTCTGTGGCATTCTCGACAGCTGCCTCAACGATTTCCTTCACAGCCTGTGATTTGATTACGTCAGAGACATCATCAGAACCAAGGTTGTCAATGCTGTTCGATGCTGGTACGGCATCAGAACCAGCTCTAACAACGCCTGCCGAATCAATATCTTCCATCAGAACGACACATTGATACGGTAGGTCGTCAAAGATTGATTCTAGTTGGGTGTCAGTCAAGCTCCCCAACTTAACGATGACAAGAGGTACATTATTCTCCGATGCAACGGCCATTGCGAGAGATGTCTTGCCCGTACCCGGAGGGCCTGTAAGCAGATACCCGCGACGATAGGGAGTGCCAGCCGCCTCGTAAAAGCTTCGCGAGCTCTCATGGAAATAGTCAGCCGCGTCCTGTCGGAGCTTGTCGCGCTCACATTCATCCATATCGATGGTATCTAGTTGGCGCTTTTTATGCATGTTTTCGGAGTGGCTGTTTCCACAATGAGTTATAATCTTCATTCCCTCGTTACTAGTTATCTGGTCTTCGCAGAATTTGATCAGCTTCCGAACCGGCTCGTCGCTGTGCCCGAAACAACTGATCGTGAGCATGTAGTTGTATTCCTCATAGAACGATGGATTCTCGCGCTTTTCTTTTCGGTGTAGCATGTACAAGGTATTGTCATGCCAGAAAAATCGCCGCGACTGCTTATCAGCATCCAGATAGCCTTTGTCGTTCAGCCTCTTCGTGTGCTGACCTTTGAAATTAATCCAAGAGGTACTATAAGATGACGATAGGCCTGCAACAAATGTCATCAAACCTCCACAGATAACTTGGTTCTGCTCTGCGTCCAGGGTAACTGAGCTCATTGAATGATCCCACGCCTTCGAGAAGACCCAAGGGATTACATTTGTCCCAGCGACATATGCCGAGTAGATACCTATCAGAATGTGTGCATCAAAGCCAGTTTGATGCTTTAGACGCATAGAAAACTCTTTGAAGACCGGAGCATCCAAATAGTCCATGAACCAGTGTTCATTTCCAGCATTGAAAAATCCCATGACCCATGATCCTATCGTCTTTGGCCCAGATTCGTCGAACATGAAAATTTCCTCCATATGATCTTCGACTTTCCAGTCATTCTCCTTGACCTTTACAGTTTTGCGGCGGCTAGGCATTTTACATAAATTGACGGTTGACGAACTCGTAGGGTGTTTAATATTAATTTCTCCTTCAAGGAGATTCTAGTGGCTTATATTATAGAATGTTATGCAAGTGAAATGTATGAGGAAATAATACAGTCCATTTGGAAGTCTTGAGGTCCCAAAGTACTTATGCAAATACGGTTGGAGCAAACTACGTTCATTCTCTGGAGTCAAAGAGTCTAATTATAGGGGGACGTTCTTTTTGGTGCTTCTCTCATTTAAACTACAGTAGAGACATTGTCTGGCCATGGTCAGACAATAGGCGGAATAAGTCAGACAAAGAATGATTGTTCTAAACAAGGTCCCACACCTCAACAGTCACCGCTGTCCCAGGGCACAGCTTTCGGCTGCACTGCATCGCAAGCACTTCATGACTTTGGATAAGACTTATAATAGACACAGATCTTAAAATATGTCCAGATTAGTTCACAGGAGGAATGTTACCATATGTCTCTTACATCGTTTTGAAATATGCCGTCAATGTTACCAACGGTGTCCCTGGGGAACTACGGACATCAACACAATTGAATCTACTCGGTCGAAGATGAGATTTATTCCTAACGCCTCAGTCCTCACGAAAACAACCAAGATAATTCGTCAATTTCTTTTCCTTCAAGCATGAAGGCCTCGACCAGCTGCATAAAATACCTTCACACCCTACCGAGCGCTTTTGAAACCCGAAATAAATCAAGAAGGACGTTAGAAGCAGAAACTTGCTCTTCCATGCTTAGAACCGTCTTCCTGGATATCAGGAGCAATGCCCACCTCTCTCAGCTTAGCCTTCAATCTCGACGCAATCGCTTCTGCATAGTCGTGTGACGTTTGCGCTGGACCCTTCTTCTCGGCCCAAAGCTGTTGTGTGAGCTTGTTATCTGCCCTGAAAAACGGGACGGGCACTTTGTCTCTGGAATCGCAAGCCTGTGCGCATGCATCCTTGAGATCCTGAAACGCTTGATCGCTCCAAGCCCCACCAAGGATTATTGCACGCGGCGGCTTCGTGAAGTCGTTCGAACCAAGCTGACTATGGAGCGATGGTGATGATGGAAGGGTGCCAGAGATGATGAGGGGAATTTCGCGCTGGGCGGATGCAAGATCATGGCTGGCATAGACGGCTGTGACGTGCATGGTGAGTAACAGAAGTAGAGACGTTGAGCGCATAGAACCCTGAGATTCTAAGACTGTATATCAGTGGAAAAATTAATACGTACCATCATACTCCGGTAGTAGGTTTGCTTTCACTTTCGTGGCTACCGCGCGCACGGCGCCAGCCAGTATGACTGGAACAGGACCAGACATAGTGAGTGGTAGATAAGTGTGTAGAGGAAATTTGAGGTTGGCTTATAGAATCAGGTCACGAAGTTTAATCTGCGGGACATGTGCATTTAAGTATCACAAATGCATCTTGTCATACCGTATAATTGGTGCTAAAGGTACATTCACCATTGTTGCGGCAACTAGTAGGTCCATGCATATGACGGGGACACCTCGGTGTGTCGGCGTCGCGAACCCCGATTCCTCTAGGGTTGCTTTCTAATATCATCAGTTGGCCCTCCATTCATCATATGACACTGCTCGAGGTGAGATGGTAATAGCCTTGATCTTTGGCAGTGTGAATAAGGCGAGTCCTTGGATTTTCAAAGAGTATGCTTGTGGATTTTGGTGCACATCGTCCCGCCTAACGTCTTCAGCATAACGGGATGACACTCTAAGCACTTAGCGTGGAATTTATTCGTTATTTGAAGTCAACATTTATTAATGGCTGTTGGAGGAGGAATTACTGTTGGCTGGCTCAATGTGGTTGTTCCTTTGATGATGTCGATATTTCATGCCGCGGACCTATCTTTTAGGTGATTGTTTTGCGATGCATACAGGACACAAGGCTAAAAGCTGCTCTATTCCAGTATTTACCGTATGTTTAACGGTGAGAAAATCTATCCTACTATCACTGAGCATTTTTAAGCAAGGATAACGTGCCGGTTGAGCAATGACATTACTATAGCATTTATACACAAGCAATCATGGATCCAAAACCTCCTAAGCATACCTTGTATAGCCTATTTCTAGGTAAACTTATTCCTTCCGTTAGACAACTGTCTTTATTTTTTCGGAAACATTTCGATGCTTAACTTGACCCCGAAGGTGTGTCTAAATACCCAATGTTTTTCTCTTGTAAGAGGCATCTCTTCAATATGCTTGCTTGCTGTCCATTCACTCGACCGGATTGAATGCCTGATGATTTTGAAGAACATCGAGGTTCATAACACTCCCAAAGTATTATGATCCGACTAAGGTATTTCCTTCAACGATGGATTTACGTGACAACGTAGACAACACAACATGCGAACAGGTCCTGTTCTATCGCTTGTATGTACTATTTATGGATATTTAATACATATTATGCCTTCAAGAATATCGAAAATCATTATGTTCGTCAGTCGCCACCCTGCTCAAGGCTCTCAAATTATCCACCAGCGTCTCTTCATTTTCGCTGAGTGGTTCTATTCGATGAGGACGCCGTGTATTTAAGCAACAGTACCAGCCTCAGCCGCGGCCTGAATCCAGCTCTTCCTCTCCTGCAGTTCACTGAACCACCTATCGACATTTGGATACCTCTCAAAAGCCGCCTTCCAGCCAAACGCCTTGAGCGCCGCACCATTAGGCAAATGAAACAAGTCGACCAGACTCAAGTCATTACCAGTGAGATACTTATGCTTTGATAAGGTTTCTTCGTATACGGCAAGAACTGCATCAAGATCCCGTTCCGCCTGTGCAACCCTCGCCATGTCTGATTCCAGTCCAAGCTTTCTGCACCGGTGTGAGTATCCTACAAGAATTGATACGGCTATTCAAGCGGCGGGTGTAAGGCTTACTTCCTAATCGTCAGCTCCGTCCCAATCAACTCGGCAGCAGCAGCAAAATAACTCTGCTCCACGGAACAAGCCTGCTCAAAGCGTCCATACGTTTCAGGATCGCCCTCTTGAGGCATAAGAGCCGCGCCAGAATCATATTTCCTACCATGCACGAATCAGCGGAAAGTAATTCCATTCCTTCGATCCATACTTGGTGGCGTGAAAACTTACAATGCGAAGCGTTGTCGGCGGTAAGACAAAGGGTGGATTTACCTTTCCAAGTATCTGCAGATCGCTCGGCTTTCGTACATGAGGAATCCGTTGTCATTTAATGCGGGGACTTTGCCAAAGGGCTGCAGTTTTCGGTATTCTTCGGCTTTTTGGTCGCCTTTGGATATATCGATGGTGATAAGTTCGTAGGGAAGTTGTTTCTCTAGGATGACGGTCAAGACGCGCGACGTCGCCATGGCGGAGCCATAGAGTTTGAGGACCATTGTGGATGTTTCCTTATTCAATACTATTAGATCTGAATTGAAGATAGTTGTTAGTTAGATAATTGAGGGATGTGATAACATTCTGGGGTACGTCTGAGCCTCTGAGGTGGGGCTGTCGATTGTGGTCATTAATTGGGCTTCCCGCCGCTTTTGGTCCGATCCGCTGTAGCATTCTGCTTGTTTGCTTCTTTAGGACGTCATCATACCATGCATTCAATTGAGCATTTAGTACAGTTGGAAGAAAATAAAGCTCTTGTCTTGTATATGATCATCAATATTTACCATTACGTCTTCATACTTCATGCTATTGCTTTGACTTCGTACTGATTTCCCGACCTCCAAAAGTAACCGGCGTCTTCGTCAGAACGCCATTCATTCGCCGATGCGATGCTATCCTTCATCAGCAACCCAAGAACTCCCTGCCCACAATGCAGAATACGTAGATTTGACCAGTGATATCTAGAAAGCACCAACAACTCTCTTCACCATTCTTCTTGGTCCTTCGCCACTCAATTGCACAGCACCCTCGAGTTCTGCGCTCTTGAGGACCTCGAGGAACTCCTGGTTCTCGATTTGCTCTGTCGCTCCCTCCCTGACTTTCCTAGCCAAATCGCTCAATCGTACAGACTGTCCAGCACCAGCCAACTCGTCAAGGCTGGACAGAACTGCGCGCTTCAGATCTTCCTTCCTGCGCCTGTCACCAGTCGAAGTTCCCTCGGTGAGCAGACTCATATCGATGAGACCGGTACGGGCATCTGTGGCTGCTTGTTTGAGGGCCGACTTGATCAAACGAACGGCTTCCAACACATCGTTCTCGGTGACGACCTCAGAAAGACGCATCTTGGCGTGGGCTTCTGAAAGACGAATCATAGATTCGAGTTGACGCGTCGTTGCAGTAATTCGTCGTTCTTGAGAGCGAACATCAGCACCGAGTGATCGCATGGCAACATAGGCATCCACAAGAGCGCGTTGAGCATCATCGGAAATCTTAGGATGGATGTTTGAGCGGGCGTAAGAGATGTAAGATGTAAGGAATTCAACCGAGAGAACCTCATTCTTGGCAGCATTCTCAGGAACATCTTCGAGATACATGCCAACAAGATGGCGGGCGAGTCTTCGATCGTTCTGCTCATCGATACGATCAAGAACGAGATAGACAAGGTCGAAACGCGAGAGAAGTGTCGGGGGAAGATCGATGTTTTGGGGGACAGGGAGGTTGATGTTGTACTTGGAACCAATTGGATTGGCGGATGCGAGAATGGACGTTCTAGCATTGAGCGTGGTGATGATGCCAGCTTTAGCAATGGAAACGGTCTGCTGTTCCATAACTTCGTGAAGAACCGATCTTGTAGCCTCGGACATCTTATCGAACTCGTCAATGCAGCAAACACCACCGTCAGAAAGAACCAGAGCGCCTGATTCAAGAACCAGTTGGCGTGTCTCGGGATCTCGAGTCACATAAGCCGTCAAACCAACGGCAGACGAACCCTTTCCGGAGGTATATACACCGCGTGGCGCGATACGATGCACGTACTGCAAAATTTGGGACTTGGCAGTGGATGGATCACCACAGAGAAGTACGTTGATGTCGCCTCGATACCTCGGACTCCCTCCCTTCTCGAAAGACTTATTCGTTCCACCAAAGAGCTGGAGTAGGATGCCCTTCTTTACGTCGTCCATCTCATAAATGCTAGGCGCTAAAGAGCGGGAAAGTAGGTCATACACATCATGGCGAGCCGCAGTCTCTTTAATCTTAGCCTCCTCCTCTGCACTGACCTTGCGAGTCTCCTCAACATCGCCAGCAGCGTGTTCGGCAAGCTCTTCCTCGATGGTGGACACGTCGATGCCCATGCGTTTTTTGTCGACTTTTTGGATGTGCAACGCATCGACATAAGTCTTGAAGATATTCTTGACTGAACGTTGACGGGGATTAATGCGCACTTGATTGCACTTGAAGATTCCAGTAATCTCGACTCGGTCACCGGCTTTGCAGACATCCACAAGCTCATCATACGCGCATAATGACACGGAGTGAGGCGTCTGACCATCGGGCACACTGTCCGGAGTTTCCTGGAGTTTGATGACTTGCTTGTCGGCAAAGCCAGAACGATTGTGGACAATCTGCATCGAGTTTGCCGACTCGCAAACAGGTCGTGGGCATCGGGTGGGCTCCGTGATCTTGCCACGGTCGATATCAACCTTGACTGTTGCATTGCACACAGAGCACTTAAAGAAAGCTGTATTCAATCAGTAAAATGCCAGTATTCCAAATGAAAACAACCTACCGTCTTTCATATCAGGGATGACAGGTGTAGTCCTGATGACTAGACCCTTGATGCTGACTAGCTTGTCCATGTCTCCGGGGTTTAAGTCTCGCAAATTAATGGTCGTATCGAGCCCGAAAGGACGTACTCGATAAGTTTTCTGATCAACTTCTTTAACGAGATCTGGAATATCCGGCACACCTGGCGCTGGGGATGGTGCGCCTGGCGTTCCGATGTCCGAGCTAAGCATAGGAGGAAGCGAACTGGAGTCTCGTGGTCTACTTTGAGCACCGCGTTGTTGAGATTGCTGCATTCTCAATTCTGCCATGCGCTTCTCGGCAAGTTCGATCATGACATCCTTGACAGCCACATCCATGAGCGGGATAATTTCATTAGGGAAAGCTTGTAGTTGGTGCCATAGCTTTTTGGTTGGAGGATAAGCCTTGAGGTTGCGAGCATCCAGATTTAGAGGAGTGACACCCAATTCAAGCATCATCTTCATTGTGTCAATATACTCCTTGGCCATGGCTGGATGGTCCGCCGGCAGATTGAGGCCCTCGCCGAGTTCGCCATCTTGGATAAGGCGATATTTCCTTTGGAAGTTGAATAGGAAGTCCTTCATCGCATTCATCGAGTCCACGAGGGAGACATTGGTACCCCAAATGACACGAGAAGAATTGCCTCCGAGGACATCGGCATCGGAAGTGTCAGGATTCAAGTTCGAGAAGGTCGCAGCATCGGATGCATCGTGCACCGCCATGCCAGTCTCATCGACAAAGAGCCTCCTGCGACGATTGCCCGAGCTACTGGGTCCAAAGACATCCGAGTGAATGTCGCTACGCCGACTGCGAGCTCCGCCATCAGCACCGCGCACGAAAAGAGCACTACTACTGCTTCGAATATCAGTGTTTACGGCGGCCCGGGCACGGCCAGGGCTAGAGCTGGAGGCATAGTGGATAGGCGATGAATCTGTAGATAGGTCAGCTCATTGCAAGAATACAAAGGGTACCGAGGAGATAGTTACCTCCAATCGTCATGCCACTGGCCCTAGGTGTCCTGTCGCCATCTGTTGCAGCGTCGGCGCCTGCACCATTTGCTGCCCCTGAAGCGGATTCCTGGGTGGGGGAGGATCGGAAGAACAACGGTGACTGCGACTGCGACTGCGACGATATGGTTTGTACTCGAGAGTTTCTGGGTGTAGCCTGCTGAGAACCCCGCTGCGATGCTTGTGAGGCCTCAGAGTGCAATTGTTCGTCTGGGTTGGCGGGACCTGGACTGCTTGAGGGGATCTGGGAATTGCGTGTTGTCCGTGTAGCTCGCGGGGTTACAGATGCAGTGTTGCGCTGCGAGCGACGCTGCGGCGGGGAAGACATGATGTCACGTTCAAGCAAGAACGAGGATCAAAAATGAAGTAGAATGTCTTCGTAATTGCAATGCATTTTGAGGAGGTGGGATAGTGCCCGCACACGAAGAAGACAAACGCGCCAAGAAAGCGCGTCCCGCACTTTCGCGTCTGGAATAATTAATCCCCAATTGGGGCAAGCCTCAAACGCACGGGCGGGTACGGTTTGCTGCCCCTCAGTATGTTTTATTTCAGTTGGTAAAGCATAAGGCAACTCAAGGCAACAACGAAATATAAAGTCTGGAACAAATCTGCTCATTATACAATCGGAAACAAATTGTTCTACATCTTGAAATTCAGACACAATGGCACCACCATCCAAACTCGCAGTTGCAACCTCCTCAGTGATTCGACTGGTCAAGGAAGAAGCTAGTTATCATAAGGAACTGGAGCAGCAAGAGGCCCGTATCAAGAAGCTGGAGGCAAACCCTGCAGAAGACAATTCTGAGTACCAGATCAAGCAAGAGGTAATATACGACTTTCTTTCGGTACTTGTATAACATCAATTAACTCTTCGCAGCGCCAGGCTCTTGAAGAGACGAAAGCGGTGCTTCCCGCTGTTCGTGAGAAGATTCGACAAGCAATAGAGCGAGTGGAAGAAGAGCTTGTAAGTGCATATTCCTTTAATTCCTAGAGTCTAGCTGATCATTACCAAGGAGGCAAACAAGGAAGCTGGCGGCGTCGCACCAGAAGCAGAAGTCACCAAGGCAGAAGATGCCATCACCGCGGGAAAGAAGAGCATCGCGGAGAGTACTTAGATGTGAGAGTATATCGCATAGTATTCATTGATGAACCTATATTATACCCTTTCCCAAATAATAAAGACACATTTGTTTCAAACGCCGTGCGCTATGCTGAAGGGTATAAGATGATCGCAGAAGACAAGTTCCCCTGCTGTGAACTGCTTGTCACCAAGCAATCTATGATTTTGAAATGCAGTATTATCCAAAGAGTGGCGAACTTGTAGAATCAAGACTCGTCCATCTCGTCAGGTGGCCCGTCATCTTCCTCTTCCTCACCCTCCTCAATGCCGGAGGAGTCATCATCCTGGGCGCCAGAATCTGCCATCTCAGTATCTTCAAGCCCAGATCTCGCAGGTGAGACCGCGGTGCTGCCCCCACGGGAAAGTGGAGCCAAACGATCCTGAGGAACCTTCAGGCTTTGTGAGTTATCATCCGCCTGGCTGGTGTGTATCGGGGTGGCTCCGCCGGCATCTGGTTTTGGTGTGCCTACTTGGCTGGCACCACCCCTAGTCGTGCTTCCCTCGCCATCCTCGTTATCATCTCCATCTTTCATCATACCCTCCTTGCGCTCTGCTTCCTCCTTTTCATCCTTAATCATGCGTAGCATCTCCTCCGCCTCATCCTGAATACGACCAAACTGGGTCCGGCGCTCAGCCCATGTATTCTTCGAGTTCTCCACCTCTTGCTGCAACTCGGCAATCTCCTCATCAAGCTTTGCATGCGCGGCAGCCTGCTCATCCCGCGGCTTCAGCATCTTGCTGCTCGTGATCTTTTCCGTCAATTCGTCGTAGGTCTTGCGGATCGCCAGCGTCTCTTTTGCCTCTTTCAGCTGGACCCTCAGCTCCTCGATGTGATCTCGTACATCTTGCTGCTTCGCTGTGATTGCGGTTTTCTCCTTCGCATAACGCTGCCTCTCCGTGTGGTTGCTATTGGTCGTGAACTCCATGCGCACAATCGCGTAATCCAGTAATGAGATCTCGCTCGCGATCTCGTTTTGCCATGTCCTGATGTCCTGAATTTGCTTGTCGTTGATAGCAGCGCGCGCCGCAGCTTCTTCGTCGCCAGCAGAGGCATCCAAAGGTGGAGATGGGAGATGTGTAGGTCGTGCATAGTTCAGCGCGTCTGGCTTCAGAAGACGACTTGACAGTCTTTGGTAGGGTCGGGATTCAATCGTGAGTAATCGTGAGATATTGTGAAGATTATCTGCGCATGTCAGTGACATAGCCTCGAAAGCGAACATATTGCAGACTTACCCTCGTCTGCCTGAGACAGGAGCTCGAAATCTCTGTGCGCCATCTCGATGTTTGATCACGGTGATCGTTCACTGGTCGCGAGTATAGTCCTCAATGAGCTTCAAGTTGCGACAAAACCAAGTGGATGGGACAAAGTGCCAGTGAGAACAAACCAACGAACGTGCAGTTCAGTATTCACGCCAAGGGGCGCTAAACCTTGTCACCAATGATCGCCGCAGCCATCAAGCAACGTCAGCTCTCCAATGTCACTTCCGACTCACCAACTTCAATAATTACAATACCAATACAAGGCAATACCATGTACTATTATGATTTTCCCTGACATTAGAATCCGCTCTATCACCTACTCACTCGACTATCACGAAGCAACGTGAATATTCACCTCCTCCGGGGATCTGCAACCAACTACCTCCTACTTAGCCAACGATTCCCGGTACCTACAAAACCATATCCACGCCCACTCCCTTGACCACCGATTTTCAACTTCCAAGATCCTCAGGGGGCCTTCAACCAACACAGAAACGAAAAAAAAACACACGCTACATAACACCACACACTCCCGCATCGCCCGTCCACCCATTCCACCATGCCCGTCCCGTCCCTCTACGAGCTCGCCAAAACGCGGCTCATCCAAAACGTACACCTCCTGACCGACATATCCGACCTACCCTACGACTTCCTCGCTCCCATCCTCCGCAACATCCAGAACCCCTCCCAGCTCCTCGAGCTCGAGGCCAACTCTCCGCAGATCGTGGGCGAGACCGGCGAGATCTGGCTGCGGTTCATCAAGCGCGACATCCCGAACTGGGACAAGAAGACCATCACGCCTCGGGACCCTCGGAACTGGAGCAAGGCGTATAGGAAGCTGAAGAGGGAGGCGGAGAGGGAGAGGGAGGAGGACGAGGAGAAGTTGAAGCAGCAGATGCGCGCGCTGCAGCAGAACAGGCAGGGGAACCAGACGAAGATTATCGAGAGTAGGGTCCCGCTTGATCCGTCAGCGAGGTCGAGGGGATTCGCGTTTGGGTCGCGGGGTGGTGGTGGAGGAGGAGGATGGGGGAGCGGCAGTGGTTGGGGATCTGGTGCGCCGACGAAGACGGGGAAGGTCGCGTTTGATAAGCTGAGGAGGGGGATATTCGACCAAAAGAGAGCGGCTCCCAAGGCTGCGATGATGCCTGCACATGTTCTGGCCCAGCGAAGAGGAACCGTCGCGCAGGCTCCTGCGAGAATGTTGAGGCTGGCTGAGAATCAACAAGGTGCCCCATCATCATCTCGACCGCAACAACAACGCCCACAGGAAAGCAGCAATGCTGGTGCTGATAGACCACAACGACCTACTCTGCAAGGCAGGAGTTTCAATGCGCCCAAGCCCCATGCCCAACCTCCACCCGTACAACCACAAGGGAAACGGAAACGAGAGGAACCAAACATGTTCATGCAACGGAAGAAGAGATAATCCATCCATCATAAGCAATATTTACAGCGTATCGTATTTTCGGGAGTCTTATAGCATATTCACATCTGCAAACGGAAAGGTAGTTCAGGTCTGACATATTCAGCGCTACAGGGGTATTCAAACATGTTTAGGAGTTACAGCATTATTTTGCGCGGCGCACGAGATGGACATCTTTAGATTTGGTTCTCGTAGCGTCGGCAGCGTCTAGTTGGGTAAATAGGTATCCAATATCCACAACATATCTTCATCCCATAAAGTCTTGACGTAAAGATCGCTAATCTCACTTTTTGCAAATTCGTCGACCATCAAATCAAGTGACCTACTACATCCGGTCCTACTACTACTCTCAACCCACACTCGTGAAGAATCATTTCAAAAACGCGAACAAAGCTCACTGCAGACGCAAGGCACCTCCACTTTCTCAAGGAATCGAAGTCCGGTGTTCTCCGTCAAAAATACCACATCAAATCTAATTAAATCAAGAATTCGCAAGAAAACACCCACGTTGAGATTTCATGTATAATTCATTTCATGTCAATATTATTGATTGACACAGTGAAGTTAAGGTCCCTTTCCCCCTCCACGTATTTAATCTCGGGCAAGGGAAGCGTAAGAGAAGGGAGGTTATGAGTTTGAGTTTGTGATTGAGGTAGGGTCGGTCGAGTTATCTATCTATTCGACGGAACATTCGTCGTTGCAAAGGGAATAGTTTCATGTACGTGGTGCAGGGAGAACAACCACATCTCGCGTGAGGATAGGTGGATGGCTGTTCATATATGTATGCGGGAGGGACGGTGGTGGAAGTCGGTTTAGTTGCCGCCACGGAGCGCGAGGACCAGGTGGAGAGTGGCACCGCCTTCGAGGCTGTAGTCTGCGGCGGTCTTGTCGTCGGCCCTGTTGTTCACCAATCGTCAGTATTTCTGTTGTTTGAGAGAATAGAAAAGCGGTATGTGATGGGTGGTAGTTGGGGAACGTACATCTGCTTTCCACCGAAGATGAGTCGCTGCTGCGCGGGCGGGATTCCTTCCTTCTCCTCGACGCGCTCCTTTATCCTCGAGACCTGATTTCGCCTTCTGTCAGCTGGGGTTGTCCTCATCCATATCTGCGATGTAAACTCCTTCCTAGTCCACTCTTTCGCCGCGGGGATAGAACAGCGGTAGACCATCTTCGATTAGAAACACTTCCAGCACACCCTCAATCCACGGTTATCTCGCAAGATGCGAATATTCGTACCTTATAGTCAGGCTCGATGTCAAGCTCGATCTCCTTGCCGGTGAGCGTTCGCACCCTATGGAAGACGTGATTAGCAATCAATTCAACCTGTTCAATCTACAGCCAGCATTCGCAGCTTCACTCTCCAAATCAGAAGTCTTGGAGGAGTGGAGTCGTATGCAATGCCATGAGAACTCACTTGATCTGCATCGTGTCTTATGTTCTTGAGCTCCTAGCTATGGCGTGTTGGAGTAAAGCGGTGAGACGGAAGCTCTGGACTGCTTGTTCTTCGAGTAGGGAGGCCCCTAGGTGATGCCTGGAGCAGAGTAGGTTGTGAATGCGGAGGAGAAACGTATGAAGAGCGAACCCGGTGGGTTGAAGTTGTGTGGTTGTGCTTCGTCTCAGGCGGCAGTCTGATTGTGTCTGGATACAATACCTCAGATAGTGGGGCACGTGGCACGGACCATACGTGGGGTGGTGTGGCGCAATCATACTGTACAAGTGTGATTGTGGCGTTTCTCAGTTTGGCCATTATTTCTCCTCATAGACAATTATGCAAATCGGATAACAATTCGATCTAGAACTGTCAAAACAAGAATGTACTAGTACGGAACATGGATAATAGATGAAATCTGTTAGGGAGGGTCAATTGATTGGGCCATAACATCCACAGCTATAGTCTCAGGGTTTATCAAATTAACTGTGTGCCTCAGACTTCAGTCATCACACTGTGCAAACATAGAAATCACATTTCATGCACATGTGCATTATATGTTCGAATTTCGATTCTCCACCCAACGATCGACCAATCAATGGCCCATACCACTATAGCTAAAATACATGACGGGCGCAAGAATATGGACAAACGAAACGAAAGAGTGATGCTCGAAGCATCCCATTCATGTGGACGACAGTCCTCCCTCTCTAAGGCATAGGATCTCTATGAGCCTTGCCTGCCCAGTAGGAAAATAACCCAGGGTATATGTGGAGTAAATATGCAAATTTCAGCCAACAGGGAAAAGTACGGGGATCACCGCCCCGACCAAACAATCATAGCGTATTCCTGAAAGAACCACTTCTGCAGCTCCGAGACAAATATGAAAAAATGTGACCCCAAACCAACCATTTCTAAATGCAGGAGACAGTACCGAACTATTCCAAAGTTGTGACGTCGGCGTCAGTAAAGAATTAAAATAAATGTAAGGATATCGCAGATACCATAGATATGAATGAAATTAGAAAACCTTATCGACGAATTTCAGACGATGCAGAAGGATATAGGAACCAGGATCGATGCATGGAACAAGCGCACGAGTGGGGTATGCTAGGGAGAGAAACGTATCATATAGCGTTCCAGGCACGAGATAACCTAGGTCCAGGAAAGTGATTGTGTCGCGAAGTAAGACTCGAGGAATCCGGACCAGATAATCCCATCAAATGGGTACAAATAGCAAGTGAGATGAGCGGAAGCGATTCATGGAACCACGCAAGTGACGAATGAGTATGCACAAAACCATCGAATGAGAGGTAAAGCTGTGTTCTGCCAAACAAATTGGACATAATTGGACATAATTTGAACTTAAATCAAGCTCCAGAAGGTCGAGTATCCGGTTTTTTGTTGAATAAAACTCCAGATTGGGGGTTGATGAAGTCCTGTTGCATGGTCGGCGCGCGTGTACGTGGGCTGCATCCGGTTCGTTCGTGTAAGCCGGCCCCGGGATGTTGGCAACACAGTAGCGTTTCAGGTCCACGCATCACATTGATTGCCAGAGATACTTAATCTTTGAAAGAGCCGATAGGGACCGACGAAGCCTATTCGACAATTGAAATGAAGCGAGCAGACTGACATGGTGGTATAAGTATGACGACGACTCAGAATGCTATGCCTCAGCAAGCCAATAGCAGAAATAGATTCCGATGAGCCTGATGGATATGGCGTTTCAAGTGATAATGAATGATGAGCGCCAAGTGATTGCTGGTAAAGTCCATTCGTGAAATTAGATAATCCAAGAATTGAGATGAATGCCCAAGATGAAAGCGTAATCAGCCGTGATGACGGGAATAATTGGAAGCGCATGCGACACTCAATGAGCAATCTCTCGTGGACCAGCCGGACCGGAGATTCCTGCAAAGATAGCAGCACCCCATTATTGGCACAGCACGTTATTATTGCAGTGCAAACGACGTGGAAAGTAATTTTAAGCAAGATTGGATTGACTCCTCTGGCGGGGTGTTGGACCGTGCGACACTCGTGATTTCGTGGTTGAGGTGAGCGAAGTTTGTTGTGGAGCTCATCTCGCTTGCAAGTTGCAATGCCTGTCTCCCATCTGGCGCTGGTATTATCTGGCGAATCCAACTCGGAACGTGGCGTTCCTCGAGAATAACGTGCGAACCGGGCTAGGTCGAGGGGATGGAACTGCAGCCATGTGTGTGACGGCCGTTGCCGCTACAGTAACCGCTTTGCTCAATCCAGCGTCCCGAAAGCCTCCCCCCGAATTCGGTCATCATGCTGAAACCCCATCATCAATCTTACTGCCCGCCGACTTCCCGTTTAGGTGATGTTGGCACAGACCCCCGGTCATGGCTAGCCAACTGCTGGCGCGGCCCAGGTTGATGCGTTTCAGTTTGAATCGGCATGCTCGATGTTGTATGCGCTCGTTGTCGATATTCACGTGCTTCACTCTGCTCGTGTGATGGTGGTGGAGGAGGATATTGATGTTGCTGGCTTTCGTGTCCACGCATGGCCTGATAACGGTGTTCTGGTCCATCGGTTTGTTGTGCGCTCGACTCGCTATGTCCATGACTTGAGATCGTTCCTCGTCGACTCAAAGAACCGCTATCCGCCCCTCTCGTAGATGCGTCGGAACGGGCTCTGGCGTGCCCTCCCCGACCTCCTGGCGTTGACGTGGAAGACGTCGATATGTGTGAGAAAGATGGTGATGTGTAGGGCTGAGGTGCCGACGTTGGCGGCGGTGGTGGTGGGTGGCCACTCTGGTTTTTCCGCTTCTTTGGGGAGCTGGTATATTCTAGGTCAGACGCATGAGAGAGCGCACGTTGACGGGTGGTGGACGAAGGCGAGGCTTTGTATTTACCTGATGGTGTCGGAGGTGGATTCCCACTGGAGCTCTTTTCTCCTTGTGAAGATGGCGGGACCCAGTGGTGGAAATATATCGACGGGGATGCCTGTTCCTGTTGCGTGGATTGGCTCTGGACTTGTTGTACATTCGAAGTGGCAACTGGAGGCTGCTGAATGTGCATTTCGTTCGTTGTCAGTCTAGGGAGCTGGGTTTGCGGGGGAGCTCGAGGAGCAGATGTAGGAGCACCAACATGGCCTGTAGTTTGTGCGGCTCTTGCCCTTGGAGACAATGTGCCACTGCTAGCGTAGGAATTGGTAGAAAATGCAGCATGTTGCGGTTGAGGTGGTAAAGGCTGGCCAGGAAGCACTGAGGTGGGTGGTAAAACGGCCTGCGGTGTTGGAGGTACTGCTCCATACGCACCAGACTGGACCTGGCCGATTAGTCTCTGGTCACGACGGGCGTCTGGTGATTGTTGGAGCTGCTGAGGAGGTTGCTGCTGCTGCTGTTGCTGCTGCTGTTGCTGCAACTGAGCTGTGTATTGCTGGAGCCACTCCGCACTTAAGCTCGCCAACGTTCCCCCACCCAGGCCAGCAAATATCATGGGCACAAGCTGTGGCGGGATGCCACCTTGCATTGACTCTCGTAGCATCGACTGTTCGATCTTCCTTTGCTCAAGGCGCAGGCTCTCCTGGCGAGTCTTCTCTTCCTCTTGCTTCCTCTTGTCTTCTTCAGCTTTGGCTGCTAGCCAATTCCTCATACCATCTTCGCCACTTTGATACTGCGAAGGTGCCGGGGGTAACGAGCCTAGAGAAGATGAAATTGGAGGTGGTCCACGCCCAGGATCTGGCAGCGTCATCGCCGAGGGCGGAGGGAGTCCCCGGTGTGGCGTGCCCATACTGGAAGAGGCACTGTCCGGCAGTGAGGAAAGAAGTCCACCGTGAAGCTTTGGTGAGAATCGTGCGGACGAAGAAGAGTATGGTGGAGAGTAATCATGAGTCTTGTAATCGAAATCTGACTTGGTTGGTTTAGAAAGTGTGAGCAACATGAAGGGTGGTTGGAACTGAGCGAAAGGTGGGCATGGGAAAGTTCGACATCAGAATGACTGGTCGGGGAGCATCGAGAGCAAAACTTCCGGAAAGAGATGGACCAATATACATACTTATTCTCAAAGAAACTTCCCTGGGAGCAACGTGCACCTGTGGTCCAGAGCACCCAAAGGTTGCCTTCAGGACTAGGCTTAATGCTGTCAGGTACCGTAGGCCCACTTTGATTCGCGGGTAAAAACAAGGCTAGGTAGGGTTGATGGAATGAATGGGATGGTTACTGGCAAAGATGTCTGCAGTGAAGATCTCGGCCAGTAGTTGCTCGCGTGGACCGACCTTGGACGATCAGGACCGGGTTGAAGGGAGATAAAGAGGGTAGGAGTAGGAGAGGCAAAGGTGGAGAAGGTTGTAACGAGTGTACAAGAAGGGAAGCAGGCCGGCTACAGTTTGGCCAACCAACGAAGGCAAGGACGAATACGGCTGGGAGCTACCTCCTACGCCTAACAGCCAGAAGGAGGGTGCAGGCCGCACAGCAAGGTCACTCGGTGTGGCGTATAGCGGCGGGCGGTAGTGGGAATCGAAAAACAAGGATATGCATGAGCAGCAATAAGTTGCCGTCAGCGGTGAGGGATGAGGAGGGGAAAAGGGTCCGCGGTGGGCAGTCTTACAGTCTTACGTGCCTGGTGACGGTGATGGGTGATGGATGGACGATTGCTGCCCTCTTCGCCGCTCAACACTGCTCTGGCACGTCTGGTTCTGTTGCACACTAGTCGGCAGCTGTGGCGCTGGCGCCGGCTGCAAGCTACTTTTTTGACATGCGTCTGGCCAATTTAGAGGGATCCTAGAACTAGACTAACAAAAGTGCGTCGGCGGTAGCTGAAAGGTGCTGCTGCTGGTGCTGCTGCAGTAGTTCCTGTAGCATGGCTTGACAGTGGACTACTGTGGGAAGCATTACAGATTTGACGACTGCTTTCGATCAAACCAAGGCGACCCACCCAACAATATCGAGTATAAAATGGCCTGATAGTAGCGATCAAGAAGTGGGACTATGAGATAATGAGATAGGTCTGCTCGGACTCGCAATCTGGTGGGAAATGAAATTTCCATGCTGCCCATCGTTACTTGATTCGCGTTCTTCCATCACATTCGAGCATAAAGTCCTCCATGTATGTTTATCTCGTTCTCGTAAAATCGAAAGGACTTGGTTGGTAACTTGGTACTGCCCGTGCGGCCGTTATGCTCAATCGGGCATACCATTGCTGTTTCTGACCATAGCCGTACATAATACATAAACCAAGTCAGTCCTCAACTCCATGGGCAACCGCACAATTTCGGAACATGATGGATTAGTATAGCAGCACGCTGTCCGATTGATGCTTTGCCGCCTCCTGCCCTGCCATGCAGTACCGTTTCTGTGCAGTTATTCTCGGGATCCTGGTGCCGGTGGCTGGTGGCTCGTGGAATTAAAGGTAAACCAGTGGACATGGGCTGGAAACTTGAACCGCGGCCCAGGACAGGACCAGGACCAAGAGGCAGGGTCAAAAACGTTCGGGAGGAAGCGAGCGCAATTCTCTGGAAGATTAACGCCCTACCGCACGGACGCAGGCTGCACTGCTTTGAGCACATAAATCTTGTTCGAGGCTGCTGGAGGGGGAAATGAAGGGTGACAACTACTGTGTCAGACATCTACTGTGTGATAAACACGAATCCCAAAGCAGCAGTACGAAATGAAGTTTGCATGTTGGTGGAGCCGCTGTGTATCAACACGAAACTGGCGACAGGAGTACGCAAAAGAGGACACGCAGCCGTACGTTGGCAGGGCACCCATGAGCAGGACTCAGCTCCGAGAGCGAATGACAGTCCTAAATAGGCAATGCCTACACTGTATGCCATCATGGCCAACGGTGGGCGTCTAATGAGTTTTCTCTCTCTCTGTTACAAGGCAGGGAAGCACCGCTGTGGCACGCAAACAAGTTAATACTGCCAGCCTCGAGCTGAACCTTACCTACCGAGTACAAGTACTTGTATGGATCGACAGAGGGAGGCGAGCGCCGGAGCGAATCGACCAGAGCAACGATCGTCAACATGATACTAGGTCGCGGCAGAACGTGAGATATGCACCTGTAGTTGATGAATTGCTATCCATGAGTGGTCGAGAATGTTAGGATTGTGGTATGTTCTGGAGATGTACGACTGGAGGATCTGGCGACGATCGCACCCAGCTTGCGTCTTAGCAGGGTCCCGTGGACGGTGCAATGCTGACTGGCGACTGAATGGTGGACTATGACTATGATGTGTACATACACAGTACATTTTGTGTAGACGCACGCCTGGATACGTACAGGATACGTACCTAATCACTGCAGATGATTGTAGGTGGCCCAAGTGAGGGGCCGTTGGAGAGAATCGGGGTTGCGCAATCACCGGGCGCCTGGCTCCGGTGTGAACGATCGACTGAGCAGTTAAATTTCTCCGTGCAAGCTCTCGCACTTTGCCTATTGCAATGTTGACTGGGATCAAGGTGAAACGCGTGGCGCCCCAGATCAGGCCATGGGGATCTTCTGAACGAGATGGGAGATGGCGGCCGCTGGGGATCTAGACGCCCAGCCAATCACGCACGTCCCCAGGGCTATGATGCGGCCCCCGATGAGAACCTCCACATGAACGAACAACAGCCGCGAACTTGGTCTCCCTCTTTGAAGACAGGACAGGGCAGGGCCATGACAAAGGTGCATTGGGACATGGACCCTCAAGAAAATTAACACAATGGGTACTTGCAATGGCAAGCCCGTCGTTAGCTGCCGTAATCAGTACAATGCCTGGCCGAATGGAGCAATTACGGGCCTTTTTCTTTCTCAGCAAACCTTAAAAATCTTGTAATCTTCAAAACCTGCTTCTCTTCGCTCGAATCCCTTCCCCTCCGTGCTTAATCGAGACGGGTTATAGGACTGGGTAGGGCGTATTCGTCCATACGACGGCAGAGTTAAACAAGATTACAAGACAGAACTGGATAAGTGCCGTCTAGCCCAGTAGCCTCTTTCGACGCGGGAAGGCTCGCTTCCCAAGTAATCCTTTCAGTGTGGCGTATTGCCTCTTTGGGAGGTGAACGAATTCTACGAGCTAAGAACGTGGGTTCCTCCTTTCATGATACATAATCCAGGCGAGATTAACTATTTTGATGACCGAGGTTACCTACGGTTAAGCTCCCAAATCTTGAATCATGCTGCCCTGCCGGGCATCAAAACTTGCTTTCATGGATGCATCTGTGGTTACTCGGATGATTATGGCTGGGACACGATGCGGTGCCAATGGCGAAATGTTGTTGTTTCCCTCGCATCGCATCATTGACACGGGAAACCAAGGAATGCGGTCCCACGCGGACGAAGCTGACGAAGCGACCAAGGAAGAGGAGCACAGGAGGAAGACGCCGTGCCTTCTCTTCGAACGACAAGCGCATGAGGCGTTCCGAGCTACTCTTGCGAGCGTTGGCTATCCATCATCTGGAGCAATACGAGTGAGCGAGGCGTGCAGCACTGCAGCAGAAAGATGGAGAATGTGGAAATTGAATGGCCGGTGGAGGTGTAGACGGTATGCAGTCCGGCTCTTCTCGTTCATCGTTCGGTGACCGGACACGCATTACTACAAAGTTGGGCTGAGTTCGGAGTAGTGCGCCTGCTCGGTCGCTACCGCAATGCAAGTCGTTATGCTGAGCTGGACAGCGGAGCCGAAATGGAATGTACACACGGGGTGTCGCTCCGTTTAGCAAAGGGCCCGAACGTGGAAGCCGACGGGAGCTCTACTGGTAGTGTGTCCTCCAATCTGCCTAGTAACTGTCTACGCTGTGCGTACGACTGAATTCACGCGTCTAATTGCTGCCATCGTGGCCCGTATGCCTCCGCCTTGTCGATCCAAACCTAGAAGAGCAATCGATCCATCCCGTTCCGGCTCGAATGAGTGAAGGGTGGGTTGTAAATTTGCTCCTGCAGGGACAACAACGGCGGCCTGTCTGGTGAACAGAGCTAGGCAACGCAAGAACGCGCGAGTCTACAGACTCTACACCAAGTAGCTGGCTCCACATGGGAAGGGGAAACGATTGCGAAGGTGGGGGAGGCCGCTAGGAACGGTGGAGTACCGTGTAGAGTTTGCTATTCTTGCAAGGCAGTTTGTCTTGTTTGAGCGGTAGTCAGGTAGATCACCTCGCCTCACCATGAGAATCAGACCATAGATCGGCGCTGTGTCCATACATTCGTGTATGCTGGCGTCCCGGGTCCGGTACACCAGCCGCTTCCCTTGATCCACAGGCATCGAGGCATCAGAGGACTTGTGGATAGGCTCAGCCACGAGTTACGATTCTCTCTCTGCAGCGCGAATGCAGTAAAGTGCATGTATCCATTCTCGGTCCGCCCGAAAGGGAACCATGATGGATGATGATTCGATTGAGGCGAAAACATAATGTTTGATTGATAGTGCGGCGAGGCGAGGTAGTGCCTTGCTGCCTGGCTGTGTGCATTTTGCTTGCGTTGCACATGCTAATCATTTACGAGACAGGAAATCAAGGGCATCTTTTGGGGGGAAACAGCTAAATGGATTATTGGATGATTTGGATAGATAGGATGAATGCAACGAAAGAGTCATCACTGATGATGTGAGGGAAATGAGATGGATGGAGCAGGTGGGAAAGGCGAGAGATGGGGAAATTTCCTGAACGGCAAGAAATGACGAGATGGCGGGTTCCTTTCCTCATTTTCGCCACCACAAACAAAACCACACTACATACGACACACCCCATTCATCCAATTCACCAGACACTACTACCACCACCACTACCATCATCACCATCATCATCAATACTACACAATTTCCACTAACGGTACCTCCACCCGTCTACTTCTTCTCGCCCCCCTTCGCTTGCTGTTTCCATTGCGCTCAAATAGTCAGTCCTTGCGAGGGCCTTGAACACATTGAGCATCGAGTATTCTTTCCCTCCGATACCTACCATTTGCCTCCTCCGTTGCCAGATAGGGAACAATCGCCATCAAACAATCCCATGCCCCAGATTACCCAATTCGAGATCCTGATATCCTCCCAATGCGTGGCGTTCTTCTACTTGCATCCAAGTCTCACAAAATGTTCTGCACCGAACACACAACATGCAACACCACGCTTTGTACCGACGATATCGACTAATCGATGCAAAGAATCAACACTGGACGGTAAGGATGCGAGGATAATGCAACATCATCTCTCACTCTTCCCAATTGAACCACGGTACGCCACAACCTGGGCAGTCTGAGGAGAGAAGCAAAGCAAAGAACCTGACAGCAGTGCAAAAGAGCAGAGCATAGATCTTAGACAATAATGAAGCTCCTGAACAATTACCTAACATTAGATACTCGTACCCGTATTCTCTGAACACATGTCGAGATGAAATTGGGCATAACTTCAAAAGAACAAATTAACTCGCGATATATTTAGCTACAGACGCCCAATCCCGACAACGTCATGGCATTTCGACACACATATATGTAACAATCCCACTCTGACTGGACTGCATTCGGAGCCCACTGAACATCACTTCCTCTTCTGAACCACCGACCGACCGACCGGGGACAGCCAATGTCTCAACCGTAAACTCGACTCGTACCGTACCGTCCACCCACCCACACCTCTTCCCTCCCCGACCAGGCGTTGGGTGCCCTGCGGTGCGGTGCGAGCGGTTGTCAGCATGCGCAAACCCAACCAATTGTCCCTCTCCCGGAATCCATCCCATCCCCCAACGCCTTGCCGATCGACATGCAAGCGAACAGGGAGGCTTGCATGTTCTGCGTTGCGATTCGATTCGCGAGGCTTGGGGTGCTGGCCACTCACGCCGTTGGGTTCCCTTCCCGCGCTTCGTACCGGTAGCTACTCCTACTCCTAAGTAGCTTGGTTTCCAGATGTACGTGTAGGTTGTGACCTTCCGATACTGATCAATTTCGAACAAGTGACGCTGCCTCAAATAATGAGCGAGACATTATTAACTTTTTTCTTCCCGGATCTACGCAACACACACTGAATACGATAGGGTCTTCATAACCAACATACTCGTACGAGTTAGGTTCAAAAACCAGTGCCCTCATTGGGACAATAGGCAAACTTGGTTCTCTTCACTGCTCCAGAGCATCGCTTGAGAACCAGCACAAACTATCGCGACATTATAGATTATCACTACATAAAGTATACTATGTTATATAGCCAGTTGTATAGTTCAGCCACTTTTACCATTCCATCCCATCTAGTCCGTCCCCCACCCCTCATCTCCCTGCTGCGCATTCGCATTCGCATGACCAAAAACGGAAAAGGACAAAATAAGGTATCTTTTTTGAATGGACTCTCTCTCTCTTTCTCTCTCTTGCCCCCGATAAACCATCAACTCCCGAAATAAGAAACCAACAGAAGCAAACCCGTGACGTGTGAAACTCCAGAGAGAAATAACTCCGCTTCGCCACCAATTCGGCCGTCATAGCGCGCGCAAGAGAGAGAGAGAGAGAGAGACAGATAGAAAGGTAGGATAGTTGGGTAGGACAGGCCCAATGTTTTCGCGCCGAAAAAGCCTTGTACGAAACGAAGAGGAACAACATTTGCGTTTCGTTACACAAAAAGGCGCAGAAGCGCAGGGCGAACGAGTAGTAATGATGCTCGAACGACTCCGGATTGTGTCGCAAAAAGGCAAGGCAGGGACAGGGCAGGGCAAAAGACCTCTAGGGCGGCAAACAGCAAGCCAAAAAGGGAAAAAAGCAAAGTTAAGAAGCATGCTGTCTAGCTAGCTGTGTCGGGATGGAATTGATCGACAAGGCAGAATGGAACAAAAGAAAGGAAAACGTGTCTCGGTGGGAAAAGATGCCCAGAAAAGGGTCGTAAATTGTAACGTGACAGCCACGTTGATGGCACGCGACGACCGTTCAAGCCACCGATGCGCGGGGATTTACACAGTGGCACATGAAAGGGAACCCCCCCCAACCAGGCCCAGGGATAATGCTTTTTCGGAAGTTCGTTATGGAGTCGCGGCCCAGTGAAAAAAAAAGAAGCAGATTCCCATCGTGACCCGTTGCAGCATAGACCCGTTGGACTCGATTGGATTTCCGTTGCTCTCGCCTGCCGCTGCTTATTCGAGTTGAGATGAGGGAGTGGTGGGGGGGTTGACCGTGGGAAAGCTGAGGAGAAATGTAGGGCGGACACCTGTCCTACCTCAGGCATTGGCTCGCTTCTTCCTCATCTTATATTCCGCCTTCGCCACCCTCATCAGAAGGTCTTCATCTTTGATGGGGATCCACGAGGTCAACACCTTCATTGTGTTCTCGAAATCCGAATCCAGCAGGATCTCCCTCGTTGCATCGATTAGTGCTGCGGATGTTGCATGCAATACATCCAAGTCTCCGCTAAATTGTGAGGTTGATGATTTTGAATTGGAGGCGTCGCCCAACAACATAAACACATCCCAAACGCGCAATTGCGCCGGGAAGGGCAGCGAATAGTTGAACAGGGTCAAGTACCACCGGGTTCCGTAAGCGGTCGAGGTGATGCACAGCTCTTCCTGTAAAGTCGCGAGTTAGCGAAGGACAAGCACGTGGAGGGCGCCAACGCCCACATCTACTCGGCCCCAAGCCGTCAAGATCTAGGCGCAGTGAGGCGTTCCCATGGAGCAGCGAACTTACCAGCTTCTTTGCAACGTCTCCGCCTCGCAGCCAATTCTTCTCGAAATCCTCGAGGGCGTCCATCAAGCCAGTGAAGCCAGCCTCATACAGCTTCTCCAGACCTCGAAGCATCCAGAGTCGTACTAACATGACAAACGCCTTGTCTTCTTCGTAGTAGCAGAGGAGCGTGGCTGCGAGCGCAGCCATGCCCTGCACATATCCCGTGTCGGGCAGGTACAGTGCCATTGCATGAAGGACGCGGAAGAGCAGACGCTGTCCTCCACGATATCTTCGTCTGAACATAATGTGTCTATTGATCGTCCGAGGAACGTCTACATCAATTTGCATGTCATCGGCAGACCCTTCTTCCTGCAATTCGTAGAAGCTCTCGATCAACTCTTCATCTGTAGGACTGTGCTTTTCTGCCTTTGCACTCGCAGCAAGGAAGGCATACCATGCTGTCGACCGCCATCGGTCTGGAATGCCCTTCCACGTGCGTGAAATCAATTTCGGATCTCGAACATCGAATTCAAACATCATGCCTCCACCCTTCGCATCATTGCACTGCACAACGTGAGCCATCTTACGCCATTTCTCTTCGCGCTCAATTTCCTTCATCTTCATGGCCTGAGCCGCCTTGCCACCCTCCTCCTGTTCGGCCAGCTCAGCGAGTCCAGGAGGTAGTTTGAGCATGTCACTAGCCTCGTCCATTAATCGGCGGTCCCTGTTGTGCGGCAGGCGGTTTGTGGCTTGCCTGAGCGGTCTCTGCGAAGCCGTACGGTTGGTGCGAGTGGTCTGGCCGGAGAAAATAGACGCCTGAGGTCTCGACGATTCTTGTGAACCCCTTCTCCTCGGTGCCGCTGTGCTAGGTCTCAATGACCGTGCAGAGCGAGCTTTCGATAAGGTACGCCCGAGACCTCGTTTTCTGGGTTCTTCGGAAACAAGTTGCAATACGGTCGAAACACGCTGTATACGGGGCTCCTCTGGTCCGTCATCCACTCCGTTGGACGATCCCTGAGACGAAACTTTCCTGGGTACAATGAAGCCATATCGGTCAACCTCGCCTCCTTCAACATTGGTCCAGTCTTCGAGGCCTCCGGCAGTTTCTTTTGCTTCCTTCGCGATTATGCTTGTCCGTTTGTAGCTGCGCAATGAGCTGGCGTCACCTCGACTCCGGTCTACTGTAAGGGTGGAACCGTTCATATGCGCACCAGACACACTGCTATCCGTAACACTCTGATACCCGCTTGCTTCCTCCTCTTCTTCCAGATCATTCCACTCTGCAGCGCCTTCATTGCCGTGCCGATACATTAGACGTACTTTGCGCGAAAGCATCATCTCATCAGCAGACAGTATTCGGTTACTAGCCCTTGCTCGAGAGGACATGCGCGACGGAGTACGAGGAGATAGATATGTGTTGGATGGGGTAGACGACTGGGTGGCATCGTTCTGTTCCGGCGTCTGCGTTGGTTGTTGTTCCTGCTTCTCGCGGACCTGCAATTGGTCCCCTCCTTCCTCATGCGATTGCTCTCCATTGTTTTCCTCGGCCTTTTTCTCAATTGCCTCTCCTTTGTCTTCCGGGAGAGGAGCAGTCGGGCTCGTGGGCTCCCCTTCTTCAACAAGACCAAGCTGTAGGTTCATTTTATTTGCACGCTTCCCGCCTAACAGCATGCTCCCCCTTTTTGAGAACGAGACCTGGCTCGGCGACGTGAGATCGTCGAAGCCGCCAGTAGGAATAATAGTATCTATGGCTTCAAAGGTACTTTTGTGCTCTGCCCTCTGTTCCTCCTCCCCGAGTGATTGTTCAATGCGAGAGTTTGCCCGAGCGACGGACTCATGCTGGACGACGATGGCAGGGAGACTCGGGGTCTTGCGAAGGAAAGTCGGTTCCGTGAGTGATGTTGGTGACGATGGCGCATTGTTGGTGACGGTCTGGTCGGTGCTACTAGTTGATGTCAAAGTTGCCAAGGCCGAGTCCCTTCGGAGGTCATCTTCGGCCACCAGCGACCTCTTGAATGCTGATGCTTTGGGACCTGGTGAGGTCCTTGGACGACGCACGCCGCTCAGCCATCCGCGCGACGATGTTGGTTTGGATATCGGGGTAGCAGAAGCAGAGGGATCGTTTGAGGAGGTGGGCAGAAGGTAAAGCTCGCCGTTGGACGATTCCGCAGCGACAAGGCCGCCATCCTGGATGGAAACAGCCTCATCTCTCATGGCGTATATGTGGAGGGCGGCTTGCTAGCTGTCATTGAAATTTGCAGGAGCCTGCGAAATGAAAGACGTTGTGGGCGGCTCGTGCTCGCGAAATGAGGTTGCTGCGCGGATGGCGCAGGTGGGCACCGTTCACAATGTATGAATTGTGTAGGCGGTACGGTACCGTGGTAACAGGATGTATAACTAACTCCGTACCTGGATAGGTATTTGAGGATGGACAATTATCCAGCACAAAAGTTGTAGAAGGAAGGATGGATGACAGCACAAGATGGTAAGTGCAATAGTGGAAGTTTCCTGTGAAGATCAGACCAGGTATCTACGAGTGTTACCTGTCAATTGCAATTCGGAGTCCGCGATCATCCTGGGAGCAATAACTAATGAATGAATGGGGGGGAAGAGGAGACCGACGCGACAAGAGTCAAGACAAGACAAGACAAGGCAAGAAAAGGCAACGCAACGCAACGCAACACAACGGAAGCAGCATCAAGGAGCGCTATTACAGCAGCCTACGAATACATAACTAGATGCATGGATGTTTGGACCCTTTCACCAGAGAAAAAGGGGGCGTTGATGATCGATCTCGTGGGGACGGGGACGCTCTCCACCCCTCATAGAACCAGGCCATACCATTCCTTTCCCGTACAACTTACAACTGCAAGGCCCGCATCTATAGTACTGCATCCATCCCATTTCCTGTACGGTTGTATTTGGTACGGTAGTATCTTCCATGGAATCTTACACAGTAACTACAGTTCTTTCCAGCCATGCAGGGCTCAGCGAGATTGAAAGGCTTCTTTCGCCTTCTCTGATTCGTCGTCGCCACTAGATGTCCGGGTTCCACGACGCCTGCTCACGGGTTCACGGGACCGTCATCCAGTCTGACTGTCTTATTACCAGGCACCCTATTAGATGGTTCTGTCTTCAGACTGCAAGGCTTACATTAATTTGACATGTAAACCACACAGCTTCTTCTAGAACCCTTCTCAAGCCCATCATTGAGCATGGAGATGTGTACGAATACTCGGATCAGGAGATGCTGGTGCTACTCAACTCCCGTGTATTTCTGTCTTGGTCCAATGCCATTGTCCACCAGGGTATCCTTCAATTCTGCTTGTGTTATTATACATCCTCTTCGTGACCTTCAACTATAGTAACTAACTGTAGTATCGCGGGTCGCAAAGCAACACAACTGTTCTAGGCCTTGTACAAAACGCAATTTCATGAATTAGACTAATCTACTTGGCAATAAGCTTCGTTGAACCGTCTTCTTCGTCGTCACGTTTTACAAAAAAAGAAGACTTCTATCTGAAATCCATAATAGTTCTCCATAGAAAAGCAAGATAATACTCGGTGGCTCCCTCCAATAATAGTCGGTCCTCCATTAGTTATTGTCTGTCTCTTCCGCCCCCTGAACCGTGTGTCGCCCTTGCGTATGCCGCCACCATACGCAACCAGACACTTCGCCGTATCACCACAGTAAGAATCCAGGGTTTCAACTTTCGAAGCATAACAAACAAATAACAAAACAAATGACAAACTCTTCGTCTCAACTAGTTGTTGATACACGCCGGTTTGGGCAGACTACCTCCTAGTAAATATTGACTTTCATGCATTTGCGATTCATGATCTCCCCCTATTTCCTTTTCCGTAGAAAGCCCCGTTTAGCTCTCCACAAACACGCTAAACTGCTTTTCACGCCCATGTGATCTTGCTTTTGTGGAGGTTCTAGACGACAACGGTCGTAGGAACTCTTAATAGGTGGTCGGTTATATGCTGGGATTCGGGAACACGGCGCAGGGTGGATGAACATGTATTTGTTTTCCGTACTTCGCGCATCATGGTGCTTCATCAAGTACGCTAATAGTGGTGGCGAGCAATCAGCCTGACCGTGGAAAAATCTCCTTCAGCCGCACTTCTTCTGCAGAACTTCTAATTGAGGAAATATAAGACTAGTATCATTTTGCAAAATTTGGACAAATTTGAGAGACGTAAGAGCAGTCACAACCTTCCACATCGGGGTGGATGAAGTCATCTTTTAGTTTCGCTTTGACAAAAGATTTCAATAGAATATTGGTATTCACATGTTATACGATGGAGCTTTACACATGTCAAACGAACCTTATATGCACCAATAACACAAGATTTATGCGAAACCTCATTCACGGTGAATAGAACTTGCCAAAGAACTCCCTGATATCACTAACCATATCCTCAGGGCATTCCATACAGGCGAAATGGCCACCATGATCTCTCGCTACACGACATATCAGCTCTGTTTGCTTAATTTCGAAACACATGCCAATCACTCACCTTTGTACCATTTCAAGTTCCCTGTCTCCCGCGCTCCAGCCTCAGGCACAGGATACGCATCGTACGGAAACGAACTCACCCCTAACGGGACCTTAATCAGGTTCTCCCTCTTCGCATTGAACTCCGTGTAATCCTCGTGCCTCACGTTATTGTAGTAGCACAGCATACTGGTCATAATCGACGGTGGCGTGAAGAAATACAACGACAACGTCGCACATACATCATCCACAAACCTCGTATCATCCAGCGTCGCAGTGCCGAGATTCGGGTCAGCGAGCTCATTGTACTTCTCGCCGACGAACATCATGATTCCCACTGGAGAGTCGTTGAACGCTACGCCGATGGTCTGCGGTCGGGTTCGCATCTCGATCGCGTAGCCCATGTGTCCTTCGTATAAGGGCTTGCCCATCCACCACTGTGCGCGATCCATGGCGTTTTGTTCCTTCGAAGTCAAGTTGGTGTCTTTGGTGGGAGCCCCGGGACACATGTTTGTGTGGACGGCTTTGCAGGAGGGATATCGTCCAGAGCCTAGTTCGCGGATGACCCAGTGACCCCAGTCTCCCGCTTGCGCAACGTAGGTGTCGTACCCGAGGCGTCTCATCAGCTCGTCATATATCCGCGCTGTGTCTTGTAGTGTCCACCCTCGGGGAGGGCCTTGTGACCAGCAGAATCCGGGGAGGGAGGGGATCACGAGGTCGAAGATGGGGGATGAAGCGTTGTCTGGGTTAAGTAGGGGTTCCATGATGTTTTGGAATCTTCGGTCATATCAAAAGTATTTTTACGAGTGTTAGGAAGGTTTATATTCGACTTACTCATAAAATGTTCCCGGCCATCCATGCACCAACAGCAAAGGGAATACTTCCCTCTTTGCCCTACTATCCGTCCGAGCCTTTTCATGGATGAAATGCACTTCCAACCCTTCGATCTCAGTGTTGAAGTGCTTCCATCCAGCTATCTTCTCCTGTGCATCACTCCACGAGAATTTGTTCAGCCAATGATCATACAGTTTGTTAATCCATTCCAACGAAGGTCCTACGGATTTTCGAAAAGTTAGCGAACAATTGGTACATTGGTCAGGCGATGCGAAAGACGGGAAGCCAGCTGTAGTCACGAGATAGTACAGAGTACAGAGGAAACCAGTCCAGTCGTACCATAATCTTCTCCTGCGTCAGGAACAATCGGCTGCGAGGGCAGTCTCGTATCTCCAATTTTCCGGAATAATCTTTCGACTTCTTCTTGCGGTATCTTGGGGTTGAACGGCTTGATGTCGGACATGATATCAATTGTTGTTTGTCTTTTTCCGTTGCGCAGATAGTTATCTCGAGAGCTGCAAACGAATCAATGGTATTCCCATGCTATCTTTTGCAATAAAAGAGCATTTACAATATCACCAATCTGTACATTCGGTAGAGTTAGAAATGCACTCTCTTTGATGAATTCGTGGTGTTCAAGGGCAGATTCGCCCCGCACTAATCACGAACTATACAGCGTCATGTCCGAAAAGTAACGGAGCGGACGTCATGATTGAGGAGGGAACGGCGCAAATCATTATAGTGCAGACTTTTCAACTACTAGTGAAATGAATTGATTTTCTATTGAAATGAAGATACTTGTTTGAACATGTTTTTGCAGCTTATCAATCTGAGACCGAATGTGGACGATCTATATCACAGACCACAAGATTCCGCGTCAGAAAATACAGATTTGAAAGTTAGAGTTCAACTTTAATCATTATCATAATTATAATTGATTATTTCTGTCTTTTTATTTCAGGAAAATGAAGGAATGTCTCCTTGGTGTAGGACACAAAGTTCTGATACAATATTTACAATAACCACCATCATTACGCTCTTTCTAGTACATTAACAATTCTAGAAAAAAAATTGAGTCTAGAATTTGAAAGTGGGACACTCACTGTGTCATAACTAGATAATCACTTATGCATCCGTGTAGAAATTCCATTCGGAATTTCTAGTACAGTACCACTTCTGAAAGTAAGTAAAATTCAAATGTCAAATATCAAATAACTATCAAACATTACATTCATCATTCAATGCAACTATTTCAACGTCGATCTTCATGCACCAAGTTGATAAAGTATTTTAATCACCATGCTCTAACATACCTTTAGGACTTTTTGCAAGCTTAGTAGACATTAAAATGTCACATTCTGGGTGAATGCCCCACAAAGCAGACTTGCTCTCGCCTCCCCAACCGTCTTGCATATCGACTCGAAGCTGAAATCAAACCCAGTGACCAGTAGCTATTGGTCAAATGAAGCATTGAAATGGCACAGCTTATTAAAATCACCCCATGTTATTGAAGTAAGCATGGACGAGATGGAGTTACTCACGCAGAGATTACGACCGTGTCTTTGATCTGCGTCAGTGGACAGCGAAGATGTGTGGTCGCGGAACCTTTTCCTATTTGGAGAATGTATATTTTTTGACATTTTTTAAGATGTGCAATATGAGAGTGACATTCGCTGCCGGTATTGTTCCATTGTTTTCGTAACGCTCCCGTGTCTGAAGATCGCATTAGTTTAAGTGACAATGCATTGAACTATATAAGCATAGCACAGCTAAAAGACAATGTATTGGTTGAAATAGTGGTACGTGATTGTTGTGATGCTCCGTTCTGTTTGAATAGGTCAGGGTTGATATCAGACTGTTCCCTATACTCTGCCATTCGTTCGATGTCAAGATTGAAAGATACGGTAGGGATCAATCTTTGGAACATAACTCAAGTATGTCTTTGAAGAAAGATAAGGTAATGTAATCAAAAGAGGAGTGTAGTAAACAACCTAATGATACAACTTAATGCAATATAAAACCCTTTCAAAAAATCCCAATAAGGTATCTCAAAAGACAGACCAGGTCCCATTCCAAAGACGCCCTGTCCGAATCAATGCCAAATCCCAAAACAAGCAAAGCCGTAAAACCGTTAAATCCCATTCATGAAGCTCATCTTCTCATTTCCTGACTCCTCCCCTCTTCTCGCATTGCGGCGGAATCGCTTCGGATCCCCGCATTCCCCTCCTCCATATCTCTCTCCCTAACAACTCGCTCTTCCACCATCTGCCCAGCATCCTTTTCCTTCTCCTCCGGAACAACGTAGTACGCTGCCCTGCAGATAGGACAGCTGTACTTCCGGATCCGACACCAAGACACCAGACACTCCTCGTGGAACTCATGACCGCAGACTTTGAGGCGGAGGATCTGTTCTGGCTTTTCGAGTGTTTCGTGAATGGATAAAGACGACGATGGTGAGAGATTGTATAGTGATTCCGGGTTTGGGGATGGAGTGTCGGTGGTGGTGGTGTTGGTGCTGTCATTGCGGTGATGTTGGATTTTCGCTGGCGCAGGTGGTGCTGGAGAGTGTAAGGTCGAGAGGCATATCGCGCTTGGGAGATGTTAGTTCAATTCTGTTCTTTGACGGGAATATGTAAAAAGCGTACCATTCCTTTTCCAAAATGGATATCACCTCCGTGCAGGCGGTTTTCTCGCAATCGTCGCTCACGCAGGACGTAGTTGACGCGGTTTGGCTCGAGAGGCTCGATATTTCTGTCGCGCTTTCGAGTTTCTTCCTTGCTTCATCTCTGCTGTCGGCTGGCTTCCTGGTTTTCGATGCTCGTTCCTGTCGTGGTTCATTACCAGGCTGTCGTCTCGAAGTCTGACGTCTCCGGACGAAGTACACGCACATGCTGTATGTGTCGTTAGCGCTGGGTCCTGCATAGCGAATAATTCACACAAGTTCATTCTCATATGATTCATAATGTTACGAAATAGGAAATAGGGAATTCTTACAAAGGACCAATCAAAAATACGATGAAAAGCGGGACCAGGAAACCTATCGCCGTTGGCGAAAGATTATGGTTTTCCTTCGCACCGGAATCCGTATTCTCAATTCTTCGCGCTTCAAGCGCATGGCTAGCCAGAGAGGTTATCTCATGCCTCATCTTGATCGCTTGCATTTTGACCGCACAATTCCCAGCCCACGTCTGTTGATCCGCTGTCCTCTACTGCAGGCTCTTTGTGCTTTCCTCACGATGACGCACGCGATTTCCAATACCCGGCAATGGAAACGATACTGGAACCAACGGCGACAGGGAAGGCAGACAATACGGCTATGCAACAATGATGCGGAATCGTCCTTCAGGCTGACCGGGAACGGCAATATCGGCACAGGTTGTATGCAACCAAGTTATACGCCGCGTACACCTCAGCACGGAATATTGCTATGGGGAAAACAAAGATGTCAGGCAAGACACGACGTTCTGTTCGTCCTTGTTCTGTTTCGTTGATGCCCCTCTTTTTCCGGAAGTGGTCCGACTGTGTTGCTTTGCGTGGGATATCCTAATGGCGTAGCTATCGTGTGCAATGACGCCGGTCCTCATGCATGGAACTCGGCACAGGAGGCAACTTTGAAGTATCGCTATTTCGATGGGATCCTATGGCCCTTTGTGTACATGCGTGTACGATTACATCCGTCTCTTTGCTTCAATCAACCGCCACATTCAATCAGTCAAGGGTCGATCAGGCCAACGTTAAGGATGTTCGAATTCCACGGGAGGCGATTGGTATAATATTGTTTGGTTCGCCATGCGAAATGTAAGACAGGTCGCTTTTTCGTTCGTTCAACATCAGCCACAGACTGCCATGCGGCGGGGGAGACCCAGTTACATTTATCCTCTTTCCCATGACAGACTGCGCGTGCTGGCATAGAAATCCCAAGTCCACCTCCCAAGACAATTCATGCTGAGCCACATATCCATCTCGTGAGCGAAGGGTCTTGAGGGTTCTTGAGAGGACTTGGCAAGGGCCTGAGCTTTGTTTGTTGGTATAGTTGCGGTTTGTGGTGCGAACGAGTGACTATGATTGATTCCTTGCCTATCTGGCGTGGGTCGTTGGAGATTCCTGGCTGGTCAATTGCGTGTTGGCAATAGAGGCAGCTATGGACCCGGTGGATGTCGGCACGCATGAGGCTCTCTCCGCCTCTGCCATGCTGGGATCCTTTTCGAAAGTTGAATCCTCGAACCAGGTCCCAAGACTGCTCCAGAGGTTCGTAGTTCGAACGGTGGCTGGGCTGACGGAATGTTGATACCACTTTCGGCCGAACTAGAGCGACTAAGCGAGACAGTTCCTCCACTAAGCGCGCATGGGACGAAATGCCACGACCAGCCAAGGAGTTCTCGGGCTTGGGACGGAAGAAATGCCAAGTAGCGGGGCGGGGTGGGATGATCTTTTACGAATGCACAGACGCATGGACCGAACGATTGCGGGCTTGTTCGATACGAGGAGGCCTTGTATTCGTTTCGCTATGCACATGCCCCAAATCCACCTCACCAGTTGAGTAATGGCGGTTGGTCACGCTCCCCTCCCTTTTGCGGGGTATCCAGTTCTCAAGTCTCAAGCCAACTCGCTCTTTGCTTGGTCTTCAGCTTGGCCGTCCTTTAGAAACTTATAGCAACAGACTGTTTTTTAAGGCGAGGTTGGTACTGGGTTGGTGGATACTACGAGTATTGTGAATATGGGTTGAACTCTATCGCGCAAGATGGATATGGTATATATAGATTTGTATTGGCTTATGAACAACAGTAGTGATATCTAGCTTAAAATCATCAATCAATATTATCGAAGAAAACCCTTCTACTCCCGCCAAATCAAGGAGGAGGTTTCTCATGAGGCAACGAAGCCTGGTTTTGAACGCCGCATGCAATAAAATAATCGTGTTCACCAAAGTGGACACTCTCATCAGCCTCTCTTATGGCTATCAGTAATCTGTTCATAGTGATTCATTCAACATCCTTCTGCTGGCATTTTCCTAGCAGGCGGTAAACAATCCTTTCTTGCTCTTGAGATGCGATCGCAAGTGCTCATCGTTTCTCTTCCTCGTCCGTGCTGACAGCCGTCGAGAGATACCTCTCGAAGACCCTCTGCTCGAGATCAATGCTGCCCCTCCTGATGCCTGCCTTCGAATCGCGTCTCCTGAAGAACACACGCTTGCCCCACTTCCAAGCCTCAATACCGAGGAAGAAGAGGATGGTAGCAACAAAGACAATGCCCCACTCCCAGCTGATACCCTTGTGCTTGAAGACAGTGTCACTGATAACAGGAATGTAGAGAACTGGGAAGATGGTGATGAAACCGGCCATAATGGAGATGAAGAGGAACTTGTTGCGCCAGACATCCAAGAACCACTGCGTGAAGTACTTCTTAGATCCAGGTTGCATCATGAAGAACGAGCGGCGCATATCCACCATCTGCCATGCAAGGAAGAGCGAGAACCAGGTGAGACAGGCGAAGCAAGTAGCTCGAGCGCGGAAGACAGTATCGCAAGCATCGGAATAGGAGTCGTTGCAGTTGACGCCAAGGTTTCCATCACCCCAGGCGTTCAGAACAAGCGTAAAGGAGGCGAGGCAGAGTGCGGCGATCCATAGACCGTAGGCGAGCATGTCAAACATAACTTCCAAGGTGAAGACACCACGTTTGAGCTAGTAGTGTAGTTAGTATCGATCTCGTTCAAATAGGGAATTGCGGATCTACTTACCGATTGAGGGGGTCGCGACAAGACATCTGGTGCTGCGATTTCGAATCCGAGACCCATGTCAGGAAGACCGGAGGTAATCATGATGATCCACATAACTTCGACGGGAGAAAGGGGGAAGACTGAGAGACCGCTCTCATCCTTGAAGACAAGTCCAATGAGTAGTGTGCATGCCTGAGCAATGTTCTGGGCGAGCAAATGGAGAATGAACTTCTGAATGTTATCGAACATGCGGCGGCCTTCCTCGATGGCGTTAAGAATAGAAGCAAAGTTATCATCTGTAAGAACGATATCGGAAGCATCTTTCGCAACATCTGAACCAGTACCCATACCAATACCAACATCGGCGCGTTTGAGAGATGGGGAATCGTTCACTCCGTCACCAGTCATGGCCGCGAAACACTTCCTTCGGTGGAGGGCATCAATCATGCGTACTTTGGTAGTAGGGGCGCATCGAGCGATAACTAAGGGAAGAAGGGGCAAAGCATCGATTTCGTCATCAGAGAGCTTGTCGAATGCACCAGCAGTCATGACCATGGCGTCAGTAACATCTTTGGCAAGAGTGCTCATGTTGGATGGCAAGATTCCAACTTCGGCAGCGATAGCACGAGCAGTTCCGGGGTGATCACCCGTAAGCATATGGACCTGAATACCAGCCTTCTGGCACTGGCGCACTGAGCGAGCAGATTCGGGGCGAGGGGGATCATAGAGACCAACAAGACCGCGGAAGGTCAAGCCATCCTCGACTCCGTTGCGGTCGATTTCCTGGCCCTTGGTGTAGGTACCGTTCCACTCCTTGCTTGCGAGTGCGAGGACACGAAGGCCGAGGGCAGCAAGAGACTCCATATTGACCAGGATATCATCGCGGATTGCATCAGTCATCTCAGCGGCGGTTTCAGATTCTCCATTGAAGTAGTCGGTGCAAGAGTAGATCACTCGCTCGACAGCGCCCTTGGTGAAAACGTATTTCTTGTCGCTGGCAGTTTCCTCGAAGATGACGGACATCTTCTTCACAGTAGAGTCAAAGGGAAATTCGGCAATCTGCTTCCACTTTGGAGATTCGCCGGAGGTATAGTTGAGGCGGTTCCATTCGAATCGAGAAGCGAACACTTGGATAGCGATTTCGGTGGGATCACCGCGGGCGTGCCACTCGCCGCCCTCGGCTTTGTGGACGTTGGCGAGATTGGCAAGCGAAGCAACCTTCAAATAGTTTAGCAAATGCTCGTTACCCTCCAGAAGCTCGTTGTGCGAGACTGCTGGTTCCTCACGCTCGAAGTCGATTTCTTTCGGTGGTTTGGCAGTGAAGCTGAGATCACCAATGGTGGGGTTGAAGGGATCGTTGGTTGATCCGACGGAATAAGTACCCTTGGCAGGAATCCAGGCCTTCTTTGCAACCATTTTTCCTTGAGTTAGTGTACCGGTCTTGTCGGAGCAAATGTCGGTAACACCGCCCAGGGCTTCAAGAGACTTGAGGTTTCGGACAATGACGTGCCTCTCGACCATGCGCTTAGTTCCAGCAGCCATAGTGATGGTCAAGACGACGATAAGCGAAGCGGGAATCATGGAAAGACCAGTTGCGACGGCGTAAATGATAACCTCCTGATTGTTCACAAACTTATTGGCACCGAGAACAATGATGGCGCAGACGACGGCGATACCGAAGAGGAGCAGCGCGAGCCGGGAAAGCTTCTTCTGGAGAGGGGTACCAACATTGACACCAAGGAAGTGACCAATGGCATCAGTGACAGTCAAACCCCAGGCTTGGGCATATCGGTGAGGCTTCGCGGTTCCGTCAGGCTTGCGCTTGACTTCACGAACGCGAGAACCTTTCTGGCGAAGGGAGGCGGCGATGGATCCAATCTCAGTGTACATTCCAGTAGCAAAGACGACTCCACGAGCACGTCCTTTGGTAACGGTGGAAGAGCTGTAGGCAACATTCAAACGGTCACCGGGGCCAGTGTCCTCATCGAAGGTGGCTTCTGCGTCTTTATTCACGGGTAGAGATTCTCCAGTGAGGAGTGCCTCATCCGTCTCGAAATTGAGTGCTTCGATCAAACTGAAGAAAGTGTTAGTGTTAATTTTCCCATGATAGTGACACAATTTGCGAGTTACTCACCGAACATCTGCAGGAATGGTGTCACCAGTCTTCATTTCGACCATGTCACCAGGTACGATCTGAACCGTAGCGACAGTGCAGTTCTTTCCGCCACGAATGGCGCTGGCAGTAGGCGAACTAAGCGATCGCAAAGAGTCCATTGTCTTTTCAGCATTGAACTCCTGCCAGAAGCCCACAATCACGTTAAGCAGGATGATAGCAGTTACCACACCACCTTCAATCCACGATTTGATTCCAAAACTGACACCCATAGCAAGAAGAAGCACCTGATAAGGTTGTTAGTGTGACTGAAAGCGACAATTGGGTGAAGATCGGGGAAAGCTCACCAAAGTCATGGCGTTAGCTACTTGTCGTAGCAAGATTTTACCAGGCTGAACGCCCTTATCGTCTCCAAGATCATTGTTACCAAACTCTTGGAGGCGTTTCTCTGCCTCTGCCTCGCTCAAACCCTCATCGGGGTTGCATCCTGTCTCTTGGATGACTTGTTCGAAGGGCAGAGCATGTGCTGGTTTGGTGAGAGGCTTGTTGGACTGTCCGGAGACATGCCCCTCGAGAGACGGTCCTGTCTTTCCCATGGCGAATGATTTTCCTGGGAATGAATGCTAAGGAGAGCTGCAGAAGACAAGCAACCCAGAGCTGGGGGGAATCGAAACCTTTAAAGATCCATCCTCGAGCTCAATCCACTACCCCCCATGGTGGAGTGGGAGGCGGGCTAGAGGTATGGCGTAAAGCCAAGCCCAGCACTTGGCACGTATAGCCAGATACCTTGGGACCGAAACTAAAACGTCATGAACAAAGGATCCAGATTCCGGGCGGGGCGGTTTGGAGCGGAAGATGTGACCACCTCTGGGGTAAATGGAAATTCCGCCGTTGTTTTCAGCAGTCATTGCCGTTATCATGTAAACACATTGAGACAAACTTGAATGCTCGTGAGATATGTTTTGGTGCTCAATTGACCCATCTTTCTCAAGATTAGGATAGCAGAACAGACTGAAGGAAAAACCATGAGTATGACAAGCTCATCGATCGCATACCGTCGGTGGGGTTTCTTTCAGGGTTCATGTGTGGGATGGAATGGGACCATCTTGGAGGGGGGGGGGAGGTCACAGACAGTATCTAGTACGAGTGTGCGGACGTATAGACGTGCAGACAACGATTGCAGTACGAGTAGGAGACCGTATGGAAATGTGTGGATGGTGAATGGCGCATGGGGGGAGGGATGAGTGGTCAATGGTGAATGGTGAGTGGTGAATTGGTGGAGGGCTGGAGTGTGAATGGCTGAGAAGACTAGCGCGCGGCGGGATTCCTTGGTTGTTCGCCCTTTCCGCCCGGAGGACGCCAATACCAAGTCCGACGCCGAGTCGCGCTTGTTATTGGGAAAGACGCTAGTACGGAAAAATCGGCAAACTTCTCACAACTTCTCAACACCTTCAACGTCATCGCCTCCCTCCAAATCCAATCATTTCCACGCCTCCTCATGTCTCACTCTATCTGTCTGTATGGATCCCCGATAGAGGTCACTCTAAGCCCTCTTAGCATCCATTCCTCATTCGATCCTTCAAACGCTTTTTGCCATAGCCAAGTCTCTTGTATTCTTCATCGTGCATCGCCAGTTGCTCTTATTCTGCAGACGTTCAGCGGTAGCACAGCAGACCGGTGGAGAAGCTTGTCCATCAACGCACGAGGCGTATCTAGGCGTACTCGTCTCTCCTCGCTCACTCGGTTTGTTTATCTCTGTAGCCCAGCAGGTCAGATTCTCGGCGAGCCCCGCGCGGATATGCCTAGAATACGCCTAGAATGCGTGCTAAGTACTAAACCACCTTTGGGACAGCCCGCCTGAAGTCGGTGGCCTTCAAAGAGACTAAAATCTTGATCAAAAGGTCATGCAGGTCTGCAGGTAACAATTCTGATTCCATCTTGTTCTGTGCTTCGTCATTCGTTCCATAACAACAGCAAGGCGCAGTGGGCATCACGTTTCTTTACTATATGAGCACAGGCACATCCTCGTCCTGTGCCTGTGCCCTCGCAACAGGATATCAACCTTGGACTCGTACGTCTAGCATACTTTCTTCTAAAAACCTGCTCAACGACTTTGTGTCCCTACGAGAATTGCGGGCCCCATTCCTCTATGCGAACCGACATTGCCGTGGCCAACTCGATGATCACCAGGCTCGGAACGTAAACCACCCCCTTAGACACCAGTCTCGTAGACCTCATGCACTTAGTGATCATGCACTCCATACGAGTTAGAATAGGTTAATCGACACCTAGACGGCTCGTCTGCGCGCTGGACGATCCTCGCAGCACACCTCGCAACCCCCGGTTCTATGGTCGCGAATCTCTCATATAGATATGCAGTATGATCTGTCTGTGGGATTCACTTGCATCTACGCTACACCCAAACAATTCAATAAAGACGCACAATTACGCAGCCTTGTGTACATTGAATGTCCAGTGGCTTTAAGATGCGTTCATACTGCTCTTATCGAAGATCGAGCTCTCAGTGACTGTGACGCGCCGTCGGCAATTGTTGCAAACGAATAGACTCGTTAAAATTGTTTATGACTTAGCTTAGTTTTCAACCTTGAAAGTGGCTTTGAAGTTGTGGCCCCATGGTAATGGAAATATGCTACTGGATAGACAATATGTCAACTTCTGGCCGAGCATCTCCAAGCCAGACAAACATAGCATTACGACTACCTAAAAGTACCCGTATCCAGATCGCATACTTACTAGACATCGACTACATCAAGCTAACGTAGATATCATGCTCGCTGAGAGGTCAGGTCAAACGATTGAGGTTACGCGCTGAGTTGTCTAGACTGGTTCTTAGGACATTACAAATTCGTTCAATAGGCTTCAATTGCCAAAAGGGAGGCCCTATTCTCTATAGAGCAAAAGCGAAAACATCCATATACTCTTATATTCTATCATTCAGGTAACAAACTTGGTCTTTCTACACTAAAGCTTTGAACTTCCAAAGAACTTCACAGCATCATGAAAATGTCGTGAAATAGCTTCAACAACACGATCGACCCTGCATAATCCTGCTAGCGTTTGGTTCACCCCGCCCCGTACTTTGACCTCTTGGTTGAATGGTTGACCCACCTAGTCAATTCAATCTTCAACCCAAAATAACAGATCAGAACTACATACACTTCCGGCATTTTAAACTAGACCCGAATGTCGGTGTGCAATCACAAACCTATCCGTCCTTAAACACTCGAACCGTGTATCCTCCAAACTTACTGAGCCGCGGATGGATAGAGTCAGACTAGACTAGGGAGCGGAAAAACACGGGTTTTATCTACTCCGTCCTCATGCCAATGCATGGCACCTAACAATTCGGCCTTTTCCCCACAACCACACCATTTTCATTGTTCGCCCAGACTACCGCCAAACTTGTTCATACTCTGTAATCACCTTGGGAGAATCGTATTTTCACTATTTCTTTTTCTAGATAGGTTCCCTCGTCGACTCTAATCTCGGGACAATTATGTTTCACGATTGGGGGTAGTTGTCTCCACGGCCAAGAATAGGTACGCGCACATTTTCTTGCACTTGCCCCGCTTGGCCGAGAAATGTCTATACGGGCGGCTTCAAATGGGCAATGGTGGGACAAGAATGTTCTTGGGTCCTGCTGGTTTCAGCATTTATGCCGTGCAAGCTAGAGCGGGTAGTATGTTCTATGTGTTCTTTATAGGTCTTTAGGCATGATCACGTCAACAAATTGAAAAATAGAACGTGCGTTCGTTGTTGGAAAAGGGTTACTACCCAATGTTTAATAGCTCTCTCTATGTACCTATCTATACGAGAGTGTGTATTCAAAAATGATGTACACGAATGCCAGGGGATTCCACGCAAAGGTAAACCCCAGAATCTACTGAGTACACAGATAACGAAAAACAGTGCAAAAAAGGGCAAAAAAAGAAGCAAAATACATACAACAGCGGGGATTCGCTGATGGTCACCCACTCAACTACTAGTCCGCCGGTACATTGCTTAAGTATGGCTGAGCGAACGGGAAGCCCTGTTTTCAATGTCCAATGGTCGTATGTAAAAGAACTGTTTAAATCTTGATTCTATATATGGCGTGCAACAAGACATACAGTATGTAGGTGCATAGAGCCAATTTAGCTTGACAACGAAGATACTGAATGGTCTGATAGAGGAATGCAAATAAGTGTAACGTCACTGGACTCGACCAATAGCTAAGTAGATCAAATCTATGGTTTGTTATTGGAAAAGGTGTTCGTGAGGGCTGCATATAGTTTGTTACACATCTATACATGTCCGTCTCCTAAGTAGCATCATTGTTGTGGAAAGGTTCTTGTGGGCTCATGCTTCCTACTCATTTGCTTGTAATATAATATAAAAAGAGCTTTATCTACGGAGATGTGGCTAGAGCGACTTACTGTTCTGCGCACGCTCAGCTTCTATTTTGCTTGAAATGCTCGTGACAGTCAATCTCTGTGCTAGGAACTCAGGCAACGCCTCGAACAGACTGAGCTGGAGATCGTGCGCCCAATATGGCATTATCTCCACCCTGCCTTGTCTGACAGCGGTAACAACACGATCTAGCACAGCTTTCGCGAACGTCTCTGCGGTTGGTGAACCGGGTGCAAGCGCCCTAGTGTTGGCCTGGCTCTGAACATCGCCCGGACAGACTACGAGGCTGTCAATCTTCGATCCCTCCGCGATAAACTCACGAGCCAGGGCGCGGCCGAAAGCGGCGTTGAAGGCTTTGACCGAGCTGTAAAGTGACATCCAGGGCATGCCTCGACAAGATCCCGAACTCACATTGAGGATGGCTGAAGGACCATGAAGCTTCAAGGTTGGCACGAGAACACGAGTGACGTGGGCCGCGAATCGAGCGTTCAGATTGATCATGTCGTCAATCTGTCCAGCCGTGTGGTCCTCGAGCTTCTGGTAATAGGGTTTGAACGTGATACCACCGACGTTGTTGATCAGGATTGTGAGTGGCAGTTTCGTCACTGGCTCGAGGGCAGTTTCAATCTCAGCAGGTGTCGACGTTCGAGCATCCAGGGTCACAGTCAATATCTCTTTTGCACCGGGCAGCTGCCTCAGCATCGTTTCGGCTGACTGAAGCTCGCCGGGTAAGTGACCAAGCAAAATGACGTTGAAGCCCCGAAGAACCAATTCTTTCGCAAAACCCAGACCGATGCCAGCGCTTGAGCCCGTAACGAGCGCCCACGATCTGGGCCTCTGGTACTTCAGTAGCTGAACGTCACCCGCGAAATTGAGATGAAATGTGAGGAATCTCCATGTTCTTCGCAGGAGAAGGCAGCCCCAAACAAAGCCTGCGGTTGATAAGAGTGTACTTCGTGAATACATGAGGATGAGGATAGGGAAAGGTAGCTCAAAAATACATTGCTAGATCATTTGCCTCTTGCAGTGCAGCAAACGAGCTTTTTAAATTTGTTATTGTCACGGGTTGAACCCGAAGGTCTAGTCCTTAATCGGAAAGACCTCAGCTCGGGAGCACAACCGAATCAAGTGCGCCAGTTACCGCATGGAACTGCACTGCTCCGGGCTACCGAACAACAGAAAACCCTCTGTGACCCGATGATCGTTTCGGAGAGGCTACTCGGGCCAGAGAAATAGCCTGTAGTTGTGAAAGGCCCAAAGATTTACCAAATCCTTGGTTTTCCTCTAGCGCTACTCTCAGAGTGTAACTCCTTGCAGCGTGCAACCATTTTTTTTTGTTGCATGACTTTTCAGCGTTAAAAGATTCCTTGTTCATGATTAATTAGATCAGTTTCAAGAGCCAGTATCACGAAGACTGAATAGACTATGAGCTGATAGGAGTTGCATTCTGCCTTAGTGAGTCTGGTGACCACGACGAATAGACCGAATTGATATGAGGATGTTTACTGACATGTACCAACTCAAAGACTTGACCTTCGCTGCCGGATCGGACGTGCTTGGAATCTCGATAGCATTCAAAGCTCTCTAAACGCAAGGCACATACACGGCAGTATTCGTTACTGTTGCTGCTGCTTTAGTCATCGTCTGTGCAAGTAACTATAAGAACGCTTGAGCGCATGGGCTGGCTCGCCTGGATTGGGGTCACATGTATATCTGTTGCTCGTGAGTTGTCCTTCGTTCATGGTACACCTAGTGCTCGCGGAATGTCTCGTTGGATACGCTATCCTACCTCTAATATGCGAGGGTCTACTTCTGACAGTGTTGATCGTGACATGCCTTGGGTCTCCGACTACAAAGTATTTAGTTATCCAAGCTTCACCCAAGCTATTGTAGCAACCGAGACATTCACATTTGTCTATAGTGAAACACCGCGATTCTTCCCACTTGTATCCAAGATGTGCTAGTTTCTACTGTAAGGGTTGCGCAGAGCTTGCAGATACCTGATAACAGTAATGAATTCGATAGAGGTCTTAGAGAGCCTCGAGTAGGGATTATAAGAATCCCTTACGAAAACCACGCTAATTCTAACTAGGAAACTCAGGAGAAGTACTCAACTACACTGGCCACCAAGTGCCCTCGACGGGCAGCTGGTAGTCGTTAGTTGTTCTCACGGCGCTTTATCGCGATTACTACACTGGATCTCATCCAGGGTATATCTCCTGGGCACCAGCCCATTACATTATTATTTAAATAATAGTTTTATTTTATAAGGCTATACTTAATTAGATTAAATTATAGAAAGTTTAGTAGATTAAGGTGCTGCTATAGGTTAAACTTAGGGCTAAATTAGGACGAGGTTTTCTAATAGCTTGCAAAGCCTATTTTGCATGGACTACCGGGACTAATACGTCAAGACTATCATGACATTGCTATTGATCTCTGATCTCGACCCTTTTCACAATGTTTCCTTTCCAGAATTAATAATCATCGCACATTTGTAATCTCAGATTCAGAGCCTCTACGAGATCACGCATTTCTATGAATGCCTTCGATTATTGAGGCTTTCATAATGGACAAATCATTCTTTCGAACTTTTTATACCTCCCTGCCTATACGAACACACGAGTATGCATTCATTCAAGGTTCTCCTGAAGGTGTTATCTCCAGTACAGAGGTCTCTCGCGCGCTTGCGGATCGTGAAGTGTTCATCGAAACCACCCAACCAGGTCTCTGTGGACCTGATGAACACTACATGAAATCTGGTCAGGTCTTAGGGCACGAAGGCATCGGTATAATACAATCGGTTGGAGCTGCTGTTACGTTACCGAAACAAGGCGACCGCGTGGGCTTTGGCTACACCCATGAAATCTATGGCACCTGCGACAATTGTTCTACTGATAAGCCATATGTGAACTAGTATTGAGAAAGCACTTAGCTGAACCTTAAGGTTCTGACCAGTATTCCCGCCGGCAAAGGCAATACGGCTTCCACGATCTGGACAATGGCACTTTAGCTCAGGCGCCGTATGGGACCCCAAATGTGTGTACCGGATTCCCGAGGGTTACGCTTCGGAGTACGCTGCGCCCCTTATGTGCGCTGGAGCTACAGTATGGACTGGTTTGAGCGAGTAAGGTGTCCGTCCAACTGATAGGGTAGCCATAACGGGCATTGGAGGCCTCGGTCATCTGGCCATCAAGCTTGCTGCTGTCATGGGATGCCAAGTCGTGGTTCTTTCGAGCAGCAAGTCAAAAAGGCGAGAGAATCTTGAATATGGCGCAACCGAGTTTCATTGTTTCCGTTTTGGAGACACGAGAGCAAAGACCTTCGAGCCTGTCAAACACCTGTTGCTCTGTGGTAGCACAGTGGTCAATTATGCTAGGTAAGCATCATTTGTTCTGCCGCACAATGAATTAAGGAACATAACACTAACTACTCAGCCTGATTCCTCTCATGGATACGTACGGTAGTATCTATCCTTTGACAGTCGCTTTCGAGCCTGCTCCAGTCCCAATGCTCGATCTCGTATGGAAAGGGGTCAGGATTCAAGGATCACTTGTGGCATCACGACAAACAATCAAGGATTTGCTTGAGTTTGCAGCTCGCAAGGACATCAAGCCAACGATAGTGACATACCCACTTACGATTGAAGGTATCTCAACAGCGATGAAAGCGTTAAGGAATGGTGCGGTCAGATACAGAGCCGTTCTGGTACGGGCCACTAGACGTGGTCCGTACTGCCGGATGACTATCATCAGTCTTTCTTCTACCTCCAATCAGAATCAGTATGTAAAGGCTTGGGTCCTTGCGCCTCTTCAAATAATTTAGAGAAATCGCCTGTAGTTGTCGAGAGCCTGAGTACTTTTCAAATCCTTGGTTTTCTACAGCACTTACTCTAAAGGAGTCGTTCCTTTCACTAAGTTTATTTAGTAAAATGATTGATGATATTAATTAAGCTTTAGAATGTTACATACTCGTAATAAAATGTCTAGGTAGACCCGCTTAAAGAACCAATAGTATAACAAAGATTGAATAGACAGTCAGATGTATAGAGTTATGAGCAGATACAACAATTATCTACTCTTTTTGAAGATAATAAGAATAAGCGATAGATAAATTCGCCGCAGCTCCTATTGCTTCATGGAGTTCGTTTATGTCAGATTGTATATGCCGTAGTGGGTGGGCTTCAGTCTGATTAGGGCCACAGCAAGAAACGTAGTAGCCACCCGCTCCGTCATTAATAGCTGACGAGTGTTATAATAGGGTAAGTTACATCTTGCATATTTACGGCCACTTGCGCAATGTTATGTTGCCCCCCAAAAGCCTCCAGATGTACAGACAGTGCTTAGGTAGATCGAAGGAGATTTGCCCTGTTCATCACAAAACCAATGGCCACAGCTTGCAGTTGCAGACGACACTGGCTGAATATTAGCATTACTTTAACGCGGCGTTGCTAAAACCCCGCGCTTTCTGACCAAACATGGACACAAAAGGGCGGAACTCCGCATTGCAACTTTCTCCAGACAACAACCCTTTTAGCATTCACAGCATGAATCAACCAGGGGGATTAAATGAGAAAAATTCTCGACGAGCTTGCGAACCCTGCCAGTAGTTTTGCGCCAACGTCCTGCGCGTGCAAAGAGCTAACTTGGTGGCGTAGGAGGAAGAGGACAAGATGCCCTAGGGAGAGACCAACCTGCTACTTCCGCGTCCGACTCTGTCAACCATGTATCTAACTATCTCGCAATTAACAATCTAGCGAAAAGAGATCGACTCGTGTTTCAAAGTCGCGAGTGGGCCAATTGAAACCAAAGGAAACGACGTAAAGTCGCATATGCACCATACTTTGTATAGCTACAACATTGCAAAGTATACATGTCATGTCTGCACCGTACCGGACCCTGTATATATCCTTTCTCTTTTCTTTTCTGATTCGGAAAACTTTTTCATCCCTCACTTAATCTTTCACCTAAGCCCACAAGGATGCATATTGCTTTGCGTCAAGCTATCAGTGACGAAGAGCAGAAAATCCCGAACAGGGATGCACATTGACCAGCCACCCTTTGAAGCCAAGTTGCTGGGTTGTCAGACAGCCTGCGAGGTATGAGGTACAAGGGAACTTACTTGGCATCTCGTTTGCGCTTTTCATATAGATTTTAATTCGAGATAGTCACGCAGGTGGTGCAAGAGAGACAAGAAATAACCCGGACACATCTTAATTGCTGCTGTTAACCCTGCAATTCAGATGTCATCACTCCAACTCTTGTTTTCTCCTATGGCTGCTTGAAAAAGCTCACTAGACTTATCGGTTCACCTCTACTTCTTCTACTATTTTCTCTCTCAAGTCAGCTACTCGTCAAAGCACTATGATATCCATGTATTTCTTGTTCTGCGCTCTCTTGGGCTCGTCTTTCGCTCACAACTGCCCTAACCCTGGAATTAACGGATTCGCTAGTGCCGCAGGCGGCACAACTGGCGGAGGAAATGCGACCGCTATTACAGTCACCAACGTCGAAGACTTAGGAAATGCCGCTGGGGCCTCAGGAGCTCGCGTTATCATCGTCAGGGGCACGATCAACGCCGGTGAAGCTATCAAAGTGGCGAGCGACAAGACCATTAAGGGCGAGAACGCTAATGCGACTATCGTTGGAGGGTTCGACATGAATGGCGTTCAGAATATTATCATCAAGAACCTCAATATCCGCGCCGGCGCCGCTGCCGACGCTATTGCCAGTCGCAACTCTCATCACATCTGGTACGATCATCTCAGCATCTGGGATGCCGGTGACGGACTTCTAGACATTACTATAGAGTCTGACTACCAGACCGTATCGTGGTGCAAGTTTTGGTACACCAGCAAATCTTTATCCCACCGCTATGCCAGTCTTGTCGGCTCTGGGGGCGGCGACCATCCCGGGGACGAAGGCAAGTTGCACGTCACGTACCACCACAACTGGTGGGCCCAGAATGTCGACCAGCGTATGCCGCGTGTCATGTACGGTGACGGCCACATATATAACAACTATTTCGACTCTCCTGGCAACTCCTATTGTATTGGTTTTGGCTCCTATGGCTCGGTTCTTATTCAGAATAATTACTTCAAGGCCGTTTCCAATCCACATCAGATGATGTACGATGTATTCGCGTTTGCATCCGCTACGGACAACATCTATGACGACACCTTAGGCAAGAAGGACGCGGGCAATCTTGGATCCAGGCACGTAGTAGGACAGGAGTGGGCAACAGCAGGTGCTTTCACGCCTCCATATTCCTTTGCAATAGACGAGGCCTCAAGCGTGCCTGTCCTTGTTGAAAGATGTGCAGGGCCCCGTGATCTTGAAATAGTTTGATTGCACATGCACTCCATTTCACCTTGCCAGCACATTGTGCTCAAGGGCTAAATATTTCCATGCAAGGGAAGCACTCTTTTAGACGTACATGCTGGATTTAAACCGGTAGCCTATTTACTTGCATAATCATCAATATCTGCAATTGTAATCAACACTCCTTAGTTTTCCACTTGCAAAATCGATCAAGGTAATGATCAATCAATCATCCGTAATTTTGATCAGCATTAATCAATAAGCTGCCTGCAATATCGATCAATAGGTGATCGAATTCCGAAATAATTATCAAAATCGATGATGATGTCGGTACCTACAATGTCAATAAACCTGAGTTTATCTGGTTGACTTTTCTTTAGCCAATTAGATTGCGTCAATGATGTATCATACAGCCAATCAGAACGACTAGATCGAAGCTCATCGCTTGTTCCTTGCTAATCTGATGAGACTGGACTCCTGAATAGAAGACGAACTCTACGTGAGCTTCCTCTCGTCAACTGTGGTCAAGGCCAATGCCTATTTGCTTTCATGATGAAAGATACTGCGCGTACTTGCATAAATTATACATATAGCCTTGGCGAGGCTATTGTATTTACACCCGAACATGCTACAGCATCATTGTAATGCTTCGCTACAGCTTTTATGTTATCTCAAATACAGCAATATACGATTGACCTTAATTAATTTTGAAAGCGATCGCGAAGGAGTGTTGCTTGAGCCATTATATCTCAACAGCGTCGATGGATGTCTTGGGGCCATTGGGTCGTCCGAAGGCTCGATATTGCCCCAAACTGATGGTTCAGACTTATCAGAACTTAATTATACTGGACTCTCGAACCGAGCCGAGTGATTACAAACATCTTCTTGAACTTCGGGCACGAATGGAGGCCGGAAGAGCGTGCTTCCGACTGTTGCGATAATAATGAGCGGGAAGGTTCCGCACCACGGATTGCTCGCGAAACGCTAGGGAGCCTGCGACTTGCCGCATACTCGTAATTATAGCATACGATAACAATCCACCTATAGCGTTGCGTATAGTCTAAGCCTTCTCGCAATTGAGCTACCGCGATCAATCTTTCGGAGCTTTTGGTATCACAAGTCGCCATTGATCGAATTGCTGGCTGAGCGTAAGAGAAATAAAGACGATGCCGGAGAAGGGGCCAATGGAAGGAAGAGATGGAGAGAGAAGTAAACTTAATCAATCAATTACGATACCAAAGAATGTGCCGTTTCTTTGGGTTAATGGGGTGGCTCGTTATTGTATTGATACTTTATTGAAAGATGAGGTGACCTTGTCTCATGAGGATAGAATACCATGATCCTTCCTTTCTGTTGTACTACATGCCTCTCTTTACACATGGCTCAAACACCCCCCTTCTTTCCCCCCTCAATCTCAATTCTCATTTCTTCTCCCTTCTCTCCTTTCCCATTCTCCTCATCCCCCAGATTCCCCGATACCTTAGCCGCCTTACGCATCGCCCACCACGGCCCCTCAAACAACGCGTCCATATTCTCCAATGCCCTCCCGGCCGTCTCAGGAACCATGATATAGCTATAAATCAACGCCACGACACACCAAGCGACGAAGAATACGAACGCACCCCACTGATTCATGGCGTTCAGAAGCGCGGGTGTCGCCTTGGTGATGCCGAAGTAGAACAGCCAGTGGAAACCTTGAGAGAGCGCACCGCCAAAAGAGCGGATGCGATTAGGCCAGAGCTCGGCGCCAAAGAGGTAGGGAAGGGTGTATAGACCTGTCGTTCATAGTGAGCTAGATTAATATGTGTAATGTGGGGAAGGGTGGGAAGAGGAGACGTGTATGTACATACCGACGGCCCAGCCAAAAGCATGGATATAAATCACTCCGATCGCCATGTCTGATGCCCCTGTCGTCACGCTGTCCTCGTTCCGCACAAAGAAATTGAGATATCCTGCCAGATACGAATGACACAGCATCTGCACGGTGATGCCGACGAACAGCGACTTTCTCCTGCCTAGTGCATCGACAAAGAACAGCGACGCAGCAAGACAGCACACCAGCTTTGCGAGCGCGTAGAGCCCTGAGGCATAGACCTTCACGTTCGTAGAGCGCACACCAATGATACCAAAGATCTCGGGCAGGTAGTTGGTAACACTGTTGGCGCCTGAGAATTGCGCGAGGATGTACGCCACGATAGTGAGTTGCACGCGCCGCAAGTTTGAGCGTACGCAAAACGTCTCGCGGATGATGGAGCCGGAGCTCATGTCGCCGAACTCGCTTTGTTCGCGTGCGACTTGGGTGCTCATCATGTCCCATTCTGCGAGCAGATAGGCGTGGTCCGAGGGGAGACCTCGAAGGATTGTGAGGGTTCTTAGGGCTTCATCCGTCCTCCCGCGAAGGCAGAGCCATCGTGGGGATTCGTGGAGGAAGAACGACATGACAACCCCAATTGCGGGGACGAAGCACTGTACGAAGAACGGAATCTGGTATTGTAGGCGTGATGTTGGGTTCACGTGGACGTTGCATCCAAAGACGATGAAGATGCCAATCATTTGAGAGCTCAGCATGCAAACGTTGAACCATAGTGTCATGAGTCCTCGCGTGGTTGTGGGTGCAATCTCCACGATGGCCATGGGGCCTACGACGGTGAGAGAACCGATGCCAGCTCCCGCGACTAGACGGCCTACGTACAGTGCCGGGAGACTGCCATATGAGAAGGTTTCGATGATGTTGCCCAGGGCATATATGGCCATGTACAGTCTGTATGACCAGATTCGTCCGAGCCGGTCATTCAAGAAGAACGAGAGGAGAGCACCAATTCCTGCAGTGAGATTGACGAAGGAGACGATGTTGGAGATTTGCTCTGGGTGATTTTTGGGTGTCACGCCGAAGTGCCTTTGGAATGACTTCAGCTGTGTTACGGATGCTGTCGTACCTTCGTCCCAACCTGTTGGTGTTCACCTGTCAGTCTTACATGCGCAGGAAAGTAATGGGTGGTACATTTCGATAGGCACGTCGAGATGTTTCATCCTCTATGGAGTCGAGATGGAGATGCCACACGTACCTTTCGGCATGCCAGCAAGAGCATACATGATGACCGTCAGCATCAACTGATGATTATAAATGCCCTTTGGTGCCTCCTTCACGCTCTTGACATACTTCGCCAGGGGCGAGTTGGTAAAGATACCCATGATGGGATATTTGAGCGACTCTAACGAAGACTTGACAGCGCTGGCCAACAAAGTGATAATTTGTCAACAGTAAGGAGGATCGAGGTCTCTGCTTCCACCAAATCTCAGATCCGCAGCCCCTTTACTTTATACCCGAACTCATGGTGTGGATAGCATTGGAAATTGGTGCTTCTGTGGGGTTCAGACATGCGGAGAAGATTCCCCAGGTTTAGTCTTCTGTTACTGTCATTAGAATCGCCGGTATTGGACATCGGATACATCCGATGAGGGAAGCGCGCCCAATGGGATCGCGGCCGATGCTAGGCGGGAACCAATAAGCAACTTTGTTAGGATACGCTAGGACGATAAACAACACGACATTTGTGTTTAGGTATGATGCAGACTGTATGCAGACGTTCGGATCGTTCTCTGAGTCTCTCACATGATGTTCTACTTCGTCGGACTCAACCACGGAGGCTACCACTTGACTTAGGCTTCCTTTTTTCGTAGGACGCTAACTGAAAGTAACTAAACAATATACCAGCACAATCTTGTTGAACCCATAAGTCTAATCCAGTTGATAATGTCGCAGGGTTTACTCGGTATCTACTCAAAAGACTCTGTATTCCTTAAGGAGAAGAGCCAAACAACAAAATACAAAGGCTGCAACTTGGTATCCAATGACATGCGGCATAACTTTGACGGGCCCGCTCGATAACGGAACGAAAAGCAACGAACGTACAGTTCCAGTGCGACTTTGCAGGATGTCCCCCTCAACAACTAGTCGGCCCCTTTGGTACATTGTAGAGGCACAATAGTAGTTCAGGAGGGGCATAAGTGGAAGTGTTATCATTGTTGGAAAAATAAGAGCATTGATGGAAGGAAAATGGATGAAATGATCAATATTGATCATTACCTACCGCTTAGACTTCTTAGGCGTAATGCATTGCCGCGCTTTCCTACGGTACTACTCCAGTATGTATTGTTGTAAGAATTCCTCCAAGCTGACAAAAACCGCAACTTCTCTTCACATTTTACCTTGAAGTCTCTTGTGTTTTCCAATACTAGTGAAACTGAATTGTCTAATGACCCAATCTTGGTAAGTAGTTGCCTCGTTACGACGTCCTCTTACCAGCTCCTATTCATATAACCACAGATAAAAGAGAGTAATGAAGATTATGTATAAAAGGTTGCACCATCACTAGGAATGAGATAGATAAGTACCTCGTGTACTCAGAATCCCAATGAATAGCATTAATCTACTTCTCCATAGATCGAATGTTATTCCCATTTAGCGCTTGCAGCCAGCCACAAAGTAACCCTTCTTACTTGCAGTATTTGACTATAGTCAAATCTCAGACTTTAGGCAGGACACCAGGCCCAACAGATTTCCTCTAGTATTTGCAAGAACGGTATGTTACATTAATCTACATTCACTAACCAATTGAAAACTACATTTAATTAGATTGTGAAGATGAAGCATCATTCAATGCCATCAAGTTTAACGCGCTCCCTGCTTTGAAATAGCCAATCTGCTCTTCGTTGAGTGTGTGAAGAAGTTCTGTCCGCCAAGCGGTGCCATTGCTCGGTTTCACCGCCATAGTAATTGGCTTCCCAGACGCTAGCTCAGCCAGCCCCAGCAGATCTATCCTGTCGCTTGCTGCAATCCGATCATATACGGATGGATCCGAAAATGTGAGCGGAAGCATGCCCTGTTTCTTTAGGTTGGATTCATGAATCCGGGCGAAAGACTTTGCAATGATTGCAACTCCGTTCAAAAATCTCGGCTGCAATGCAGCATGCTCTCTGGAAGATCCTTCACCATAATTGTGCTCAGCTATCACTACCCACTGTTGGCCCCTCTGTTTGTAGTCTCGAGCTGTCTCAGGAACGCCGGCGATCTGGCCTGTAAAGACATTCTGTACCATGTTTACTTTCTGGTTGTATGCATTCACAGCACCAATGAGGGTGTTGTTCGAGATATTTTCAAGGTGACCGCGATATCGAAACCATGGTCCGGCAGGGGTAATGTGATCTGTCGTGCACTTTCCGCTGACTTTGATCAGTACCGTCAGATCCTTATAATCTTGCCCGTTCCAAGATGCGAAGGGCTTGAGACGTTGTATACGGTTTGACGTTGGTGATATATCCACATGAACATTTGATCTTTGTGGCGGTGGTGCAACATATCCATCATCGGCTTCTTGGTATCCATTGATTGGCAGATCGACTTGTGGGGGTGGGTTAAACCTGAATTCTCCTGCTGCGGTTTGGATAGAATCCGTGGCTGGGTTGAAGTCAAGGTTGCCCGCAAATGTTTTCGCAATGACCGTTTCTGGAGACGCAAGAAAGATCTTTGTCGCGGGGTTGCTGTCGAGTCGCCCTGTAAAATTGCGGTTGTACGATGTTACGATAGAGTTGTTCTGCCCCTAATGGCGCTTTCAATTAGTTATGCCCCCCCAAAAAGAAACTTAATCTGATTCGACGCCGACCTCTGGAATTATCTCACCTTTGGCATTTCTTGTCGATCCCACGAGCCGCAGCATGGCCCACAAGCATTTGAAAGTAACTTTGCTCCAGCTTCTTCGAAAACTTCCAGTACACCGGAATCTTGGAGAGTAGCGCGAGTGGCTTCGCTGCCTGGAGATAGATAGAGAGGTGCTTGTGGCTTTAATCCAGCAGCCATAGCTTGCTTTGCCAGGTGAGCCACACGGCTGATGTCTTCGAAGGAGGAGTTCGTGCACGACCCAATCAGTCCAGCGCTGACTCGATTATCCCAGTCGCTCTTCGCCACGGCTTGCTTGAATTCTGTAAGCGGTATTGCAAGGTCTGGGGTAGATGGTCCATTGATGAATGGCTCAAGCGACGACAGATCAATGTTGATAACACGGTCATACTCGGCTCCCTCATCCGCTCTTAGCAGGTGCCGCCAGGAGGAAGATGCTTCTCGTATATCTGATCGACCTGTCGCCTCGAGATACGCTCCCATTGCCTCGGTGAAGGGAAACATAGAGGTTGTAGCGCCAGTCTCAGCCCCCATGTTGGTTATGGTCGCTGTAAAAAGGCATCGATCAGAATCATTACGGAAAAAAATTTTGACCTTCTGAATACTCACCCATTCCAGTGCAAGAAAGTGATTTAACGCCTTCACCAAAATATTCGATAATCGACCCAGTTGCCCCCTTCACCGTCAACTCACCCGCAAGTCGTAATATTACGTCTTCCATTATTAGTACAACCATACAAAACGTGAGATAGAAGCGTACCTTTAGGGGAAGCCCATTCTGATAATTTCCCAGTCAAATTAACGCCGATGACCTTCGGCGTCTTCAGCTCCCACGCCAGCCCAGACATGACATCCACTGCATCCGCACCCCCAACTCCAATGGCTGCCATGCCTAATCCTCCAGCATTAGGAGTGTGAGAATCGGTTCCAATCATCAGCCCACCAGGGTAAGCATAGTTTTCAAGAACAATCTGATGTATGATGCCAGCGCCGGGCTTCCAGAAACCTGCACCGTAGCGTTTGCATACGCTTTCCAGGAATTTATAGACCTCTTCGTTATCGGCTGTTGCTTTTGCTAGGTCGGTTGCATATCCGTCCTTTGCAACAATGAGATGATCGCAATGGATCGTTGTAGGAACTTTGACGCTATCCAGTCCTGCGGACATGAACTGGATTAGAGCCATTTGTGCTGTTGCGTCTTGACATGCAATTCTTGCGGGGCGTAATTTGAGGTAGGAATCACCGCGCCGTATATCTGCCTCCTCCACGTTATCTAAATGGCCGTATAAAATCTTTTCAGAAAATGTCAAAGGCCGTTTCAGCCTGTCGCATTCGAGTAAGTCGGGATGTGGAAATAAATCATTTTGGAAGGGCGTCCTACCGCTCTTTAACTTGTTGGATTTTCGTATCTAGCAATGCATAGTCAATGTACGCATCCTTATCGAGACGGCTCATTCGGGCTCTGGAGCGAAAGGGTGAAGCAGAGGCCATCGTCGCGCGTTGTACGTTCCGCACTCGCACAGGATGGTGCCATCGAAGGAGTCCATTACGAGTCATCATGGGTAGTTTGGGAAGATGAGAAACAAATAACCAAATCTAGGAAATTATTTTCGGGAAGTAAGGTCTTCTTATCTAACAATGCAAGCCAGTACTTCGAATTGATTTCTCAACCGGTGCAGACTCACCAGCAGTCAGGTAAACGGATGCATCCGAGGTTGACTGGTTCCGATTACATTTCCGATTCTCCACACTACCTTCCGATCTAGCACCCATTCACGTGCCAATCAATGCGATCTCATTATGCAAACTTATGACTGTCCGCTCATGAACATTCAAAGACATAATAAGGTCGATTAAACTCTTGGGCGAGCGTAGAATATACTGAGAGCGTCATTGTGATTAGATACAACCGGATTAAGTGACCTGTAAGTTTTCTTTGCACATTTTCTGATGGAGGATTTGACATGCTAAATACTAGACATCATCATCAAAGCCGTTCATGCCATTCAAGCTAGTATGGCCCTTCGAATAGCGTTGAGGTTCCTCGAAATGCACCTACTATTACAAGCACGTCGACACCATTTTCCAATAGTCAACGGGTTTTGGGTCATTACGTACACTTGGAACCATTATTCGCCATAAATACATTGAATTCACCTCAAAGCTGCGCACGTGCTACTCGAAGGACTCTTAAAAATTGTGAACTTGGAATGTTCACTATTCTTACCAGTGTCATTACAACTAGTTTCATATCTACCTCGCGAAGCGTTCTCTCACTGTATCACCAAGCCCTACCATGCAGATGGTAGCCCAAGATGCAACACCAATTCTTGGCACGATACCTCTGAAAAACCCCGTGATCCCGTTTTCCTTCCATATCGACTTAGCTGTCGAAATCATTGTTGGCTTGATCACTTCGCTAGTGGCTTTTACGGCTTGCATGTCGACACGAATGACCTAATTCACATATTAGCTTCCGACTACTGGGTAGAATGATCAGATATACCTCAAAGGGCTGATTCCAGCAGCTCAACGCTCCTCCAATCGTCGATGCTATGATTTTCTCTCCTATTGATAGCTTTTCGGCCTGGGATTTGCCGCTCATTTTACGAACTGGGTTCTCGGCCGCTTTCGATATTCCCATTCTTGAAGCCCAACCACTGATTTGACGCAAGGCAACAGCATTTACTCCCTTGTTAACCCCGCGTATTCCTTGAGTGCGAAGAATGTGCACAAACGTTTCCATGGTGCCGGGTATTTTGCCGCCCGCTGCTGCTGTTTTACTTCTGGTGACTTCGACTGTCTTCATACATGTTGTCATTCCCATAGTCAGGTAGGACTGAGCTGCGCCACCCGCAATGCCTCCAAGGGTAGCACTAACAGCTGGACTGATTCCGAAAGTTCGGGTTGAATAGTAAGACACTTCTGCAGAGGTGAGGATGAGGATGGCGCCTTTAGTGGAAGCTTCGAGCCAAGCCTGGTAGACACATTTAGTAGTTGCGTAGTTCAAGTGCTTTGGTGCATACCCATGGAATTAACCCCTGATAAAACCCCCGTACAGGACCTCTTTGCCAAAGGGCATGAATGGCTTCTCCGAGGCTTGCATTTCTGTTCGCCGACACCTTCACTCATCAGTACTTGGCATTGAGTGTAACTCTACCCAGACTACTTACATAAGTTTTCATGTTTTCCATTGGCTGACCAAGTGAAGTAACTGTACAGTTTAAGGCCTTAGACCTACAAAGAGGACTCAAAAAGCTATACCTTGGAAAATATTCATCCCTGCTCCAACCAACAAGTTGTTCCATGATATCCTCTTCTTCTCTGGATAATGCGGTTTAGAGAGAAGAGGAGCAACTGGATAAGGACAGTCCCGGGTTGCCATGATCGTACAAAGAGCAAGATAATAGTTATGGCAATGGATAATAAGTTGTTTTTTTTTCTTCCCCAATGCCGCGAACGCGACGGGCTTTAGATGTTTGGCAAACTGCTCATGGTGGTATCGGATACTTCCGATGGTCTTGGCGTTGGGATGGGTAGGTGACTTTCATTGCCGAAAGCGGTTATCATCATCGGAATACTATTATCAAAGTCGGCCGAAAATATATCGTCAATGTTCTCCAATGAAATATCTAATGGGTTCGGAAAGGATTGGCCATGCGCGTGGGGATTATGCGGCCTGAGGTTGCTCGCTGTACCGCTATGATGGCTGCTAGTCTCCTGGTCAGAGAATGAAAGTGGTGCATAATTATCACGAGTCCCGAACCATTCCATGAATTCGGCATCGATCTGACCAAAATGCTGTTGGGTGGTGTCGTGTAGTGTTTCAGAGGCAGTCGGTCCTCCATCTCGCGCCGAACTCTGTGCCGTATCAAACAAAGTGACGGTGTGATTTCCAACACGCTCAATAATGTTGTGGCACCGAGTAGCGAGTGGCCAATAATCGGCCATAACCTCAAAGAGCGCAAGACATGAGACAACGTTCGATTTGACAACAGCCTTGGTGGTGCTTGCTCGTATCTCTGGGCTAACAGACAAGGTGTATAGCATGGTGATGCTGGCCATGAAAAGTGAATGAAGCGCAATCCATGTATACGTGATCTTGTTTTTCGCATATAGCGATGAGTAGGAACTGATGAGACTGATTGCGGCATCTGCACAGAGTTGCAGTGCTGCCGAATCGATGATGGGATTTCCTGGTGACGGTCGATACAACAAGAGCAACGCGTGAGAGTAAGCGATCTGGAACCAGTCTTGCGATTGGAACGTAGCCATAGTCGGACGAGAGTAGCGAGGTGCTTGTGCTATCCAATCTTCGAGCTGTGAGCGTAACTCAGTCTGATGATAGGAAATTCCTTGGGTCAGGAGAGAAGCGGGATTAGCTGAGTAAAACAAAGCTTGGATTCTTGATTGTATTTGCCTCAACTTCACTATATGAATAAATGTGGACATATCCAAGGGTTGATTGAAGATGGTGTTCGTGGGCGTAAAATTTGCGACTAGGTCGTCATCGCTTAGGTTTTGAGGAAGTGGAACATCGATGTCTTCATCTCTCATACCACACGGGCGGCCAAGAGTGATTGAAACATTTCTATCAATAGCATATGCGCTCCAGAACACTCTTTTACGCATTTCAAGATCGAACAAGCCTAGTTCTGAAGATAGGGATGCTAGTGTTCGATGCAGTCCGAGGTCGATCGCTGTTCGAATTGCTTGTCCGGTGACAAGCCACGCATTTGCACTTTGGTGTTCGTTAATGGCGAATTGGGAGATCAAGAGAAGGCCTTGTACAGTCTGAATACTATCCTCCTCAAGAAGAGAATGAAGGTAATTCTCAGTCGCATATCGGAAAAATTGCACATGGTCATCGCCGAACTCGGAATCTTGACGCTTAACATCGATTGCACCTAGAGCCAGAACCATGAAACTCATGAACAGAGAGATTTCGCTCGCTTGAAATTTCAAGGCAAGACAGGGTTCGAAGTGCTGCTCTAAGAAAGATCCTCGATGCAAAAATGGTAAAGCAGGCCAACGACTGGTGAAATAAGCTGTTTGCAGCCTATTTGCAAGGTCGTCATCGGGGAAAGAGAATTGGGCATCGGTTGATGTTGTTTGGCGTTCGGCAAGTCGTAATCTCAGTGAACTTGTAGCAGGGCCATGCTCTCCCTTGTAATCTGCCTGAAGAAGTATGCCCTTGACGATAGTTCCGAAGAAGAGGCCGCTCGAGTCGCCAATGAATCTCCCACTGCGCGTAACATCACGAGGTATTGCAGTGAAGTCGTCATTGGTAATACCAGTGATTGAGGATGGTTCATGCGCATCCGTGGAATTGAAGCTGAGCGGAGTACTGTGTGTTGCTAGCACGCTCTCTGTTGACGGACGACTGCCCTGAGTCGAAGGATTTGCTTCACTGGATCGGATCTCCAGCTCTTGAATGCGCGCTTTCAGTCGCTCGACCTCGAGTTCCAACCCCTCCACATGGCCACGGGGATACTGGCGATTGGTGAGACGATCTACTACTACGCATGTAGCACCAGCAGCCTTGCATGTTGAACACTCCGGAAGCTTCCTATCACACTGTTGCAATTAGCACCTCTAATATGGATCGATCCGCAGGCCAATAGATTACCTTGTTCTTGCGGGTCCTGCACCTTTCGCATGCAATAGACACACGCTGCAGACCCGGCCGGTGCTTCCGTCTCGCTGTGGCGCCTGTCACAGTCCCTACACTCTGAGGAGAAGATACAGCTTCCCGAGGCATCCTCGTCAGCTGAGAAAGGGAATTCGCACTGCACTTTCAACTGTCCAAAAACCAAGTCGTGCGATCCTAACAGCATGGTGGATCCTTCGGATGTATCCGACGGTAAATTCCTCTTCGAACAGTCACGTGATCATCCCCGCAACACCCTGTATTGTTAAGTCTCAAGTACTGCCCATATCGCAAACTTCTGACAGCGCATTAGTTCCCTTGTCTAATAGCTCATTAATTCGGCGAGATATTCTGACACCTTCTTAGCTTTCATCGACCATCGCCATCGACTTCATCAATACACAGCCCCTAGCAGTAGTATATACCCAAACCCAAGATGTCGGCGCTGATCAAAGCTTTGAGACCTTTTGCTTCTTGTGACGTAAGTTTGTCCAATATATTGTTCTGCATTGCAACTCACGTGGCTTCAGATCGGAGGTAACATTGTGGCTTCTGCGATTCGTGCAAGGACTAACAAACAATTTAGACGCACTTGTCAAGCTGAAATATCCCCTCGGAGGATACTTGGACGGTATATCAATTTGGAGTCCAGTGAGACAAGGCACTGGTGCAAGTCCGGCCATCATAGGGGAAGCAACGACTGTGAAAATGGTTGCCGCAGACGATGCTGCAGCTCCTACACCAACTAAACATTTTGCAGACTCTACGGAATCAGGCAAGATCATGTATATACAACAGCCCAAGAAGCTCTACTCCGCCTGCTTTGGTGGACTTATGGCAACGCGACTGAAGGCATCAGGTGCCGCCGGAGTGGTCATTGATGGCCGTTTTCGCGACATCCAAGAGATCCAAGATTTGAAGTTTCCTCTCTTTGCTCGGGGAAACTCCATCCTTGGCTCCAATACTTTTACAAAGGCGTCCGAGTTAAACGTCGCGCTTGAATTCAAAGACGGTCTATACATAAATCCTGGAGATATAATTGTTGGCGATCAAGATGGTGTGGTTGTAGTACCACCATCTCTTGTTGAGCAAGTTGTTCAATTATGCGAAGAGAGGAAGAAGATTGATGAGAGAACACTAGATGATCTAAATGGTGGTGCAGAGATGGGCCCAACTATCAAGAAGTATCGGAAATGAGATGTCCGAAAATACCTAGGTAGACTATTCAACTGCAAGAAAGAGCAATAAACAATACATTGACATGAGAACCGATAGCTTTAAGCCTTTAATATACAATGCCACCATGTAACACGCATGAGTTTCCAGGCATATTCGGTGACTGATTGAATACATGCAGCCTCAGTGGCAAACTCAACTCATCAACAGTAGGCTGGTGGAGGCTGAGAATTTGTCCCTTGATGCGCGTCTTTATCATGAAGAAACCTCTAGCGTTATTACCTCTATAGTTTGCTTACTGTATGCCATTATCCTTCGTGAGATGGTGTGAACCGGCTATGCACTATCATTCCTTGCGCCAAGGACTGTCGGATCTATCCGACCACTATGCTTGAAGGCATGCCAAAGTCAAATATTCCGTAAGTGATTCAATCGGCCTTTAAGTTCCAATCCCACGGTTTCAACAATTTTGCGACGCATTTTAACATGATCCCACTGGCGGTTCGCAGCTTGCTAGCTTTCCAACTCGCTCTACCAAGATCGCTCATGTTAGTCATTAATACTTTCATCTCAGGGATCGCACGATCTCTGTTGCACATCAATGTACTGATATCATATCGTCTAGCGTCATGGGAAGTATCACGCAGACTGACGTAGATTGGCATTTACCCCGCCACTCCTGGGACACACACGTCCATGTCTTCAACCCTGCCGAATATCCGTACTCACCAAGCCGAGCCTATACACCCGATGCAGCTCTTTACGAGTCTTTGCTTGAGTTCAATGGCAATTTGAGCAGGTCGCATCGTCCCCAAAACTTGGTGCTGGTCCAGCCCTCCGTTTACGGAACGGACAATGGCCTTATCATTAATTTGCTCAAGAAACATGGCAGGTGTGGAGAAGCAGAACAGCGAAAATTGCGAGCCATCGTTGTCATTGATGAGCATGAAACCGATGAAGGCCAGTTGCAAGAATGGGATGATCTGGGTGTGAGAGGCTTTCGCATAAATACAGAAGCAGCAGGAAACGGAACAGATTACGAACACTTACGACAGAAGATTATAAACACTGCTGAACGCGTCAAATCTCGAGATAATTGGAAATGTCAATTGTTCATATCTGGTGACAGTTGGGATTGTAAGTCACACCACTAGGTATACGCTATCTGTAGCGCTGATGATTGTTAGATCTTGCAAACACACTCCGTCATCTTCCAGTGAAAATCATAGCGGACCATCAAGGTGGAATGAAGGGCATGACTGCTTTACCTGCGAATATCACTTCGGTAACAGAGCAACCTGGGTACGCATCGATGATATCACTCGCCAAATCTGGTAGGGTATACATCAAGATTTCCGGGCTGTATCGCTCTTCCAAGCTTACGACGGGAGGCTATGGTGATCTCGAGCCATTGATCAAAGCCTTCGTGGAAGAAGTGCCTGGTCAGCTATTATGGGGTTCAGATTGGCCGCATACAGGATCTGGCGCCAATAGAACCGAGGAGACCAAATATATACCGGAAAAGTTTAGGGACGTGGATGACATCGCGGTCTTGAAGAATCTCCGAACATGGATGGAGCGAAATGAGTGGGAGCGAATGATGATTGAGACTGCGGGCAAAGTATATGATTGAGATTAAATATCGCTCACATGCACGTGAATTTCAAAACACTGCCAATGTTGTACTTCTTAGGAATCATATTCGCAGATGTGCCGTTCCGATATTGTAGTTGGACAGTGTTTGTTACTTTTCAGTTAGTTCTACTGCGCATCGGATACATCCGCAGTAGCCGACATTAAGTTTAGTCAATATACTATTGTGCAGTCGGAACACGTTTGCTATTAAACCCATCAATAACCCGGGGCTGTCATAATCAGGAATTAACGATTCAAACACCAAAATGAGTTGCGTTTTGAGATCGCAAATTCGCAGGTTTCATCTTAGCCATTGCATCCAAAAAGCGCAACGATCATTGCCTGCTGCGTATTACAGGGGTGGAACCTCACGTGCGGTGATCTTCAAAGCCGAAGACCTACCACAAGACAAGAAAGAATGGCCATCGATATTCCGCGGAGTCATCAACTCTCCTGACCCAAATGGCAGGCAGCTGGATGGTATGGGAGGCGGTGTTTCTAGCCTGTCGAAGGTTTGCGTTGTCGGCAAATCAGAAAGAGAAGATGCCGATGTTGATTACACATTCGCAGCAATTGGTGTCGCGAACTCAGAAGTCGATTTCAGTAGCAATTGCGGCAACATGAGCGCAGCCATCGGGCCATTTGCAGTAGACGCAGGCCAGGTAAAACACCAAGATGGCAAAGCAACTGTGCGAATCCACAATACCAACACAGGGAAAATCATACATGCGAAGTTCCTTGTCAAAGATGGAGAGGCCGAAGTCGATGGTTCTTTTGGGATCGATGGTGTTGCTGGTACAGGAGCAAAAGTAGAACTTTCATTCATCAATCCAGCGTATGTGAACCAATTCGAAAAGACATACGTATCTGCTAACAATTATGGAGAGGTTCCAAGACTGGAAAAGCTTTGCCGACCGGAAATGTCACAGACACTTTTGACGGGTTCACCGTTACTTGTATAGACGTTGGAAATCCATGTGTCTTTGTCGAGGCCTCACAATTGGGTGTTGAGGGGAGCATTCTTGCTGACGCGATCGATACGCATCCCGACCTACTGCGAAAGCTTGATGGTATCCGCAGAAGGGCAGGCGTCGCTATGGGGATTGCAAAGAATGATGAGTCGGTGCCAGGCTCTATTCCAAAGATAGCTATGGTCGACGTTCCACATTCGCATAAGATAGTTGGTGGAAAAATAGTCGGAAAGGAAGATTGCAATGTGCTTGTACGTGCAATTTCTGTTGGCCAACCTCATCGCGCTGTGCCTATCACCGTTGCAATGGCCCTGGCAACTGCATCTCGATTACAAGGATCAATTGTACACCGCAATACATCTCCGCAGCCTAAGGACGGGGTGACAATCGGGCACAACAGTGGCACGCTGGTCGTAGATGCAAACTTCGATGAGAGTGGAGGTGTAAAGGATGCGACCGTTTTTCGCACTGCTCGTCGAATCATGGAGGGAACTATTTACTGGAAAGAAAGGAAAGATGAAACCTGAGCTGCAATACGTCATAAATGTATAACACCATAACTCTGATATCCTCAAATCGTAGGAATTTGAATCAATGTCCTATGCTGCTACCAAGTGTCGCGTTCGTTCATTCAGTATCGATCAAGCTATTGTAGGAGTTTATCATCACTATGGATCCAGTCAAGCTTTATAATACGCTAGATTAATAGCAACTAAGTTCGAATTCACATCGAAGGTTTTGCATATTTGTTTGCAAGGCCAAGGAACGCCAGTATATCCCAATTTACGGTCGGGCAGCATCCCACACCTTCTCTCCCTCAAAGTAAGTTCGCAGAACGCTTGCCTCAGCGAACTCGCCCCGACTTAAATCTCTATCCACAACAATGAAATTTGCCTTCTTGCCAACCTGAATGCTTCCGACTTCTCTTTCTCTTCCTACTGCCTGTGCGCCATTCAAAGTAAGCATTTGCAATGCAAGTTCGGCACCCTTCTCTATGGAGCCATCCCCGATCTGCTCCAGCTTGTTGGCCATAAAGCTCAGGATAGTAGGATCAGGTGCCGCGCCCCAATCCGACCCTACAGTTATGTGTGCACCTGCTGATCGCATTTTGGCAAAGTTCCAATCCATCAGTTCACTGCCTTGCTCAAGTTCGCTTCCGAAAAACGCCGCAGGGCTCATTTCAGCAGTGACATTCAATCCTGCATATCGCTCATAGTCTCCTACGACGTTATTAGAATCTGGAATAGGGACTAATTCCATTTTGATACGCACCTTCGTTGACGCCACTGTTGTGCGCAATTTCGTGTCTGGGGCCGCCAGGATTGTTCTTCCGTGCTGCCTCAATGGCGTCCAATGCCATTCTCGTTGCTCCTTCACCCGTACAATGAATCTTTACCGTCATTCCAAGCCGATCGTACTGATTTACTGCCTCAGCAACATCTAGGACTTGAATGTGCGTACTGTTGACCTTGCCATCCGCATCGAGTGGAGCGTGCGAAAGGAACGGCGGGAGAGGAACACCATCTAGGACGATCTTGACAAAGTTTGGATGGACATGCGTGCTCCTGAATTCTTCCGCCTCTGCAAGAAGGCGGACCGAGTCGTCTTTACTTTCACGGGACACCCATTCAGGCCCGTAAACTATATGAGTGAAGACGTCGAGTTTCACCGTCCCTTCACGTTCCATCTCGCTTAAGGCACGTAAGAGCATGGTATTCCCGGATGCCTCCTGGGCACTTGTGATGCCGGATCGATGCGCGGTTTCCATTGCACGCTTGAGGGCTCGTTTTATATGCGGTGTTCCTGGCCGCGGTAAAGATACTCCAAACTTGTTCATGGCGGTCTCGCCCAATTCACCCGTCAGGCTCCCGTCTGGTCGTCGTAGGAAGATGGATCCTTGCGTATCGGGCTCGTTGTCCACGTCGTAGCCGGCCAGCTCCAGTGCAGCTGTGTTGAGTAGCGCGCCATGCCCTGCACCGCCGCCTACAGCGACTGGACGATCAGGAAAAGCGGTATCCAGATACTGGCGGTCGACGGTGTTATTTGGAAATCCTTCGCTGGTATACTGTCCAGCTAAGATCCAATTCTGGTAGGCATTGATATATTCGCAGGCGCACTCTCCTTCCTGTACTCTTTCGGCAATATTGAAGCTCGTGACATTTGTGCCAATGTTGGCATCCGAAATGAGGGCGAGACCCGAGAGCATCAAGTGTGCGTGTGCATCGTGAATTCCGGGCATGGTGAAGTTGCCTTTGAGATCGACGACGATGAGCTGAGAACGATTGGCTAACGAAGCTACTTCCTCCGTGCTCCCAACATGCGTAAATATGCCCTCTGGTGAGACGACGAAGCCGGAGGCCCATGGATTGGTAGTATCGACAGTGTAGATCGAGCCATTGATGAATGCCACGGAGTTGGCAGGCGCCAACGCCCACGAGGAAATGTTAAGAGACATGTTGCGAGATAGCACTCTGGTGAACTAACTATGAGGTCCATTGCTCTCTACTTTATGTACCTGGTACGTATCTCATGGTCCCGGATCGATCTTGAGGTTTCAATGGCCTGCACACGTCTACCATCATTCAAGTGCGGAATAATTCCACTGTTTTCGATACTCAGGAATATTGTGGTCCGTCTGAATCCAGGCTTTAAGATTGTCCCTGGCGTCCCGACCACGGCCCGAGATGTTTGATTGGTCATCGTTGCCAAGGAACGCGATAGGCGTTATTGTTCTCGATGCCATAAACCCCAGGATTCGTCAGCTAACCAATGCTGTTGTGCGTAATCTCGGCCATTTATATCTTGGCTTCGGCTTGATATGCTGAACTTAATCTACGTTTCGCAAGCTCAGGTCTAAGCCCTCAAATGACCATGTGGTTCGCTCCGGCATTCTTGCGATAGTCTACGAGGCGAACATCGCATGAAATTACATGGTAAACAGGTAGCTATTTCACCTTCGGCTGTACGATTCTGTCCCAAGCATAAAATATCTAACGCTTAGAAACTAACTAATCTTCTGTAAAAATCAGTTACTAAGTATGAACCTCATTCCCACTACCAAAATATATGTGTTTATCATCCTTTTGTACTATAATGAAAAGGTTTATCTTGGAGAATCATATTTATGTATCTTCCAACAGCTAAGCCCGCATTTCCTTGACGGCTGTCTGAATATCCTGTTCGTTCTGGAGGACACTTATAATTGATTTCTCCTGAACGTCCCACCGACTAGACAGTAGCAGAGCAAGCGGGTTGTCTTTCCATGTATCCGCTTTGTCGCCCTGAGATAGCCAAACAGTAGCTATCAGCAGCACAGCTGTAAGGCACAGAAGAACGGCAAGAAGGGCGAGCCATGCTCATCAAACCTTGATATGAATCCTTTCCCACTCAACGGAGCTCAACGGAACTTATTACTCCGTGCTGCTCGGGCAACAAATTTGGTGGCAACGTTGAGTTGGCCTCCCGCGCGTCATGGGAATGGAAATCTTGGAGAGCGATCCCTGGACGTCATGCACTGGAGATGGCGACATCCTTAATATTTGGAGCCATGTCTATCATCCTGAGTATTTCAGATTGATTCCTCCAATTTAAGCTTGCTGAGAATGATGTCGGCATTCGCGTCTCAACTGCTTATATCTATTGTACCTATGAAAGGGACAAGAATGCCACTTGACATGATGTTCCATTAAGCAGCTCTCAATTTTCAACTGCTCGCGGGCTTGCTGTTCAGTGCGCATGCCCAGTGCGCTCTGGTATGGGAGGTGGGTCGCCCTTGTCACGCCCTTCGAAAGTGAAAATAGGGGAAGTAATGTCACAGAGAGTATTCTCAATATACGTGCCATCCTCCACGCGAGCTGTAATGATGTGGATACAATTGCAAAGTGTGCGTTGTCTTGACTTCATTGTGCTATTTGGGATGATAAACTTGTAATTGTGTATTTCTTCCATTCAGGTACGTGCAGGCTTGATGACTTGAGTCCCTTGTTTACTAGTATAATGAGACATTTCCTGCCTTGTATCTAATGCTTCGAGTACACGACTAGTGGATGTCCTGTAAGCTTTGCTTTCATGTGGAGTACGACAAATCTGGAAAACCAGCGTGAGGGTCCAATTGCTCCACCAATACAGGCCAATCCAGCTTCTAGGCATCCTAAGTTAGTTGCCCATCTTGTTATCTATGTATTCAAACTATACTCACGATTGAATTTGTAGGCTCCTTCAAGCTCTCCCTCATCGTCCATATAAGAGAATCGACCATTTTCATCTGCAACACTCTTCCCGAAGTACTCGCGGATGATATTTTGAATATTCGGGTCAAAGCCTGTTGCAAATATAGCTAGATCGGCCGGAATCTCTGTGCTATCGGAGAATCGCAGGCCTGACGGCGTGTAGTGTGTCAAGGTGGCATCAGATTTTACTTTGATCTGTCCCAAGTAATTAGTATTCATCCGCATGTATCAAACAGGGTCACATACGATTCGACTAGCAATCTTTTCGCTTGCACCAACGTCCATGTAGTGGCCCCTACACGCTCGAGAATATGCCAGTATGGATCACCAAAGGCGTTCACCTTAAACCCAGCCTTCTCTAACCTTTCGAAGCTATCTATGTTCTTGCGAATAAGATCATGTATGAAAACCTGAGAGACTAATCGTTGAACGGCATTTGGAGCAATGAATGAAAGCTTGTCCGACACTTCAGTCGGTGTTCCTTCGATAGACTTAGTCACCCAGGACCTGAAAACTTCATCCCAGAGCGCTTCTGCATACGCGAACTCGAGTAACATTGCCGCCCGTGACCACTTCGCGTATAGAACCGGAAAACCCGACATCCCTAAAGTAGAGGATTACTACTATGGTATTGTTCTACTGCCACGAGACTTTCAGGCCAAGTTCACTGTTAGGAGTCCAGCGATCCAACAACTCTTGGACAGAGAATTTTTGGCGACTGGGAAAGAGGGGAAGTCAGAGAGTTGGGAGTGATTACCCTTATTGCTTTCTATATGCAGGAATAAGAGCTAGATAGAGAATGTTCAAGTACATTAACAAGTCCAGGAACCTTCACTGCTAACGCATAGGATCATCTACGTCTTAAGATTCACTTTTACGTCGTTTTTGGTCTAGGTTAACCTTGAAAAAGATTTCCGTAACCCGAACAATTCTTGGACTTAAAACCTTAGTGCATACCTTTTCTAAGCTCTAGTTGGTTGCAAATACAGTTAATAAGCAAGAAAACTACTGTTTGGTTCCGTGACTGATCGCCCTCCCGAGTTTGATCCAGAGACGTGCTACATTTCTGACATTTCTGATACGGATTTTGACTTTGAACAGCTGAGAGTCTTCGTGCATCCAAGATTGATGATGATACTGGCGCTGGAGTGTATAGCTTTCTTCCTGGCAGACCTTTCATGTTCAACATGAGCGATGAATTATTTGAATGTTGTGTATCTCTTCATTTCATCCCAGACCACTCTACTCAAACGTCGCATCTAGATGACACGGAGTGAAAACACCAGCTTCTTTTCATTGGTACTATGAGCTTTGACAGCGGAAAAATGACAATGATTCCTGGGAATCTCGACTAGAGCACGGCAGCTTCCGCCCCAGAGCATCCGGCCATGTTACTTATTCTGAGCAGGGAGGTGTGCAGGCGGAGGCTGCTCCTATGTATCAAAGTAGAAACACAAAAGAAGGATGATCGTGGCCAAGCTTGTCTTGCTCTGCCTCACTAAGGCCAGCCAGCCTCGCGTCTCGCTTCCCAGACCTTCTCGCTTTATTCTCGTAGTAACAGTAGCACATGCCCATAATAGCGATACAAAGAACTACGATCATGCCACTGAAGTTGAGGGTATGTCCTGTATGATATAGAGGACCATCTCTTACGAGATATGACCAGCTATTTTGTGGTCCAGTTAGTTTATATGTCAAGTTTGCGAAGGAATATTGTACTGTGTAAGGCTTTACTCACGTTGCTATAATCCCACCAAAGGTTCCAAGGGTTACTATGTGTGCGCTCGTAATGGCCTGTACAGTAGGCCCAGCAGCATTATTGATTCCCCAGGTTAGGAACATTGGACCTCCTGGTGAAGCACCGCACATGACGAAAAACACCCCCATGTAGCGAATGCTTGCCTCGGTGTTCCAGCGCAGGACAACCATACCGATCATACCAACAATAGAAAGACCTATAATGAAGGGTCCACGAATTGCACATTTATCGCTTGCGTATGCGATCGATATAGTCACGATGGCGGCGGCGAGATTCGGGGGCACCGTCATGAGTTGAGCTTTTGTAGAGGTCCATCGGAGATCAGCAAGAATCGTCGGAAGAAAAACGGCGAGTCCTTGAATGGTGATGTTGATGAAAAGAAAGCCAAATCCGCAAAGATAGGTGTGAAAAGACGTCAGGGCTCTTTTAACATCTTGTCGCGAGACTTCTTCAGTGCTTCGTTCTACCCTCTCCCTGGCCAATCTCTGAACAGCGATCTGTCTTTCTCGAGTGGTCAAGAATCTTGCCTCACCGGGGGAGTTTGCGAGTAGGAAGTAGGCCAACATCGCAGTGAGAACTGTGAATATACCCTCGAAGAAGAAAATGTTCCGCCAGGTATGTATTATCATCGAAGGTGCGCCCCACGCAGGGATTCTGCTAAGCACCGTAGCAAGCAGTCCGCCAAAAGCTCCTGCCAGTCCGGCAGCTGAAATAAAGCATCCAATTCGTAAAGTGAGTTCAGTGCGCTTATAGAAAGAGCTCATCATGAAAGCCAGTCCTGGCATAGTACCACCTTCGAAGACGCCGAGAGCTGCCCTCGCAGCAACCAAGCCTCCGAAGGTCGTGACGAAGGACGTACAGATTGAGACCAACCCAAAGCCGCCGACGAGAAATGGAAGGTGGATACGCGGGCCGAACCGTTTCAAGAGGATGTTGCTAGGAATTTCGAAAATCAGGTAGGTGACATAGAAGGCTGATAAAGCCCAATTGAACTTGTACCCCCTAAGTTCGAGATCGACCGCCAGACCTTGGATTCGAGCGTTACCAACATTGGCACGATCAATAAACTGTAGTAGAGCTAGTCAGCCAGTATTTCAATTGCGACATGAACTGACAGATTTGTGTAGCGAGCGTGCAAAGGAGATTGAGTCTATGGAGCCTTGATGTGCTTACGCAGAGCATGTACAAAAAGGTACACAACGGCACTAATTTCAAATCCAGCTTCCGGCGGACAATCGACTCCTCGGCCTCGGTCCACTCGATACTCTCCTCACTAGCTGTAGCATCTGGGAGGGCAGACACATCATCTACCGTTTCGACATTGTGGGCTGCATGATATAGTGAGATATGATTCCACTAGCGGGTGATTCTGATTCAGAGATGGTAGGCTGTCATACTAATTGGTTTCTCGTTGACTAACATGATTCCTGGAAGGCCACTAAATGCTTGAACGTCAACAGTTGTCCGCAATTGACATGTATGTCAATGCTTTCTTGACACACAAAACCCACTTGTCCGAAATAAATATATTAGAATTCGGCAGTACGCCATCAGTCATGGCTCCATGGCCGTTTGTGGGACGGTAGCCGTTCTAGGACGGCAACCGTTGCCAGGACCGACCTGCACGGCGTGATGAGCAGCCAGGCAGTGTGAAGCACGGTATTCGTCGCATCTGCAACTGTCAGATTCACGATGTTTTCATGGGTGAACTGAGTTGCGATAGAACTTGATGATTATTGTCTTGTGTGTTTCGTCTGATCTAAGACGCAATGGAGCTATTTAATATTTAAGGGCGTCACGTGCCAGGTACCCGCTTGATTATTCGGACCTCACCTGCAGCACTTGCTTTTATCTGACAGCAACACGGTCTCCGTGTTTTTACCGGCTTTGCACGTCCTTCTTTATACCTAGTAGCTAGAGTATAGATTACTAATTAATAAAAAAGTACTTTAATATTATTATTTATATATACACTTTCGAGCGAAAGTAGTGTCCTCGCTAGAACTTCTTTAAAGTGATTATAAGCGCACGGACGATTAAGTGCAAATTACATTACGGCGAAATATATCTATCATAAGTTAGCGTTACTCGTGACAGAATCTTAGGTTAAGCAACGAAAATTATTGGTATAAAGCGTCGCTATTCAATGCTAAATTAAATAGCTTCAATTACAAAGATAATATTATGATCGGTTTAATTGAGACATCTGGACAATGTATATATCACGTGATTTTTGTAGAAGGACAAGGTGTCCGAACAGAGGGGACCGGAGTTGGCCTTCCGGATTTGTGACGGGCGAGTTCAAGCCAGGCATCACAGTGGTGATAGTTATGGATGATTGCGTGAGTATCGGCTCCAGCGACGACGAAACCAGCGATAGATCCAAGGGTAATACTCAAAGCCGCGATGCTCTTCGTCAACAGGGCCAGTTACGCCCAGCTCGGAACCTGCTCCCATTCATCTCATACGACGACTGGGAACCAGGACAGTCATACGATGAACAACCGCCATTTTGTTTGCATTATGTCATGGAGTGGAAGTTGACAGTAAACAGGAGAGAAGCTGCGAAGCAAACCGAAGGAGACCTTGTAATAGCCCCAGGAGACTTTTGGCGCGAGGAGCTGTCCACAACGATCGCAGAAATTGTGAGTTCGAGGGGCAAGCCGTGTAAGCCCGAAGCAACGACGATCGTGATATCCGTCAATGACCGTTCCGAGCGAGACATAACCAAACGTTACAAGGAGCTAGAGGTTGATTGGCTGGTAGTGGAGAAACAAATGCAGTCTTGGAGCAATCTTTTCCGGGCGGGAAAGATACTACGAATCCATGCCCTATTCAATTACAAAGAGGATAGAGTAAGCCGAGCTGCTGGCCGAGGAGCTACGGCAATTCAGCTGGCTGAGAGGAACACTAGACTCGATGCAGAGCAAGAGGTTTCTGGTGCTACAGATGCTTGGAGACATACGTATATGATTTTCAGGTGTCCAGGCCCTCCATGCGATCGCGGCCCGTATTGTTGGCAAGATGGTGCAACGAAGAAGCATTACAGACTACTTGGTCACCATCTCAGAGGCATTGTTAAATCCATTCAACAAGGTGGAAGAATAGAGTCTCACAGCGATGTTCCTGACGACATTCGTAAGCAGCTATATGCCGAGGAGCAACAGCATTCAGACCGTAAGCGGAAGAGACGAAATTCAGACTCAAGGCCTACAGACCATGTCCCAGTCGTCGTCAATAACTATATCCCACCGACTTCTGGTCAGGCTGTGACGTATAACACTAACGAGACTATGCGGATAATTCACGGAGACCGATCGCCTCAGCTTGTAGTTCCTGGATATCGCGAGGAAGCAGTTGAGGCGTACTATGAATGGCATTGCTCTCAGGTCAGGAGCCAAAAACAAAAGCAAAGTTACAAAATGGCTCGTGATCTCACATTAGATCGGGCTTTGGACTTGGAACATGTTTATATAGACAGCGATGCACAGTTCTACATAGACCATGGAGTTTTGGAAGGCGTCGCGCGACGGTTTGTAACGGACGTGAAAGTATTTCTTGATCAATATGATGCATCATAGCCAAACAATTTTGATCTAACTTATATCAGTTCACGGTATTCTCACCTGCGAAATTGGGTGCCTCAGCAAGTTCTCGAGCTCCTTCATGCTTGATAAGGCTTGAATATTAGTGATCCAATACCTGTTCGGAGCGGTCGCTAACCAACCAGGCATTGCCATGTCATAGCATCTATTGACCCCGCATTCGTGTCACAATGAGGACCTTTCGGAATCGAAAAAGTACTGCATAGCAACATTGGATGCTCAAGTCTCAGAATTCTTCATGAGAGGTGAAATGGGGAAATCTAAAACCAACTTCTACGTGGTGTTTTCTGGACGCATTGAAGAGTGTACAGTTTTCTCGTCATGGTACGCCTGGCCAAAGCCATTACATTCGGAGCTAATCTGATCATAAAAGGGGAGATGTACATCCACGGATTTCAGGTTGTGACTCTAAGATCAAGGGTTTCAAAACCGTTGAAGATGCTCGGAAATATATGGACGAGCTAGGGCTTAAATGCAAGGAGGACATCAAAGATACAGCGCTAGACACTACACCAACAAGGAACAGCTATGCTTATTATGCAGTTGCTAATGGAAGGTTTCCGGGCATAAAGCGCATATGGTAGTAAGAGTCTTGTTTCGTCAGATTGTCGACATACTCGCTAACAGGATATAGTGGGGAGGCAGGAGCTAAGGATGATACCGATCAGTTTAATCATACCTGTCATAAGCATTTCCGGACAGAAGCTCAGGCAAAAGCATTCATTGAGGATTGGAAAAATGCGTACGCTGATGTCGTATGTCGAGCCACTGTAGAAGCACTGGAACGAGGAGCAAAACCCTCTGATCTGGACTTTGTTGTTTTGATTGATTGGAAAGAAGCATACGCGGACGCGGTGCGCCTAGCCACCATAAAAGCACTGAGTGAAGGGACCCTACCTTCTGAATTGAACTTTGATGTTCTAGTTGATTGGAAAAAGAATATGCGGAGGCGGTGCGCCTGGCCACCAAAAAGGCACTCGATGATGGATTACGACCTTCCGACTTTGACTTGATTAGAGCGAAGCCCTCATTTAATCAAGACTTCGCAGATGAGTTCAAGGAAAAGCTTAGTGTGGTATTGCTACATGTTTCTGAAGGGATGCCAAGCTGACCTATCGAAGGGCGAGTAACTTCGACATACAGCGAGCGGGAGCATTGACAACAACCAAGTTGTTTTAAGGAGTCAAAGTAGCTAGGATTCAATGAAAATACCAGCACGACGGAAATGCCCCTCCGCGCTTGCCCTGCGATTTCCCACGACGGCAACGCATTCCTCAATGAAGGATAAGAAGTCTGCTCTGATAAATCCTTCATGCTCATCCCAAACCATTCTCATGTAATTCTTCAATTCTCCAAAGAATTCCTCAATTGGGTTCAAGTCAGGTGAGTATGGCGGTAAGTAACATAACACCACACCAGCGTCATCGCACATTTGCTGTATCTTTTGGGAGTGATGGATTGGCGCATTATCCATGACCAAAACAGAATTCGATTCCGGCCACTTGCCACAATATGGTAATAGTGTTTCAATAAAATGTTCAAAGACCCTAGCATCGGTTGATGCCTCATATACCCAAAAGTGGAGAACGCCATGCTGAGTATATGCCGGAAGAATTTGAAATCTCCGGCCACGGTGAAAGCGCTTGATCTGACGGGCTCTTCGACCCGAAGGGGCCCATCCTTTACGGTCGTCACTAAGACTTCTATCCACTCCGCTCTCATCTATGAATACCAGCTGATCGGAGCGAAGCCACGACAAGTCGTAGATATAGTCCTCCCGCAGGTCAAAATTACGCTCTCTAGCCACCTTTTGAGTCACCTTCTGAGTCCATTTTATATTTCTAAGTGCTCGACGGATGCTATAGCGGCTCACGGCGGCCTCGAACTCTTTGTTGAGAAAACTAGCCATCTCTTCAAGACGCATACACGGGTTGAGCGAGAGTTGGTCACATAGTGCCGTCATCATGGGAGGAGTAATACTCTTAGGCCGACCGGTGCGATTAGATGGGGCTTTCGTGGATCCAAAGCAAAGTCTGTTGGCTCGGTGCCCGTATCGTGCGCACAGAACAATTGGTAAGTTCAGCTGCTCTGTCATCTGTAAGCCCTCTTTCACCATCAAGCTTGCTTTCAATCATATCTCGTATTAGAATATGTTGCGTATCTGCAAGACATGGTGCCATTTGTGCAGACGAATAGTCACTTATGTAGTTTACAGTAGCTCTGGATGAAGGACATCGAGGAGGATCGGAGGTCCGGATATCGGTAAAACATTCTACCATGTCACGAGGCACGCTAGAACAGCATAGAAGGGCATCATCCAACAAGTAACAGTGTCACGTGCATGGTGGGGCTCTTCTCGTGTCATATTGCCCCAACATCAGGAACAGTGTATAGTCTTCAACCTGTCTCTCCCCAGCATCAAGCTAATTCTTCGCGGATATTCCCCATGGCGCACTCGATTTTCGAAGTAACTACTGCTACCCAGGCATTACTCCGAGCGGTTCAGCCGCATTCTGAAGGTGTTCTGGCGCTCATGGCCTTGGAGGATTTTCTGCCGATAGCGGTGGTCTCTCTCGATACGACAGGAACATTCAAAGCAGAAGAACAAAGCATACTTCAGACTTACATCAAGACATGTAAAACCCTCACGGAGACTGAGGCGTCAGGGAAAGAGATCAACTGGAGGACCGTCACTGTTGATGGCGAATCATGGCACTATCACCGGGAGAAATTGCAAACATATATAAGAGGGACTACGTAGCGTTATTATACAGTACATGAACCAGCAACATTTCTGACGACTGTTCACATGGAAATATCATCAGCAGAAATGCGCAACCCGTGAGCCCGACACTGCTGGATCTGGCTGAGCGTCGTCCCTCGCCCGACGAAGTCGGCATCACTGCGGAAGGGATTCACGACAGAAGACGGTGGCGGAGTTTCAAGTCGCTCTGCGAATTGGTTCGTTCATATGAAGGAGGGTGCCAGCGGGGGGAAGGACGCTATTCGTCTGAGAGGGTCTCAATTGACTGTGAATATTGCAATGTTCTCGCAGCGCACTATAGACTGATGTGTGCAGATAAGGCGGTCACAACAAGATAGCACAATGGGTACTATGTCCCGTGTTTCAGGAGATGATCTCCTTAATCTGGTTGCAGTACATGCTACTTATTTTACTCGGCCTGGGCCTCTGGCTGCATGTCTGGTTGATGCTGCTCAACGTCAAGCTGGTGGTGAATGAAGTAACAGGTGGGGTGGTGGATCGAGCGTGTAAATTTCCTCTCCCCGAAGTATACGATGGATGCAATCATGGTAGTATGTTTCATAATCGCTAAGTCTGTCCTGCCATCGTTTGTCATCTTTATCAAACAGCATGCGCGGCTGAATGCCTGGACTCCAGTCAACAAGAACGTCGGTGAGCTTTGCAAGTGTGAGTGACTCTAAGCAGAGACCCTTCCCGATTTCCGTAAGGGTGGACTCCCACGTATTCTGGGGGTTTTCCAATCGCACTAGAGACGTTTGTGTAAGCGTAAGCAACCGCAGTGTGTTCTTGTGAGCAAGCAGGAAGGTGACCAGCGTAGTCCGATCTGTAGCGATCTCAAGTTGAATGTTACGAATGTGGCGCCAAGGCGCGCGGTGGGCAATGTGCTGGAGCAATAATATGGAGCCTGTCGCGCGCTGTTTCTCGTCAACGCCGAAAACTGGCATTAGGTCCCCATACACAAGGTTCCCGATCGCTAGAATGAGCTCCCGAAGATTCTTGGTGGTCGAGAGGAACAGGAAGGCGAGTTTCGCAGCAATTGCTATGCAACCCTCTCGCTCATCGTCTTCAGACATACTGAAATCTAGGTGCGTCAAGTCCGCAAATGCGAGCCGCATAAGGTACAATTCTCTGCCATAACGCTCTGTCTCCGCAGGCGTTTCAAAGTTATCATTGACTTCTGCATCCGCGTCTGCATCCGCGGCTGCTGCAGAGGAGGCAGGATGTAGTTCTCGATAGAGGCGCGTAATCTCATGGCCAATGCCAGACCAAAGGTGTCGCAATCGCCTTGGCGTAGCAAATGCTGGCCCACCGACATGTATACTCATTTTCTTTAGCCTATGGTTGTCTCCGACTCTGAAACACGCAAGGGATTGAAGAACGACCGATATTTGTAGTGCTTCAACATCCTCGTCCTCGTCATGATCTGTCTGTCCGAGTATCGAGAAAGGATGGAAGTACAGGTCTCGCCATCGAAGAGCCCAATTGTCGTACCAGAAACTAGGCTCGTGCTCAAGAGCACTTAAATTAGGGAGAGTCTTGAGTGCCTTGTTCAGCTGTCGAACCGCTACGATCGCTTTTCCTGTAGCGAGTGCCCTGTCAGGATGAATGAATTCCAATTTCTCCGCTGCGCGAAAGCACAAAGTATTCGTAATACTAGCGATTTCCATTTGCAGCTGCTCGCGGTCCGCGTTATATGCTTCATAGAGCGCCTTTTTATCTTCTGCTGGCATCGCAATCCACTGATTGTACGGCATGAGCTGATCGGAGAGTGCCTTGTCGTTGTGATAGGTAGTCTCGCAGGCCGACCAAAGACCGTTGTCCGGAGCGCCTGGCTGGTGTGTGCTCGCCGTCCATGAATCAAAGCTGGAGAACTTGCGGTATCCGCGGACCCGGCGAAGCACCACTGTCTTGACCAAAGGAGCAAGTGTAGGCTCCTGAGAAATTTCATACAGAGACTCGCAGCCCTGTCCGCAGAGCTCAAAGTACACTCTCGAGAAGAGGAGGGGAGCTGCGAGCTTAGCCAAGATCCTACACGTTTGGCGGATATGCTTCCATGCTGCCAGATTAACATAATGCAATATTGCGATCAAGAGTTCGTGAGGGAGATCAAGGAGCAACGGTGTGCCGCTATCCATGACTGTAATGCGTGTTGAAATTATTGTGAATGGCGCATCTCGACTCGTGCCGGCCTACTGTGAGGCGGGGTAAGTTAGCGCCAAGTATCAGTGGTCGCGCTAGCTTAAAACAGATACATTTCGCTCTAGTGTAATTTATACAACATTGTCCGTGCGCTAACAGTCATCAGATGTTACAATCCAGCACTATGAGGGGCACGCCCTGCTATATACCCAACCAATCGCCGGATACTTGGCAAGGAACCAACTCATGACATAACTAGCAAAACCAGATCACGTGACCCAGTCACGAGTCTCGCCATGCTCGCCCGTCTCGCCATGTCTCAACGAGACAGCCCGACGAGATAGGACGAGATAGGACGAGATGGACGAGACACCTCAAGTATATAGAGAACTCAGAATACCCCTATGGTCTTCTGTGTTCAACCTAAGTTAGTATCGAACAATACACTCTACTGTTCCACCGCTATTATCTTTCTTGCCTGCCTCCGCTTCACGTTGCTCTTCAGATTATCCCCGAGAACCAACCAGTAGATCCTCGATCTTAACATCAGAATAGTCCAAGCAAGGACACTAATTTCGCCCCTA